TCTAATATAACTTATAATTATAACTCTTTATAAAAAGAATATTATATAGTAATAATATATTTAGAATATATAATATATTAATTTATTAATTTAATACTTTAAGGTAAGAATTATATTTTATAATAGGTAGATATAGGCGAAAGAAGATATTAGTTAACCATTTCTTATACTAAACCTAAAAATATATATTTAAAGTCTATAGTAGTACTTCTACTTTTTATATAAATAAACTATATATATTAGAAATAATAAAATAGATATAAATCTAATATCTAATATTTCTTTATTAATATATAAGTATATTATAGTTTTATTTATATAAAAGAATTATTTTAAATATTTTTTCTGAATTTATATAAAATAATAATATTGGCTGGTTGGGTTAAAATTTTTTAGGGATAAAAAGAAAAATCTTGGGGTATTACTCTTACCTAATTATTTAGGTTAACGGGTTAGCCTATAGATTGACCCGTTAACCTATTTCTTACTATCTAATAAACTTTGTATATATTAGTAGAGCCTATTCTAATTAGTTATAAAATTCAGTACTAGGATAGTGCTAAATTCTACCTACTAATAAGAAATAAGTATTAGACCTATATTCCCCTAAATCTACGATGATTTACCTTAGATTATTTTTCTATATCTTGAGTCTCTCGCTATAAAAGGGTTGTGTAGTCCCCTTTTTACTAGATATAATAAAATATATGCTTTTTTATAGTAGTCTTTCTACCTCTATTAGAACCAGGGTTTTAATCTATCTACGCGATTACTTAAAACCCCAGTTTTAATCTACCTACGCGTTTGCTTATAGCCCTGGTTCTAATATATCTACGTAAAAAGGTTAGCTGGTTAGGTTAAAATTTTTAGGGGATAAAAATAAAAGTCTTAGAGCATTGCTCTTACCTAATTATTTAGGTTAATAGGTCAACCTATAGATTAATCTATTAATCTATTTCTTACTATCTAATAAGCTTCGTATATATTATAGTAGAGTATCTTCTGATTAATTATAAAATTTAGTACTAGGATAATACCGAATCCTATCTACTAATAAGAAATAAGTATTAGACCTATATATTCCCCTAAATCTACGATGATTTACCTTAGATTATTTTTCTATATCTCAAGTCCTTTATTTTAATATACTATTACTATATCTCTTCTATATCTTAGTTATCTACCTCGTACCCTCCCTCTCTTATTAAGAGTAAGGGGTTTAAGTTATCTATTTTCTATTCTAATCAACTTCTCGATACCCTCTTAGAACCACTAGAAAGCTAGTAAACTGAGCAAAGCCTCCCTCCTATTATACCACTAACACTAAAACGATCTAATAATCGGAAAAAGACCTAGGTGATTTTTGATAGTATAAATAAAGTAGAGTTTTTAAACTAGTAGCTTAATACCTAAATTAGTGGTTCTTATAATACTATAAAAAAGATGAATTAGGAGGGTCCACGATAGACTAATATATAGTCGTATTTTAATTAAATCGTATATTTAGTAATAAAAGAGCTAAAGCTCCTATATAAGCGATATAATAAGGTTATAGACTATCTAGTCTATATTAAGAATAGGATAATAGGTCTCTAACGTTACTAGAATCGGAGTATATACTAAAAAGGCTAAAGCACTACTAAATATTTAATAATCTAACGTCTTATAGAATATATAGTATATTATATAGCTATTATTTAATTTATAGACTAATCTTTCTTAGGCTAAGAACTCCCTTTGAATAGCCTAGCTAGTTACCTAAGAGCTATAGGAGTAATAGTTAATTACTATAATAATTACTCTATAGCTTCCTTTTTAAACTATCGAGCATCCTAAATTCTAAGCCTTTCTTCGAATAACCTAATTATTATCGTTTATCCCTAGTTTCCCTTCCTATCGAACTATATAGTGTCGAATCTAGGGAATAACCTAAGATTAATAGAAAGATTTACTTTAGAAGCTTCTATCTAAGACTAAGCTCTCTATTAATCTTAATTATTAGATATCGCTATTTTAATAAGTATTTATAGCTATCTCTAGCTATTTTATTAATATAGACTAGAATTATCGAGAGGTTTTACTTAGCTTTAAACCTATTTCTAGTATATACTCTAGGCAGAATCTTAGTATAACCCTCCTCGATATCCTCTAGAAATATTAGATCGAAGACTAAGTACTTATAGTAACGACTAATAATATATTAAATAACTCTATCCTTATTTTAAGTATCTAAGATTCTATTTAATTATTAGATATTAACTCTAAAGTAATAATTATTCGGGTTCTATATATTATATATATAATTTAGTTAAGTTTAAAGTAACTATTTAGCTAGATAAAAGCGAACCCTTAGAATAAGGTAACTAAGACTATTTAGTCCGAGGAATATATCTAATACGCCCGTCGAAAAGCATAAAAACGAGATATTACGATAACTCTTATAAAGGTATATATCTATACTCCTTATTTATTAGTTAAAATATTAACCTATTTTATATTTTAGATTAGAAACCTTACGATCTTTATTAATATAAGCCTTTAACGTCGGGAGTCCTTCTTTAGTCTCTAGCCTAACTACTCTCGATTAGTTCTAATTTAAGATATCCGAACTAGATAGAATTTAACCTTTTTAATATTTTAACGTGCGAAGTAATTATAATTAGTCTTTAATCGATTTTACTCTAAATATAATTATCCTTATCTTAAAATCAATATAGATAAATAACGCTAGATCGACTATCTTCTTAATATTATTTAGTTATTTTTCTAATTTACTATAGTCCTCTTAAAAATAAAGGATATTACTATTTATACTATTTTTACTATCTATAATAAGCTATTTAATTATCTTAAGAGATTAATTAGATAGCTTAGTAGAAAGAAGGTTAGATAGAAGTAATAGATATATTAAGCCCTTAAATTAGCTAAAGGTAAACTCCGTGAGTATTACTCTATAATAGATAATAAAGAGCTTAGTAATATCTATACGATTAGCACTATCTTAGCCCCTTAGTATAAGGTTAAATTTTTTTAAACTAAAGACTAAGACTACCCTTAGATAGATTATAATACTTAATATTAATAAAGTCTTAAGGGTCAGCTTTTAAGCTACTAAGCTAGTAATATTCTAAGCTCTTAATTACTATCTAAAATAAAATAGTCCTATTAAATTAACGAACTTAATATATTTTTAATAGCCGATTCTTCTACCTTAAGCTTCTAGTCTAAGGTAATATAGTATATTAAAAAAGGTAAATTTCTATATATATCTTTATTAAAACTAGGGTTCTAAATAATCGCTTAAAACCCTGGTTCTAATCTATTAAGTTTCTATTTTTCTACCTTTATTAGAACTAGGGTTTTAAGGCCTATCTTAGAACCCTAGTTTTAATAGGGGTATTAGTTCTAATCTATCTAAATATTATACTAATTATTATAATCCGCCCTCTATCTAGGTACTATCCTAATCCTATCTTATTAGTTCTAAAAAGATTATTAATATAAATTTCCTATATTTATAAGCCTCGCCTATGATCTTCTCTCGATCCTAGCTATTAACGCTAATATTAAGTGATTATTTAATTCCGCGCGTGATATTTACTATTATTAATAAGGGGCGTTAAATATATCTACTATATAGGATCTAATAATACTTATATATATTATTAAATTTGAAGTTAAAGAGAAGTAGCTTATATTTATTTAAAAGCTTTAGAAGTAGGATAAATTAGAAATTATATAAAAGGAAAAAGAGACCTAAAAGACTTATAAAGAGATTATATTAATTAGTAATAATAAGGAGGAGGATATTATAGATCTAATAATTATAGTTAATATATTTTACTAATCGTAGCAAGAAAAGTTAAAGAGTAATTATAAAGATAATTATAGCCTCCTACGGATTTCTAGTAGGGTTCGTAAACACCTATAAGTACTTAATAATTATAAGCTTTAAAATTAAAATCGATTAATATTTAAAATAATATTCTCTAGAATTACTTTTTAAGAATTATTCTCCTAATTACTATAAAAAATTATTTAACTAAAATAAATATAATACCTAAAAATATAGCCAAGAACAATATAATTTATAAAAGTTATATAGTTAACAAAGTATCCACCTAAATAGGTTAAATAGGTTAACCTATTAACCCGCGGGACAGGTTAAAAAAATCTTGACCCGCCTATAGATCAAGAGGTCTGACCCACAACCCGCCCATGGGCTGACCCACGGGTCGACCCATATGGGTTGTCCGCGGGTCTGTCCAGGTCTAATCTTCGCGGCCTAGATAGGGCACTACTTAAAAATACACTACTAGGTATAAGGCTAATCTGTTTTAGGTAGTTAGGATAAGAGTGTTCTATGATTAGAAAATAACTTAAAAATTTATTCAAGTCAAAAAAGTTGATTATATTAGATTTTAGGGTGCTAATAGCGAAATCCTAGGGTGCCCCCATTAACACCCTACAAAAACACAGGATATCTACTTAAACACAAGTATAAATTATTATATATACCTTTAGCTATGAAGCTGTTGTTGAACATATTCAGCCCATTTGTAGAGAAAGAGGTACTATCGCGCGCTATCGATAGTTTCCGATCGGGTAATTCGCAGGGTATTCACATATTACTCGATTGGATCTGCTCCATTCGCCCCTTTCTAGGTGAACCAGTTCTTTCCGCTTTTCTTCGCCTTTCGGGCCACATTGTATATCTCCCGGGCGATAATAAAGGTGCTAGTCCTTCCGAGCCTATAAAGGCAGTTCACGAATATTGTATAGCCCGCGGTCTGCTTTTCGTTTGCCAGTTCAATCAGTCGCCTCATATTTTCATTGCTGATCGATCTGCGATTCTTCCATGATGTGTAGTGGATGAAGTTGAACGTCTTAGATTTTCTAGTTCCTTCTTGAACAAGACTGATTTTGGAAAAGAGAATCAGACCGTCATAGAGACTTGTGGTATCGACCAAATTCACGGTATACTTGACGTTGCATGTCATTTATCCGGTGGTTTCGTCGATCTCGTAGACGGGGAGAGCATCGTCCTTGGTGGCTGGTAAGGGCTCATCATCGTGAAGGGTGTAGCCAGAATCAGGTTCAAGCAAATTCACGATCAATGCGTTGTCTTTAGCCTTCATCCATACCATATCCTAGTATAGGGTTGTTATGCCTTTCCCATAGTATACAGAGGACTTAGGATCGTGAGTCGTTGCCTCGCTTTCCAAAGAGGGGGATAAGATAGATACACACCTGGGATGCAATGTAGGAGGATACAATTGGGTTGTTTTCAATCCCAGGCAAGCGGCCCGCCTTGTATATGGGATAATTTCCTCCAAAGGGATTTTCGAATTGATCGACCATGGCGTCCCAGTCCGTAATGATTGGGTATTGTCGCAAATATTGACTCGTCATCCCAAATTTGTCATTATACCAGATCTCGTCATTATATTTTTTGGAAGAGAACTAAAGTGACTACGGGAGCAGTTGGCCCTTCTTAAGACCCTTGTATTTCGTCGTTAGGTCTGTTCGGGAGACTTAGTGTTTATCGCGGAAAGAAAGATATTCAGCTTGGAATCTTACCTTCTTTAGATTGGGATAGGAAGACAGGCTCGACATTCCTTTTGTGGACGGCCAGCCCTGCTATTGGTGTCCCTAGGGAGGAAATCAAGAGAAGACAGATTACAAAGGCGGCTCGAAGCATCGTAGAACAAGTATGGAACTAATAGGAGACGAAACTTAGAACGAATATCGATAGATATATACGAGCCTAATAGAGAATTTTTCATATTCAATCACCTCAAGAACATCTTAACCCTATCAGCCCCCAGAAAAAAAGTCCTAGGGCTATTTATATATATACGCCTGGCAGGAGTGATCCACCAACGGCCGTCGACCCTCGGGAATTTTTCTTCAGATAGCGAGTCCTTGGCCGCGTTTCGTGCTAGGCGTAGGCGTAAAACCAAGGAGATACAAAGCAGCCGCCAAGACGCTCTATATACTAAAGCTAGAAGGATTACGTGGGTCCTGAATCCTTGCCCATCACGAGGTTCTTCCTAATCAGGAATAACATTCAACAACAACTAACGCCCCGTCTAGGCTTGTACCTTATTTCCCAATTGAGAGAGCCTAAGTAATATCCTATAATCATGAATCTTATACTCGCAGCTGCTTCATTTCGCAAGAATCTCTCTTCAGGGCTTCTTAGCTCTTCCTAGGTTAGGCAATCAGATATGTAGTGTACCTAAGATTTGACAAGGGCACCCATATTCAGCCATAGTTTACAACCGAAAAAGGAGGAGTGGGTAGGTGATAAACTAGGCGCAGCGGTGCGCGCCAGATAGGAAAGCTTGGAAAAAAGGCTTCTTAGTAACTTCCAGGATGGCCCCAATACGATATAATCCGGCGGCTCCAAGTGAGAACCGCCGGTTTATAGTGCCCTGTCTGACTGCAATCCGGGAAGATTAGACCATAGACCTTGATCCTGGACCGCTGGGCGGTCGATCAACGCCCGGATCTACCAATTATCAATAAATAAACTATAGCACCGCTGACAGCTCATCTACAAATCATGCTCCGAGTCCAAGTTAGTCTCTCGTGCCAAGAGGCAGGCTACCGCCCCCTATATCGTTAATTTACTGAAACACTAGCAATAGTTATAAAGGTACCGGACGTGGAACGAGCTCTGCCTGATAGAGAGAAAATTATGGTCGTATAGGGCAGTGCAGTCGCCGTCCCCTCGAGTTGGACCCACAGCATTTTCACTTGTTGATCCTCAATACCGATACGAAAATTCCCACCGATACGAAAATTTTTCTCTTTATCCATCTTGTTTATTATATACTTAGTATGCCAGGATGCAACGACAATATCGAAAATCGCCTTAATAAGGGATGCGAAGTAGCGAAACGCGAAAAAAACACTTTAAAAATCGCTGAATTTTACGCGTAAATTCGACGTTCCTTATAGTCGCCTTCGCCCTAGAATTTATAGTCGTCTAGTAAGAATAGCTATTATTCCTACTAATAAAGTATTTAATAATTCATAAAAAAAAGTAGTCATTCGCTGGATTCGATATCTTAATTCTCTATAAGTTTCGCCTATAACTAGTATAATTAAGGACTCGATAAATTAGATTTTAAAACGGAATGCTACGGATAACGTATTGCTACGCGTTTCGAAGAACTACAGTGGCTGATCAAAAGTCACCTACCCCACACCCCTACACTGTATTTTCTTGACCGTTTTACCTATTAATATAACTGCCTACCTCACGCGAGTCGACACGCTAGTATATACGCGCTATATCGACGCATTGAACACCTAAATATCATATTGATATATAATAAATAGAATATTAATATAGTATATATTGCGTTGCTAATTCGCTATATACTCGCTTTGCTAATTCGTTATATACTCGTTATACTAATACTTCGTAAAGAACTCGACCCCTATACTCGTACTCCTATCTACAAGCTTCATTCGACTACTTAATAGGGGTATAAAAGAATTTATATAATATATTCTTCGATATCTCTATTAACGATCTAATATACTATTAAAAAAGAGAATAAAAGGGTTAATAATTATTTAAAATATCGCTCCGGAGTATGCAAACTTAATAAAGATAATCGCGATCGAATATATAAAAGAGCTACTACCGACCTTTACGTATATTACTAAAATCTATTCGTTAATATCGATTATAAAGTTAAAACGATATTAATTCGACAGCTTTTAAATAAGATAAGGCTTCGAAAATAGCGGTAGCTTAGTCGATCTATTTTAGATAATATAACTATAGCAAAATAACTTTATTAGGTAAAAATATATTAATATTTTACTTCTAAAGATTAGGCTCGCGTTTGTTAGTCTAATAAATATATTATTAACCGAGGTGCTAGTTATCGAAAGCCTTATATCGTTAATCGGCCCTTATAGCAGCGAATCAGCGAGATATTGATAGGAGATTATATAGAAAATAAATACAGTAGATATTTAAGCTACTTTCTTTAGTAGGATTCGACGCACTAGTTTATAGATATTATATAGTAATCCTAATATACCTTATAGCAGTGTGGATATAGAGGTTATCTATGATTTATATAATATTATTTTATCTATTTTATTTAGATTAGATACTATTTTTATATATAATAATACGCTAGTTTATCGCGTGTGTATTATACGTGAGCCTTTGGAGCGAAAGAGGGTTAATACTATAGTATAGCTATATTATTCGCTAGATGTTAATCTAATTAAGAGTATATAGGCTTTATTAATGGTAAAAATCTATAAGCTATACCCCGAGCTACTAGATATACCTAATAATAATACTATACTAAAACGTTTGGTTAGTGCAGCGTAAGAAATATAGGATAAGATTGAATAGGGGGTTCTACAAAATCTATCAAACTCTATATTAAATCGGGTAAATGCAGTTATCGAAGCAGAGGGTTTGTATACTAAATATCAGTATAGTACTAGTATAGGGGTCAATAAAGAGATTTTTTACCTAGCAGAATATTATATAATATTATATAAATAGTATGTAGATCAGGGGTAGGTTCCAAAGACTTTTGATCAGCCACTGTTGGTACATTGCTTTATCGGACACTTCCTACTAGACCTATAGCTAATAAAATAAAAACCAATCGAAAGAAGCTTAGGGTTAAGGTTAGGTTCGGTTCCATACGATACGAGGAGCAGTGGTAGTATCAATCCGACGTTTAACAGTAGTTTTGTCTAAGAAACTAAGGAGGCTTCCTTACTCTCTTGGCAATTTTAAAGTGACCCAGAACGACTAAAGCTCTTTTTCTTTGTTGAGCTTGCAGGGAATGGTTGCTGACGCTCCCAGATTGGTCGAGTCAACTTCCTGCTATATACACTTCGTTGTGTATTCAAAGTGTATTTGTATTTCAAGATCTCGGTATTGAAGTGTGCGCTCGGCCCGTGATGTCATCATCTCTGTCCCTTTTGGTGGTGTCGCAGTAGACTCGGGAAACGCTTCTCCTTTCCCCGTCAAGTCATACGGGGACCAGCGGTGTGAGAGACGTTGAGAGACCCATTTCCTGGACTAGGCTAATTCTATATTTAGCATGCCAAGGGTATCAGGGAGCAGCTCAGCAGGGTTCCAGATTGATTTGGCTGCTCCCCCAGGATGGACATATGCTGCCGGGGACACCATCATCGGTACCCTGGCGCGTCGCTTGCCCATTGTCACCCCTGATGCCAGCGTGACACTAGTTCTTATAGGGCAAGTGAGGTCTAAAATCACAGCCAGCCGCAACCAGAACCACCCGAGTCACTATCTCGCTCAGTGGACACTTTGGCCGCCAAAACGCATGACCATCTACAATGGACCTCTTCATATCCCCGAGAGCAGCGACCAAGATCATTTACTGAGTTGGCCCTTCTCGGTCACTATTCCTGAAGGCCCTGTGCGTTCAGCCCTGGGAGGGCATTCTCAAGGAGCGAGCTTCCTCCCGCTGGACGAGTCCGAAATCGCTCAGCATAGCCTGCCTGGAACGTTTTTCTCCAGTGGAATCAGTTTTTCGACCTCATCTGAAGGAATCGTTGAGTACTACCTGGAGGCTGAACTACGATACAACCGTGGTCCCTCCCTTGAGATACGCAAGGCTGTTGCTTCCATTAAGATGAGGCAGCCCGGGGTAGGGACTGCTATTGTTAGTCACGACCTCAAACACCATGCGACCGAGGTCAAAGTGCAAAGCCAGCGTCTCTTCCCGGAAATGGAGAATGCAGAGTTAACGGTGAAACAAAAAGCCCAGAAAATCGTGGGGTTATCAAAGGTCCCTGAATTCTGGTTCAACGTCGACCTGGTTCATCCTACTATTGTCCAAATCGGCGATGCGTCTCCTATCCCAGTGTATTTGAGGATCATTCCTCAGAAGGAGAAAACAAGTGTATCCATAAGGGATGCAACGCAGAGAATTCAGGTGAACTGGGTCAAAATGAGAATTCAAGCGGACACTATCCTCCTTGCTTCCGGCAATTTTACTACCCGCGTCCACCAGGATTCCCATACAGCCTGCTATGATCTTGGTCTTGAAGATGCTTTCCCAAGACTCGAGCGCCCTGTCATGATATCGTGCAACAAGGACACTGGTGAAGGGTCCGTGGATATTGGCAACGTCCTCCAACTTGTCCTCCATGAAAACGGTCTAAGCACTGGAAACTGGCCTCTGCGTAAGGTGTCGACTATCTATCCTGACTTCATTACGTATAGCATCCGACACCGACACTGGGCAGAATGGGAGGTATCTCTCACTGTTGCAGGAGAGACCATGAAGGTCCGAATGCGCACAAGTTTGAGAGTTGTGGCTGCATCCTAAGGCCTTGTTGCAGCGCTCTCTTGTTGAATGTGGCTTCGGTACTAGCCACTGGTGAGATTAATCTTCTGATATGAAATGCAACTATTCTTCAACTTCTAGGCTTATTGGGTTGTTGGAATAAGAAGTGGTTGTCTTCCTATCGAAATCGCCCCTAGATTTACCTCTTGAATTCACCCATAGTCTATATCTAGATTGATCCCAAAGTCATACGACGGCTTTAGCTGTTCCTAGCCTCCTTGATTTCATTGGCGTCGCAAAGGTTTTCCTTGGGGCCTCTATTCTGCTACTGTACGACGAAAGACATACGTCTTGATCAGCGAAGAACGATATCGCTGTATATTACCACAGGCACCACCCCTACTAATGATTATCTTCATATTTCAATGTTCAAGAACCCCCCGCACGCCACATTAAAGAGCGCCCGCATTCGCAGCGGGGAAGCTCCACTGTTGGTCCCATGATTGGGCCACAATTGCGACCTGTGCCTTTCTTCCTCTTTCTCTGCCATACGGAATTCCTTGATGGCTGCCTAGCACGGACCTGATAACATTCAGTCTACATCGTCTGTGATAGCTTTACCAGGGCTATGCCGATGGTAACGGGTGCCTTAGCCAAGGCGCCGTGTCTCAGCTGCCGAGGTATGCATCCCGCAAATGAATATCCACACTTTTACTCACGGACCTCACTGGCAGAGAAACATCAGAAATGTATACGCATTCACCGACAATGTGAGAATACCGACTGCTGACATGAGCCTTGTAGGTGACAAGCGCAAGCCAGTATGCAAGCGTTGTGAAGGCAAGGGCCTAAAGTGCATTCCTGCACTACGAAAAACGGTCTTTCGGCATGGATCAACGGCCAATTTCGATGCACAATTTGCTGGAGATCAGCCATGGGTCAATAGTGAGCCCAAAAACTGGAAGTCCATGAAGGATTTCTTAGACACGCCATCTGCCGTGTCCACGCGGTCAGTGGAAGAGTCGATCGTGACGACCGGCATCGTGTCAGCATCTAGCGGAAATGGCTCTTCCGGATACTCACCTCTTAGGCACTTCCATTCAAATCATGATCATGACCTAAATGCTAAGCCGTCCGAGGTTGACGAGAACCACAAGCGGTGCAGACTGAATGAACCCATTTCCATCGGTGGCTTTCTGGCAGAGTCTGGTACCGTCCAGGTTGAGGGCATGTTCGAACCCATGCCTACTCACCCCGATGGGCAGAGGAGTGGATCTGAAGACCGAGGGTTGACTCTAGACCGAAATACCGACGTTCCAACCTCTTTCAACACCCTAGGCTCGAGTGACTGCTTATGGGAATCTGCCACCAGCGATCAGGAGGCCTGCCTTTTGCGATATTTCATCGAAGAACTATCACCTTGGGTAAGAGCGAATCAAATTTCCTGCGAAATGATCTTCCACTGATAAGCATCAGTTCGATCACTGTGATGAACAAAAACATTTCCAGCTCGTCGTTCCTCGCCGAGCGCAGTCTTGTCCCGTACTTCGACATGCTGTTTTGGCCGTCTCGTCTCGTCATTTGAGCCGTCTTCCACAATATAATACCCCTAGGGGCATTATTTATCGTGGACAGCTACTACCCGATCTGCAAAAGTCGACTGCAGTGGAGTATATGCTGCGCTGTATCCCCGACCTCGTGCGTTTTCCCCGAAATTCGGGATCCGATGCACCAGGAAAATATCATAGCAGCTACGGTTATCCTCCGCCAATACGAGGAGCTTGAAGAAGAGATGGAGGAGTGCGAAATTGTGCTAGATTCTCCGTCTCGTGGACGAGTCAATTTTTTGGTCATCACTCAGAAAATTATAGACGCAATCTTCTCCGCTCCGCTGAATCGATCTCTTGCCACTGCATCCTACTGGATCGCGATTCGGCAAGAGGTATACTATGCTCTGACTCGAGAGAGGGCCCCGACTCTGCGGATTGACGACGCTTGCTGGCACCAGGCTTCAGTCGCCAACACTTTGATCGTGTTTGCTGGCCAGGTTGCCCAGTGGCACTGGGGTCAGAGGCTATCGGAAGAATGGAGTAAGTCATAAATTGTCATTAGAGAATCCATCAACTAACCCCTGAATATTCAGCAAGGCTCAGGTCACAGCAGCAACAGCTGGAATGCAAGTACATAGAGGAGCTCAAACCTCTTCTTTATCAAAAAGCAGATCGATCCAAAGGTCACATCTTTCCGACGGTCTGGTATTTCTTTGACTCTCAGGTTACTGGGGTGCAGCATTTGGAATTGGCCAAAATGATCTTGATTGCTGCAAGCCCGCATCTCAGGTATGCCATGTTGATTGTCTCTCAAGCTTCTGCCTTTCCTTGGTTTCCCCTAAAAGCTAAAGAAGTATAGAAATGGAACCCGCGCGGCCCATCGCAAAGCCGAGGCACTGGTCCGGTCGAGTGTGCTCAAACTCTGTGGAATTTCCTTGAATCGCCCACAATGTCAGCCAGCGTTGATCAATGCAGTGATTGCAATTACGCTTTATGGGGATTTTTCGGTGAACAGGAAGAGCGAGACGCATTGATCGGGGTGATTGAGCGAACAGAAGCAATCAATGCGTGGCCTCTGACGAAAGCATACGAGAAATTGAAACATCGATGGGAAATGGCTGATAGTGTTGAATTATAATATCATGCATGCAATCTCACTCAAACACCTCAGATGGAATTCTATGCGAATATCAATTTTGTCTAGCAAAGTTTCAAGGGGACACGCCCCCTTCTGCCATTAATATAGGGCATCCATGCCAAGGCAAGAAACGAATGAATTAGGGCAACCCTAATCCCCAAACCACCGATGACCGACGGCGCGTTATTTCATCCTCTGCAGAAGCTAGCCTCTCTGCCACACTATGGAGCTTAAGCGCAACTCGGCAGGAATTAAACTTTCGACTGAAAAGACGAGCGGCTGCGACCACAACCCCTGAATGGATGGCCCTGGTTGGAACCAGATCCACCGTCTATCTCGACCCACCGCAATCCACGCCATCCCCAGTCGACGAGATTTGAGAAGCAAGCAATGCTCGCGGTGGATTAAAGTGGGGTCACCGCCGCGGCTTTTTCTTTTCCTTTATCTTTTCTCTTTCGGGTCTTTTTCGCTCTCAATTCCCCCTCCCCCGGGCTTCCTGCAGCCTTTTCTTCATACCCCTCTGACAGGGACATCGGAACTCCCATGGCGACATTCAATTCCGATGCTACTTCAGACCTCCGGGATGCCAACTTTGACTTTGTGGTCATCGGCGGAGGAACGTCTGGCTTGGTAGTGGCCAACAGACTAACAGAATGTCGGGATACACGAGTGCTTGTGCTCGAAGCTGGTACCAACCGCTTGAATGATCCTCGTCTTCTCGTGCCGGGGCTGGCTTCCACAACATTTGAGGATCCGAATTTCGATTGGAATTTCAAATCGGTGCCACAGGTATAGCCCAAGCATCTTGGTTTGTAGTTTCCTGAGCCCGCTAACAACACGCGATTCCGTTCATCTCTGCACAGGAGCAATTGAATGGTCGTCACTTGTGGGCAAACAAAGGTCGGACATTAGGTGGATCGTCGGCCATTAATATGGGTATGATTGTCTACCCATCGCGATGTGGTATGAACGCCTGGGAATCGTTAGGCAACCCGGGTTGGGGGTGGGATGCTTTCAGCCCATATATTCGCAGTTTTCATCAAGCAACGGCGCCCTCGGACCAGGTGCGCCATTTTTTCCAAGATATGAAATACGACCACGGCCACCAGGGAAGTGAAGGACCCGTGAAAGTATCATTTGGCGATGAGTATATGCCATATCATACCGCTTGGCTAGAGACGTTCAAGACCCTGGGATATCCCCAGACCGAGGATCAGATCTGCGGCCTCGGCATAGGTCCTTTTGTCAGCCCTGGCGCCGTGGACCCTGAGACACATACCAGGAGCCATGCGGGGGTTGCTTACCTGGGACCAGAGGTTCAGGCCCGGTCGAACTTAAGAATCGTGACAGGGGCTTTGGCCGAGAAGCTTGTGCTGGAACGGCGAAGGGATATTGTGGTCGCCACAGCTGTTCGATTCACCAAGGCAAACCAAACATACACCGTCTCTGTCAGGAAAGAGGTCATTCTAGCAGCCGGAACTACCCAGACGCCTCAGATTCTGGAGTTGTCTGGGATCGGGAATTCCGATCTTCTCAGGCAACACGGCATTACACCCGTGATAGAAAACCCGGGGGTGGGGGAGAACTTGCAAGACCATGGATTTGTTTCATTTGGGTATGAGGTAGCCGACGGTCTACCCTCGGGGGACGTGGCCAGAGATCCCGTGGAGGCTGCCGCTGCGATGGAAGCATACCAGAAGGATGGCTCTGGGCCATTAGGTATGGTGCCCTTGGTATCTGCATTTATGCCATGTGTGGACTTTGCTCCGACAGAAAGAGAGCTGCTGCTTCAAGAGCTCCAATCGTGCATGGTGACCCCGGGAATCCCTCGTGCCCGTGAGAAGCAATATAAAGCACTGTACCGGATTCTGGAGCAGCCTGATGAGCCCACTTCCCAATATATCCTCGCTCCATTCCAGATTCTCCCGCGCCGACGCGAGACTTCGAAAAGTGTTTTTGACTTCAGCCATCCGGGCTTTTTCATCAGCATCGTGTCAATGCTCAATTATCCACTCTCTCGGGGATCTGTCCATTTGCAATCTGCCGATTCTTCCGCCGCCCCGAGGATCGACCACGGAATCCTCCGACACCCACTTGATCTAGATCTGCATGCGCGTCATACAATATGGATCGAAAGGATTGCCGAAACAGAACCAATGGCATCACTACTCAAGCAACAGGGCCAGCGTCTGCACACACCAGAGCGCGTAACGGATTTAGACCGAGCAAAGGAGTTGTGCACTGAACTAGCCCTGTCAACGTACCATCTTAGTGGAACGTGTGCAATGATGCCATATGAAGATGGGGGTGTTGTGGACCCTCGATTGAAGGTACACGGAACTGCAAATATCCGAATTGTCGATGCGAGTGTATTTCCCTTGGTACCTCGAGGCAACATCCAATCCACTGTTTTCGCGGCAGCGGAGAAGGCAGCGGATTTGATCAAAGAAGACATGTACTAGCGGCGTTTTGCTAGCATTTGACTATGAGCGACAGTCGGCATCGATGCTACTCTATGCTTGAATACAGGTTTACGGTAGGTTTTACGGTAGGTTCTCGGCTTACTAGAACTATGCATCATGCGCCCTTTGAGTATTTAATGATTTCAGCGTTTCTGTGGCCTTTTTGACCTCATATCAATTTAGGCTTTGATTTATGAACAATCATGAAGTCCAGTCCAAAGACCAAGCCAAAGAAGATCATACCCCCGTATAATCTCTGAAGTATATCACCAGTCATGGGAGGATGGAATGACTCCGATAGTAGGCCCGGGCGGACAAAACAGGACTACTGAGTGTAGAGGCAGCCATTGGGGTTGGAAGTCTTCTCAACCCGAGCAGCGATGCCAACGCAGTCCTTGTTTCCAGCAGGGTTTGCAACACCTGCAGAGGCCCAGATGCTCCAGGCTCCATCGATGCTGTTGGGACAGGCAATCAGGTCGTTTCCGGCAAACTGAATGTGGTCCTCCTTGATGGCCCAGCCCTTGCGTTCCGAGTTCTTGGGGGTAGGCTGAGCGCCGGTAGTGTAGCCAATCTTACCTTGGCCTATTTCCCTTGCTTAGCTTCATGTATTTCCAAAACAAAAGAAGATAGAAAGAAAGAAAGAACGATGGCCCATACCCATGCCGGAACGGTCAACGAAGATCTCCTGAGGAGTAGCGGACTGGTCGTAGAGGTACAGAGCGCCGTCGTTGATGTAGAAGGTAGCGTCTTGCTCCTTAGGGCGAGCACAACTAGCATTCTGAGAAGGCAATCCAGTAAAAATGCTGCTCTTGGCTGCATTAAAGCCAGAGTTTTGCACACCACTCCCGGAGTGGATAGCAACGAGGCCAAAAGTGTTGGACTGCGCCGCGGGAAAACCAGAGGCAGTAGCGGCAACCAAAGGGGTGAGAATGATGTTCTTGAGCTGCATTTTGAGAGTGGCTGAGAAGTGTGTGGTGGTTTGGTAAGTAAAGATAAACGAGAGGGTAGGTTGTTGAATAAGACACAAACTGGGTTGGATATTCTCAAGCTTTTATACCTTTTTTCGGCCGCATGCTCAAAACTAGGCTCGTTGCATCATCCCACCGCTGGCGTCCACTAGCGACATCGCCAGGGTTGCTGTCTCAAACATCGAGGAATTTCTTTGGGCGGCCAAGCATCATACTAAGCCGGGAGGCTGTCCCGCATTGTCTCAGTAAGGTTCCTATTCTTACTGACATTCATAATTGGGACTTTTAACCAGCAACCTCGGCGGGGAAACGTCCTAGAAGAGCCAGTGTCCCGAGATACCGTGCCCTATCCGATTGCGAATTGGGATACGGATAGTGAATGGAAATGAGCATTGAAACAAAGTGTTGAGTATGCTATATATCTTGCAGTCTGTCATAAGCACTTCCTGCACTGCCATATCAAATTGAACACCATTACGGCTTTCTTCTGAATATCCCGTTCGGGCAAGATTCCGTGTAGACCCTGATGGCCAAGATCTCCACATGTTTCTCCGATCTATCCACACTTTCCAAGTCAACCCCAATCAATCATGTTATCAAGGCCTTTCAACCAGAGACACCCACACTCGCAGAACACCAGGTTTGAAATGTGGCGCCCGGCTGCATCGCCTATTCCGGCTCGGTCCCACTTAACCGACAGAGGAGTTGTCTCAATAATAGTTGTGATGAGGTCATGAGTAGAGAGAGGTTGGTCACGCTATAGTTCATTTAACCTTGCTTGACTGAATGTGATCAACAACTCACCCGATGAAGTGCCGCCATGACACAATGTCCTTATTGTTATCATTATTCAATCTTCTTGGGCCATTGAGACACATCCAACCATATTTCATGCTTATCCTGCGCCGCCAGTACCGCCCTCAAGTTCCCCAGACAACATGGAGTACGGTTCTTGCAGTGATCCCGGGATCAGAGAGTGTTCTTGTCCGTCCTGTGCCATGAGGCCCGGTATGCCCTACCGGCTACGATGAGCCCGATAAGGCATGCCTGCTTTATCTTCAATAAGTTATTGTTGGGCTACCAAGCCATCAACCTCGGGATCCCATCATATATCCGACTCTACACGATTAGCAACGTTGGTCGGATATGGGTAGACGCTACTCGAATGAATCCGCCGACCATATCGCTTGATTTCTGTAGGCCCATGATCAAGTCTACTGCCCAGGATTAAGTTCGTCCCAATTAAATATCCTACTATGGGCCCCAGTAATGATGGCCCGTGGACATGGTATCGACTGGCTTTGTGCGGTGGGAAACTGGGTCCTAAATACCCCAATATCTCGGCGCGATCATCTAGAGATTGCGGTCCATAAATAAAAGGTAAATCTCGAGTAAACACAATAGATGTATATATACAGATTCGCTCTTCAACAAAGTCATGAGAATCTTCGATCATGAGAAATGCAATGCGGGTTCTATCAGACAAAAAAAGGTCCCAGGCCATTTCTATGGGCACCATCGCATGAATAGCAGCGCAAGCCGAAATGAGTTTTATCGTTGCGGGCGGTTCAGGACAAATATACATGACTGCGAGACGGGCCTGCAAACCCCACTCACCGTAGCTTGGTCGAGGCACGGAGTGCGGGGAGTGCGCTCTAAAACCGCTTATTCCGGTGAGGCACAGGTGAAAACACCACGAACGGAGCCGGTCTTGTAGTTGTTGATCTGGGGGAAATGTGAGCAACAGACTCAAGGACGGGGAGGTCAGAGCAATACTTACAATATCATCGATACTCGAGTAAGTTCCTCCCACCAACACCACCAGGCCAATGATCAGAATGACAAAATTGAGGGCCGCCAGCGCCAGATTCTTCGGCTCAGTCCAGCTGCCCTTCCGAACCAAGATAAACCACATCAACGCCGGGAAGTAAAAGGTGAACCCAGAGATGAACAACGCAGACATGAGCGAGAGCAGATCTTCGAAGAAGGGGATCACTTCGGCGACAACGAAGGCGACAATGGTGGCCGCCGTAATGATGCCAATCCACGTGAGCCAGCCCATCGGGGTGTTAACAAAGCGGATCGGGGAATTGGCGAAAATACGGCCGTGGACAAGACGCCCAAATACAACCGTATTGATCGAGCCACTAATAAAGATCACGGGCAAGGCAATTCCGAAAGCGACTCGGCTGAGAGTGTTGCCCGCAGAGAGGAGAGCCGGGCCCTTCACATCCGGGCCAACGAACGCATAGATGGTGGCACCCGTGATAGTGTAGATCACGATCTCAGTGATACCAAGAGCCCAGATCGACTTCACAAAGTCCTTGGGGGTGTGCATTTCTTCCATGAAGGAGAACTGGCAAATGGCAAAGCTGTACGCAAAAATGATGTTGGAAATAGCGATGAATGCCTCCGCAAAGGTTAGCCCTTCCTTTGGCCAAGCCGACCAGGGCACCGCTGCCAGGCCACCGGGCGCATTGGTGGCCTCGACGCCAGTACCAATAATGGTGATACCGATGGCGATCAGAATCGAGGCGAAATCCACGTAACCCAGGATGGCCATTTCCGTGAAACTCGGAGGGACGGCCAGTAACAACAGGATAACGGCAGAAACCACAGCAAAGACCACGGAACAAACGTCACTCTTGGTGATGTTCATAAAGGCGATCGTTCCAGTCAAGCAATGGGAACCCGTCAAAAGAATCAGCATTAAGCTGAGCATGAAGTTGATCAACTCATAGCCAAATCGGCCCCACATAAGACGACCAGCGTCGGCGTAGTGGGCAACCTGGGGGAAGAGCAGTTTTACTTGGCCGACAACATAACTGGTATAGATGGCGATCAGGCCCAGACCCACGCAACAGATGACACCTGCGACCATTCCGAGCTTCGCAAAGGTCGAGGGGATGGACAGACTCCCCAGGGCGATGGCCTCGACAATGAGGACGACGGTGAGTCGCTTCCACCCAAGTCTGTTGAACTTGTTGACACCGTGATCATAGATATTTCGCTCTGCCTCGCTCATCTCACCCACCATGTCCCCATCGAACGGCGGGGGGGCGGCGTACACCTTTTCGTTGTCGGAATCCATGACTTTGGCGGTGTCGTGACCGGTGATGTCGTTGTAACCCATGGTTGGTGGCGGGTGAGAGAGAAGCCGTTCAAGGTGTGAGTGTGGAGGGGATCAAGAAGGCAGGGCGAGGGACTGGGTCTTAAAAGAAGGAATTTTGCGCGCCCGAGCCCACCGACAGACACGCACACAGAGAGACAGGCTCAGATGCGGCGCTATCAGCGAGGCAAATTGCGGATTCCTTTGACTAAGGAATTTCCCGCATGCTGCTTGGGCCGTCTCCAACACGTGGAGTACGACGCTGCTCCACTCGTTTGATCGCCCAACCAACGAGCACTCCGGCTGCGGACGGGGGCTGCTCCACCGACTGCATCCAGACGAATCCTAGCCAACGCCCCGATCCGCACCGGGTGGATGAAATGATAAGAAAGTTCGGCCTTTAGGTAAGAGAAATGGGATACTGGGTCCCTCACGGCCTGAAGATCTCGTTGGAGATGTCATCTGGAGAAATCCCCGCGTCCAAAGTCATTTGCGGGGGAGATCGGGGTGTGAATTAAGCAAAAGGGAAGTGTAACAGCCACCAAGCCATGGAAACTCAGAAATCCAAGGAAAGTCAGGGATGCGAAGAGGCCATCAGAGCTTGTCTTTGCGCCACCAAGGCGATCCCTCGGCGAAAGGGGAGCCAGCGCTGGGCTTATCACGTGGTCACGTGGTGCCACGAATCCTGCGGCTGAATCAGCGTGATAAGCACAACTGCGCGATGATTGGTCAATGAGTGATTGCGAGCAGCTGCCTCGTTCGGCTCTCCCTCGCCTGAGGAACTTGGCTCTCTCGCCACACCAAGTCTTTGCATATCTGCATGGCTACTGGTCTGCATGCACTTCTACGATGATTCTCGTGATGGCATCATGCTCCGATCCTTGGTATAGCTTACAAACTGCCGATCAACCCCAACTCTTCCCCTTGTACCTCTGTACACCTGGGGAAATGAGTGGATCACAGCACTTGGCTCTTCCGGGCCGTCCAAAATGGCGCATCGTTGATTTGTGGGTGCGACCGAGAACAGTCTGGAAGGATGCCCGATGGGTGACAAGTCGGGCCCCCCCCCCCAGCATGCTCCCCCGGCATGGACAGATGGAGAGCCGTGAAGGTTTCCAATCGGTGGCATGCGTGGTTCAGGGATCATCCTCCATCATGGCCCTCGTACGTAATGAGGAACTCTTTTCGACTACCTCGGGTATCACATTCGAGATCCCGTAATGAAATCGTGCTCGATGCCTCTCTCTTTCTCTTTGTCTGTCTCTCTGTGAGCTGCTTCCTCTCGCCCTGAATCCTTCCGGGACCAAATCAATTCCATGTCATCAATGTCAGCTCCATCAGGTCCGTGCGGATCCGTGGCTTGATAATGAACTCTGCCCTGTGCGTGCTTCCAGAACACCATGCGACTCATTCAGATGACCATGTAGCCCCCTCACAGACCCGCCTGTTCAGCGATTGCCTGCACACTTCCTCTCGGACCGAGTGATTGTCGTGGCCAAGAGACAATCCCGGCTCCTGAGCTGAGAATAAGCCGGCTTTGATAAGCACCTCTTCGACGCCCGGCCCCCAGACTTGGGCGCCCTGCTGTCGAGATAAAGGTGGGCCACTCCTTCTAGAATATTCAACCCTTGCAAAAACGCCCGTTCCCGCGATCTTGTTATCAACAGGAGCAAGGATCAGTCACTTCTTGGTTTCCTCAATAAGGAAGTTTCTTCTCATGAGGAACTGGGTTGATTGCAAATCCACTGTCTACTGGCCGGTCGTCCCTCTCGCTCGCCCCATCATCGACATGGATTTATCTGCTTTGAGAGCGTGCTATCCACCCACACACCCACCCTTGATTGAAAGAGCGTCTACGGCGGGAAATCAGCGAGTCTAAGCTAGATACTCCAGTTTAAACCTATCGCCTCCTTTTCCAAACCCAAGGCCCGGTTTTAGTTACTGCTTATCAATGGACGCTCTGAGACAGCCACATCGAGGCAGAAAAGGAAAGAGAAGAAAGGAGCCCATATCCAGGCGACAACTGGTTGATTGACGCTGAAGTTAGAAAAGGGGAGATTGAGATCATACCATTCAACTCATCCATTCATTTCTCTTCCAAAACATGTCACGGAAGAGTAATACAATGAGCCACGGTAGATCGACGCGCCACGGCACTCTTCGGTAGACCTTTCGCCCAGGCAAAATAAATAAATTGCTGGCAGTTGCTGCTCTCTGGTCATCCAGGAGACGTAAGGAGCAGGTTTTGGAGATGAGAGGTTTTCAATGTTTACCCTGCCCTGCGCGACCACGAATCGTCTATTATGTCTAGTCCGAGAAATCCACCACAAATTCTTTCGTCTAGGATTAAAAATGACAAGTTTAGTTGGTATCGATACACACCGTAAAGTCAAAATACCAACGTTTACTGAGCTGCTTGATTTATCGAATGCAGATGCGAATATATATCTCTGTATATCATTGGCAAAACCGTTGGCGGGATGTGCTTCATCAACACCACGAGCTGTATGTCCGACGGTGTTTTTATGTATATACCCAATAAAACACAAAATGAACCTTGGTAGCTTTCCAGTGAAAAATGACTTAGCCAAGCTGCTCATTTTAATCAAGGACCATGTTGACTCGTCTTGGCGCCTCTCAACCCGACGCCTTCAGACACTCCGCAATGGAGTGAGCCACATATTCCACATTACCAGCATTTAGACCAGCAATGGAAATGCGGGAGTTGTCAGCCATATAAATATGGTATTGCTCTGGAGGTGGTTAACATCTCAGCATTTCATGGATTAGGGTATTCCAACAAACCTCGCAATTTCAGGACCACATCAGAAGACAACCCCAGAAAGCCAAACATCCCTGATTGTCGGATCAAGTGCACCCAGGAGCCAGGGACATCTGGTCTGGTCAGCTTTCTGACGCGGCTGCAAGAAGATCAATCGCACGTACCAAGGGAGACCAAGTTGTCATACAATGCCTTTCTCATGGCACGAATTCGACCACTCATAGTGATCAGGTCGTCATACCAGGCCTCTCGCAATCCATCATCTGTCAGGATATTGCTCGCGATCTTAGCCCCGTATGCCGGGGGTTTGAGACCTCAGACCGCTGGAGCATCTCGAGCATGGACTGGGAGTTCGTGGCAGTCTGTTCGGTATTTGTTGCTAAAAGGAAGCACCCAACTCGCTCCCCTATGAATATCATTTGATTAATCAGGTTCTCGCCCGACTGGGTGGTTGCATACCATAAAGCCCCATGTTTTTCGCAAAGGAGAGACACACCCCGGCTTCCATCCTCATTTCCTCGACGAAGAATCGAATGGCATAGGCATCCTCGTCGATACTGCCAGAGTTAAAACCCAAATATGCGGCGTCAAACAGGGGAAACAATCGTCGAGCCCTCATCAGGCGGGCAATTTCCTGCCACTGTTCCTTGCTGGGGTCACACCCGGTCGGATTATGCGCACAAGCATGGAGGATGACCACGGAGCTGGGCTCTGCAGTTCTGAGCATGGCATAATATGACTCCATGTCTACCTCCTTTTGATCATTGTGGTAGTATTGAAAACTTTCACACTGGAACCCCAGCGATGAGAAGACCTGGTAGTGATTGGACCAAGTGGGCGCAGGGATATAGACCTTCGGGATTGGTGTCTGACAGGCTCGCAATAACAGTCCGGCGAGATGGAGTGCCCCCGTTCCCGACAGACTTTGACAGGTCGCTAGCTGACCAGTCCTTGGGTTAGTGATGGGACGACAAGTAAACCGCTGGGATCCCCCAGCCCGAAGCCAGGTTGCCATACTTTACCCTGCTGTGACTCGAAAAGCGATGATCCCAGTGCCATCTTCGCGGCTGCCTGGCGAAAATCTGGCAACCCCAGGATGGGGAGATACTCATGATTCAGTCCTTGCGATAGCAGTCGTTCGCGGCTGGTGTTCACCGAGGGAAGAATCCATGGCTTTCCCTCCTCGTCGCGATATGTTCCCTGGCCCAGATTCACCTTCCTGGAGAACGGATCCGTCAAGTACTGCGCTGTTAAAGCAAATATCGCATCTGCTGGAATAAACTGCGCCTCAGCAAAGTGAGATTCGGTCGGGCTGAGAGTGTGTGTCGTGGCCATTTTGCGAATGCGGACAATGTTCCTGAGACTCCGACGAGACAACATCTCTCATGATGGCATTCTTTCTCAGGTTATTAAGTTGAGACTCCGCATTCTCCAATTCGGCTTGATGACGTCTCGGGGCCAGGGCCCGATACACAGCGGGTCTTGTCCGCACCAGCGCCCCACCACATCGCATGGCCGTCGACAGCATCTCGGGAGAACTGCCGGCACACCCCGCAGGCGCCGAAGAAAAGAGCCTAACCAAGGCCTCCTGTGGATCGGGTTGAGTACCCGAGAGTCCTCGTGTTCATTCAGAGGGTGTTGAGTGCGTTGCAAAAGGCGAAGTATCGGCCTCACTGCCCGAGGATGAAGGATGCGGATTCTCGTGCCCCTCCTTCCCCTTCTCCTTCTCTTGAACCTGACGTGTCTTGGAAATAAATAGAACCTTCCTGCTTCAACGCTTGTCCATTCACTCGCCTCACCCCTGAGAGAGACTGCATCTATTTTTCACCATGGGCTCTCACTCTGCCGTCTCTCCGCAGCCACACATTCCGCCCTCGGGCGTGTGGTGTCCGGCTGTGACCTTCTTCAACCATGAGACCGATACGCTAGACCTCACCTCACAATGCCAATATTTTGCCTACTTGTCTCAGACCGGACTGGCCGGTCTGGTGATCTTGGGAACCAACTCCGAAGCTTTCCTCCTCACCCGCGAAGAGCGCGCGCAACTCATCTCGACGGCGCGGGCCGCCGTTGGTCCCGACTTTCCGCTGATGGCGGGCGTGGGCGCGCACTCCACCAAGCAAACCCTTGAGCTTGCCCAAGATGCCGCTGCTGCCGGTGCTAACTATGCCCTGGTTCTTCCTCCGGCCTACTTTGGGAAAGCCACCAATATGAACGTGGTGAAGCGGTTCTTTTCCGAGGTGGCCGCAAAGTCCCCTCTACCAGTGGTGGTATACAACTTCCCCGGCGTGTGCAATGGGGTGGACATGGACTCTGAGACAATTGCCTCTATTGTGCGCAGGTCGGCCGCCTCGAATGCCAGCGGTCGTTCGAATGTCGTCGGCGTGAAGCTTACTTGTGGCTCGGTCGGAAAGATCACTCGGTTAGCGGCAACATTCCCTCCCGAGGAATTTGCGACTTTTGGCGGACAATCCGATTTCCTAATCGGTGGGTTGGCGGCGGGCAGTGCTGGCTGCATTGCCGCGTTTGCCAATGTCTTCCCCAAGACGGCAGCTCAAATCTACACTCTATACCAAAAGGGCCAGATCGAGGAGGCTAGGAAGCTGCAAAAACAAGCAGCGCTAGCTGAAAGCTCCATCAAAAGCGGGATTGCATCCACCAAGCACGCGGTGGGCAGTTTCTCCGCTCGTCTGGCAGGAATCCCAGACGCCGCTACGAAGCTAATGCCACGCCACCCTTACGAGGAAGTGGGCGATGGGGCCAAAAAGGCCATTCAAGAGGGCATGGCCGAGGTTGCGAGGATCGAGGAGAACCTGTAGCGTGATATTTAAACTGAAGAAATGTTGTGAGTAGCGTGTTTACATGGTCTGCTTTTGCTTCTAATGCTGCTTCTTGTAGCTATAATCGAAATGGGAGCTAGATCACTGAGCTCGGTGCTAAATAATTCCAACTCCGATGCATTTCACATAGTGGAAAATAGGGGTGATTCGTGTCTCCAGCACCTGATCGTACTTCCTGACTCAGGGGCGATTTTGGCAGTTCCAAGGTTATCTCTGATTCCGCCGGAGATTTCCCGAAAAAATACGTCGGTCTTCTCGAAGGTGGCCTGGTCCACTTTCTTTTAAAAAAAAATCATAAAAATAGAAAAGCAAGGCGCTTCGAAGGCCAAATCAACCTCGGTCCTTTTGCTAATGCACATCCATGTCTCTTTGATTCACCGCACTGAGCCTCGGCGATGCCGTCTTCGATTATTGATCCGATTATTGATCGGGCCGATTCTACGAGCCTCAGGAGGCCCCGACTCGTCTTTGTTCTGTCGATGCCGGGCCCAACAATATTAATAGGACACCACGCATTCTCTGCCGTCCCACTTTGGACAGAATCTTTTCCCAAAGAAGCAGTGTATCCGGGCTGAGGCGTTAAATAATCGCAGTGAATATAGCCAAATATGAATACTAATCATACTTATCACACAAAACAGAGATTTACACCTAGAAATGCACCATATCAGTCTCTCTTGTGGTTTTCCCTCTTTCCTTTTTTTTTTTTTCTCTGATTGAATTCAAAATTGAACCCTCCAGGAGTGCAGGCATCCACCCATCTTTCTCTCAGGCCCTAGCACGCATCGATCTTGATTTACATGGCTATCGAGACCCCCTCGGTGGAGGGCAAAGCCCATCATTCAAATCTACCACGCTCTCTTCCATTCTGGCGACTCGTGGCCCAACCAGGCGCCATCACTCAAGAGGTCGCCGATTATCCTTGCGCAGGGTCCGGCACCGAAGAGGATCCGTATGTGGTTCAGTGGATGCCCAATGATTTTCGCAATCCCCTCCAGCTAGGGACAGCGATGAAATGGTTCATTACCCTCATTGCTGCACTTGAGACACTCGTAGTCGCCCTCGTCTCCTCAGCGTATACCGGTGGCGTCGTCCAGATCGAGGAGCAATTCCGGGTGACGACCGAAGTTGCGACATTAGGAGTGTCGCTTTATGTCCTCGGATTTGCACTGGGACCATTGCTCTGGGCGCCGATGAGTGAACTCTTTGGCCGACAGATTGTGTTTATCAGCACCTATTGTGGTTTGACCATATTCTGTGCTGGAACAACCGGCGCAAAAAATATCGAGACTCTGCTGGTGTTTCGGTTCCTCGCAGGGGCATTTGGATCCTCCCCCTTCACAAACTCCGGTGGGGTTATTGCCGATATGTTTATGGCGCGTGAACGAGGATTGGCCCTGTCGGCGTTCGCGTTGGCCCCATTCCTGGGTCCGGTGATTGGGCCTATTGTGGGAGGCTTTCTGGGGATGAAAGCCGGCTGGAGGTGGGTGATGGGTCTATTGACTATTCTGTGCGGCGTGATGTGGTTCTTAGGCGCAGCATTGAAACCGGAGACCTATGCTCCAGTCCTGCTTCGACAACGAGCCCAAACGCTTTCCAAGCTCACCGGCCAAGTGTACCGGAGCAAACTCGACATCGATCAAGGTCAGACCACGGTCAAAGATGCTTTGAAAACATCCCTTTCCCGGCCCCTCGTTCTTCTCTTTAAGGAGCCGATTGTTCTCCTACTGTCGATTTACCTTTCGATTATCTATGGAACCCTCTATATGCTGTTTGGTGCATTTCCTATTGTGTATGAGATCCATCGAGGATGGAACCAAGGTATCTCCGGCCTCGCCTTCCTCGGAGTGATGGTTGGCATGTTCGGTGCCATCGCCTATTCGATCCCTGAGAATGCACGCTATTCGAAAATCCTAGCTAAGAACGGCGGTTACGCTCCTCCGGAAACTCGCCTCCCCCCTTGTATGCTGGCTTCGATTGCGCTTCCAGCTGGTCTGTTCTGGTTTGCATGGACCAACTCTCCATCTATCCACTGGCTAGCAAGCATCGCTGCGGGTGTGCCATTTGGATTCGGCATGGTCTTGGTCTTCCTCAGTGTCTTCAACTACCTAATTGATGCCTACACCATCTTCGCGGCGTCGGTTCTAGCAGCCAACTCTTTACTTCGGTCGCTCTTTGGGTTTGCCTTTCCATTATTCACATCTTACATGTATCAGGATCTGGGAATCCATTGGGCCTCCTGTGTACCGGCTTTCCTCGCACTGGCTTGCGTGCCTTTCCCTTTTATCCTGTACAAGAAAGGATTGACTATTCGGAAATACTGCAAATACTCGGCCCAATCTGAGGCCTTTGTGCAAAGCCTTCTTCAGAGCATTCAGACGGCAGCCAAACCGTCTGATCCGGATCCATCGACTGCATCGGACCCAGCAGACACACGACCACCTCTGCCTTCACAAGAAATTGTTCAGGCGAGGAAGGAACATACTGCGGAGGTCAATTCTGTTCATCAATCCCTGTCGCCGGCTTCCACAGATACTGGGCCAGAGATGCACCGGGTCCCCACATATGAGGCGAATCCTTATGATGTCGATCGTGTACTCACCCGCGAATCCTTTAAATAGTGGCGGGGAGGGCCCAGGGGTTTCACAAGGCAAGGGTTTATAAAGACCAAGAGACGTACTTAGGGAGAGAGTTGATGTCGATATTGCATTTAATAGATAGAAAGCTTGTTTATTAAAATGAGCTCCCACTCCTCCTAGTGATGCGAAAAAAGCATTGCCCTAGACAAGTAACCGACTAAGCCTGTGAGGCTGCTACTAGTTCATCAGATAGACAACCCTGAACGTCCACAGACTGGGAATCGAGCTGGTGACCATATTTCCCCTTCAGCCGTTTAGCAACAATACCCGCAATAGCATCAATTGTGTCCCCATTGAGGATCTCCAATGTGCTGATGTCCACCTCCAACTTCCGACGCAGCCAGCTTCGAATGCCGATGATCACCAGTGAATCCACCCCGAGAGTTGCCAACGGCTTGGATACATCCAGTTCCGTCACTGGAAGGAGCATTAGCTGATATATGTGGACTCCGATTTCCTTTGCCAAGAGCTTGCGTATTTCTTCTTGATCCAATACCACTGGACTTTCTCGGATCGCGTTCATCAGCTTGCCCACGGGGTCGGCGTCAACATTATCTCTGCTCTCGGCCTGAAGTGTGGCTGCTTCTATATTGCGATAAATATCCGCACGGCGATCCTGCTTCCAAAAAACCCGATTGCTTGGGTCATTCATAGGTTTTGTGGCGCGAATCCCCAGGCTCAATTGGCTTGTGATGGTAAAACCAGCGTCCCTAGAGTCTGTTGGAAACCATGCTGTGGCAGGGGACTGCTGATGAAGTGATAGCAGAAGAGCCTCGAAGAAATCCTCCTCAGCCATAAATGGCATGCCAATCAGTTGGAAGTAGTCTTCCACGACTTGGTTCTGGCTCACGTAGCCAACATCGGCCATGGCTCCAATATTGAGAATAGATACCGGAAGGCTATGGGCGTGTCTGTACTGTACAAATGCATCTTGGAATGTATTTGCTGCGCCATAATTCGCCTGATGTGTGATACCAAAAGACCCAGAGATGGACCCGAAAATGACAAAAAAGTCGAGCTTAACATGCAGCAAAGCGCCATGGAGGTTCCATGTGCCCTGAATCCTTGGCAGGAGAACTGTTTTCCATTCTGGATGAGACATCTGGAGAAGGGGGCGATCGCAGAGAACCATCGCCATGTGTAAAACGCCTACAATAGGCTGCCAGGCTTGATTCACGGCCACCTGGACATCCTCGGCGTTGCTGACATCACCTTGAATAATTTGCACTGAGCACCCTTGACTTTGAAGTTCGTCGATAAATCCAGTGTATCTGCAATGGCTGACAGTCCGTGAGAGGTAAATCAAGTGACGTGCACCATGTTCAATCATCCAGGTAGACACCGCTCGTCCTAGGCCTCCAAGGCCCCCAACAAGCAGATATGCGGCATCTGGGTGTAGAGTCGCCTGGAATCGAACTGTACTTGCCGTCCTGATGTCATCTCCATGAGGTATGGACACAACAGGCTTTCTGCGATCGGTGTGTGAATCAGAAACTTGCTTGAGCTGGTCCCACCGTGTAAGACGATGGGGAATCGCTGCTTGCACAAAACCTTTCTTGTACAAGGTGACCGTTTTACACAGAAGCCTGCAGCTAAGTCAAAAGACGGAAGGACTGGGCTTTTGGGTCCCTTACTCTTGGTACAAGTTTGGCAGACTAGAGATATCAACGCCAACAAACATTCGATTCCCCCCAAATGGTCTGCTATCGAGAGCTGCGCACTCTTTAACATGATTGCCTCCTATCTGTATCATCTATTCAAAGGTCAGCGAAGTGACGCAGATTTTGAAATTTGCCGGGACTTTTACCTTTCCACAGAGAGCCACACATTTCCAAGAGGCATGAAGCAGTTTCCCAAAGAGCGTATTCAGAACTACATCGACGCCACGTTGGTTTGTTGCTTGCAGCAATGCCTGCACAAATGACCTTTTGAGCAGGAAGATGATATGAGTGGAGGGGATTCCAAACGTGCCCGTGAGATACTCAGCCTGCTTGTCATCACTCACGGTGCAATAGATCTGCCCAGCCATCAGCGCCTATCTTTGCAGAAGTTCTTTTCGAGGGAATATCCCACCTCAGCACCGATCATTTGACATATCTGTAGAGCTGCCAGACCAATGTCTTCACATGCTGAATGAATCAAGATCGATTGACCTTTCTGTACATTGGCCACTTTGATCAAGCTGTAGATCGCTGTGCAGTACGCAATCGGCATCGTGGCCGCTTCTTCCAATGACAGGAGATCAGGGATAGACACAACATGGTCCGCAGGCAGCACGAGTCGCGTGGAGAGACATTGGGAACCGATCATCATTACTCGGTCCCCCGGTCTGAGTGTATGGACGCCAGCTCCTACGGCGATGATAACCCCAGAACCCTCTTCGAGTGGTGGCAAATCATATCTTTTGTTATTGAAATGTTTCTGTTGGGTCATTAAATCTAAATAGTCTGCTCCTAACGGCAGGATTTTAACATACCTCGGGCCAAAATTCACAGTAACGAGGGCTTATGGCCACCTCACCATGGCCAGGTGGACCTAGCGGAACCGAACTCCAGTATAAATTTCCGTCCGTTTCTTTGCCCAGTGCAAGAGCCTGCGCTTTTGTATGGACCAGGACTGTTAGCTCTTTTGAAACCTTTGTCCAGTGGTACCGAGCGACAAGGACTGTATATTCCTGTATCGCAAATTCATAATCTGGATTCATCAGCGATGCAGTGTCCTGGAACTTTTCAAATACTTCAACCGAGATTCCGCTGACTTCAGGATCGAATTGGTCAATTTCAAGTGTGGCAAAAGATGCTGATAACTCTGCCCGAATACTCCGAGCAAAGCCCAATGTGCAGCCGTATAAGGGATCTTTCGGCTTCACTTGTGCGGAACCCATTATCCACAAAAGTCGAGAATGGCCGACTGAGTGCATGGTTTTTTGCAGTGAAGATAATCCTGTGACCGACATACTTCCAATGAACGGGGAATCCACCTCGAGGAGACAAATGATATCTTGATATGCAGGCACTTCTTCGCCCACAACGCAGTAGTAGATGCAGTAGTCTTTCTTGGTAAGGGTCTTTTCCATTGTTTCAACCGAGTTCGACCCTTTCTGGTTTTCTCTTATGAGAAGGGTGACTCCACGGGCCGCTGAGGAATTTGCCATTGGCCTGGCGATTATGTTCACCCCAATGGCTCGCTCAAAGTGTGGATCATCCTGAACAATGGCTTCAGCCCCAGCAAACCCTGCTGCACGGAGCTCACAATCCCAACGCTCGGGGGTGACGATTGGCTCGCTCGCTCGACCGTCCGCTGCCCCCAACCACCAGCCGGGCAATGGTCCCATAATGATGTTGATCATTTTGGCTGCAGAAGGAATCAATTCCTGAAGAAAGAAATGGCCCCGAGGTTGAAGCAACGTGCGGACATTTCCCAACGTGGTCATGAGGGACTCAGTAGCATGGATCACGTTCGATGCAATAATCAAATCGTAGCTGTCTGCCTCAAAACCCTGTGACACAGGGTCTTTTCCAATATCTAACACTCTATATTCAAGGCCAGGATAGCTAGCAAACCGTTCCTTGGCCGCCGGAAAGAATCCTGATGAGATATCTGTGAATCTGCGACAGTGAGCAAAAGTTCCAAAACATTGTTTTTCTCCCCTTCACCTACGTATATTTTGAGTACAGTCGCTCTCCCAGGATTGAATACAAGGCTTGCAAGGTAACCAGGGTTGTCCCTCCTGTGCCAGCCCCAATCTCCAAGATACGCATCGTCGGGTTGGTATGACCGGCAGAGATGAAGAGCTCCGACGCATCGATGCGATCACCCGTGATGGCATACAAGTCTGTTAATCCATTGTTACGCAGATAAATATCTAGTATTTGGGATTCGCCTCGAAAGACTGGGATGCAGTAATCGAGTAATCGGCTCAGTAGCTCTGCAACTGGCGCGAATTCAGAGTGCTTGAGCTCGGCTTGTAGGTGATTGATCAATGCCAGACGGCTGTTCAATTCAAGCTTCAAGATATTGGCACTGTCCACAATAAGCTCATTCCCCCCGTTCCTCCTTCTTCGACGTGGTGGTCGAGTCAATTGCGACAGCTTTCCCAAAGGCCCTCGACGGGACATCCATCTTCCAGAAGTCGCCGCTGAATCTCGGCAGCGCAGAGCAAACCGTAAGTCTCTATTCGTCTCAATGCAGCTGGATCTTGTGTTCGAGAAACCATCAGGTTGGCAAGAGAAATAAAATCCATATCGGGTCTCCAGCTTAATCGAGCAGCAGCAATCCGATCATCCTGATTGTCATTAGGTGGCGTCTCGACCATTGACAACTGACATCCTTGAATTGACAGGAGAACGTGTTGGTTCTCTGCTGCGATTATTTGGCCTCGAAGAGTGCTTTTGTTCGCACCACAATTTGCCACGGCATGAAGAGGAACTGGCTGTGGTACCTGTCGGGGATGAATATACAAGCTGTCGATTCCAGTTGGCAGGAGGATATGCCGGAAACGGCGCGGTAAGCCTTCTGCTGTCGCCAAGCCCAGGAGCTGAAGACACTGGTCAATAGTCGTCGGATGTAGGGCATAACTTGAGCTTGTGACCACGGGAGGGCCCAAGGTAGCGGCGGCGGTTTTGCCTCTGGGCATTGCAGATACACAGCTAATACCTTGGAATGCTGGACCATAATGGAGGCCTGCCCCGTCAAACACACTGTACGGGGAATGCACCTTCCGAGGAAACTCGGCAGAACTAGGCACAATCAGCTCAACGTGTTCATCTCTGCCCCCTATTGCTTGTCCTTGACAATGTCTGGTCCATTTCTTGCCATTGTAAGACGAGATGGTGAATTCAAACCACTGGGGGCCGGAAGATGCGGTCCATGGTATTAGTTTCAGTGAGGTTACAAGCTCGACTGGGAACTCATCCTGCAATACCAGGGCGACTGAAAGTCCCGAATGGTAAAGTCGTCCCAGTGTACAACCTGTTTAATTGCCTCCCCAATCATGGCGATGTAGCCCGCACAGGGGAACACGATATCGTCTATCACCTTGTGGTCCTCCAACCATGCGGCATCTCTCAATCTTAGCATGTTGCGCCAAGTGGGCTCCAAATCGTTGCCCTCGAGAATGCGTGATCCGAGTAGTTCATGTGGCGGATAGGGTCTGGTTCTCCTGCCACTATTGTCAACCATGTTGTCGATAATGAATGCACCGCGAGGTTAAGCGCTCACCATTCTCGCACAACTCGGCTTTCAAGCAAATGAGACTCTTCATGGTTCCATGGATAAGGGGGAAGGTCCGTCAAAATGGGCTCTTCTGGAAGTAAAGCTTCCCGGCGTATGAGAATGGCTTGCAGATACAACTGCCCTAACATTTCCAAGATGCATGACAACGCATTCTGGCCGCGCATCAGAGATTCCTGGTACATCAATTGGTGTTCTTTTTGATAGCTGAAAAATATTTGACGAATTGGGCTCGCCAGTGCAGCATGCGGTCCGATCTCCAAGAATAGTTGGTCGCCATCAGGGCGAGCAACCATGGCCCTGACCGCGGCAAGGAATTCCACTGGGGACTCGAGATTTCTTCTCCAGTACTCTGCATCAAGAGATACGCTGGTAGACGACTGACCTGCCACACTGGAAATAAACTGGATGGTAGGAGGCTTTGCCTTGACGAAGCGTTGCAGGTGCGTCTCGTAGATGGAACCCAAGTCCTTCATATGATGGGAATGGTATGCGATGTCTGTTTTAAGGAAACGAACAAAAGTAGTTTCGTCATCTAATTTAATTTGTTCGATTGTCTTTACAAGTGCCTGCTTGTCGCCCGACAGGGTGATGCTGTTCGGGCTATTCTCGCACGCAACAGAAACCCCGGGTTCGAGGTAAAAGAATGCCTCGGTGCGACTCATTCCCACAACCGCCATGGCACCAACTTGCGATATGTGAGCAACAACGAGAACTCGGTAGTAAGCAATAATTATAGCTTCATCTGCCGTTATTGCCTGGGCAGTGTACGCCGCGGCGATCTCGCCACTGGAGTGACCGATAACTGCAGATGGAAAGATTCCCAGCCGGTGGAGAAAATTGACCAATGCCACTTGAAGAGCGGTGCAGAGTGGCTGTGCAAATTCCGCCTTGTTGAGCCGGCTCTCCTCATCGTTGTGGAGTAGCTCGTTAAGCAGTTTCCAGGTTGGAGGATTGGGCAGTCGAGCAAGCACAGTGCTGAAGTGCTCCAAATCTGCCTTGAATTCCGGGAAATGGTACATGAGCTCTCTTCCCATGCCTAACCACTGCGCCCCTTGGCCTGTGAAAACAAAGTTGATATATGGCGCTCTCTTCCCTCGCCGCGCGGTCGATATATCGCCTAGTGTCACCCCATTGGCAATGCAAAAAGCTCGATGGGGTAGATGATCCCTGCGATGTGCGAGAGTGTATGCCAGAGCTTGTATACAATCTGGATGACTTTTTGCATATTTCTGGATGTCTGTGAATCGCTTATCGAGCGACTTGGTGCTGTTCGCTGACAAAAGCAACAGTTGCGGTATGCGCCCCCCGGTTCGCATCATTTAGTTTGACAATCTTCCTGTGCAGTCCGTTCCATGTCGGAGACTCCAAAATAACACGGGCATTTGCGCCGGTGATGCCGAACGAGTTGACACTGATTCTCTCAGGTCGACTGGCTGGCCAGGAAACGGGCTTACGCGGCACGACCAAGCGAGCATCCTCAAATGGAATGCGAGGGTTTGGAGTTACAAAGTTGACTTGGGGTGGAAACATCTTATTCTCCAGTGCCATGACAGCCTTGATAATGCTGGTGAGTCCCGATGCTCCCTCGCCGTGCCCGAGATTGGCCTTGACGCTCCCAACGTATGTCTCTTGTTCAACGCCAAATACATTCGCAATGGCTTGTAGTTCGAGAGGATCACCAGCAGGGGTTCCAGTTCCATGCACCTCAATGAATGGTGTATCGGCGATGTTGGAAATCCCAGCAGTGGCGTATGCTTGTCTGGTCAGTTCCTCGTGTGCGTCCGGGTTGGGAACGGTAATACCAGCACTTCTGCCATCCGAGTTGACTGCGGTGGATCGAATCACCGCACGGATAGGGTCGTTCGCAGATACCGCATCACAGAGTCTTCTGATCAAGATTGCATTGATGGCTTCCCCGCGAGCATATCCATTGGCCGACGCGTCAAATGGCCGGCATTCGCCCGTCGGTGATAGAACCCCGGCTTCGGTTTGAGCAATGGTTTGGGTGGGTGTGAGAATCAAGTTGGTTCCGGTAACAATCGCCGCGTCACATTCTCCGCTGGAAAGCGCATGGCAGGCATGCAGAGTGTGTTAGGGGTGATTTATTCAGACGTTCATGGGTCATTTACCTACTAAATGAAGACAAATCATGGAGGCACACGCCGCTTTGATGGTCATGCTGTCAAGGTCAAATGGCGGTCAAAAAGCCTGATGCTGCGAAGAATTGCGTACAGGCAGTCAATTTACCTTGGCCCTCGGAGGTCGTAATCATACGAGACTCGATTTGAGATGGCAAAGTCGCCAGCCCCCGACACATTGGCGATGCCTCCGCTCTGCTGTGCATCTTTCGCAAGCCGATCCAACCAATCCTCATCAACTCAGCAATGATCATTTCACGGGAGAGAGGCATCTTACATCACCCCAAGTTCCAACAAAGACCCCAGTTCTAGTTCCGTGCCACCCACGTTGGGCTCCGTTTTCCATACATTCCCAAACAACCTCGAGCAGCATGCGCTGTTGCGGGTCAAGCTTCTCCAACTCGGCCTTGCTCATGCCAAAAAATGACGAATCCAGAGATTCGATTGCATCTGACTCGTCGAGAAAATGGCCAAATTCCACTCCAATTGTTCCCACTCGTTTCGATGCCGAGTAGAACCCACGCGGGTTGTATCTACTGATCGGAATGGGCCCTCTGGTATCTGCCCCGTTTACCAATAACTGCCATAACGATTCGGGTGAGTGGATCTTGCCTGGCAGCCTCAATCCCATCCCCACAATGGCAACTGGCTCTCGAATTGGCATGTCGTCCTGCAGCGGCTCTGTGGGAATCGCCATGGTATCTATCAGTGCGCTGTATGATGCAAGGTGAGATCATGGTCATTCTTTGGTATCTAAGAACGATACCCCTTGACTTCTATCAATCTCAATTTAGCGGAAAATCCGCCGAGATCTCCGGCTTAGCTTTTTTTTCCTTTCGCGTTTTGGGGCTTTTAACCAGGGTTTAAGGAAGCTTTTCGGGAGCTTTCAGTCCTGCACCAAGCAGAGTCCCTCAATGGACGACAACAGGGGAGATCCGGCTATCGTTCAAGCACCTTGGCAGAGGATTTATGCAACATCACAGTCACGGTCACCTCGGGAAGAAGTCGGTGTAACTGGGTACTTGCTTGGAGATGATCGTGACCAGCTATCAACAGGATCATGCAATTTTTCCTTTTTATATAGCCTTAACATAAAATTGCCGCTCATAGAGTCAATCAAAGCTGTAGAAGTGAAACCACGCGGAGCAAAGTAGTTATAGAGCTGGGTCATCGCGGATATCGAATCCAAGCGGTCGTCGTCCCAATGGCGTCCAAGGAAGATGTAAAATTCCAAACTCTCGATGGGTTCTTCCTTGGAGGACGTTTGTATCCTGCTGCTCAAAGAGGCCCTGCAATTATTTTGACCCCGGGTGTAGGTGTGTACTCCCAATGGACCCGCGCCGTGATTGACGCAATCCCAGTACAACACCATCGTCGAGAACTTCCCGGCAGGACTAGAGCAAGAATTTCAAAAAGCTAACATTACGGCACTGTCTTATGATCCACGCAGTACGGGGGGCAGTGGGGGTCTTCCGCGCAACGACATCGATCCATTCAAGCGGGTGGAAGACTATTCGGACGCACTCACCTACCTTAGTACGCTGCCCATAGTAGATGCCAACGCAATTGTCTTTTGGGGAGTGTCACTGTCAGCAGCAATCGTCCTGGCTGCGGCGTCTGTTGATCGGCGCGTCGCTGCCGTCATCTCGGTTGCACCGGTCTTCGACTATAAGCCCATGCACGCGCTCAGCCCTAACCAGCTCAAGATCAAGATGATGAAGGATCGCATGTCTCAAATGCTGCATGGCCATCCACAGTACATGCTGTCTATTGCCGCGTCCCTCGCCCAGGTGCCATTCAAAGCACATTTCACCAGTAACCACAGTGCAATAGAGCATCGAAGAGCCGCAGCACAAACACCTCAATCGACGAAATACCCTGAGCAGGATGAGCCCCCGACCGAGCATGGAGCCATAATTCATACGAAACAACCATGCAATCATACTATCGTATGTTCCTCTTCGAACCGGTGCCTGAGGGTGTTGTCCACTCCATTTCCCCGATACCTTTGATGTTTGTGACCCCCGAGCTGGATCAGATTTCACCCCCAGAGCGACAGAGCGCCGTCTTCAAGGCTCTTCCTGGCCCAAAGCGACAAATCTTTGCCCCTGGGAAAGAACATCTGTTTGTCATGCACGGTCCCGAGATGCCCTCGCTAGTCCGCAGTCAGATCGAGTTCATCTGGCAGGCTGTGCGAGGCCATCTGAAACCGACTCCACGAGGGCCGGATCCGACCTGGTGTTAGTGGCTTGTTACAGCATAAGTGTCAAATTGACCGGTCTGTATCACCTCGACGGATTTCCATAGTAGACCCAGGTCGTGATATATGTAAATTTCCTGCAGCGTTGAAATACTTGGTGACACATTCAGCCCTTGTCTGTCATCCGCTGCATAAGCAGTGTCCCAGGATTAAATTGTGGACTTTCAGGGGGAAGTGGAAGGTGTCGAAGCCACGGTTGATGTTCGACGCCATGAAGAGTCACTTGGTCTCTGTGCTTTCGGGCAGTGCAATCTTACACAATATAACCATCTAAATGGCATCCTGACTGCTGCATCGTAGATCACATTCAGGGGAACCACCGATATCCACATCGTGATCCACTTGCGGGGTGATCGCCCCTGCACGCACAAGGACGATCATGGTTTAAAAAGTGGGCATCGTGGACAAACAGATCAATTGAGTCCAATCTATAAACATGAAATGGTAGAACACAGCGTCTTCCGGTCTTCCAGTGTGCCGCATCTATGCTTGTGTCTTGCCATATCTCTGTATATCCAAGGGTCTCTTGGCAGTCGCAAAACATGGGTATCAAAAAGGGGGAAATGCACAAGGCATTTAATGCGCTCCGTTGGTGAGCCCGTTGGTCACTCCGTTGGTGACCCCATTGATTGAATCCTTGTGGATGCCCTTGACCTTCTGCGGAGGAACGCCCGGTGGGACTCCGTTCGAAATACTACTCTTCTTGCGTGGGCGGGGAGGCGCCGTCCAGATGGCACCATCGTCAAGCAGGGCTTGGCCCATGGCCAGGGATTTGGACGGCGTCTCGCCCAGCCACTGGGCCTCGAGTCGGTCGATATTCTGTTCGATTTCCCAGGCCCGACCACCCTCGACGTACATGGATGTGCCGTTGAGGGACTGGTCTGTCAGCACGCCCGCAGCCACGCTAGCAACTTCCTGTGGAGTGTTGCTGGGGAGATTGGCCTGCTTCCATTGCAGCTCAATCTTCTTCATGCTGTCCGTCTGTGTGATCCAGGGACAGACGGTGTTGACGCGCAAATTGTGCTTATAGGGGGAGGAAATATAGGTACGCAGGGAGCGCATGAGACCGGTAACGCCGTGTTTCGCCGCCTGGTACACAAACAGCGACGGGCTTTCCTTGAATCCGGCCATGCAAGAGAACAGGAGAATGGACCGGTCGACATCGGGGCCGCGGTTGTGCCGGAGGTAGACGGAAGCGATTCTCGAAACGTACATAGAGCCGAGCAGGTTGACGTCCAGCACTTTGTGTGTGGGGGTCTTGATCAAGATGGTCACTTTCTGACGTTCCTACGAGCCAGATTGATGCGAGACAGCCGAGTCTGCTGTCCTGCACATGAACGGACTTACCTGGCGGATCGTTTGCATAGTGAGTCCAAAGTCAAACCAGTTACCGATCTCTATAATGCCAGCCGCCGAGACGACGTGGTCGATGCGACGGTAGGTCTCAAAGGCCAGGTCAAACAAGGCCAATACCGACTGGTAGTTGGTGACATCGGTGGTCTGGAAGACGACCCGCGGGGGCATGCCCTCCTCGGCGGGGTGAAATTGGTCCTGAGAGATACGGAGCAGACGCTCGCCGCTGATGTTGTCAAGATCCCCGAAACAGACATTGGCGCCGCTTTGCAGACACTGCTGAACTAGACTGGCACCAATGCCATTGGCACCTCCTGTCCCGTTGTATGTAAGTCAAAATGTGGGCAAGGGGGGGGGGTGGAAACGGGAGCCATACCAGTAATGAGAACAACCTTATCAAGGAGAGATTCAGCGGAAAGCCTGGGAGTATACTGCGACATTGGGAGAGGCAGGCTTGTGGAGATCCAGCAGTGGGTCAGTCGTGATGTTGTATGTATAGAGAGGCCAAGTCAAGAAAGGGCTATTGGGCAACCCCCGACACGCGTAGATAACGGACGACATTTTATAGAACATCAAGCAGGGAGGGAGGGGTCGAGGCGCGAACGGACAGGCTGAGAAAAATGGCGCAGACGGCTCGGAACCAAAGACTTGGCCATCCGATGGTGCTGGGGATGGCATCATAGACGGCGCCATACGGACACTGCCCTGTTTTGGACACGACGGAGAGGGAGGGAAAGAGAAGAGTACTCCAGCCGAACGCTAGCAAAGTAATTTCTCCATCCAGGGGCTCCCAGCGGCAAATCAGCAACGCCGAGGGCTTGCCGACTTTTGGTCGAGAGAGTCCATCCGTCGGTGATCGGCATCAAACAATGCGGGGGAGACACGGGCAATGACGCTAGAGATGCATAGAGAAAAAAAACCAGCGATAGATCCTGCGAGAAATCCGGTCTGCTATCGCATAGTTGGTGCCGATCATTCCGAAGAGGCCATGAGTGGCCCCATCACCCTGGCTGGTCATCCCAGGGTTTGGTCGGATGGCTGTCCTCCGAGCATCCCTGAAGCGTCACATCGTAGAGCAAGCCACCAAGATAGACAGACAAATCACATGTATTTTTTGGAAATGCATCGATAGATTAAGTTCCGATCAAAACACGACAAGATTCCTCAAGAATTCCCAACCAATATACAGAAGATCGCTTCACGATCACAAACATCAAAAATATGCCATCTCCCCCGGGGATATGCAGACGTGGGCATAACGAGACCTTCTATGCCGATTCTAAACCAACAATAACCAAAACTCAAGGAGCACATGAGGGGGACATGGTATATACACAAAGCCAAGCTGGGTCGTCTACCGCCGGGAGACACAGCACAGGATGCCGGACTTGCCCAGGAACCAGAGAGACCCGAAGAAGCGGAACATCGACAAACCAGCTGTGGTCCATAGGATGGCAGCGAAGTAGCCAGACGTACGCGGCGTCGACGTGTTCTATGGGCGAGAAATTAGCGACAAGGTCAAAACACAAGTGTCAAAGGAGAACCTTACCGTGAGACAGAACTGCCGAACGTTCGTGCTGGTGATACACAGCGAGAGGACCAGATTACTGAAGATCCACAGCAACACGAGGTTGGTACGGAAGGCCTTGTACGAGTCATCCAGGCTCCGTTCGTCCTTCTCCTCCGGTTCCACAAATGGCGCCAGCGCCCGTTTCACCGTCGCCTCGAACTGGCTGTCAATATCAGCCTGCGGTTTGTCCACTTCTTCGATGAAGTTCGACTTGGCATCATCCTTCTTGGTCTCTGCGACAGGCAACGAGTCACCCTTGTCGGATCCTTTCGTACCCCAGGAGACATCGTGCCAGTTGCAAAAAGCGTAAACCATCAAGATGTTAATCGAGCAAGTCATACCGCCAAAGTAGGCCCAGGAGGAGGTAAACATATGCCAGGGATCCATGTACAAGAAACTGGCAATGAAATACACCCCGTAGGTCGAGACCAAGGCAATCAGGACGATACCACCGCCGGAGGACTTGAAGAAGGATTTCAGGAAACCACCAATGCCGTCATGGAAGTTGAAATCCATGGTGCCTCCGGTAAAAGCATTCTTGACCAGGTAGAAAGACAAGACCAGGATATAGCATTGAACAATACTGAAATATGCGAATGAGAGTGTATACGCGACGCGTGAACTGAGTGCGGCGAGTTAACTTTGGAGCGCAGAAGCAGCATTCTTGGGAATGACTCACCCTTTGGGCCGATTTCCCAATGCCAGAATAAATTGCAGCATCAGGAAGAAGACGTAACCATATTTCAAGAAGTTGTTCAAGATAGGCGTGACATCGTTGCCAAAGGGCCAAGCATGATTCTTGTTTGCAGTACTCGCAGTACCCACCAGATCCATGATGACCGAAGTAGTCAGCCAGTACGATGCTGTAGGAGGTTAGCGACATTCGCGAGGCAGAAGATAGAACACATACCAAGAGAAAACCAAGTCATGATAAGACCAGCACAGTTGTAGATCATTTGCACATGAAGGAAGAAGAGCCGAATGAGGTTATGACCGCTCTTGTAGATCCGACCAAAGTGCATGATCGCATACAAACTGGCAGCGAACGAACCGTTGAGCCACCGACGACGCTGACTGATGTATTCCGCCGAACCCTCCGGCACATCAGTCTCACCCTTGGATGCCTTGACGTAGGTAAGATGCCACTTGAACCCGGCTTTGGCCACCAGCTCGAAGCACAGAATACGGTCTTCAGCAAGGAACATGTTCTTCTTGAAGATATTCATGCCCTCAATACCCTTCTTACCCAGCTGTTTCGAGAGGGTGTGATCACCGTGGAAGTACTGCTCCAGAGGCCGACCCATGATAGCGCGGTAACGGTACGCCGAGAAAGCACCAGGTAACACACTGACATACCCGAAAGCACTCTCCAGGGGTTTGTCGAGAATATTAGAGATCTTGTACTCGAAGTTTTGCGCGGCGACCAGAGGATTCACAAGGTTCTTCCATCCTTGGCCCAGCATAGCATGGATTTCACCACAGGACCCGCCCAGGTTCTTATCGTTGTAGAAAGACTCCCACAGGGCCAAAAGGGATTTCTTGCCCGGCTTGGTTCCGGCGTCAATCAAGATGACCACCTCTGGATTCAGAATTCGGCTGAAGCCATTAAATAGCCAACGGTGCGAGTTGATTTTCTTACTGTTCTTTTGCTTGAGACAGAACATCATCTGGACAGGTGGGAGGTTGGTGGATTCGTTGCCCTGGGGGCGGATCAACTGCTGGTTGGAGGTGACAGAGAGCTGAGTGGTGTATTCGAACTGGGATGGGTTAGTCGATCTGGTTCGTCGGGCTAGGCATAGAATAACTCACAATGTGAGAGACGGTTTCTCGGCCATCGACGGACCGTTTCATGATTCCGTCCTGATAGATACCGATCGTGGCCAGCATATCCAGGGTGTTTTTGTCACATGGATCGATTCCATCGAAAACCAAGCAACACACGATCTTCTGCCAGGCCGGTCCACCCTTGTTCCAGAACTCCGACTTCTTCAAATTGACAATATCCCGGATATTCTGCATGACCCCATGAAGTGTTCGTGCGGTCAGCACCTTGTCTTCGTTGTAATAGGTGATGGCGATCAGCAATTCGGTGTGTCGGTTGTACATGGCAGGTCGCAAATTATAGCCGTTTCGGAGGGTGAATTCGTCCGGGTCACAGGTGGCCGCCGTGTCTGCGCGCGGGTTAGCGTTGATCAGAGAGACTTGATTGAAGGGAGATTTACAGCGCAGGTGGGTAAATTCTTCCGGGAATCCTTCTTCGGACTCGCGGTATTCCTTCTGGATCGCGTTCTGGATCGCACTGGGCACCGGGTAGTCCACACTCAGAACCGAGCCCTGCACCAGCTTGATCTTTCGGGTGGCATAGCGGCGCAAGCCAGAGCCCGGCGCCTGGCGTTGCTGCCAGGCCTCGGACGGAGTCTCCGACATGGGCGATGCGACCCCCGACCGACGGTTGAGTCCGCCAGCGGATTCCTGGTAAGGTCCATCGGGGAAAATGGTCACGCCCGGGTCGTGCAGGGTGTAGCGGCGCAGAGAATCCGTCGAGGCATAGGGGTCATCGAAGGGGGCGTTGAACGGGCTGGGTTGGTTGCGGTAGAGCAGGGACTGTTGGCTTTCGGCATGCTCATTCTTTTCCTCATAACCATACGCAGGCTGGATGAATGGTTAGATGGTTAGTCTTCCGTCTTCCGTATTACCCGCCTGTTGTGGGCCGATCACTCACGTCGCGAGGTGCATTCTGGGAGAACAGGCTGGTCTCACTGGCCTGGGGCGAGTGAGGTGAATGGGGAGAATGAGGAGACGTTGGCCTGGGGTGACTCATGGTGGACGACTTCCCCGGCGAACGGGTGTGGATGGAGGAAAGACGAGATCAAGGTGGAAGGGGGACAAATGGCTGAACAATAGAAGCCCGACGCAACCATCCGGGAGGGAATCGAGACAGGGCGTTCAGGCGATCTGTCCACACAGGATTGAGACGAAGTCGACTCACACGCAGCTTCACCAAAAGGGAAACAATAGAACAAAAGAAAAAGAGAAGAAAGATGGTAGGTTATACCTCAGAAATCCCCAAGTATCTTTTTTTTTTTTTTTTCGAAGCACGCAGGGTGCCAGGGAGAGAGATGGGGATATTTTTGGGTGCCGTGGTGATTGGCGTAGCAGCGTGGGCTGTGAGAAACGGGCCCATCGCGTCCACAACTGTTCGCCCTTGGGGGGTCCACCCTGGCCACGTCTGAGACACTCTTCATCTTCATCATTTTCTGTGGCCTCATCGAATCATGCACGTCCTACTCCCAGGGTCTCTGACTGGTCCTTACACAAATATCCTCCCGGTTGAATTGGTGGCTGGGGGAATTCAAGCCATCCCAAGTATCTCTAGCCTCTAGCATCCCCAGGGTCAAGTATTCCTCCCCCCTTCCGGGATGAAACGGGGCCTCGCGTTGTGCCAAGACCATCGTGGCGTCGATTGCCGCAGCAATCGTGACGATGCGGCGTCCGGGAAATGATCGGCCGTGTCTGTCCAAGGGGGATGCATCGATTCTGCGAGGATCCACCCCTGCTCCACCGGTGGAAGTGTGATTGGGGAATCCTTTGAGAGAATCCTCCAAAAAGAAGAGAAAAAAAAAAGAAAAAAGTTTCAGGAATGCCCCGGTCACCTGACCACCCGGCCATCGAGAGACATGGGGCTGTAAGATGCCAGAATTAGCATGCAACGGTGTTATTCCAATGGCCAGGTTGAGAATGCCGGGAAGGGGGGAGGATTGGCAGGCGCAGTGGATGCTATTTTTACTTGGATCCATCTTGATGCTTATATCTACTTAGCTAGTATACCTAGCGCATCTATGGATTTGTTGACATCGAATCACGATTATTATTTTCTTAGGGCTCCATCAAACAGGAATTGATTCTTTCTTTGTTCTCTTCACTGTAACTTGCTAACTCTCCTTATGCATCTGTTCAGGTAGAGCCTCGTCTGTTCAGCCATCTCCGACCGAGGCAATGACTCGAATACACCCCAACACACCTGGGCAGGAGATGGGGGCCATTGCGCATTCCCATAGTTAGTGCTACCTCTATTGTGGGATATTCACGTGGAGAATTGACTACTCAGGTCTATTCCGTCGTTCGTGGCTTCGCAAAATACAGAACATCCATGGATGTATACTCCTGCGTTGCCTCTCGGGGTCTATTAGCCCGAGGTCAATCCGGGGCAAAAACAACCGTTCTATGCGGGGTAGAAGAGGGAGGAAGCAGAGGATCTACATGGACTCGTGGCACTCTTGTTCTTGTTGCTCTGATATTTTTTATTCTTGATATTCCACTCATCATGCCAGTCCAAAAACCCGGCTTTGACTCTCTGCCTCTCCGTAAAAACAGGCCCCGAGACAATGCATGGGGGTTGTTCGGTGACCAGGACCAGCTGGGGATGCTCAACCGGTTGAGGCCAGAGAATACCGCGGGTGCCGCTCGTGAGATTGTTGATGGAGTGCGAGTTTGTACAATTGGGCTCTGGACAGCATGGCAACCCCGTGCTTTGGGCGGTCTGCCTTGGAGCATACGCTCAAGAATAAGGCTCCTCGTCCGGTCAACGATGACATCTGGGTCTTGAATACGCAGTGTAGTTCGCTGTGGGACGGGTTTCGGTACTATGGATCGAAAGAGGGCACCTACTTCAATGGCTGTCCCTACACGACATTCAAATCCCGATGCGCAATGGCATCCACGGTGAGTTCAGGCCCAGAGGCTCTAGTCTTTCGGGCTAACTAACTCCCCCATAGTCTGGGTCGAAAATGGGGGAGTCGTCGGACGAGGCGTGCTCCTGGACTATGCAGCATGGGCTGAAGCCAATACAAAACCGGTGAATTGCTTTCAACCGCAGTCCATTCCGGTCTCGGATCTTCAAGAGGTCGCCGCCAATCAAAACGTCATCTTCCGACCTGGCAACATCCTGTTTGTTCGAACCGGTTGGACTCGCGCATATGAGCAGCTTTCGTAGATGGAATGCCAGCAGCTTGCCGACTATGCGGCGCCCCCGATGATCGGGGTCGAGTCGTCTGAAGGCATGCTCCGCTGGATCCGGAGCCATAGCTTTGCAGCCGTCGTAGGAGACATGCCCAGTTTCGAGGCGTGTCCGTGCCAGAAACCGGAGTTCTTTCTGCATTAGTGGCAGCTGGCGGGCTGGGGGCTTCCCATCGGCGAGCTGTTTGACCTCGAGCATCTGAGCCGGGCGTGTCGTCGGAGGGGTCGCTGGAGCTTTTTCTTCAGTAGTGTGCCGCTGAAGGTCCCGGGAGGCGTCGCCAGTCCCCCCAACGGGATGGCCATTCTTTAGTGGAAATCAGGGAATTATAGGAGTTAGCCAGATTTGTAGGAATAGCGACAGCCCGTGAGACAATCATAGCCAGTGTGGATCCATTGCTGGATGCGATGGCGTAGACGATAAAACCCCGTCGGGCCGATGATAAGAGAAACAAATGTGGGGAAGAGAGCCTCAGTCGTCTTCCTCCTCACTACCTCCCCACGGCCAACCGGGACTTGGCTTCCTCCCCCGCCAATATGAGAATTCTGCGTTGAAATGGTCCATGGCAAAGGCATCTCTCGACGATCGGAGGATCGGTCAGCGAGACGGTCGATGGTGGCGTATGGAAATTCTCCCCGGCGAGACTCACCCCTCCAGCTGATCGCCAGGCAGATGCAATCGATGTCGTAACCGCAAAACCCGCTGTGCTGGCACGCCCCCGCTACCCTGTCCAGCTTGCGTGGATGCTGGCCATATGTGCGTGTACTCAGAGGCGGAGAAACGCGTGTCCATCACAGAAAGGTCCGTAGCAATTCCCACCACTCGAGAGAGGCCATGCTGATGATGCTCCCAGCTACTATCGTCAACTACAGTCGCAAGCACGCAAACTGCGAGGTACGTTTCATTCGATCGGGGCGTGAGTTTGTCTGACAGGGGTACAGACGGGAACCACTCTACACCACCCAGCGCTCCGTCGACATCGACCTACTACTCCGATGGTGGGGTGCCATCGGAACGGGATGACTGGTGGTACAATGGGACTGATAACTTGTTCCTGAACCGATCGGGAGAGCATCGTACGCACCCCTTCGTTGTGTGTGTGGCCTGTTTACCGGTCCTGGACTAACGCACCCTCCTAGACTTCGTGGGTGCCTCATCCACCACCCATCTGGCCAAGCGCCTCAACCCAGGCTCAGCAAATTTTGCATGGGATGTCCGTCCACTCTACGATGATCCATTGTCCCTCCGGCGGTCGGTGGGCGGAGCACTCCCACAATTACCCCCCTTTGAGTTCGCCAAACGGCTCTTTTGGGTGCAGTATGCCTACATCGGAACCATCTTCTCATTAATTCAGCCCTCTGGGTTTGAGGAACGGCTGGATTGGGTATACCACCAGCCGCCAGACTTTTCGCACCGCGAATCCTGTTTAGTATACTGCCAAACTTTGTTGGTCATAGCCTTTGGTTTGATGTATTCAGTAAACCAATGGTCAGGCGATGACGGGCCACCAGGTTTCAAATATTTCAAGCATGCATTGCGCTTTTTGCCTGACATCCACGAAGAAGGCTCGATCTTCTTCGTGGAGGTGCTGTGCTATGTGGCATACTACATGCAGAATCTGAACCGACGTGATGCCGCCTTCCTCTATGTATGTTAAGCCTCCCTCCCCTCGCAGGTTACATGTTCTAACGGGATTAGATTGGACTCGCACTGCGCATGGCAATATCTCTTGGGCTTCATCAAGAGGTATTGGATTCTGACATTAGTGAAGCTGACCGAAACCGACGTCGCCGAGCCTGGTGGTCTGTCTATAGCTTGGACCGGTACCGTGATCGAATCTTCGAATCTTTCAAGGTATCCCTCAAATGCTTATTTTTTTTGCAGATTACTTTCAGTAAAGTCCGGAAATCCTATCACCATTCATGATGAAGACATTGGCACGACCTGGCCGGCTGCATTGGTTCGTTGGACCCAGTCCCCGTCAAGGACACTGATTATTCTGACACTCTCTCCTAGGATCAATCGACCTCTGATCCTTGGCCATCGATTGTGCTGACTCACTATACACAGCTCTCCCGCATCCTCGGACGGATTGGAGAAGGTTAGATCGAATGTGCTCTCCCTATATTACATGTTCATTCTAACAACCCGCGGCGTCATGCAGAGATCTACCGAAAAAAGCCTCGATCTGGGTCCAACCTGATTGCCTCCGTTCAGAGCATCACGAATGATCTCTCGAGTTGGCTACGTCAGGTCCCAGATCGCCTTCGCGTCGACTTCACCACGCTGGATACCCACGTGAACCGAGAATCGGTGTCGATCAACTTGCATTTCTACTCATGCGTCAATATGACCGCACGTCCGCTCGTTTTCTACATCATTCAACGGCGACTGGATGCAGGGCTACTTGGATCTTCGGCCGGGGACTGGAAAGAGGGGCTGGCCCCAAACACCGTGGCGGTCATTGAGAGTTGCATCACGGCTGCGCGCGCGACAACTTTGATTATGGACGCCGCTGCCAAGCATAACCTCATTGGTATCTGATATAACTTCCCACTTCCTCTATTGAACCACATTGACTGACCGCGTGACTGCTGTAGCTACTTATGGCTACCTTGATGGTGAATATATATTCTCGGCAGCGTTGCTGCTCGTCATGGTAAACGCGGCGTTTCCACACAACGAAACCAACGCGCGGGCCATGGAAACTGCCCTGAACCTTCTCCGTGGAATGGCCGATCGTGGAAACACATACCTAGGCTCACGTCATTCTTTGTTGCTGGAACTGCGTGCGGCCATTGGGCCAAAGACCGCTGGCACAAGCGAGACTGGCCGTACGAGTCCTATCGCCCGAAATGCCCCTGTCACGCCCATTAGCGAGCAGCCAGTCAGCCCGGCAACAGAAGAAGCACCTACCCATCCTCAATTGCTCGCCGCTGCATGGCCCTCACAGCCAGATTTATCCTCGCTCCAGGACATCTCGTTTCAATTCGACCTCAATGATGATCCAGCACTTTGGGAGGGGGCGTTGGACCAGATCGATATTGACATGGACACTGATTGGATTGAGAATACTTTGAAACGATAGAATAGTGATCTTATTCAGAATATATCTTAGGTGTGCGTTTACTTTTACTTTTATTGTCACTTCTGTGGTGCATTCCTTGATATGTTTCTACCAATTTCCACCTCTCTCGCATCAACTGACTTTTATTAAAACTTATTGACGCCCTTGTTGCAATATTCAAAGCCTATATTTCCCGCTCTCTAATCTTCTCTCTTCTCTTTTCTCTATACTCCACACCCCAGACTCCCTCGGCTCGTTCTTCCCTGTCGGCCCGATGTTCCCGACGCGCAGGCCATCGGCCCGACACGTGACTTGCATACACTGATTGCGATGACCATTGATGTCTGGGGCAGAGAGGGGCCCTCTGATATATGAAGCCGGTGGTACCCCTCGTTTTGATGTTCACTTTTTTCTATTAGATTTCTTTTTTGACACAATGGCAGAATCCGGGAAGATTACCATTTCCATTGACCGTGGGGGCACCTTCACTGATGTCCATGCCATTGTGCCCGGTCGTCCAGACATTATTCTCAAGCTCCTCTCGGTAGACCCATCTCACTATCAAGATGCACCCACCGAGGGTATCCGTCAGATCCTCGAGCGTGCGACGGGAGAGTCACATCCACGGGGTCAACCATTGAAGCTCGACCTCATCGGCTGTCTGCGTATGGGCACCACTGTTGCAACCAATGCCTTACTTGAGCGGAAGGGTGCTCGTTCAGTCCTTTTCACCACGAAGGGATTTCGCGACTTGCTCAAAATTGGCGACCAGTCCCGCCCAGCCATCTTCGACTTATCAATGATCCGTCCGGGAATGCTACCAGAAGGCGTGGTCGAAGTTAATGAGCGAGTGATACCCTGCCACCATGCTGCAGACAGTGGTTGCTTCTCAGATTCTCGAGTTGTGGAGGGAATCACCGGCGAGACGTTCCGCGTGGTGCAGGAATTGGATCTTGCGCAAGTGCGTGCAGAACTTCAGCGCCTCAAAGAGCAAGGATATCAGTCTCTCTCTGTGGCCCTTTTGCATTCATTTGCCTACCCGAACCATGAGCTTCAGATTGGGCGGCTTGCAGAGCAAATGGGGTTCTCTGTCACTCTGTCTTCCAAGCTACAGCCTATGATCAAGATCGTGCCCCGCGGAATGTCGGCCGCGGCCGATGCATACCTCACCCCGGTCATCAAGACCTATATCGACTCCATTTCGTCTAGCTTTGAGGGTGGCTTGGAGAGCCAACAGGACTGTCGGTTTGAGTTCATGCAGTCAGATGGCGGGTTGGTTGATTTCCGCAAGTTCAGTGGGCTGAAGGCGATCCTCTCTGGCCCAGCGGCCGGAGTGGTGGGCTTTGCAGCCACAAGTTGGGATCCTACTGAGCAAACTCCTGTCATCGGCTTCGATATGGGTGGTACATCTACTGACGTGTCACGTTTTGATGGTCACCTGGAACATGTCTTTGGATCGAAAGTCGCTGGCGTCTCGATACAATCACCCCAGCTCGACATCAACACCGTGGCTGCTGGCGGTGGCTCCATTCTTAGCTGGCGCAACGGTCTGTTTTATGTTGGACCTGAGTCGGCAAGCGCACATCCAGGTCCTGCGTGTTATCGGAAAGGTGGTCCCTTGACCGTAACCGATGCCAATCTGTTCCTCGGTCGGCTACTGCCGGAGTATTTCCCACACATTTTTGGACCAAACGAGGATCAACCACTGGACACAGAGGTCACAGCACGGCTTTTCAGTGACCTTACACAGAAGATTAACGTCGAGCGCCGGCATCATTTCCAACAAGAGTACAGTCCAGAGGAGGTTGCGCTCGGGTTCCTCAAAGTTGCAGACGAATCCATGGCCCGGCCAATCCGCAATCTCACTGAAGCCCGTGGATTTGAGACTGCGTCTCATCATCTGGCTTGCTTTGGTGGCGCTGGAGGCCAGCATGCGTGCTCTGTAGCCGCCTCCCTGGGGATTTCCCGCGTTATAATCCACAAATACTCGTCTGTCCTGTCAGCATACGGCTTGGCTTTAGCAGAAGTGGTCAAAGAGTCCCAGGAGCCAGTCTCGTCCGACTATCAATCTTCACACTCGTCTCTGCTCCAACGCTTTAACGAGATAGCCGCCGCAGCTACAGATGAGATGCAAGCACAGGGCTTTCCGTCGAATCAAGTGCGACATGAACAGTATCTTAACATGCGGTACGAGGGTTCGGATACTAGCCTGATGATTCTAAAGCCCGAGGGCTCGTCTGACTTTTTGGATGAATTCCATGTCCGTCATCGCCGCGAGTTCAATTTTATCTCGGAACGACCAGTTCTCGTTGACGACATCCGGGTACGGACCATTGCCTCCTCCAAGGTGCGGACGGAACGGAGCCCATTGAACCAGTTGAAAGAGGCGAGCCTGCGAGATTTGTCGACGGCACCGGCAGATACTAGCTCGGCCTATTTCGATGGCTGCTCAACACGTATTGATACGCCCGTCTACCTCCTGAATCAACTGGAAAAGCACTGCCGCATCACCGGTCCAGCTGTCATCATTGACCAGACCCAAACAATTGTTGTGGCTCCCAATTCCGTGGCAAATTTGCTTGACACCTGCATCGTCATCGATCTGAAAGACGAGCCAACTACCTCGTCTTCGGACCCCAACCAATCATCCGAAATTGATCCTATCCGACTCAGTATTTTTGGGCATCGTTTCATGTCCATTGCCGAACAAATGGGTCGTACGCTGCAAAAGACCTCTGTTTCCACCAACATCAAAGAGCGATTGGACTTCTCGTGTGCTCTTTTCTCTCCCGACGGAGGGCTTGTAGCCAATGCACCCCACGTGCCGGTGCATTTGGGGTCGATGCAATTTGCCGTTCGCTACCAGCATCAAAAATGGCTGGGGAACCTGAAAGACGGCGATGTGTTGGTTGCCAATCACCCCAGCTGTGGCGGTACCCATCTGCCAGATATCACGGTAAGGAATGGTTCTATTTGCAAGTCCTCAAACTCATCGTGCTGTTAGGTCATTACTCCCGTCTTCGATCGTCCTGGTGGCACCGAAATCATGTTCTACGTGGCATCGCGAGGCCACCATGCAGATATTGGCGGTATCTTGCCCGGATCGATGCCTCCCAAGTCAACTGAATTATGGCAGGAGGGTGCTGCTATCGAAGGCGACAAGATCGTCAGTAATGGCGTCTTGGACGAGGCACGTCTGATTGAATTGCTGGTCACCAAGCCTTCGCAGTATCCTGGCTGCGCTGGCGCACGTTGTATTAGCGACAACTTGTCCGACTTGAAAGCCCAAATCGCCGCTAACACCCGCGGGATCAGCTTGATCCAAACACTCTTTGCCGAGTATGGCGTCCAAACGGTGCAGAAGTATATGTATGCCATTCAGGCGACGGCGGAGACTGCGGTCCGCAGTTTGCTGAAGGGACTATATCAAAAGTTTGGTGGAAAGCCATTGGAGGCGGTCGACTACATGGACGATGGCACCCCCATTCGCCTGAAGGTCACCATTGACGGGTCAAACGGGTCGGCCGTCTTTGATTTTGCAGGGACGGGTCCCGAGGTGTACGGCAGCTGGAACGCCCCTATTGCCATCACACACTCCGCCATCATTTATTGTCTGCGATGCATGATCAATGCAGATGTTCCGCTCAACCAGGGATGTCTGGCCCCGATTGACATCCAAGTGCCATCTCCCAGCATTCTCTCGCCGACGAGGACCGCTGCTGTCGTTGGTGGCAACGTGGTGACCTCGCAGCGCATCACAGATGTCGTTCTCAAGGCCTTCCAGGCCTGTGCTGCATCACAGGGCTGCTGCAACAACCTGACGTTCGGCACGAACCCCAAGCTTGATCCAGCCACCGGTGCCGTAGTGATTCCTGGATTTGGGTACTATGAGACCATCGCCGGCGGCAGTGGCGCGGGACCGTCGTGGAAAGGAGAATCTGGGGTACACGTCCATATGACCAACACACGCATTACCGACCCGGAGATTTTGGAAAAGCGGTATCCCACCATGCTCCGCCAGTTTACTCTGCGGGAAGGTTCGGGTGGACGAGGCAAGAATCCGGGAGGCCAAGGAGTGGTGCGCGACATCGAGTTTCTAGCTCCGATGCAGTGCTCAATCCTTTCGGAGCGGCGTGTACACCGACCCTATGGACTTGAGGGTGGCCAGGATGCGCAGCCTGGGCTCAACCAATGGATCACCCGAGATGCGGAGACAGGAGAGGAGCGCCAGATCAACATTGGCGGCAAAAATACCGTGTCGGTGAAAACACACGACCGGGTTGTCATCATGACTGCCGGTGGTGGTGGATGGGGTGCAGTAGAGGCATGAGAGATTCGAGACTATAGAAGCAGGTAATCTTCATTTATGGAGACCCGGGCTTTTCATGTACTCAAATGGTTGTTCTATGTTTACAATGCAATTTCCTATGCAACTGACCGGAACATTTGAGGTCTTCTTGTGGGACACCGTAATGTCAAACAAGAGATCCAGCTCATACATATCTTACTCAAGTTAAGGCACTTGAATTCAAAGCTACCGAGAAACTGTCAATAGATTGACGGCGCAGATAAGTCCGAGGCGCATAATGAGTAGTTTAAAAATATATACTGTGATTGAAAGCGTTCAATGTCGGTTTAGTGTCACACTTGAATATTAATTGCAGAGTCTCAGTGCGGGTCTCCTCAACAGAGGGACTACCACAAGCCTATATATAGTGAGCTGAGAGGTCAAATGTGATTTCTAATATTGGCGTCATTGTCGCAGTCTATCAAGTCATAACGTCGTGGATTCACGTAGAATCCGCATGTCATGGTAGAGGCCCACCACCTTCAAGTTCTAGAAAAGAAGTTCAACACCTTGTCTACGTTTGAAAATGATGTCAAAGGAATGCGGATCATATATTGCCCCATGCCTGGTGACATATGCATTCCATCCACGAGCTCCTATTATATATCCCTTCATCAAAGTGGTGGATCGTAAAGCCCTAGAAAGATCACTTCACTAATATGGTCCAACACAATAATCTCACACACGCCGGTAAAGTTTTCCTTGGTCCGTGCTAATTAATATTTGTATATTGTCGCTAGTTCTTAAATATAAGTCTAAATACACTTTTAGCCCCAGTGTGGCCTGTCCGATGCTCATGTGGAGGCGCCACAATGCCGGGATATATTGTCTCTCGTTATTGACATGCGTTGCCACAGCTCATTTGAGTATACTACTTGGTCCGATGGGGTAAATGGCTAAATCATCGTAGCCACCAGCGATTTAACCAGCCCTGTACGGTGGCGGTACATAATATAGCTCAGAATATGTCTATATCCCACTATACTCTTAGAGGCAACCAAGGCAGCCACAAAATAGTAAGGTTGACGCAATCCAGGTTGGTTGAATACCCAAGATCCGCTACAATTGCACGAGGCTTTCTCATCGAATAGGATTCTCAACACAGGCAAGATAAATACATTCCCAACTACTTGAACTGATTTGGTGGTAATGATAGATAGCCCACTGAGCAAACGTTAGTCACACCATAGACAAAGAACCAACCATGTCGTGGGTAATGACGAGAACTGCTCCTTCAGAAGAGGCTCTAGAGCGAGATCCAAAGCTGCTTCTGTCACCAATGCACCAATATTGCATAGTTTTGGATTTTTATAAAGCTGCGTGGGCAAACCATCACGACACCCTTCAATTTAAGTGTTGTTCTTACTAGATATTAGCCAGATCGTGCAGTGGCTCTCCAAGATATGATCGTGCTTCTCATTGCATTTTTGTAACACATTCACTTCCTTGGTCTTGGTTTTCAAGCTCCAAGGTCATATGTATTACTAGGGCCTTGTGGGAATAGGAGCTTTTACCATCGAGAGCTCTGGATTAAGGCACTGTATATTGTATGCATGCCTCGTTTTTACGGCACCAATCATCCCGTAACATCAGCGAATATTACTAAGCATCACATGCGCCACGGGTTTTTCTCCGACACCAAACGGCGCCAGTGACCCGGTCAGGTTGATGGGCCTTGCGCGTGCTGTGCTTCTGGTTTCGTCCGGGCCGTCATGTTTCTCTGACTTATTTTCTGTCCTTCCGGCTGTTGCTGCTGATTCCGGGACCCCAGCCTCTTAAGTGACCGAAGTATACAGTGAATTGTGTCGACGAACGCTTTCGACACTCCATGGGTCGATCACCCCCCATTGTCTTCATCGCCAGGTAAGCCTGGACTCTTGCAAACCTGTGATGCCTCTTGCACTGACTGTTTTAGGCATGGCGCGCGCCTGGATGCCGCGGATAAGGACTGGCATCTAACCTCCCCCACGCCTTACGATCCTCCTCTCTCCTACGGCGGCTGGCTCCAGTCTCGTGCCCTCGGTGTGCGCATCGCGAGTCTTTTGCGACACCGTGGGTTTACGGGACAGGACCCGGAGGGTGAGCGCAGTCGCCCTCCGACCTCGGACTCCCAGTCGACTCCGAACCCCAGCCCCGCCCCTTCGGACTTGTCCCACCAATACAACATCGTGATCCATACCTCCCCATATCTGCGATGTCTCCAGACAGCCATCGCAGTCAGCTCAGGCATCAAGCAGCATCGGCCGGGTACCGAAACGCCAGAAAAGGCTAGTCCTACTCCCGTGGGTCCTGCAGACGCCGGGGCCCCCGATCCGCGCTGCCTGCTGCGCGTCGACGCGTTTCTGGGCGAGTGGCTGTCTCCCGACTACTTTGATCAAATAACACCGCCGCCTGCCTCTGACCGCATGTTGGCCTCTGCTAAGGCAGAACTTCTCCGCCGCAGCGATGTGGTTTTTGCCGGAGATGGCTCTGGCAAGTCGTCTTCGGGCCATTTCCCGGGAGGCTGGGGCAGCCAATCCTATCCCACATCGCCTACCATTGAAGAAGAGGATCGCTGCTTGCATTCACTTGGATTATCCGCCCAGCAAGGCTCTCGCCAGCGTGCCAGCACGTACGACAACCCTGAGGGTTCCACCCAAACCACCCGCACCAAGAAGATTTTGGGCCGCCTAGACACCAACCTGCCGTCCAGCGTCGACGCTGCCTATGTACCCCCAGCACCTAATTACGCCGTCTCTGCTTCAGACCCCATCCCCGCGGGATACGTCGCTCATGCACGGAACGCATGTACGAAAATCGACTACCAGTGGGACAGCATGCGCAAACCTTACTGGGGAACGGGGGGAGATTACGGCGACGAATGGAGTACTATGCATGAACGCGTCGAGACTGGCTTTCGGCGGATGGTGGAATGGTATCACAAGCACGATCGGTTGGCTTCGACCCAGCATGAAAGCAAGCCGAATGGGGCGAGTACCAACCGCGATGCGGAGACTGTCCTCATTATCATCACGCATGGAGCAGATTGCAATGCCTTGATCAGCTCCCTGAGCGGACGCGCGGTGCTTTTGGATATCGGCACATCCTCCCTCACTATGGCAGTGCGGCGAGACCGAGTTCATGATGCGAGCCTCGGCGAGGATTGTTCTCGGCTTTCCTCCGAGCAGCAGGATAATTGGTCTGTTGCACAGGAATACACCTTACGGCTTGTGGCTTCGACCGATCACCTGCGTGCAGGGGCCAACCCCTCCCAGCTCTCCTCACTGTCATCTCCCTCGGCTCCACAGCCGTTTTCGCACCCCCAAATCTCCACTCACCGGAATCGCCTCGGGCCGCGCCCATCGCTAGCCCAAGGCTCGTTTATAATTGGACCGACGTCAGGCTCAGGTAGCAGTACTCGTGGCTGGACGTTGGCCATGCGGCCGTCGACCTTGGCTAAGGGTACATCCGGACTCTGGGGCTCGAACCCGTCCTCCTCGGACAAGGCCGACGACACAGAGGATGACTTTGTACCCAACTTTGGCGACTCGCGACCAGCCAGTCAAGACTCACCACACCCAGACCGAGCAGATGATCTCTGGTCCAAACAAGTCCCGCAGCGAACACAGTCGCAGCGGGGGCTGTGGGGGAGTGCGAAGTCGTGGGACCGGGATGGATCGAAACGGCGGTGGTCGGTGGCGGAGCAGAAACTGTAATGAGCACAACGATTTAATGACTGCATGTTTTGCATGGCGGGTGTTTCTTTGATTTGTTTCTTTTGGCATGTTTCTTTTCAGTTGTATGTTTTGCCGCAATTCCACTCCTGATTCTCCAGACATCCTCAGGCATCTTGGAGTCGATGGACCCCACATTGATCAAGAGATGTATAGTAGGACCGCGTTTTCTTAGCGCTAACCTTGAGTCAGCTAATCAGGATATTAAAAATTACTACTAAAAACTAATTATAAATAAACTAACCACTGTTAATAGAGATCTCCAAGCAGTGAAAAGAGATATTAGAAAAATACTAATCAACAGGATTAGAAAAGAAACAAAAGAAACAAATATCCAAGGTATCCGAATGATAGTGGTAATAAAATAGGTATTTATACCTTGAATCAAGAATGAAATCTCGTGAATAGGGTAAGATTTAGTTGATAGGGCTTGTAAAATCCAATTTGATCCTCTCCTATAAAAGATATAACAAATTACCGGAACTATTTTTGCTTCTAACAACGAGGGGCTCGGTATACTAGAAAAGATATAGAATGTTATAATATACTTGAAAAGGGCAAATGAGCGATACTTGATATGTCTTGATATGTTACTGAGTCGGCTTGGAGTATATTCATTTAACGCAAGAGTCTCTCCTGGTGCAGCCGTCTCAGTAGTCCGACTGCCAGGTGCGCGTCTTAGATTCTCCTGCACATAAGATCGCCGAGCCGACTCCTTTGGGTTGAAAAGATGGCCTGTCTCTTCCCATCCAGGAGAAAAACTGCCTGGTTAGCATACTGACTTTCGGGCATCGCCCGCTGCAACAGAGCATTGGTGCGTGCAAGCCTGCTTTCCACCTCGGTACTTGGTTGGTTCGTGGAAGCTCGATTCTTCTGACCTTTGATTTCCGCCGGCGGCATTCTTTTGCACGCTGCTTGGCTGTGGGGCGCTGGGTACTTTCCTGCAGATCGCCCCTTTCACTCCAGATGGGTGAATCGGAGGGAGACATTTTTCCCTTGATCTACGTGGGCCTTTTCAGGTGTTGGATTCAGTGTCGAGTTGGCAGTGCGGAGTATGAAGAGCAGCTGGTGCGCTCTACAGGAGACGCGGAGATCGTGCAATCGACACCTTGTTTTGGAGGCATAAATATACTAAACTGGTGGAAATTCAAGAAAGCAATAAGTCAGGGCTACGGAGCACTGATAAAATAACCACGTGTAATGCAAAAATAAAAGAAACTATCAGGTATGATAGTGATTCAAACTCGGCGGCAGATCCTCCAGGTGGGTGCCCCAGTCGCTTTCGCTCGCCCCGAGCTCGAGTTCAAGAAGGCCACCCTCTGCAAAGAAGTCATGGGTGATCCAATTCTGCTTCCATGGGTTGCCGTTGCGCTTGGCACTTTGGATGTAAATTGATCGGTAGCGAGGATCAAAGTTGATGTTGCGGATCGTAGCAACCTTGCCGGTGACACTGTTGCGGATGCTTACTTCTTTGAAATAGGGTGGGGTGATTAAATACACATCTTGTCCGGGAACCGGCCATAGACCCATCATGCTTAGCACCACGAACGATCCCATGGCGCCGCTGTCGTCATTACCGGCGATGCCGGCAACGGTGGTGTTGAATTGTGACGGAATATAGAAATGGCTGCGCCTTGCTGACAGGGCGGGACGTCCAGAGTAATGAAATTGATAGATTGTTAGAAAAGCTTGCTCATCGCCCACGTAAAGAAGGCCAGAATCATGCAAGTAAGTGAGGCGGGATGTGAATGCCTTGGGTCCACCCAGGGTTTTGATAAGAAACCCCATATCATGCGGCGCGTAACTATTGCGAAAAAATTATGTTAGATCATGGACCTAAACATTTTATTTATCAAGCCACTTACAATGTATAAAGCCAAGAACTGCCCTCGTATGTTTCATGCCCATCGGGGTTGAGATAGCACGAAGTGAAGTTCAGCAGAGGACTGCAGAAAATCGGATCTTGGTAGCCCCAGGTGCCGTTTGGATAGCGAGGCTGCAGGAATCCAGTGAAGTTCGTGCTGATACCGCGGATACTGGATGTTTGGTCTGCCTTGAACACATGGGCCCAATTTCCTGAACGCGCCGCGTACTTTTTGTAGTCGTCATGGTGGCCCATTCGCTGCGCCATCTCGGCAATACAGAAGTCATTGTACGCATATTCCACGGTTCGAGAGATGCTGCGAGTGTGGGTGCCAATGCCGTATGGGTCGTAATCATCGGTAGGAATGTAGCCGAGGTTTTTCCAGCTGTGAAGCCCACCGCGACCTTCGACGTTCCAATTTGCAGGCTCGACTTCTGCATCCTTGACGACTGCTTTGTATGCAGTATCCCAGTCAACCCCGGGTACCTTCTTCAAGTATGCATCTGCTACGACCACATCTGCATTCGAGCCCCCTTGGGTGAACCCCTTGCACAGCGACATACGACAATCAGGCAAATAGCCCGTATGCCGGTAGATGTCGATCAGGCTTCGCATCATCAGAGATTGTGACGGCAGGTCAATCAACGTGAGAAGAGGATGGATGCTGCGAAAAGAGTCCCAAATGCTGATCATCATGTTAGTTTGCTATTATTATTGATGTATGGCCTGGCCTCACCAGTAGTAGCTGTCGTAATATGGCTCGTCGCTTTTCCAGAGCGGATTTTCGCCTGTATAGTCTTGCGGGCTTATGAGGGTCCGGTATGCTCCACTCCAAAACACCTTTTGCAGATCTGACGAGACTCCGTCCGCATTCACAGAAATAACATCGAGTTTCTTCCTCCAAGCCGACTCCGCTGCAGAAACTGTGCCTGCAAAGTCGAAATTGGGCTGTTCCCTGTCGGCGTTGGAACATGCCTGCTTGACGCTTATAAAGCTCACTCCGACACGGACCAGAATGCTTTTGTCCTTGGGGCTGTGGAATCTAGCAAATGTGCCAGCAGAAAGAGTGGAAGCCGTGTTAGTCCCGTCGGCATAGAACGACACGGTATCTCGGCTGGTATTGGCACGATTCCTGGCCCAGGTTCCCGTATCGCGAAGCTTGGCGCCCTTGAAATCAACGCAGAAATGGAGATCGTAAGAACCAATCCCAAAACTAGGATTGAAGGTACCATTGCCCATCAGTCGCCCCGTTGAACGGTCGACATCGGCAGTTCCATTCAGCCGGGACTGTGGCAGGTCGATCAGATCCACCAGAATCAAAGGACTCAACGCTTCTGGCGAAGTATCTTCAAACGTAAAGCGATATAGGGCAGACCGATTGGTTGTCGTCATTTCGGCATCCACACCATTCTGCAACGAAATGCCAAAGTACCCAGGACGGGCCACAGGCGATTTCTTTTTCCATGGAACTGCTCTGTCCGACTGCTGCCATTTACATTTGTTGATATCGTCATCCGGGCAGTTTGGGTGCGGGAAAATTGGGAAATTTCCCATTGATGGGGACTATCAAGAGTTAGGGACCAAAGACAACCTTGTCCAAGCTATACCAGGAAAGGCACCTACGCCTCCAGTACCGGAGTCATGCATATGCGAGAAACCTGTGACAACTGTCGTGTCGTAGGCAAAGCCGGCCTGGTTCTCTCCTCGGGTATCTGCTACAGCCTTGGCCATGCCTACTTCTGTAAGTACTGCTAAGACCAGGGGAGGGAATCGGCATATTTACCAAATGGCAATGTTGCGCCAGCAAATACATGACCTACAAAATCTCTGTCAGTTGGCGAATGGAGACCGTATAGTCGGTGAAATCCATACCCCCGTTGGCCGTGCCAATCAGCGGATCAACATAGTTCAACACGTCGAAAGAATCGTCCGAGATCCCAGGGGCGGCTAGAGCTGCCAAGGCATAGATAAAGGTCGTGAAGGTACTCAGTAGCTTTGCTCGAAAGGAAACCGTCTGTGACCACATGGCGAGCAAAGTATGGAATTCCCTCAATCAAGGAATGCAGACCACCAAATCCATTTCGCAGTGATTTGAGGGTTTCGGGGTGTAAATACAAAAGGACGCGTCTTGCACGAGTCTGACTGTCTCTTATTTACCGATCCGCAATCCGCGTGGGGGAGCATTCCATCCATGATCGACGGAGATATCCCTCTTCTGAGAATGAGCGAAGATGCCGACAAACAAACATTGCACCCCAGTGACGTCGCATCGGGTACTCATGTAGTGTAACATCGTGTCAATAAGTAGATGCAGCATACGTTTATTTTCCCCACATCGAAGAACGATGGCCAAGTTAGACTGTTGATCTTTCCCTGGCTCTCGGCATTGGCGAAGAAGCCCCTCCGAATTGCGGGAAACGCGCCATCACCAGACAAGATACTCAAAAGTGGAGAAAGGGTAGAGATGAGAAGCCTCCATGTCTTTTATGTGGCTCTCTTTGCGGTACAGGAAAGAACTGCAAAGCGAGCGAGTCAAGGTGGCACAGTGAGATGCCAGCAACCTGCAGGAATGTTATCCAGAGTAGAATATAGATGAAATATCGTATAAAAGTCCTGGTTAAGTTGAAAGTACCCTCGAGCAATCAAATGAGGTCCAAGACATCTCAGAGATGTCCTGTTTGTATCTGCTGGCGGTCTCAAAAGCCCAGAGGAAATAGCTGCAGAATTTGGAGATTGTCAGCTTCCAGCTTCTGGTTCTTTCTCGAAGTCTTGCCATGGCCCGAAGCGTCGTTCGATGGGACGCGATTTTTTTTTCACCCTCCGGTCCAGCTGATGCCATGAAACCTGGCTGGTACACAAGCACACAAGAATGGGATCCTGGTTGAGATAGATAGCCGTGGATGAGAGGATACATCTTGGAAATCCGAGGTAAATCATCTGGCCCACAGCCATAGCTGGATTCACAGACAGTGTCTGAAATGGGAGCTAATCCACGTAAAAGTCAGGAAATGCTCTAGATAGGACATCCACTTGTCACAGGTGTCTGCCACCTGGGTTTCTGCTGCGTCAGCTGCTTGGATTTGACGAGATGGAGGATCAAGGTGGTGCTCGATCCTAAGCCTTTGTCCTGCAAGATAAACAGCGAGTCTCCTGATGCTACCTGGCCCACCTGACCTACTGACCTAGCAAGGCAAAAATCGTGACAAGACCTACAGCATGTGCCACACCCGATGAACTAATTTGGAAGACGACATTCGAAGCACTATAGCATACGGCTTGCCAGTATCTACACGCAGAGTCAGCACCATCATGAGTTGATAGGGGTTGGCCAACATACTGATCCACCCACGATAAATATGGGCCTGCCCCTGCCCCGAAAAAGTCGTATTCCTTGATGAAGCTTGATGCAGTTGTGTTGGAAAGCTATTTGCTCATGGCCTGTTTCAATGGATGGGTGCAATGTTCTTGTCGGACCTTGGGGTTGACTGTATCTATCAAGCAAAACACCCGTTTGGGATTCCGTAGCATATTTGCTCCAGCCCAATAGAGAACCAAACCCTGGACGCATCAGTTGAAGAGAAAAAGAAGAGAAAGTCACAACAAAGCTATTCTGCCGGGCGGTGTACCGAATTGGGGGAAACCCGTGACTTATGGAATCGTCCAGTTTCTCTTCAAAGCTCTTTTCACTCCCGCACCGGCTACTTCCAGAATTTGGCGTTATATGAATGCCCTTCAGAGAGCTAGTTCCCTGAACTGTGCTATAAGGAAAATGCCAATCATTTGCGGCGTGGTATAGAGGGGTAACGCGAGGATTCACCTGATGACCTCAACACCCGCGCAACATCTCTACTACCTGCCGAGATTCGAAGCATACTCCCTCGGAGCCGACAATGCCTGGGGTTCCCTCGAACAAGGCATGTGAAAGATGCAAGAAGAGGCACCTCAAGGTCCGTTTCCAGCAAGGAACATCGGACTCCACTAAATTGATCACCAGTGTGATGAGACTCGCCCTAACTGCCAGCGATGCACTACGGCGGGCGTGGACTGCCCGGGTTATGTCCAAACCCGCAAATTCATTGATCAGGGGGCGACCGTGAGACGTCGCTATGCTCCATATCAGGACACACATCCCAAGCCCAGTGTCGCAGCCCACACGGGAAAGGTAATTTCGGCTCTACTCCGTCAGACGGATGGAATTGCTCATGTTGAAAATAGACAACACTGCACCATGAGTCAGAATCAATCCAGAATAGAATCTCACAGCCAGGATCCCATGAACAGTGCATTCAAAATTTCTCTGGGGAAGAGAACGATAGCTCAACTCTCCACATGCAGATGGAAGAGACGCGACTAGACGTTACAGACAACCCCGTGATGTCAGCCTCGTCAGATTCCTCGAGCCGACCAGCTATCTCAACACTTTACAATCAACCACCGGTATCCAGTGTATCAGACATTCCATCGACCACAGAGATTAACCGTGATTCTGGCCTCGACGAGGCCAGTGGTTCCACCAGAAGTACCATCCAAAGCTCCGTGTCACCAAACGCCGCGGAGACCATTCCATCATTTGAAAATGCATACGACGTCATTCCAGATAATCGACGCGAATACCGGTTCCCGGTATCTTCAAAGAGTCTGTCTCAGGGAAGTGAAAAGGAAGAAATCCAAGATATCTTTTCGCAACTCATGACAGGAACCGAGCACGAGATTGCTTTTCTCATTCGACATTTTTCTGAGGTTCTAGGGCCCTGGTATGTCAAATTTCTTACTTGATTTAATGCTCAATTCATTGATTTTTTTTTTTTCATCAGGTTGGATCTGTCGGATGCTGGAAAGTTCTTTGCCGTTTATGCTCCCATCCGCGCCATCAATAATGCTTCACTCAAATACGCCATTGCAGCATTGGCAGCAAAGCACCTGGGTCGGATAAAAGGAGCTAAGTCTCCCATGGGGGGAGGGGAATGTTCACGAGTCCCGCGACGATGGAGATGTATCCGAATGCCACTCAAGTCGACTGGTTCCTGAAGGCTGCCAATTACTACTATTTGACCGCTTCTGAGCTGAACAATGCCACCTCTGATGGCTATACGACAGTCTCCAGCTCGGCCGTTTTAGAGCCACCTATTGAGACGGTTTCTCGGTGGTTGCGCTCGCAATCAATCCAGGCTGGTCTCAAGCCGACAAGCACCGACTCTGCTGATATCTCCCTCTTACGGAGAACTGAAGAGATGGTGGTGACAGTGGCGTTATTGACATTTTACCGGCTCTTGGATGCCAATGGAGACGAATGGCATATGTGAGTTCTCCCCGGAATTGTGATGACATATAGACATATCTTGTTCCTGACGAAATCACAACCACCCGTCCTACAGGCATCTATCCGGCATCAGATCCCTTTTTGATTGTCTATTACAAGCGCATGTAGCGCCATCTGCCGTTTTCGCGCATGGAATCCGCGCAGCATTCTGGAACTTTGCTCGACAGGACTATCTTGGTTGTTATTTTACCCGTCTTCCCACCCGCCTCGACCCGGGAAATCTCCCTCTCTGGCGCGCAGCTGGGATATCCATCGACGAACAAGAGGAATTCCATATCATTGCAAACGGGCCAATCTATTCGCCCCAGGAAGACCAAGCAGCCAATGGTCTGATCTGGCTTGTTTCCAAAGTCATCAACTTTCTTGCCAAATCCAAACAGTCGCAGCTTGCGCAATGGGCCGCTGGATTGCCTTCACCAGATATGGGAGGGACATCCGATAACACCGGCCAACCCCGTACCCAAACCCGACCACTTGGCTCAAGCTTTGCGTCGAGTTTCAGGCCTGGTTTGACGCCGTCCCGGAAACCCTCCGGCCCAGCGTGAGGATCGAGCACCCGAGAGATCTCTCTAATCAGTCCGACAGCAACCACCAACTACCATTCCCCGAGGTCTTTCACGGATTAACCACCTGCGCTGTCGCCATGCAGCACTATCATTTTGGGCGGCTTGCGCTACTCCTGAACCGACCGCCGGACGTTGTTAACGCGTCAAGTACGGCCTTTGACCGCCTTCAGGGGTATAGAGAGGTCACAAAGGAGGTCGAGTATCGTAGCCGGGAGGTGTGTGGCATTGCGTTGGGGCGACCACAGGGTGGCGTGCGCATCTACATGATCCCACTGCTATATGCTGTTGGACAGTGTCTGGAGACCCCCGATGAGCACCGAATCATAGTGGACCTTCTGCGAGGCATTGAAGCAGACTTGGGCTGGGCGACTGAATACGCAGTTCAGAAACTGCAGGCTGTTTGGCATCGATGAGTCCTTCGTTATATCCACCTCATGTCATGCAGAGCCTCAATATCCGATTTCAATGTGACTATGACCCAGAATCAAGTTACAACATAGCGACAGTAGCAGAATATTACACAATATCCTCGATTTCAAACAAGGCAAAACACGAACACTGCGGGATTCCGCGCTTGAAGTTCATCGGAACTTAACGCCGAGAATTGGGTCGGTGATTGCACGATGGCATCATGCAAAACACAGTGGTTTTTGGATATGGCCAGTAAGAGATTACAAAAAAAATAAGAAGAAGAGCCGCGAGAAATTCAAATGATTTTATCGGTAGAAACGTCCTCGGTACTAAGAAAAACAATAGCTGAAGCGAATGCAAGGAAGCACTATCAGACTCGTAGCTCAACATAAAATAGCAAAGACAAGAATAAACCAGCTGACTGAAAGCACAGTACATAAACTGAAAACGCTTTCCCTGTCATTCATTCCTTCTTTTTCTTTGGTCGAGGGTCCCCGTTCTCGCAAGCCGTTTTTCAACAGACGAGCTGCACTGCACGCCGCTCTAAAATCTACGAGTATCCGCGTTCTCTTTGAAAAAGCAAATTTTTGAAATCGCCTCCGGGTGATAGAGACATAGAACCAGAAGAATGCATGAGCGGGATATGCCTGAGAATTCTGGCGTCAACCTCACCCGGATTTCTTCTAGCTGTGGCCCGACAGATAGCGATGCACCGGCTCCGGATCGCCAGAGCCACACTGGGACACTCTGCGTCCGGCCTTCTTCCGGTCGGCAGCCAGTGTTTGGGCAAAGGGAGACTTCTCTCGGATCTTTGGTCCTTTCCAGTAAAAGATGTAGATCGGTATAGTGAAGAAAATGGCCAGGAATGCGAGGAGGGTGGATGGCCACTCGAGCGTGTTGGTTTTCCCCATATTCGAGTACACTGCACATACCAGGATTAGCTCGGTAGCTCAGAAAGAAAAAAGCTATCGGGTAACTTACTGGGCACGGAATACATTGCAGCGACGCCGGCGAGGAAGTCACGCGCGAATCCATTGCCCCCTGTCGCCGAGGCCGCGTAGGGACCATACGATGCAATCATGTAGTCAATGGTTGCCATGTAAATTGCGTACTGGATGCGGCAGCCGCAAATTAGCACCACCCTGCCTCCACAACTGCACAGGGCCACTTACATTGGCAATGGCGATGAGACACGAGAATATCATCGGCGCAATCCAGTGGACATGCGGGGGACCAAGACTCGTCCAGGCAAATCCAAACAGGCCGATTGTTAATAGGGGCGCCACTATCACTTGGTGAGTGACCGGTTACGATACATCAGGATTAGGGAGTAACCCACCATACAAGAGCCAATAGAGACGAGCCTCCGGCTGAAGGGCATCGGGGTCTCTTTCACGAACCCGACAGTGGCGGTGAATCCAAGGGAGGAATGAAAAGTAGGCAATACCATACCCAACGAGGAGGCTAGATGAATTGAGCAATGGTTCAAAGATGAAAGGAAGAAAAGGTATTCAGTGACTCACGGGATGAAAGAAAGCCCAATGTCGATCGTACTGAACCCCCATTGCTTGTATACTGGGGTATACGACTGCAGGAAGGTGAAAATCAGGGCATCGCTGAAACCACTTAGGAGTGAAAGAAACAAGACAATGGGTTCCCGGAGGAACATGATGAACGGGCGCAGCCAAACTTGGAAGAGATAGCGAAAGGTTATACGCTGGCCCTTGAGCTCATCGCCGCTCCACACCATCTGGCCTTGCTTGCGTCTTCGCCGTGCCTCTCGAGTGATGAGAATACTGCATCGGGTCTCCGGAATCCAAAAATGCAAGAGCTGTACAAAGCCGCCCAGGATGAGCTGAATCCAAAAGTTCCAGTGCCAATCCAAAAAGGTCGCCACAAAGCCACCCACCACGGGGGCGATCACCGATCCTGCCACCGAGGAAAGCACAATGAAAGCCACCGCCCATTGCTGACTCTCGGGCTCCCACATATCGGCCACCATTCCCAGAGTCACTGAGCCACCCGCAGAGGACAGGCCACCCAACAGGCGGCAAACAACAATGGTGCCGAAGTTGGGCGCCAGTGCGCAGGGAATTTGCCAGATATTGACCAGGAACAAGCTGAGTTGCATGATGGGCCATCGCCCAAACTCCTCGCTGAAGGGAGCCCAGAACTCACAGCCAAATGCATAGGCAATGAGGAAGTCCATTTGTCCAACACGGGCCGCTTGCTCGGAGATGCCGAAGTGCTTCGCATATAGCGAGATGCTACTGGCGTAGAAACTGGCATTCCAGTTCATCGAGGTTTGGACGGCGAAGATGACTGAGATAATCCCCCACTTCTTCCACCAGGGGAAGGTGTAGCCCAGCTTGTCATAGCAGTCCCATTCCTTTAACTCCTGTTTTCCGTCATGGCCATTCGCTGCCCCATCGGCAGCTCCATCCATGCCTTCCTTCTGCTCATGGCTTGGCCGGGGCGTACCGCCTGGAGAGCGGATGCGGCCATCAGCGCTATCCTGCTTCTCCAGATCCCCGGTGACGCCGTCGGCCATGGCTTCGGGTGGAGTATCTTCCTGGGGGCTCATTGTAAAGTGAACTGGGACACAAAAGAACGGGATAGATATGTAAGACAAGGGGACCCAGTCAGGGGGAGGGTCACCATCCTTGCCAGTGGCGTATACCATCAACGAGGGGCAGAAGGACCTGAATAAATGCCATTTGCCCTCTCCGGCAGCCACCGAAAACATTTGCGTCGAGTGAGCACACTGACATCGTCAAGAGAGCGTCTGCCAGGTATCCGATTGGTCCGGGGCCCCGCGCCTTTGGGTGAAACAAGCTTTACCAAGCTTTTCGCGTGGCTTCGTGGTGTGGAGGTGACATCCGGGGACAATGACCAGGCCCAGCGTCACCGACTGGGCAGTCGTCTCTCTCCGCATTTTGGGGGGGTTTGACCCGGCGTGAGAGGTCGCAACTGTAACCCGGAGTACAGAAACTATGGTCAGACCCATTCAACGAACTGGCTGGACCTCGAATAGAAGCAATGGAGATCAGGCGAGAGGACCCGGATCTTGCATTCCGGCCTGATGGGTTCTGCAAGTCTCCAGACAATCCCCGCCACGGGTGTGGAGAGCGGGTAGAGCGGGATGTAAAGCGTGTGTCTTGCAGATATCACCTTGATCTTTTGTTGCTGCGCGAATCCCGGGCCTTTGGCTGTCTGAAGTGAGCCCGCATCTAAACACAGGTGCTGCCCACATAAGCTTCACCATACCTCAAGACATGTCTCTCGCCATCTCCGCTATCTCATCAAGGTTCGTGATACCGGATCGAGGCGATACAGCGAGGGAATGAATTCGCGGTCAAATCCCGCAGAGGATAGCTACAAGCCGGTGGCGGGCTCGATCTTCGTGTCCATCACCGTAAACAAGAACCTCTGGGGCTATGGTTTCAGCAAAGTCATCACCCTATGGGTTGAAAAGGGTGGGTTTGTCAAACCGATCATGCTGAACATGTGCTTGGCGGTGCTGTGGTGTCTCTGCGCAATCCCCTTCTAATTCTATGGTAAGACATTTAGGGGCTGGACCGTTGGCTCTTCGGTACATAAGATGTAGTCCGCAGTGGTAAACTCGGCGACATGAGCTGAGGGGCTTTGTGAGACGTGGAGAATGAAAATTCATGAGTATCCTTGAATGAATTGTATTGGTATCATAATGAAAAGTCGAATGCATATCCCGCTTTAAAATGCTCAAATGTCGTCGTCATCAGGGTCATAGAGATCAAGATCCAGCATGGCCTTGGGTTTCGGGGCCGGTGCTGGGGCGCGTGTCGCGTCACTAGCGGAGGAGCCCGCATGGGCAGCGGCCTTTGCAGCCTCGTCGGCTTGGATGGTGCTCTCCGGAGCGGGCACCGGTGCTGGGGGCTCTGCAGCTCCCAAGCCTTCCGCTTCCCGTATAAGTCGATCCACCTCCCGGTCGGGATCTTCAGCCGCTGCAAGCTGTATTTGGCCCATGAGTCCTAGGCGGATCCGCTCCTCCATCGGGTATGGCAGCATATACACCTCGCGCGTCACATTCGCCGACTCGTCCAACCACTGCGTTGCGTTCTTCGTCACTGACGATACTGGTTCTGTTCCCTCCTCTGCTGCCTGATCTCCGTTGCTCCCCAGCATCGTTATGTCCTTATCGGCGCCCGGCTGTTTGGTCTGCTGGCGCTTGTCCGCATCGGCCGCCGCTTCGTTGTTGTATTTGCTGATCCGACGCGCGAAATCCAAAAGCAATCGGTAGTCAATTTCTTTGATGCCCTGGAGGGCTGCCACCTTCCCATCATTATCTTCGTCCTCGTCTGAATCGGCCTCACTGTCACTCTCGCCTTCATCACCGCAGGCTGTGCGAATATCTTTGTCGAATCCCTCAATGTCCCTCACAATGTCCTTGACTCGATCCTCGAGCTGCTGTGCTTCGATGCGGAGACGGAGAATCTTGGCGTAGTTTTCTTGGTGCCGTCGCAGCGTGTCAATGGCTGAGGATAACGCGTCGTCCGCGTCGAGAAGGGCGACTGCTGCGGCGGGGGCTCCCGCGGCCGCCGGAGAGGTGGTGAGGGTGGTTAAGAGAGCATTGAGCTTGGACTCAACCCCTGTCAGGGATGACTGCACTTGCGCATTCATGGTGCGAGTCTGGGATTCACTGAGTGGACCGAGAATTGGCAGGAATAGCACCAGCTCGAATTTTGCCACTTTGCTTTCTTTGGGGAATATAGTGTCGGTGACATTCAAATCAAGCCCCTACTGCAGCAATCCCACGCGTATCCACAGACTCAGCGTCTCAGGAAAAATGGAGAAGTGAAGCGATGGGAAGTCGAAGTTGGCGCTTTGTCCGATGGGTCACGTGTCCTTCCAATATCGCAGAACCGCGAGACTTGGAGACTTAACCGGAGAAACAACAGCGGTAGTGTGCAGAATGGTTCCTGGGGATCTTGCAGAGCACCATCAGTTGTTGCCATCCCGGCCGGTGCAAAGAATCGAGTGGGGTTCTTGATAGCCCCATATCCCTCTCCGGCGTCAGCTATCAGACCTCAGTTACCCCACGCAACATTTTTACTGTATGACCTTGCTCGAGTACCAAAATGACAGAGACTTCAAATCCAGGGCCACCATCAGCTCAGCAGATTATACTCCGGCCGAATGTGGTTATCCAGCCTCCACTATCGCGCTGCGGGCATGGCCCCGGAGTGATGATCCTACGTCCACTGTGCTATGCTCAATGCCAGCAAAATAATCAGAGTCTCGACCCGGAACCATTGAATAAATGGGCCGAGGAAAGCTTGACAGTAGCTCAGGTTACTTTGGATGCGCAGTCGAGCGCTGACCAGGCCTCCGTGCAGGAGTTGATCGAGACCGCTCAGCACGGGTTGGCGACACAGCCTGAATGTGACAGCAAAGACCGCTTTGGGTTGATAGGTATGCCTGGTTCCAAGCATTCCAGATGATGAGGATTTAACCCTGCTCACTGCAATTTCCAGTGTATGGTTCCCAGGCAGACTATGCGCCTCAGTTCGAAGAAGCTTTGCGTGGGACACTCACCGGAGACCAAATGGTCGTTGCTACAGTCTACTTTGACTCCTGGAATGTTTACCCCAGTCCAGTATCTCTCGTTCATGTACCAGGCACCCAGCAGGACCAGTCACGAAAATTAGAAGGGCAGACCACCCATGTGTACTCCGACGTGTCCTCCCCTGGGTTTATCATCCCCGGCCACTCCGACTTCAAGACCTCGACGGCCGGTGTGGCCCACACGCGGAGCCTCGGGTTCCTGAAAAGGCACCTGGGTGGGCCATTCTTTGATCTCGAGAAGATCTGGGATGAACACGCCTACTATGAGTTTGGCGACCGCTCGGTCGAGAAGACCATGGCCACAATGGTGCAGGAGCCCTATGTCAATCACATCCCCACAGTACGTTGGGCATCTCATCCATCCAACAAGGCAGCGCGAATATTGAACGGCAAAACAGTTGACCGGAGGCATTGGACGAGCGCGCTTGAGCCACTTCTATCTCCACCACTTCATCTTCAACAACCCCAACGATACAGCCCTGGGGCTGATCAGCCGAACGGTGGGCACGGATCGCATCGTTGACGAGTTCGTTTTCTCTTTCACCCATGTGAAGCAGGTCGATTGGTTGTAAGTTTCTGTTCCTGTTGGACACGCTGGAAATTCAAATGAAATCAAATGGCTGATGTTTCTGCGGTTAGAATTCCCGGAATTCCCCCGACGGGCAAGTTCCTCCGCATCCCTTTTACATCTGTAGTCAATATCCGAGGAGATCGACTCTACCATGAACATATCGCATGGGACCAGGCGACTGTCCTAGTGCAACTCGGTCTGATGCCCGAGTATCTTCCCTTCCCGTATGTTTTGCCGGACGGGACACGTCCAGGTCCGGGGAAACGGTTCGAGTTCCGCGTGCCTGCTGCGGGGGCTGAAGCGGCTGAGAAGTTGGAGAGCGAACATGCAGTGCCTTCCAACAAGATGCTCGAGTACGCGATCCGTGAAGTGGACGACCGGTGATATCAACCCTTGATCTATACCCGCGATATATTTTGATAGGAGCATCTAATTCCCAAATTTCAAATGCACAGCATAACCCGTAATGCTACCATGAACGCAAAGAATCATCTCAATAGCTTTTCCAATTATCCCACAAGCGAAAGCCCATTAATCAGTACCCCGTTAGGCGTCCCATGTTCAGAACGGTGCTGTTGGCCGCATGTGTCCTCCGGCGAGCCCTCTGTGGGATGAACATATTAAGCCTGCCTTTATCTCGAGCTATCTGTCCAACAAGACCTTCCCGCAGTCGGCCCAGATCTCCTCCTATCCCTATAAACCCGAGGAGCCGGACCCGCGTACCACCGAGGATTGCCTGTTCTTGGATGTGGTCGTCCCTCGAAAGATTTTCGACCGCGCTCATAACAAGGCCTCGGCACCGAGGAAGACACTGGCACCCGTGCTGGTGTGGATTTATGGCGGGCGTTAGGTGACGGGGGACCAGAGCGAGTTTGATCCTTCGAGACTGATCCAGCGGAGTACGGTGGTCGGCGACGGGATTGTATATGTTGCGTTGAACTATCGAGTGAGTACCTCCATTCGAGCTGAAAAAAATACAGTGGTTGAACTGCGAGGTAGTTGGGTGCGTTTGGCTGGCGGGCGGGCCACGGCCAACGGCACTGCCAATGCGGCATTGCATGACCAGCGCTTTGCTCCCGTCATGGTTGGCCACACTCGATCCAACGCACGGCGCTGCTCACTTCCGACGTGATCTTCCAGTGCAACACCGACTATCTCACCCGGGCCGTTGAGAACCAACCCGACGCGTACGATTTGAATATCCCGCCTGCGCTGCATGGACAGGACGTCTACACTTTTTTTCAGTGGATCACCAGGGGAAAGCGTCAACGCCACCGTCGCGCAGGTCCTGCAGGATTACTTGACTAGCTTTGTTCAAACTTCGTCCCCGCGGGGTTCCCCCAGTACGGTTGGCGTCGGCAACTGATGGCTTGGGGCAACGCAACGCCATTCACTTGACTCGCGACCCAACGGACCCTGGACGGTGTTCATTCTGGCAAACGGCACCCCATTAGCAGCCCACGTGAATGATCAGAAGAGGAAAATCGTCAGACTTGTTAATATTGTTGGTGAGGGTTGATCGTATGCGATCTCCGCAGAAGCACGCCATCCCGCGCGTCGATAGGGGAGGCTGTGAGTTCAGTCGGTGAGTCGGTTAGTGTTGGGGGCTGAGAGGGACGTGATGTCACGAAACCCCTCCTTGGACCCTTGACTGCGCCCTGATGTATTGATGTATATCCCTAAAGACTATGAACGAAAAGAGAAATGCACCGAGTCAGTTTGAGGCGAGGAATCCCATGCATATCCATACCCACTATCCACCTTCTCTCCCCCCCCCACTGCGCCAAATCGCACAGCCTGTCGCAGTGGGTCTTCTGAAACGCGATGAGCACCACGTTGGTAGGAGTTCTGAACAGGATCAAAGGAATCGGAGATCTTCTTTGGGGGTCTGCTATTATTAACCCTGGACGAACCTGAATGCCTGGTTATTCGGTGTTTTTCCCAGGATTCACCGGGTGAGACATCTTTTTTTTTTTCTTTCGCTAAGCTTTTGATCTCGGTGGATTCGCCCGAAGTTGTTAGGGGGATTTTAGGCGATTTGACGAGGCTTCAGGGGGTGAGGGTTAGGCACCCGCATTCTTTGTAGAGAGCACTGTAGAGAGGGCAATACGCAGTCTATCCTTGAGGAGAGAGAGAAGTCGCTATTTGCTATTGGCAGGGACTCTATTAGAATATGAGAAAGAGTAATTGGAAGAGTCAAGAGTAAGAATCGTAAATCCTGGGAATACGCAGCATGCTAAGCACACCAAGACTGTCGCGTACTACCAGCATCGCCAGGGTCTGATCGTCGCATCCCCACAGCCTCAGAGCCTCGCGATGGATCCAAGCTTGTCTTAAATTCTTGGCTTTTCCCTTTTCTTTGCTTCTCAGCACGCCCTCCCCCTACTCTACGCGCCATCTACCGTCGTTCCTCTTTCTTCCTCGACATACATTCCCCATCCACCATGCGTTGGCTGGTAGGTGCTCTCTGCCTGAGAATCGCTCTGGCCACGGCTCTCCCCGTGGCCAGTTCACACGAGATCCGTCTGCGCTATCTGCCTTCTCTCATGACTCCCGAGTCCGATGCAGAATCCTATCTGGTGAGTATGATCTTCTTGCAGCTGAAAATCGAGATATGCCGGGACTAATCACATCCGCAGTCGATCAACTGGTCTGTTCAAAATGGCAATCTCTACGCCAACAATGAACAGGTCTTCCCTCCGATAATACCGATGCAGTTCCATGCCCCTCGGTATGCCAGCTCAGGCAACAAGCTTCTCGGCGACACCGACCTGAAACTCTCCTATGCGCTCGACGCCCGCCGCCTCCCGCCGGCCAATGCGGGAGCCGAGGTCATGCGTCTGAGACTGGACGTGCTGGACCTGCAGAGCCAGCCCGTCACCCCGGGTGCCGTCGTGCTCTATCTGTTGTTGTCCCAGGACGGCGACCACCGGATCGACCGCATCCGCGTCGAGTTTGGCGCCTCGGGCGATGACCCTTCCCCTTACAAGGACCGGCCATGGCATCTCCAATCCTGGAACGCGCAGGTGAATCCCGCCGAACAGGAGGCCCCGTCCACCACCGAATCTTCTTCAAATGGCGTCCCGCACTCTGCAGACCCCCATACTGACACCACCTTCTCTGTCTGGACTCCCTCGACCCGTCCGCACCATCGCCCCCATCGCCCCAGCCAACCCTTCATGGGCCTCGTCCGCCCGATCCTGCTGCCTGCTCTAGTTGGAGCTATCCTGGGTGTTGTGGCCTGTGTGGTGGGTCTCGTGGTCGGGAATCTGCTCATGTCGCTGTTTACTTGTCTCGGATGGCGAAAGCGATCGGACCGGCAGTCCTGGATGTATTCTATGGATGATGAGAGCGTCACTGAAAAGTCCTTGCTGTCAGTGCCGCGCATTTCCGTGACAAATGCCGAGGATATATGATCAAAGGCATGGCATACTACGGATTTCCTTTTTTTTTCTTCTTCTTCTTCTTCTTCTTCTTGGATATTGATGGCGTTACTATGAGCATGAGCAACATCTTTTTTTTTTCTTTTTCTTTATTCTCTTTCCTTTCCATGTATACCTAAATGAACAGGTGCAAATACCGCTGTCTCAGAACTAGGCATCACAATATACCCCCGCTTAGACGTTTTTGAACATCAAGCACTTTTGGTTCACCCCCAGGCCGGCTGGCCCAATGGCAAGGCGCTTGACTACGACCCTATCGATTGAGGCAATCAAGAGATTGCAGGTTCGACCCCTGCGTCGGTCAGTATTTTTGCTTTTTGCTGATTGAAACAATAGAATCAACGGGGTGGATATCAGAAATTTCTGAGGGTCCACCGGTTCCATCGGAACCCTACCCGGCTCGGGGTGGTCAGCATCGCCGATGATGTAGTGAAGTGGGTATACTTCGGACTGAATAAGAGTCAATTGATTTCACTTTAGGCTGCAGCGACAGTTGTGTTTCAAAAATGCTGTGCCTTGGCCTGGCTGGTTTTTGTGTAATCTTCTGCGAACTCCTGCGCTACGACTATGACCGTCAAGAGATTCAGTAGCCAATGCCACTTTTCGATTTCTAGCCACCAAGGCCAATCTCGTGGGTAGTCCAGGTGTAATAAAGAATAAGTCCATCTTATTTATACTCTCCGCATAGAGATTCCGAAAGCCCCATATTAACTCCGAGCAAGGCAGCGCAGTCCCCAGGTGAAACTCTTCATTGCCTACCTACGCAAATATCCGTTTGCTGATCGAACGATCATGGCCGCGATACGGTCGGACCTTGCTCATCCAGATCGACATTGACCTCCCAGAAGTCATTGAGCGTCGAGGAAAAGTTCTGCCTGTTTCTTTACCGGGGCGAGACTATTCCCTAAATGGGTTGGGATGTTCTTGACGAGGACTTGGCTCCATGATATCCAAGTTTCTGGGCCCCGTGCTAGTGATCATGGAAGGATTGCTAGCCTATCTCCCCGAGAAAGATGCAAGAGGGCTTTTGCGACGGATCTGCCAGAGATTTGCAGAAGGGGAAACCATTTTCGAGAGTGTCAGGTTTGCTGTGCTGAAATGACTCAATCGGCCAGACTCGATGAACGCCATTGCCGCCACTGGGGTCGTATTCCAATCGTCTAATTGACGACCCAAGGGCCTTGGAAGCTCTTCATCCACATCTCAAATTGGCTGAATCTACCCCTGGTACACAGGCTTAAGGCACCGAAAAGTTTCCTCTTCTCGGTCGCATGCTGATGTATCTCAGCTCGTGGTTTCCAAGTGGACGTGATTCAGCCAGGCTCCTACGCTTCCGATTTGGTGAGCGGAAGGTGCTTGGATCGTAGAATTTTGATTAGATCTCCTAGGTTACTATATTTTATAGTAACTCAAAGCTTTCATACTCATTATACGCCATAAATTTGTATATGATGAGGTAGATAGTCGATCACGGAACTCCGTGACACGACCACCCGACTCCGATGCCCTTGGCACTTGGCACAGTGCGAAAATATTGATAACATCTATATACATACAAGAAGAATAAGATCAAGAATTGGATTTCATGGGCTTCTTGTCCAACGTTTATCTGATTTAAAAGGTTTTATCATGTGCTCGATATATCCATTAGCTCACGATGATTACTACTCTTTTTGCTTCTCTATATTCCTTCTATTATTGGTTTTCGCTTGTTTCTTTCTATTTTTCTTCTATTTTCCCTAGTATTCTTCTTAATGTCGGTTTTGAAGGCGCTGTATAGAGAGAATGTTTGCTCACGCTAATTGCTAGATGAACGTCACGTAGGCATTGACAAACTCGAAAATCGACATATCACAGCCCAGTCACATATTGTTATATTATAAACAACGATAGTCACAAGGCTCCTTTCAATCCACCTCTCTCGACTCCACCCCAGATCACAAATTTGGGTTCGAACCCTTTACCCGCCTTCCCGGTTTGACTCAATCCTTCGTCCACAGGCAGCAACACAACATTTTCCGGGTAGAGCTTCCCCAGAATTGCTAAGGCAACAACAGGATTTTGCACGGATATGACGTGGACGCCACCTGCCTTGGCCGTCAGAAGGCCGGTGTCGGGTGTCTCCAGGAGGGTAGTAGGGTCATGGAATATAGGTTGAGTGTGCTTGGAGACTCCCTGAACCGTCCCGTCTTCGTGCAGGGAGGGATCTTGTGCGAAATAGGAATAGCGATGGCCGCGAGCGATTTGGCCTAAGTCGACAGCAACGCATTTCCCATTGGGCAATTCGAGACGCAGTTCCAGTTGGCGAACATTTCCAGCCGCCGAGTCGGGCACAAGTCCCACGGCACCGCCCACTGAGAGGGTCTGTGGCTTATCTTTAGGATCCAGATGCTCGGGTGCATGACGTTGAATTCCTGCTGGAATTTCATTGCGTGGAGCAGAATAGTAATCTTCGAAACGATTGGCGAAGAGAATGTCGGTCACCGTCGAGTCGACTTTGGTCGGGAAGTATTGCAGCAAGTGCAAAGGGGTCGGCCCACCCGAGAGGAATGCAGGCAGAATAGTTCCATGCGCGTACTGGAACCCATAGCCCGCGCTGGTCGTGTGCCGGAGGCCCGGGGCCAAAAGGGCTTTGGCGTATGTCACGATGCCTCGCTGGGTGACATGCTTGGTGAACAGTTCTGCCAGAAACTGAGTTCTGGCTGGCTCCAAATGGCGGATACCCCGCGCAGCCGTACCATCGACGGGAATGAGGACATCTTGGTAGTTCTGGAATGGTAAAAGAGCGTCGCGGAGGAGGACCATCTGATGCATGTATTCGTTGAACAGCTGCATCAGATGCGGCTGGCTTCGGTCGCCAAACATCAGGTCCACGTTGGATGGAATGAGCAGATGTCCCTCGCAGGGGCTGCGAAGGTACATGTTCGGATCGAAAGCCGTGGTGCTGGACTCACGAGCCCACTGCACCAGGGTCTTGCCGATCCGCGTGGCTTGTACATTGATCTCCTTCCGCGAGACGTCGAGAGGCTCGGTGAGACGAAGGGTGCCCTCACGGGTGTCGGTTGCCAAATTGGCGGCCACGTTATCCAAGAGACGGGCACGCGCCGGCTTGGAGCTGGTGGGATCTTGCCCCAACCGGGATACAATGACATCGAGCAGAGGTGCAAAGCTCTTTACCAGTTGGTGTGGCGTGTACACGCCCGACCGCAACCCCCAGGCTTCAGTCAATGGGCTGGGATCGCGCAGACCCCCGTCGGCATTGGGTGTGATTTTCTGGCCAATAATGAGGCCATCAAGACCTGAAAGGCGATACATGTTGTCGGTGACAGTCATGGCGGCGACTCGAGCAAGCATATGGAGAAACAAAACAAACAATAGGACAGCTATGTTTTGCATTGCAAAAGAAACCCTCTAAGAGAGGCATCCCAGGCCTCTTTATACTCGGCAAACCATGAGGTCAAACTGCCACCGGAGGCAATTGGTCTCGCGGAGTCCCGAGGTCGGGTGTCGGATGGACGCTCTGACAAATCGGACACGCATCTCCGAAGGCAAAGAAAATGAAAAAATCGCATCACAGTCAGATTTATCATTGAGCTCAAGAAAATTGTTTCAGGGCACAGAGGATCACAAAAGCCCGGAGTTCGTCGGAACCGCCAAAGCCCGCCGTGTGGACAAGATTTGCCAGCAAGTATTCTTTCGAGAAGTTTGAAAGCAAATAACCAAGAGTCATGGTGTCGGATCCCAATTGGAATGCGGAGAAGAGGTCAGTGGATGAAGCATTGTTCTCCGAGAAATCCTTGGTGAGTGTCCAGTCCTGGTCGGTCCGCGCAGACCACAGGGCATGGCTACACGGCAGGGGCAAGTTCAAGATCAGCTCGTCATCCAATGGCTCATAATAGGGCGACTGTCTGCCACCCTCAAGGTCATAATTGCTCAAGAAGTGGACGATATTGGCAAGGAATATCGTGCGCCGAGCCGTCTCGGCTACTTGCCACTGGACCCAGGTGTATAAAAGCGATTGGGTCGATCCCAACATTAGGCCCCGGTCGGAAGCATCGAGATGCGAATGAATAAAACCCTTTGTCATCTTGGCGAGAAACGGCGACTTTAGACCTTTCGCATGTGTCTTTTGCTTCCAATCCTCCTTCGTGTCCTCTGAAGACGCTCGCAGTTCCAGGATTCCATATATGAGCATCGCATGCAACGCATCCAACTGCTGCATGCATTGGTAGCTGGGATATGATTCGATCAGCCGTTGGCGCTCAACATCCATCGCGTGTCGAGCAAACCGTATCCCGTCTGTGGTTTCCATGGCACTCCCGCAGCAGATTGCCATAGAGGATTTCACGAGCGTTGCCATATCCGGCACCTCCTGCTCATACAGAGCGCGATGAAGAAAAGGGGAGCAAAAGTCATGACGGAGAAGCGACTTTGGGTATTGCCCCAGCAGGTGAACCAGGTCCTGTAGCGAGCAATCCACATGGTCTTGAGTCAAGTCTGGAAAACCAGACATGGAGAGCTCAAAGGGTGATAGTTGAAAATTTTCAAGTGGCCATGATGCTTCATCTGGTCCTGCCAATTCGCGGGGATCTTCGAGTCTTGTAAATTTTGCAGCAGCTTCTGGCGCTGTTGAGAGATACTCGCAAGGAGCGCCTCGAGCGGCACATCGGGAACAGGATGGCTGAGTGTAGCTGCATTTCGCTTTCGCTTGGACACAAGCATTACAAGCCCTGCGGCGGGTTGGCGGCTTTTGAGAGCCCCGGCAACGCCGCCGATGGCGCATTAGCAAATCTCCTATATCTCATGTCAGAGAGTCGTAGCTGCACGGTAGCAGGGAGACTTACGGCGCTGATAATTCTTGAGACACATGTCGCAGACATGGTCAATCTCGAGTGTGGGCTCCGCCATCACAGCAGCAATATCAATTCTGGATATTACGTTGGTCCAGGTCCCTAATGGTGAGTATTCTGCGCAGGGTAGTGCTAAGGGAGAACAGGTGTAGATGGATTCGGATTTGTAATCGAAGCTTGGTGTCAGTGGGGTCGACAATTACAGTGCATTGCAGACAACCGGATAGCAAGGGCATCACACTAGTGATAATTATCAGTTCGGCCAGGTTCAACGAGCTCTATGATCAGTTTGAATTTTGGTGGTGAACGGATGGGAAGTCTAAGGTGCGCTCCGACATGATCGCCAAAACCCATAGACGCTGCCTGAGAAAAAGGGCGCCAACACCAACAAGCTGCTAACTTCTGAACGTGATTATACCCATGACATTCACATCTAATATATATAGATGTTTATTTAGATCAATTGTCTGTCTGTTCTCTAGATGAAGACGGATTTTCAGTCTCCTCTTTTAGTAGGGATAAGACAGGTTGGCGAAAATCATTCAAGTAGCCATGCGGATGTCCCGTCCCCTATAGTATTATAAAATAAAAATTAGGTACACTAACAAGAATACTTGGATAATATTTACAAAAACATTTAGGAAAGATAACAAAAAAATAATAATATATGAAAAGGGAAAAAGAAGATGGGGAAAAAAGCAAAGAAGTTAAGTAATATAAAGAAGGTAACTACTAACGAGAAACAAAAAAAAAAAAAAAAAAAAACCATTATAAACTACTATAAACTATATATCAAGCAAGTAATAAAGCATTTCGAATGAAACAAAGGCTAGATCATAAGCCTTTAAAATATACTTCTTACTCTCTCCACTATACCTCCGAAAGCCGCCTGAGCAAAGAGATGGTCAGTATCTTGTCCATGCATATCTTACAGTCCCTCTCCCTTATAATATGCCCCTAATTCTATATAGAAAGCCAACTCGAGCTACTCTGGTAGAATTGGCTTTTAAAAGCAAAACTCGATCGGTAATGCAATGTCCCATAGATGGATCGTCTGGGGCCGTTTCGAGGGGTGCAGCGGGCGCCATTTTTGTTGTTGTTATTATTGGCCCTTCATGGAGCGCTTTGACAGACCAAGTTATTGCTCTGTATGATCGGCCCCCTGGGGCTTGCAAGTGGAGACTGCCAAAGGAGCAAGTCCCCCAAATTGGCCCCCGGTGGTTCAATACAAGGAAGTATACGGCCAAGCCCCCCCCCCCCCCTCCTATGGCAGCCAGCACCCATAACCCTAACGACCCAAAATAGGATTGCCCCCCTGCTGTGCCGAAAAATAGTGCTTCCACGTGTAGGCTGTTTGAGTCTGTGATTAGCGGAGCTTAACTATAGCTGTGGCACTTTTTCCTTTTTCGTTTGACAGGGACCACTCGCGAGATTGACCCTCACGAATGGCTGGGTACAGAACTTGCACGAGGTTGGACCCTGGATGATGTGAAGAAATATGGGAATTTTATAAGATTGTAGCCAATTTGCAAGCAGGAAAATGGATGGGACCTGGGATTTTGTCAATCAATCAACACCTCTTATATAATTCTGCGAATTTCCACGTCGAGACCATTGGCTTTTGGTATGCGAGTACTCAGCATCAGGCGGCTGGTACTGGCATTGGCTGGATTAGCCTTGTCAACTGCTCTACCTAAGAGTAACAGCGATGGTGCTACACCTGGGAGAGCGATATCCACTGGATCAGCCAACATCGGCAGTATTATCCATTCATCTCAAGTGCCAAAACCACACTCAACCACACATAAAATTGCCGCGAGTTCTGCTTCTGGTCACCCCCCGAATCGGACCGGGGTGAGAAAAGCCAACAGCGATACCAAGGTGGGATTTCCTGCGTCCGGCCCTTGGCTCGAAGCATCATGCGACGTGGTCAAGGGACCCAAGACCTGGGACGAGATGTGGAAGGCGGCGTCCGGCTCAGGTATGAGATTCATTGAAGAGACCTATCAACACAAGAAACTCGTAGCTAACAAACTGCCGATTCACACAGAGGCATGGGACCAGGCAATGAAAGCTTTCAAAAAAGACTTGGAAGACCCCAATGGACTCCACTGGCCCTTTGACCGATGGCTATGGTCTGCGTCCGGTGGACTTGAGAATCCTCGTTGCGTGGACCCCGACAGCACCCATTGTACTCGGTTCGAATGTGGCGACAACCAAGACTCGCTGAAACCAGCCGGTGCTCTTATGATGTTAGCTCTCTCGGGCCTTCAGCAAATGGTGCACGAAACCAAAATTGCAATGGACGAAGCCCACTCCACTGTCAATGGGGTTATTGGCGAGTTCAGAGAGACATTCACCCGAATGCCAGACCACCATTTGGAAATGGCTATTGTGAAGATGTTCATTGATGCGGCCACCTTCAGTCTGGGGATTGGAAGTGCATTTGTGTGGAATGTTTGTGAGTCGAATGCTTCAGTTGTTCCTGGTTTGAATTGACTAACACCCGAGTAGTTGCCAGAGAGGCACAGTGGTTTACCAAAGGTAATTTCTTGAAGGTCTATTTATTTTTTGTGTTTGGCAGCTAACTCAATACCAGATGATAATCTCCGGAGCGCTTTCAAAGATATCTCCAATGCCGGTATTGCCTTTAGCGCAGTCGCCCCCAAGGACCACATGAAGTAAGTCATGTCCTCTCTCCCAAGGTATAGGACCATTCAACTAATATTTCCTTGGCTATAGGGCTAAGGACGAAACACTATCAATCCAGAACCTCGTCAGTGGATTGGCAACAGAATTCATTGACGAAACCATCAACAACCTGGTTGGATTCCTCAACCATACCGTCTACGCCCAGGACGACAAATCTCAGTCGCTTCTGCACCATATCGTGGCTGATGGGATTGGCTACTCTTTCCAGACCCTCAACTATGTGTCTAACACAATCAAAGCCAGCGTCCTGAAGCTCTTTTACGGAAAGATGATCCCCCAGGCCTGGTCGATATCCGTTGAACACCAGGAGCCTTTCATCCTGTGAGAAACCTTCCTCGTTCAAAGCACTTCAAATATTAATTCTCTGCTGCAAATAGACGTGTTCCTAATGACCTGTACAAATGTGGAGACCCCGTCGAGCAGCCCCAGAGTGAAGATGACAAGAAGGGATTCAATCTGGGGATGTGGATGACGGGTAAAACAGCAAAGGAGACACAAGTCTGTCTTGATGAGTATGTCATATGTGCCCCTGTATGCAAATTTGATCCTTCTGAATACTGACCAGAATGGCAATGGGTTTAGTGCGGTCTACTTTGTCCTCAACGCAAGGTATGATGAAGACCATATTTGCGATGGCAACAACACAGGTCATGTCGGCGACTGGGATAATTGCTTGCATAACTACGTGCACACGGTCTTCGGCACACTGGCTGGTGGCGACTCAAAGACTCTGGATGGCGAGCAGTGGGGAGGAGTCACGTTGAAGTGAGTTAGCCCTGGCGTCGAGCATCTCGGACGAAGAACTAAACGCATTCGCGGAAGTAGAGACATGCTGGTGAGCAGCATGGGAGCATTTGTGGCCAACGGCTTCAAAAATGGTTACGTGAGTTCCCCCAAATTCTCTGAGCCCAATGCAATATTCGTTGCTCATGCATAGCTTGCATCGGTCCAGCAAATGGAAGAGACGAGTTCCCTTCACGTCGATTCCGCTCTCACCAAGGTCGAAGACAGCGGTGTCAGTTTCTTCGACGATATCAAAACGCCCGGGTTCTTCAATTTCACCATTTGCTTTGATCCCTGGGAAGCAGTCGCGAGCGTCCTGCAATTCCGCCACCCACCGTGTGCCGAGAGCCCAAAGCTGGGTGATTATTATACAAAACCCAAAAACGAGGCCGGGTACACAGCAGGCTGGTGCACGCTTCACGTCTCGCAGTATCAAAAGGACGCGGGTCAAGACAATCCCCTCGACACGGATCAAATCGCCGTGTCTATATTCGACGACCAGCAGCGAACAATCGGATCTGCGCCCAAGCAACCAGGAGACCCGGCCATTTCCATCAAGAGCAAGCTGCCCTCAGACCTCATTGTCAAGGTCGACGACGATGACTACGTGCATTTCTGGTACGCAGATCAGTACTGGCGCAGTGACGACAACAATCATCAATGCGACTTCAAAAAGTTCGACGGCCCAACCCACAAGCGGGAAGCCTCGTGCGGCTGGGTTTGCAAAAACCCAGCCGCAGAGGCGAAAGGACCTCCGTCGAAAGCACCCCCAAAGAATGTGCAGCCAGCATATTCAGGAACGGGCGATGGCGCTCAAACAGCCGGCGCCAAGTCGTACAAGAAGGGGAAATGCAAGATCCAGATCCGCCAGTACCAGCGCAACGAGATGCATAACTATCTGAACCCGGGGGAGTATTCACTCGAAATGGCACTGCTCGACGACAAGAAAAACCTCATCGCGTACACCAGGAAGACTAAGGCGCCCCCGGCAAAGGAATTGCCATCCAGGGACCACTGGAATTCATTGTGTTGTGCTCGACGGGCAAGACGGACAGCGATCCGATCAGTTGCTCATATGGCGCCCACGACTGGAAAACAGACGAACACGACGACTCTACTCCTCCGGTTCTGCCTGGTCTTGGAGGAGGGTATATTCCTCCTAGCTCTTATTCCAAATCCGGGCCATGTACCATCTCTAGTTTTGACGGAGGGATTCGCGACGCGTCTTGCACCTTTGCTTGTTGATTTTTCGACACTGTCGATCCTCTCTTTTCAGTTAGACATTAGACAATAGACATTCGAGTTGTGGCGTCAGCGTTGAGCTTGGGCTCCAATGTGATATCGAGCTATTGGCATAGATATAACGAAGTGGACCTTGATAAGACGGAAATCCTTTGGAGGGATTTTTTGTTTTGTTTTGTTTTGTTTTTCTCGAGAAAGTGTCAGGAAAATGTTCACGATGTGTCCTCGGGTAACTAGAAAGGTCAAACCGGGTTGTTTTTCTTCACGTATTTGTTGTAGGTACCGGGTACTTCCACTAACTATGGAGTGCCTATGTCCAGGCAGGTACTCAGGACTCAGCCGTGGAGAAAAGAAAACAGCCCGGGCGGTATGAGTCAGCATTTACTCACGTGATACATGGTCCCAGTGGACCCGCGTTGCATTCATTTCCGCCACAACAATTTCCCTTCGATCGCAGTCGAGGACATTGTCATCCGCAAGGACAAGAGGCCATCTTTATAATGATATGCATCGACGCAGGACCTTCGTGCAGACCGCAAGACAAGCCTTTGCCGAGCACGAGGGACATTCTTTTCACCGGCTCTCGCTTCTCGCGACTCGACTCCACACCTCGGAATGACCGAGAGGGATCGACCGAGGTACTGTCCCCGCTGTGGCTGGAGCCCTGGAAATCAATAGTGCGATCGGAGATTCGATCTATCCAACTAGTCGGATTATTAGCTTAGGTCGAGCATTGCGGTCGATCACCCAGCGCCACTCAGTCCCTGGTGTTTTAGCTGAAGAGCTACCCATTGGGTTCTGCCAGTCGGGCAATGGTGATCCAAGTGCATGCAGGAGCAAAAACTAAAATTGTCATGGGAATTGCCTGCTTTTCCGCGAGTCATACTGGTAGCCAACACATCTCCTACGCGATACATCATTTGGAATTCAACCAGGGTTTGCCAGGCAAAAGAAAAAGAAAGTCAAACTCAAAGCCCGAGCTCACTGGGGCCCTGATGGGGTTCCTTGGGGCGTGGAACGGGCCTATAAGAAGCTCATCCAGGTGCAAGCGATCTCCGCCAGGGCGATCGATCCCCCATTCAGACCAAGATTCCAGCGTATAGGGTGAATCTTGCCAGCGTCATGACTTCATTCTGCTTCCCACGAACAGGTCCTGTGGGTTGCAATTTCTCGCTTCAGCCACGTTGGCTGGGCAGCATCGATGCAGGTGTTGCACCTCCCTCCCCCAGCAGGTAATTCGCACGGCCGATCCCTTCGATCCGGGTTCGTTTCTCGCCCAAATTGAGAAAAAAAAAAAAAAAAAAAAAAAGAGTACGTGCAGGGTTTGGCTCGCTGCGGGATTACTTCGTTTATAAAAGGCCTTTGCCGGATTTCTCGCCCCTGAAACCTTTCTCAATCCAGCTCATCTATACCTGAAGTCTTTTCTCCTTCCTCATCTTCTTTTTGTTTCTCCAAAACACCCCCTTCCCAAATCCATCACAATGAAGTCCTTCTCCGCTGTCGCTGTCCTGCTGGCTGCTGCCGGCATGGCCTCTGCTGCCGACCTGTCCGCCTCTAAGTGCGCTGTAAGTGTTCTTGTTGCGCTATATGCTCGGCATTAATGACTGATCATGGATGTTGTCAATAGCAAATGTGCATTTCCAACATGCACGAGAAGGCGTCGGAGCTTCACTGTAAGCCCAACGACCTGGACTGTCTGTGCAAGTCTGAGAACTTCCGCTTCGGTATCCGCGACTGCACCAAGGAGGCCTGCCCCGAGGACAACTCCGACAAGGTCGTCGAGATGGCCGTCAAGAAGTGCCCTAGTGCGTCATCTCCAACTCGTGTTTTTCGTACGAAGCAGTCACGCTAACCAATAAATTACAGACGGCGCTGCTGGTGGTGGCAAGGACTCTGGCTCGGAGACCTCCACTGGCTCCGGCAGTGACTCGACTGGCACCGCCACTGGCGGCGCTGGCTCGCACACCTCGGGCGGTAGCGGTAGCGGTAGCGACAGCACCGGCAGCCCTAGCAAGACCGGCTCGGCCGGCAAGGTAAGCAGCTCCCTGGAGATTTATTACTCGATCGCCCAAGACTGACCGACTGTGTAGACTACTGGCTCCGCCGGTGCCTCCAACGGTGCTTCCAGCACTATGATGACCGCCACCAGCTCTGGCAAGGGCTCTTCTGAGACTGGCAAGGGTGGCTCTGGCTCCGGCTCCGGTGGCTCCAGCTCCGGCTCTGGCTCTGGCTCTGGCTCTGGCTCTGGCTCTGGCTCTGGCTCTGGCTCTGCTTCCTCCTCGTCCAGCGGTGGTGCTGCCCAGCCCATGGCTACCGTCGGCAGCGGTGCCGCCGGTGTTCTGGGCCTGGCCGCCCTGCTGGCCCTGTAAATTCAGGACGTGTGAAGAGATCAAGCGCTCGGGTTCAACCTGGCGCCCACTCTCACTGTAATGGTTACGATTCATGTGTCGCCCTCTGGCTTGTACAGGATTGGACACGCGGTCATGACGGTTTATTGTCTTCTTGTCGCTCCACAGCAGTTAATCTAATGTCGATCCGACTTAATCATCATGTGGATGTTTCATGTGAATGTGGACTATGCTCCTTCGCTGGACAACACACCGAATAGGCCGAAAGGTGTCTTTGGACGTAGTAATCTCAGTAACTGAAGTAGTTGAAGTAATCGCAGGAGATCAATGCACAATCTGAACCTACCAAAGGCGCCAATCTACGCTGAATGTGGCCATCCTTTATTCCGCCGGAAAGCTGCACGGACATCATCGCGTTTCCCGTTCACCCGGACGCCCTCGGTGCCCGCCGACGTAATATCACAACCCCGGACAAAAGAACCTCGTCTCCATAAATCCATAAATGAACCGCTGGTCGCTCTTCTAAGCTGACCAGCTCAGGTGCAAGCCCATCGTGTCCCTCGGTGGTTTTTACGGGAAGCCGGTTTCTCCGCGCCGAGCCGAGGCACATTGCGGTCCGGGGAAAGCGTCATTGGAGTCACCTTTTTTCTTTGCGCAATACTTCTTCGCTCTTCTTTTCTTTTTCTTTCCTCTTTCTCGCGTGATATCTTTCTCCCTCCCCCTCTCCTATTCTCTGTCCCTTCTAGCTCCCTTCTCCATCCCTTCTCCCTAGATCTCATCATGTCCACCTCCACTTCTCCCCCGCAGCAGCTCAAGGACGAAGTCCAGGTCGCCGAGACCAAGCCGGTCAACCAGACTATTGCCCAGTTGCGCTCCTTTGCCGCGGGCGGTGCTGGTGGTCTCTGTGCAGTGATTGTCGGACACCCTTTCGATCTGGTCAAGGTCCGACTGCAAACTGCGGAACGGGGTGTCTATGCGGGCGCAATGGATGTCGTGAGGAAGACGGTTGCCCGGGAAGGTCTAGCTCGAGTACGCGTCAAAATGGAGTCAACATTTAGAAGCAGAGCTAATACCGCCATGTTATAGGGGTTGTATGCTGGTGTGTCCGCGCCGCTGGTCGGAGTGACCCCGATGTGTAAGTTCACTCTGCTGTCGGCGCCAATGGCCCCCTGGGAAGCATTACCCTGAAATCCGAGCTAATCTCATGGTGTCATAGTTGCTGTTAGTTTCTGGGTATGTACCGACGCCCCGAGTGTCCCCGCGGGGTCATCTGGCGAACCGTGATTCTAATCGCGCCTCCAGGGATACGACCTGGGCAAGACCATTGTGGGCAAGCTGTCGACCGTGCCGGTGGAGAACAACACCCCACAATACTCGATTGCGCAGATCTCCTCGGCCGGGTTCTTCTCGGCCATTCCCATGACGCTGATCACGGCGCCCTTCGAGCGTGTCAAGGTCCTCCTGCAGATCCAGGGTCAAAACCCACCGCCCCCAGGACAGAAGCCCAAGTACTCGGGTGGTGTGGACGTGGTGCGACAGCTGTACAAGGAGGGCGGCATCCGCAGTGTGTTCCGTGGGAGTGCCATGACGCTGGCCCGTGATGGACCCGGCTCGGCCGCCTACTTCGCGGCCTACGAGTATATCAAGCGGTCGTTGACCCCCAAGGATGAGAATGGTAACATCACCGGCGAGCTGTCTCTGCCTGCGGTGTTGACGGCGGGTGGTGCGGCCGGTATTGCCATGTGGATCCCTGTCTTCCCCGTCGACACCATCAAGTCTCGCCTGCAGAGTGCCCCAGGCAAGCCGACGATCGGCGGCACCATCAGTGCTGTGTATGCCAGTGGCGGCTACAAGGCCTTCTTCCCTGGCTTCGGACCGGCTCTGGCGCGTGCTGTGCCGGCTAACGCAGCCACTTTGTAAGTGCCCTGTTTTATGTCTGATTTTCTGGTCGGAACTAACCATCCGACAGCCTGGGTGTGGAACTGGCGCACAAGTTCATGAAGAAGATGTTTGACGACTAAGCACCAACCGGGAGGTTGATGCTTATGTATATATCTCCTTGTGTCCTCTTTGGTTTCTTTTCTTTTCTTTTCTTGTTGCAGCGTGGTCTTTGTCCATCCACGGGTGGATCTTATTTGGGCTGATTGACCCGCATGTCTGGGATTCTTCATAGAGATCTGCATTGGCATAGATTGGGTTTCCTGCCTATCAAAGGGGCGTTGAACACCGGATCGCAGACACATTTCGCCTGTACAAAGTAATTTCGGGCATTTGTCGCAAATTTGAGTCATGCTAGTTGGGTTTCTTTGGTCAAGCTACGGTTCTTCCGGAACGACTCGGCTTTGTTGAGGCTCTCCGGCACGTTTTTCTTCGGTCCTAACGCCCTGGCCCCACTGTTAAAGGCAGAATAAGCGAGGCGATGGATTGGCTAAGCCTGGTGGCATCCACTTGGGCTCGTACATTGCACCAACTTGGGATAGTGTAGGTTTAAATACAGAATGGAAGCCAATAGATGCTGATTTAGACTGTTGGAAACGAGGTCGGAGCAAATCATAGAAACCCTCCGATGAGCTAAGGGGGTTCTATATTTAACCTTTAAAAATGAATGCAGCTCGACCTCTTAGAGTACCATGATAGATGGGAAAAGAAAGTACGAAAGGATGGTGAAGGGACTCTGAGAATAGAAACAGCCTGGGAGACGGTGATGTCCAATACGGTCAGAGAGTGAGGGAGAGAGAGAAAGAGGCACTTGAAGGTACCGGCACTTGGGTGGGGGCTTGCGGGACATCCGGGTACCACCCAAGTACCGCCCTATGCTGCCTATTTCCCATCGATAAAAGGGCCCCAACGCCCCCCTCTCCATCTCACTTGCTGATTCTTTTTGTTCTTCTTCCCTTCCACCCAATTTCTATCCACCTCTCATAGTGGTGCCACTATCACCATGACCTACAGCAGTTTTCTCGTGCGCCGAGGCACTGAGCTTGCCTCTGCTCATTTCAAGGATGCTGATAAGCAGCCCAAGGAGCCCCCCGCCGGCCTGGTGGCCCTACTCTTCCTGACCTTTTTCCTGCTGTTCGTGGCCATGGCGGCTGTAAGTAGCATCGAAACCCCTCTGTGCATTTTCGCCAGGCTGATTCTGGATGGTTGCAGGTGGAATACACGTTCGGCATGGTCGTGGCGACCCTGACCGCGATTGAAGACACCCATCCCGATATTTACGTGCGCATCGATGCTGATGCCGATGTCGACCCAAACAAGCCTGTCGACTTTAACGAGCCCGAGCTGGCGACCGCGACTCCTCCCAAACCCATCACCAGCAAACTACGCACCACCATCAAACACCTGCGCGCCCGTGCCGGGTTCTGGTCTGGGTTTCGCGGTCTGAGCCTATATCTAGCATACTCGGGACTACGTGGCTTCATCTCATCGTTCATCCCCGTCCCCACCACATCGTTCTTCGGCCAGTTTGTCATCCAGTCGCTGCTTAGCGTGCTTCTGTCGACCTGGCAGATGGCCTGGGTGCACATCGTCATTTCCGAGCCTTCCCCCAAGCGCTTCTACCAGCGCATTCCCAGCTGGAGGACTTGGATCAAGATCGCCCCGGCTGCTGCTCTGGAGAATATCCTTACCGCCGCCGCTTTCTTCCTTCCCATGGCCGTTGCCAGCTTCGCCGGCTGGGTCGACACCTCCAACGACAAGGGCGTCCCTCCCCTCGTGGCCCTCTACCGCTTTATGGGCGTCAGCGTCGTGCCGGCCCTACTGGCCTTCCTGATCTCCGTCCCTGCTCGTGTGGTTTTCATCCGGGTGGCCGCCTCCATGCTGCCCGAGGAAGACGAGTCCATTGTGCCGTTCGACCGCTCCTTCGGCGGCAAGGTGAACCCAGCTATTCTGGGCGGCAGTGGCTGCATCAGCCTCATCGAGGCCTGGACCACGTTTGACTGGTCTGCTCGCGTGCGCTTTGCCAAGGTTATTGGCAAGACCTTTGCGATCGAGGTGGCGCTGGGGATTTTCTTCGTCTTGGTGCTTGGCGGCCAGCTGTTCATGTTGGGTACCGACAACCTGCACAATGCGGCTGGCTCCAAGCCTAACCATGCGTAGAGTCTTGGTTGAATTGGACAGAATTGGACATACGACTGATGGGTTGAAATAGCCGCTGTACACACTCCTTCACCTGTCCCCTCACTCGTCACTGTTTATACATGTGAGGCTAGAGCTTCCTTAATACCTTAACATAACACCTACACGGAACCGATTTCTTTCCCATGCGTATTCGTCTTCCCTTTTTCTCGTATATTCTATCTTGCCATGTTGAGAGGTTTGGGGTCCAGGTTTCCTGAATTCCAAGGTTGGCAGGTAACTTGGCTATCTAATTCGAGTTTCATGGAATCCTGAAATATTTGGCCGTTGAAGACAAGGCAGTTGTTCTTTTCTACTACCATGGGACTTGAGCGCAGCCTATTTTGTAGTTGACGTTAGGTCGTATCCTATTAGGGGTGGTAAAGTGTATATATAGCATGATCAACGCCGTGGATATGCCCGTTCTCCGACGAAATTGAACAGCAAAGAAGGATATGCCCAGAAAGAATAAATCCTGAATTGGTTTTTCTTGAACCCTATACTTTTATTAGTTCATTGTTTCCTAAAATGGAATCGATTTATCAAGCTGGCCCCTCGGCCGATTGGTATACCGGTCACCTTTATAGACGGATTGGGTCTTTTCCAGGTCGTCTTGGTCCAACATATAATCTGAGATGGGCTTTACAGAAGTGCCCACGAGGGGAGCGAAACGGTGGACGTGAGATGTGTGGGATAACATCCCAAGCACCTCAGATTCTTCAATGAAGGACTTGTCCTCTCCATACCACGAAGACAAAGACTCGGATCTGCCAACCCGACTGGTGGAGGAGGAAAAGGAGACGGGATGAAGATGTGAGATGGTATATATGGCATGAAGCCAAGTTAGTACAGCTACATCTAGTTCATAAGGATAGTATGGGGAAGGAATATTAGCAATAGGTTCTGGGTATCTTGACTTGTTTACTTCAGAAAATCGAGTGTTTTGAATCCGATATACATGTAGCATCATGTGATAGTCTGGACCAAAGTCACATGACATAGACTGAGTAAACTCTGGTTTACATGGTTTGCATCAGTCGGGTATTTCATGATGCTGCTGGGTAACACCTTCTTGTTGCCTCTGGCCTATTAGACAGATCAAGGAAATTTATGTATGGATGCTGATATGTTCATCTCGTATCTAAAGGGAATTCCAAAGAAATTGATATTTAATTAGACTAATCCATAATATTCTCCGGGAGCTCTATTGTATGAACCCACCCTAATGGGCCTAGGAACAGCCTATTTTCTGAACTCATGACCAGGAATTATCATAGAGTATCTTAGGGGGAATTCGCTGTTTTCGTTGTTCATATATCAGACATCGAAGTCTCCTGAAGGGTAGAACTTCCCACCTTTCATCTTAACGTTCTATATCTCCCCGCAATCTTCACCGCCTTGGCGACTTTTTGCCTTCGAGGTCCCCTCACCTGAGTGCCTTTCTGCTTTCTCTGTTCTCCGGTGCTCCAAGAACTGCGAAGAGAAAAAAAAAGGATATTGAGAGACAAACATTTGTCTTGATCTGTTTCCTCCCCTTTGTCTCACCTCAACCCCCTGAACCACCCCGATGGCCACTTCACCCGCCGGCCGTATGCTGTCCCGCCAGCTGCAGCAGATGCAGTCTGATAAGGATATTCCTGGCATCAGCTGTGGCTTGGTCGATAACAACGTCTTTGAATGGGAGGTCATGCTGATGATCTCTGATGATGTGAAACTTTACGGCGGTATGTGATCCTTGTGTCATTTTCGCCCCCTAAGTGATGTGCCATCGCGTTCTGACACTGATCTAGGAGGATTCTTCCGCGCTCGCCTTTCTTTCCCATCCGAGTACCCTCACAGGCCGCCGAAAATGAAATTCGAGTCGCCGCTTTTCCATCCTAATAGTATGTTTTTTTTTCTCTCCTGTCGCTCGTTTCTAGTCCTACCAGCCGAGGAGGTATATACTAACCACCTAAATCCCTTTTTTTGGGAATCATAGTCTACCCCGACGGTGAAGTCTGCATCTCCATTTTGCACCCGCCCGAGGAAGATAAATACGGCTATGAATCAGCTGCCGAGCGCTGGTCCCCGGTCCAGACTCCCGAGACAATTCTGCTATCGGTCATCTCCATGCTCTCCAGCCCGAATGACGAGAGCCCCGCCAACGTGGAAGCAGCCCGCCTATGGCGTGAAGACCCCGCCGAGTTCAAGAAGCGCGTTCGTCGATGTGTCCGCGACAGTCTCGGGGAGGAGTAAATTGGGTGGATGGATTCTTTTTCTCTGTTTCGTTCAACTACTGTTGCTGGCGGCGTTTCCCTCCCTTGTTGCATTATAGAGCGAGCGAACGATATGGGTGATTGTGCTACCTGGGCAGGTGATAATGCATTCATGGCTGAGCTCAAGATTCGTGTTTCTTCACGGGGGCATTTCTTGCGATTACACTTCGTCATTTGGGTTAGCTGGAGTTCTTTCCTTTGCGTTCGAATTTAATTCTTACGGATCAGTTGAAGTTTCTCTTGGGTCCCATCTGTAGGCCAAGATGACCATGTTTCATGATTTTCAGCTGGGTGATCATTGTGTCTCGTTATCAGTAGTCCAGGCCCAAGGGCAACATAGCGCTATGTCTATAGTCTCAAGTTTAAGCAGATGTAGTGACAACCCTTCCTCTCCCTCGAAGAAATCATGCAACCCAATACACTATGCGAGAATAAAAAAAGGGAAATCATTTAGTTCTTGTATCCGGTACGAATCGAGGTGAAGTAAAATCCCGGATGGCAGACGGTGAGGGCCAAGCACCCCAGCGCGATCATCCTGGTGAGAATGTCAGTAACCGTATAACCTCGAAGGCTGTCCCACACAGCAGGATCGCACTTACATTCCATCCAAAACCAGGAATTCGTCTTCCTTTTGCATCAGTGGACTTCCCCAACCACCAGCCATCTCCGGAATTCTAATGTTTTGTCAGCCATTTTGATCATCCTATGAACCTGGATATCGAATGCCATACCGGTAGATGCAACGAATAAGCACGAAAAAATAAGCAGCGATCTCGGCGGCCACGATGTAGTGCACGTTGCTGGAAACAGTCGATGGACCGTCCCCTTCAAGGCTCTTCTCGCCAGAAAATCCTTCGGGGCGGTGGAAGAGCGCCCAGAAGAACTTGAGAGACACCAACCCACAGGCTGCCATAGTCACCACTTGAAACACGATGCCGGCGATTATTATATCATTTCCAACGTCAGTCATATGCACATCCCCTTTGTTGGAACCCGAGGAAGTGACTCCGCCACCCGCTGCTTGCAAGATCAGCGATCCCACATCGCAGCTGATGAAAATCCAGGTGAACAAGCGCGGCTTCAACGGTGAATGCTCGGGCCCCAGGTTCAAAATGATGTGTTTCAGGGTCAGGTAAATGCCGGCTGCAACGAAGGTGGGCGCGAGAACTAAGCATACCTAGAAAGGCCAATATCAGTTTCCTTTCGCCAGTGGATGTTCCGACTAACATGGCAAGTACTCACAATCTGTAGCTTGAATGCGCCCTGATCCCACGGGTTATTATTCATAAGAATCCGACCGATATACCCGGCCATCTCCATGAATGCGCCGACACAGACGGCGATCATGAAGGTCCATGATCGGAAATAGACCCCTAGGCCCAGCTGGGCCACCCCCATGATGCCATAGATGACTGCGAAGAAGACGTTCCCCCCGAAGTTTGGATAGTAGCCGTACGTGGTTGCGGAGACTGGGCAGCTTGGACTAACAGAAAGACACTGCGCAGTACTCGGCATCACGAATCAGGTCGGCAACAGAACAGACAACAGGAAACGAAAAAAAAACTGGACCGTATTGATGGTGGGAATGTGGTCAGGTGCGTGTCAAAGAAGACCTTTCTCGAAGAAGCGGACATGGCGCCTTTTTAAATCCAAACATGATCTCGCATGTCTCCTGTCGAATCTGACGCGGGTCCGCCAAGGACAACATCGAAGCAAGACACCCCCAATGAGTGGAGAAGCAACGGCATGACGACAGTATGCAATTGGCGGCGTTCTCGTTCTCGATCTCGCTCTCGTACCCGCGTGGGTTCCAGGATTCAAAAGGACCCACTGGGGATCTGTATCGGCGCATTGATCATCGGGAAAAATCCCCGTTGGCGGAGCATCCGCGGCTCAGAGCTTGAAACTGCTATTCTTATCGCAAGACTGAGAAGTTGCATGAACATCAGGCAACAGCGAAGCTGGAAGTTGCTGGGAGTGTCTGTCGGGGAATAAATTTCATGCTTAGCTGCAAGCCTGCAAGGCAGAAAAGGTGCTAAAGCATATTCAGGCATTGATTTCTTGTCACCCACGTGCCGTCACGTGATCGAATACATATCCCCGCGGGCTTCCCGAGTGGATCATTTTCGGTCCGATGCAGCTCGCCTGGTACCGATGCCTCCTCGTCGAGCGCACACCAAGTCCCGCCATGGGTGTGATCAGTGCAAGAGGCGCCGTGTCAAGGTCTGAGCTGTTATCCCACAAATCTCCCCCCACCTGCCGATCTGACAGCCGCAGTGTGACGAATCAGGGCCCCCGTGCGCCAATTGTGTCTCCCGAGAGCTCACTTGCACCTATCTGAGAGCGCCGGCCAAGGGTATTTACCATGTACAACCACCTACTCATACTCCGGCCCCGATACGAAACCTGAGTCCGCTCCAGCCGGTAATCCTCAGTCCCGCCTCGAATCGTCCGACCGTTTCCGGCGTGCGCGATGTGGAATTGATGCACAAGTTTGCTACCGAGACGTATGACAGTCTCTTCAGCTCATACTCAGGGCAGCAAACCTGGCAAATCTTTGTTCCGCGTATGGCTTTGCAGCATGACTATCTGATGAACGGCATTTTGGCTCTCGGCGCGCTGCACATAGCCACCTCTCTCGAGCCTCCGGCATCCTTGGCCTACATCGACACCGCCCTCCACCACCACAACCTCACGTTTGCGCCATTCCGCGCCGCCATCAATAATATTTCTCCATTGAACAGCGAGGCCGTGCTGGCGCAGTCGATTGTCACCACCGTAATTGGCATCGCCTTACCGCGGCTGACAAGCACACGCGGCGAGAGCCCGAGCATAACCGAAAATATTGTTGTGGTCTTCGAGCTTTTGCAGGGTGTCAAAAACATTTATCAGCTTGGTCGATCATGGATCAAGTTGGACTTCTTCTCCCGCCAGATGGATTTTTGGAAAACCGACGGTGCTGATCTGGATGACGAGACCCGGGCTGCCCTGGACCGACTCGTCACATTGAATGACGAGACGCTGGCTACCATCGATACCGATCAACATCGAATCAACAAAGACGTTCTTGCTTCTCTTCGCCACTGTTATGCGCGGTTTATCAATTCGCCAGACCCGGCGAATGTCCTCGCATGGCTAGCGGCAGTTGACAAGGAGTTTGTGGACAATGTCGCCCGCCGCCAACCCCTAGCGCTGCTGATTCTCATGCACTGGGGAGTGCTTCTCGGCGAGTTGGACGGCCATTGGTGGTGGGCCCGAAACTCAGGACGCGCGTTGATCTCAGAATTGCTGCAGGCGTTACAGCCCGGGGACCTACGATGGTCCAATGCTCTGTCGTGGCCCCAACGAAAAATGGGACTATGAACCCCCTAAGCTGACATCTTGAGGCACAGCAAACCTTGGTGATCAGCTATACCTCTTTACTGCCGGCAAGACCAGCAAGACCGTCGAGAGACAGCGAAGGACAAAACACCATGCAAGCAACCACAGGCTTTCTATCGGACCAATATGCTTCTTGTCGCCATGAGAATATGACAAGCCGCGCGTGGTGAAGTTTGAACGACACCCCTTCCCCCCTGCTATCTCTTCATCGTCCGGTGAATGAGCAGCTTGCACGCTCAGTTCGCAACGGCCGTTCTTGCCATCGATTCGTTGCGAGAGGAGAGCTCCAACAGCAGGGGTCGTCTCAGTGTTAAGCCGATTGCTGCCTCGGTGCACCAAGTCCTTTTTCGGGCGTGATGCCCATCAAGCATATCCAGAGTGCGACTGGTACAATCTGGAACTATTTATTAGTAGTACATGAGGGCCAGAAAAAAACTGTATATTGTGAGCTCCGGACATGCCTCACTACATATTTGAATGTTCATCACAACTGCGGGATAATTATGCATCCTGTATATTGACGAGAAAAAGGCTGGCATGTGCCTTATTTAACTCTACAGGTCCTGGACAAGAAGAGTATCACCACACAGACCCTTCTCTCCTTCCGACCAGACTACAGCCGAGCCTTTTCCATGCTAGTCTTGTAGATCTCACGAATCCGAGCCTGGTTGAAGTTATCCGCCTCATGCTTGCACGCCCGCAAGCTCAACGGTCCACCCATCTGTTTCAGCCAGTAGGATCGGCCACAATCGAACAGCCAGTTGCGCGATGCCACCTGCACCAGCTCCGCTAGGAAGCACTGCGGGGAATTGCGATCTTCGGTGAAGATAACCGGCGAGAGCTCGCGTCGGATTGCCGGTGGGGCGTTCGACTGGACAATGTGTAGAAAGTCGTCGAAGGTTATCGGCTCGTACAGCTCAGAGCCTACCTGGACGATTCCCGTGGTGCGCGCGACCGCATGCAACAGGCATGCATTCGCCACGAAGTCCACCGGGATCTCGTCTAGGATGTTTGTGCCGGTCCGGTAGCCTGCAGCGGCGTGCCAGACCTGCGTCGAGCCCCGGTCTGCGATCAAGAACCGCGCGAACTTGTGCAAGGGTGTCGAGTCCTCGGGCCCATATAGCGGATACGGCTGGCGGAGGGCAGGGCCAAAGATAGTTGGTCGCACGAGGAGGATCGGGAGCAGCGGGAACCGCGCTGGCAGTAGCCGTTCCACCAAATGTTTGGCATGGGCATAGCTGGACGAGAACTGTGTTGTGTGCGAGGGGCGTTCCAGCGACAAGATAGAGGCGAGTTCTTCCTCCGGGTCCCTGTCGCTCACAGGGTAGGGCCGTTCCAGGACTGGACCATCTGGGAGGAAGCTATTGGCATAGGCCGTTGAGATCTGTATGAGAAGCTTCAGTCGCCGAAACCGCGAAGCAATTCGGGCCATTTCCAACGCCGGCAGGCAGTTGTTGTCGACCGCATCGTGTAGGCTAGCTTCGAGAGCAATCTTGGCCGCCGTGTGAATCGCTATAGTAACTTGTGCCTGTAGTCGTTTCATAACCGCCGGCTCAATCCCAAAGTCGACTTTTTTGATGTCCCCGATCACAAATTCCACCTTCTTTGAGGCCAAGATAGCCTGGGCATGGTCTGGCATAGTTTTCTTCCATCTTTCAGTTGCCTGCTGGGCGCTCCCACGCACTAAGACGAAGATCTTGCGTGTTGGTAGCTGCAGAGCCAATTTGTACAAGAGACAGCCTCCGAGGCACCCGGTACTTCCAGTCAGAAAGACCGCATGGACTTCGAAGAGTTTGGCATATCCACTTCGGACCGTCTCATCGGTGTGGGATGCTCCCACGGCCGGAACTGCTGACATCGGAGGTGCAATAGTGTCGATCTCTGCGGAAGGGAATTGGAGAAAGATGCTGTCGCGAAGCTTCGATGCATGGCGAGGAGTTTTCCAGATTAAAATCGCGAGGGTGTCTCCATGGTGCCGCAGCACACGGTGTTGGTCAGTAGGACAGCATAACTTGGTGTCACCCTTGCATCGGTGCAATCAAGGGCCTCAGCATTCACCCTGTAAACCGGTTCGATCTCGTGCTGGATGTTGTAGCATGAAGGACCTCGGTCAGAAACCAACGCCGGCTAAGGGCCTTCATATTTCGATGGCCTGGGACCTACGATTAGAAGATACGTTCGACGTCTTTTCGCTTCTATGGGGAGAGGGCAGTCGAGATATGTTGATGCATCATGAGCAGTTCGCCCAGTTTTCCACGGAGGCCCTTATATCGAAGTGCTTTCATGCAGGGTCTTAAGCCAAGGGTGCCAGTTGAAATGCCGTAGCAGCCGAAAGATAAGTCGGCCTTGTAGCACAACGGCTCAATTTCCGCCTACAGGTGTGACAAGGGCTCAAAGGCTAGGTGCTGTTTCGAATGCATGGTGAATTTTTATAAACAAGAAAAGGGTATTATATGTGGCTGATTGGTGTATGCACTCGGTGAACCGATCCCAATGCAGTTTGTACAAGAGTTGATGCGAGCGGGGGAAGCCTGATAGTGCGAAACTGCAAACATATGGAAGTCTTCACTCGACGGGAGTTAAGTGTTGGCAGAGTGACCGGTGCCAATCAAGAGCCCTTGTTTCCGCCGCCGCACCAACAGCGTCCATCACCATCCCGCTCCACTTGGACGACAATTTCCATGTTCTTTTCTCGAAGGAAAGTAACAGTGCGCTGACGGACATCTTCCAGATCGGCACCGCGTGAGGCAATGACATGAATCACCCCGAGGACATTTTGACTTTTCTGCTCATGGTCATGGTCATGGTCGTGATCGTGATGATCATGGCCATGGTGATCATGATGGTGATCATGATGGTGATGGTGATGGTGATGACCATGGCTGTGGCCGGAGTGTGCATGCGGATGGTTATGGTTATGTTCCGACGAGACCGTTCCGGTGTCATCCAACCAGAATTTGGGGACTGTGTACGAAACCACACCACGCAAAGTGCTCACCCCGGCCAGGGTTTCACGAACATTATACTCGGTATCGGCCGGCAAGGCCAGCAGTAAGGTTTTGGCAGTACTGCTGACCAAAGGAACAGCCGAGGCAAAAATCAAGATAGCAATGAAGCACGAGGCCAGGGGATCGTAGCCCGCCCATCCAGAGTAGTGCACCAAGACAGTCGAGATCACTACAGCCACAGAGCCCAGCGTGTCCGCCAGTATATGCAAGAAAATCCCGTGCATGTTTTCATTGCCATGCGAGTGGTCATGGCCGTGGTCGTGGCCATGATGAGCGTGACCATGCTCGAAGCTGAAAATGCCGACCAGGTTGACCGCCAAACCAGCAATGCTGACAGCCAGGAGCTCACTAATACGGTGCATTTGACTCCCGGATGACAGCCGTTCCACAGCCTCGTAGATAATCTCCACACTGATGATCCTGGTTGCTGTTAGGAGACTAAAACGGGGCGTACTTATGCGGAGCGCACTTACATGAGGAAAATACCATTGGCAAATCCAGACAATGTGTCCACTTTGCCATAACCGTAAGGAAAACGAGCATTGGGCGGCCACTTGCTCATGACGGCTGCACAAAGCCCGACAACAAGCGCAAGACAATCGAAGAACATATGGATACTGTCACTGAGCAACCCCAGAGATCCGGTCAAAAAGCCATATGAAAGTTGAACAAGCATGAAGCAGAAGTTCAAGCTAGACGAACCGTTAGCGGAGTCTTTCTATAACATTGAACGAAGTCATGGCTTACCACATGAAGTAAAAGATACTGCGAGAATCCTTCTCCTTCAGGATGCTATAGAGCAAGGGGTATGGCTCACTGCGGTGAACCAGCCACTTAGTGATCCGCGAGGTCTCGGAAGTGGTATGCGAATGGCCGTGGTGATGATGGTGTGAGTGGCTATGCGAATGCGCATCTGACCGTAAATGACTGTCATCCATTCTCGCGGCGAAAAAGGATACAGCGGCCAAAATACAACGCGCAGTGTAAGCAATTAGGAAATCATCGCGAATGTGTGGTGAAGATAGAAAGGCTGCAGCACCGGTACAGATACCCAAACCGGCTTTATTGGCGGAACGAAGACCCGGGGGGAAATGAATCATCAAAGAAATTGCGAAGAGACTGGCAGGGACTCCGAGATATATCAAGTCCGACAGTTCCAAGGCAAGACCCTGGGAGGAAATTACAGTAGCGCATGTTAAGAAAGCTCCAGAGACGAGAGCAAGTGGTGCATCAGTCGTGACAACGACCGATGGATTGTCGGACCCCGAGGGCTTGGCTTGCGAGGATAGCGACTGGGCCACAAGACCAGGTTCCGGGATGGGTCCTGAATGGCGAACGGATGGAAATGGGGGGGGAATGACGAAGACGGAGACCAGAAGCGCGGTATATCCCATGAGTGGAGATGCATCCCAGTGTTGATTCAGCCCTATGAAGCTCACCAACATAACTATCACCAGAAGAGCAACAGACATAACCTTTCGGCTATATTTTTCCTGGGGGCGAGGAGCACTGCTCGCCAGGTTGGGTACTCCGGATGCGCTGGCCAGGAGGAGAGAAAAGGCAATGAGGAAACCCCCGACCTTGAGTGCTGCGTAGATGGGTAGCCCGATCGAGCACAATTGAAGAAATGAGGTTTGGGCGCTCTTAATGTTCATTGGGGGTAATTTGACAGACAGACCCGCCGGGCCTCCGCGATGATTGCGCAAGATCTGCCCGCCGCCAAAAAGAAGCAGAGTGATCGCGGTCAACACGCAGGTCCTCTGTCCAACCTGCCCAATAGACCCAACCGGCGAACCACCTTTTGCCATAGGACCATCCCCAGGTTTGCAAATCTGCGCGCACTTTCTTGGGTACCAGGAAAGCGCGATCCACGGCAAGGCAATCAGTGTACCGGTTAGAATCTCCTGGCTGCAACTAGCTATTAGTGTATATCTTGAATCAGCGGCCCAAGTTACTTACATCTGCTCAGGGTTAGATCCTTCCTGTTTCAGTAACTCCGAGGCCAGCAGGTCGGCATCATGCACGGTGTGCGGCTCATGGGCATGGTGTGCATCATGGTGAAGGGACACACTATGGGTATGGTGGTGGTGGTGATGGTGGTGGTCAATTGAGTGAGAATGTAGATGCTGGCTGCCCAGCGAGGCCTGTGGTGCATGGCTGTATGTGTAATTTGAATTCACAATATCACTCGGCCCCGGTGATTGAGTTTCGGAGGTTGAGAGCGGAGACTGCGTCCAGCGAGGGGACCGAGAGTGGCCGCGCCCTCGGCTATGGCCATGCGCATGTCCATTGGGGGGCGGGATAAGATCCACGTTCATCGGCGCACCCGTGGACATGGTCCTTCAATGCTGGTGGTTCGCGCAATTGAACAGAAGGGTGCGCGGTGGACAGGACAGGAAAGGGGACGAGCGCCAAGATATCGGAGCGGCGGGAGTCCGGGGTCGCAAGGTCAGATTAGGTGGTCAGGGATCGGAAAACACACCGCATTGCGTCGCCAGCAGCTGTACAATCAGGCTCCGGGCACCAGAGTCTTGGGATAAGTGCCTGTCGAAGCTCACTCGAGGGCCACATCTGCGCTGAGAACCTTGGGGGTCAGGGGCTGCACGTGATCTTATCGCGACTTATGTAATGCGTTTTCGCGTCTCAAATTTGAACATCCATAGCCCTGGAGATATCTACATGACACGGTTTTTAGTCTCTTTTTTTCCTCGAATTATTCAGAAGGAACCAGGGATGCTGGATGACAAACCAAGCTTTTGCGTTGTGATCCTTGACTGGTAAAAAAGTGGCTGGTACCCGAGCTATTGGGAGTACTGTATGGCGATTTCTGCTCTACGGTATGATGATGACCGGTGTCTTTGCGTTGGCAAAGTTTTGACGCCTTTCGTTGCTGAAGCCGCCTGGGTACAGATCTCGCGTCTAGAACTGTGGTCCTAGACACGGGTGATATAGTAATGGCCGCGATGGATCGGTTCTCGTGAATCGAGCTTTCGAGCACCGTCGGCTTGCTGTCTTGAGCACAATTACATTTATTCGGTGAGAATATATTTAGAGACTACAGGCCATTAAGCCTCGCTTCAGCCGGGCAGCTTTAGGAGGCGTAGAAAGTAAAGACTAGATTCTGTATCCTTTTTGGCCAACCTTTACTCTATTTAAAATCACTATTACTATTTGATCACCACCCTTTTTTAATACCCTTTTTACTCATCTGTTTATTCATTTTCAGTTTCATGTCATTTTCTCTATAATGTTTACTTCTCTGTTGTTGGACATCAGGTGAGTCCATATTGCGGCCACTCTGAGTCTTGTACTACCAATCTAAATTACATAGAATGAATATTTATAGAAAACTGTAGGAGTAAAAGTGCCCGAGAAGTGAAGTATAAAGCCGGATTATGCGATCTGTTCGGGTTAATGAAAGCCCGAAGCCTCGGCTGTTACCCGCATTTGAGCTTGAGCTTCCTCTCTTGCTGCCCAGGCCATCCTGGGGATCTCCCTTCGATATGATCGAGTCTCTCATCAGTGTGGCCTTCTGCCTGTCTAGCGCGCTCACTGTCTTGATCTTGTTTCTCCCGTCACAATATGACCCTTCCCCGACAAAAACCCCGCCCAGTGTCCAAATCCTGGTCCTGGGAGACATTGGTCGCAGTCCGCGCATGCAATATCATGCATTGAGCATTGCGAGTCGTGGTGGTCAGGTAGTCCTCATTGGATACACAGGTGCGCCGCTAATATCCAAGCTTCATCGAATCCACTCTGACTTGGTCCCATGGTAGAATCGGACCCTCATCCCGATCTCGTATCGCACCCCAACATCGCCATTGTCCCGCTTCACCCACACCCCGCCATCTTACAGACAAACAACAAGCTTCTGTTCATGATTTACGGACCCCTCAAGGTGCTATTTCAGATTGCGTGTGTCTGGAGGTGTCTTGCGTATACAACCAATCCCTCCAAATGGTTACTCGTTCAGGTGCGTTTGTGGATGTTATACTTCTGGGAATCATACTGACTCCCTCTGGCGGTCATGATAGAACCCCCCCTCTATTCCCACCCTGGCAGTGGCCTCAATATCTTGTTTTCTGCGACAGACCAGACTCGTGATTGATTGGCATAATTTTGGCTACTCTATCCTTGCCTTGAAGCTTGGCGCAAGCCATCCATTGGTGAAGTTGTCACTATGGTACGAGAAGATCTTTTGCAAATCAGCCTCGGCTCATCTATGCGTGACGAATGCCATGGCATCCGTTCTCCAAAAGGAGTTTGATCTCCAAGCTCCTGTCCTACCCTTGCATGACCGACCTGCCAGCCACTTCCGCCCTATCCGAGATCCTATCGCGCGGGCCGAGTCCCTCGCGACACTGCCAGAGACGACGGCGATAAGCACCTCCTTGAAGACAGAGGACCTTCGGACTCTGGTTAGTTCAACTTCCTGGACCGCAGACGAAGATTTCTCGGTCCTCATTGATGCTCTCCTTCAATACTCGGAACTGGCCACCACGACCCAGCCAGACCTCCCTGAAGTCCTGGCCATCATCACGGGGAAAGGTCCGCAGAAAGAAATGTACCTGAAACAGATTGCCGCCCTGGAAAAGGCAGGCAAACTCACCAAGGTCACGATTCGGACTGCGTGGCTCAGTGTACCGGATTATGCCCGGCTGCTGGCATCCGCATCCCTTGAGTGAGTCTGCACACCAGCAGTAGTGGCGTAGATCTTCCAATGAAAGTCGTAGATATGTTCGGCGCGGGTCTGCCCGTGGTGGGCTGGAGCCGCTTCAAAGCATGGCCCGAGCTAGTGACGGAAGGGGTCAACGGAATGGGCTTCGGGAGCTCAGCGGAGCTGGCGGGCCGGTTGGTCGAGCTGTTCGGCGATGATCGCAGGCTAGAGACACTTCGGGCGGGTGCCCAGAAAGAGAGCTCTCGAAGGTGGGAGGATGAATGGAATCCCATCGTGGGCTCGCTTCTGGGCTTAACATAACAGGTCTCTTTGACTCAATATGAATCTGTCTTGTGCCATTCTGTAAATCTTAGACGCTGTGTTGGAACTTGCCATCGCAGTAAAGGCATGTATCAAACGCTTCAAAGATTCTGCGGAAACTTGGTGCTAGGGGCACGCCGCGTGTGCGAGCAATGGCCTCCTCGTCGAGGTATTCCGTCCGACAGCTGGAGCAGAATTTGGATATTCCCGGTTCTTGGATAGCCAAGAAAGTCAATCCACATCGGGCTAGAGATTCAAATCAAGTCAGCTCTTGCGTCTGTATGGTAGCACTGTATGGCATACTGAACAAATGACCGTTCATACACTGCGCCTCCTGGACCGAGAACCACCCGATTCCGGCGTTGCATATTTCGCATTGTTCAAAGAGATGGCCGCCGGGCCCTGTGAGTTGATCCAGGGACTTCGCGGGGATGGAGGCAGACCCCTGATGACATTGAGCGATCTCTGCCGTTAGATCGGCACCCGTCACAGTCACTAGACGCTCCAGTGATTGTCGAGCTTGGGTTTGGAGGGATTCGCTGTGCTCGTCTACTATGGCACAACAGGCAGCGTGGTATACCAGATGCTGGGTTTTTGGATCACTCTCATCACTGTTGGCAAAATTGGAGAGCACAAGACGAATAGCCACCTCTCGCCGATCACGAGCAGTTCCTCGCTCTTTATGCGCGACGGGGGATGCTTCATCATCCGAGGAAAATATAATCGTTGAGCGGTCGTCCGCGGCGACACGATACTCGACCATGTTCGTCGGATGTCGAGTGAACAGGGCCGCAGTCACGCCGTTATGACATGCCAGTCCCCAAATCCTTGCTACTGTGAGACCTCCCAAGTCACGATCTAGGTCGTATCGTTCCCGGAAATCTTCAACAACCTGCTTCCAGTGCGGTATTTGCATGGCTCCCGGATCCCCATGTTGCTGGAATTTAGTCGCTAGACCAAGCCCGCCAGGGGTCCCCAAATGGAGAGTGCAGGTATCAGCGTTTGTGGAGGTAGTCATAGCTAGAGATGATCAGTCAAATTTGAGAAGATACAGGGGTTAAAATTTACCTGAAATGGGTTCCATATGCCTTGGTTGAGGTTCCCTTGCACCATCAGCTTCGGGCTCATAGAAAGGCCATTCGCGTATCTCTACAGAATCAACATTCGAGTCTGTTCCACTGTACACCGAATGAGGAATGGAAATAGTGAGGCACCCAGCATTTATACACGCGACTAAGGCACGGGTTGGAGATTGTGCCTGTTATGAATGACGGTTAGTATCCAGTAGTCTCATCCAGTGTACGTGAGCCAGACCGTCTGTAGCCACTCCAGTGGTCCAGTAACTTGATATTTGGCCCATTTCTGGCTGATACCACAAAGGGGATGATCAGTCAGCTCTGCTGTTGCCTCATATCGGGGTGAGCCTTCTTCGTCGTCATTGGGTTCTCTTAAAGTCACTGTGGCCTTGAGGGTATGAAGCTTCGTCCCGAACGCTGCCGCCACCATTGCAATCGCAGAACATACACTGCCTTGGCCTGCCGGTGAATTGACCCACGGGCCACAAGCTATTGACAGAACCCGTAGTTTAATCTTCAGCGACTGCTTGAAAAGCGATCCTGGATAGACCGCGCCATACTGTCCCTCCAGGTTGTCGAGCGAGTAAAGGGCAAGAATATCGACTTTGAAAGGCTTGGAAGATGTTGGCAGAACCGGCAATCTGCGCACCTGCAACAAAATCACGTCGTTGACGTCGTTGGCGACGATAAGCAGGGGAATTCCCCAACGACTTTCATAAGTTGGATCGGTGGTGGCTCCCGAGAATTTGAGAGGCGCAAACCACTCAAAAGACCGGATTCGCGCTTTGCGTATTTCACGACCACCGGTTCCTATGGATGGCGCTAACTGGGGATGGAGTGCGTGGTTGATTACAGCGACTCGTGCCCATTGGCCTTTGAGGCCCAAGGGCTCCCACAAGGACAGTAGCAAATTCGAGGTCAATACAGCCAGCACACAGCGTCGAAACTTGGCGACCCCTGGTGGAGACCAGGATAAGCTCACTACCGTGCTCGGCGACTGCTCAATTGAAAGGGAGAAGTCGTCGTGCTTTTGCGGATAGATAAGAGACCACTCGGCGACGGTAAAGACGTCGACCCGAATGCGAGTGAGGTTCCATCCATCTGCGGTACCGTCGTGCTCCCCGTTATCCGGGGACTTGGGTGTCTATTACGCGATCAGCTCAGATTACCGACACGACCACCCGCAGCAGACCTACCAGAATGTGCACATACTCTCCCGTGGCAACGGCGAGCTCTCCATCGGATGACCATGCCAGGGCGTCATGGCAAGAGGGGGAGGAAGAAACTTCCACGGGAATTGGCATGGCTCTGGATCGAAGAATCCCACTGCGGACATTGCACACACATGCACAGCAAAGTGTAAGAAGTCGCAAGGTGAAATGTTGATGAACCCGGTGGGGCCGAGCAGCATTCCTCTTGTGGTCCGTGCACGGGGTGATTTTTCTACGTCGACGCTTCTCTTCTTCTTCTTTTTGTAACAAATTGGGCATTCGCACATTATATACAGACAACAAAGGGTATCAGTGATGTGACTCCATCAGTTCACCTGATCGAGCTTCTGCACCACCATTGCGGTTGCTGCTCCACCACCGTTGCAGATCGCAGCCACGCCATACTCACCTGGCTGAAGCTGGTGGAGGAGGGTGACCAGAATGCGAGAACCAGAGCTGCCAAGAGCATGGCCGAGGGAGATAGCACCACCCAGCATGTTGACTCGCGCATTTTGCAGGCCGAGGATCTGTCCGACGTATGAGTGATATGCTGCTGATAGAAAGAGAAAACGAATCACTGACCTTCTCGTTCGCCTTGATGACCGCCGCAAAGGCTTCATTGAATTCCCACACTGCCACCTGATCCTTGGTGATGCCCGCCCGCTCCAGTGCGATCGGGACGGCCTTGGCGGGGGCCACCGGGAAGTCCACCGGGTCGATGGCTGCATCAGCTGAGGATACAATGCGAGCCAGTGCACGACCACCGGCCCCAAACTCCCGGGCGAGATCCTTATTTCCCAGAACCAGGGCTGACGCACCATCATTCATGGTGGAGGCGTTGCCCGCCGTCACAGTGCCCGTCCCGTCACGCAGGAAGGCGGGCTTCAGGGTCGTCATCTTATCGATGCGCAAGTTCTCGTAGCCTTCATCGCGCTCAAACACCGTGTCTCCCTTCTTGCTCTTGACAGTGACTGGGGCGATCTCGTCTGCAAAACGGTTCTCCTTCCATGCTTGCTGGGCCCGCTCGTATGACTGGATGGCATATTGGTCCTGATCCTCGCGTGAAACTTCATACTTCTTTGCGGTCTGTTCAGCACAGATGCCCATGTGGAATTGGTTGTACACATCCCACAGGCCATCCTTAATCAGCCCGTCCTCCAGCTTGATCTCCCCGAATGGAGGCAACTGGCTCGATCGGGGCATATAGTAGGGAACGCGAGTCATGTTCTCCATGCCACCCGCCACTTGGGCTTCAGCCAGCCCCAACTGGATGTTCTGGGCGGCGAGCGCCACTGCCTTCAGACCCGATGCACATACTTTGTTGACAGTCATCGCTTCGACTGTTGGAGGCAAGCCAGCAAAGATAGACGCCTGGCGGGCAGGAGCCTGGCCAACTGACCCTTGTAAAACATTTCCCATATATGCATCTGTAATTTTCTCCACGGGCACTTTGGATTTGGATACCGCGGACTTGATGGCTACTGCTCCTAGCTCTGGTGCCGACACGGAGGCGAAGGAACCATTAAACTGGGCGAGATTAGACGTCAGTATCCTTTTTTTTTTCATTATTCTTTTGTTATGCTTCAAATTCATCTCACCTTAGCAGTTGGTGTTCGCGAGGCGCTGATAATGTAGGCATCCTGAATTTCCTTGAACAACGGGCGTGCGGAACTAAATGCCCTTTGGCCTCGAAATGCGGGGATAGCCCGCTGAGGAAGACGAGTAGACAGTGCAACAGGGGAGATCATTTTTGCTGTCCAAATTTTATATTTGAATGACGCTTGCCAGGAGAGCCAGAAGGACAGAGGGGGAAAGGGAGATAAAATAGAGAGAGATACTCACCTAAAGTACATCCGCGAACCGCCCGCCTATAACCGCTTAGACCGAGGCTGTTGTAGATCATGTGATGCAAAGCTATGACATAACGTCTGACATAATCAATGAATGCTATGAGTCAGCATGGTGTCTTTCCTGTTTGAGATGGTTTCTCCATTGGGATATTTCCCCCGCCTTGCCCCCTCCAGCTGCCCGCTCTTCTACTGAACTCCCAAGGTTGCCATCGATGGTCTTGGATTCCTCTCGGCCTCCTCCCCCTCGACTGTCACCTTCTTGTGTCTCCTGGCCCATCATGTCTACCTCTGCTCGCCGTCGTCTTATGCGGGACTTCAAGGTACGCACCACCTGGATTGAGGATGCGGCATTCCTGAGCGCGCGTTCTTTTCTCTCATACGCGATTTCATTATGCTTAATTTTTGTCATGTCCTTTTGAAACGATCCGTTCAGTCCCTTGCCCCCTAGTGCTCTTTGCGAATGGCTGACCCTTGCTAACATCGGGTGACTCTAGCGGATGCAAACCGACCCTCCCGCCGGCGTATCTGCATCGCCTGTTGCTGATAATGTTATGACTTGGTTAGTACCCGGAAATTTGATGCCATCCAACCGTGCTAACGAGATTGGATCAGGAATGCCGTCATCATCGGCCCCGCCGACACACCTTTCGAGGATGGCACCTTCCGGTTGGTGATGAATTTCGAGGAGCAGTATCCCAACAAGCCACCCGGTGTCAAATTTATCAGTCAAATGTTCCACCCCAATGTCTACGGAACGGGCGAGCTCTGTCTCGATATTCTTCAGAACCGGTGGAGTCCCACATATGACGTTGCCGCCATCCTGACTAGTATCCAAAGGTATCTTTGTCGCTCATGTTGAGTGCTGACTGGGAGACTCTTGCAGATTGCTGACATACTTGCAGCCTCCTGAATGACCCTAACACCTCATCTCCGGCGAACGTTGAGGCGTCGAATCTCTACAAGGACAACCGCAAGGAATACATCAAGCGGGTACGGGAGACGGTTGAAAAGAGCTGGGAAGACTAGATAATTGTGAGCAGAAGCAATGTCCGTTTCAAATTGGTCGACCGGAGTGCGATGTCCATCCCAGGGTCAAGCACCATGTTCGGCTGGGCCATTTGATCTGCACAGCGTGGGGTTAGGGCGCCTGGCGTGTTGATTTTTTTTTTTTTTTGTGATATATCCTTGGCTGCATAAGGTCGAGGCCCGTTACATAGTTTCGTGCATGGCGAAAATGGAGCTTTTTTGTTATGATTTATGATTGATATTCTGGGCTTGACTGGAGTTTGTAGAGGGAGCGGTCCATCTTGAAGACAGGCGGTTTCGAGGCGGTCGGCCAAGACTCCCAAACGGGGCGACTGTCAACAAATCCACTTTCTCATCTCTCCCCTCCTCCCTCTGGCTGTGCTTGTGCTGCCTGTTCTTTTTTTCTAATCGCAGCTGTATTGCTGTGCTTTCATTTCGTTCCCCCGCCAAGCGTTTTCTTTTGGGCCTCCCCCTGACCCCCCCCCCGATCATCTCCCCCTCCGCACCGCACAGGCAGCTCCCACTTCTCCGGCACACGCCTTTTGTCGCCGTTCGGGATCCGCCTGCCCCTTTCTGGGGTCTCCTTCCTACTTTACTTTTGTGGAAACTCGAATCACAGCGGCAAATATGGCGTAAGTATAGTCGGCCCAATGCCTCGGTAGTCACTAACCGCGAGTTTCAAATAGGTCCGCGGGGTCGAACACCATTAAGGGTATGCAAGCCGTTCCAAATACACAGTCCAGGCAGTCAAGGGGTCGGGAGCAGAGTCAAACTAACCCACGCCTGTAGTGGTTGCCCGGTTTCGCCCGCAGAACAAGGTCGAATTGTCCTCCGGGGGTGAGCCGATTGTTGAGTTCGAGAATGAGGAGTCATGTAACATCAACGTGAGTGGAGATAATGAGCAGGGACGGAACATGGCAAACATGCTGATGGGATCTTCAGTCCAGAGAGGGCACGGGGTCCTTCACCTTCGATCGAGTGTTCCCCATGAACACCCTTCAGGGCGATATCTTCGACTTCTCGATCCGGCCCACCGTCGATGATATTCTGAATGGGTACAACGGTACCGTTTTTGCGTACGGTCAGACCGGTGCCGGAAAGTCGTACACTATGATGGGATCCGATATCGACGATGATGAGGGGAAGGGTGTCATTCCGCGTATTGTCGAGCAAATCTTCGCCAGCATCTTGACAAGTCCAAGCAACATCGAATATACAGTGCGCGTCAGCTATATGGAAATCTACATGGAACGGATCCGCGATCTTCTGGTGCCTCACAACGACAACCTCCCCGTTCACGAGGAGAAATCCCGTGGTGTTTATGTGAAGGGGTTGCTGGAGGTGTACGTCTCCAGCGTACAGGAGGTCTACGAGGTTATGCGCCGTGGAGGAACGGCACGAGCGGTGGCGGCGACCAACATGAACCAAGAATCGTCTCGTTCACACTCTATCTTCGTCATCACAGTCACCCAGAAGAACGTCGAGACTGGGTCTGCCAAAAGCGGCCAACTGTTTCTGGTGGATTTGGCTGGTAGTGAAAAGGTTGGCAAGACCGGGGCCAGTGGACAGACCCTGGAGGAGGCCAAAAAGATCAACAAGAGTTTGAGCGCGCTCGGCATGGTTATCAACGCTCTGACAGATGGCAAATCAAGCCACATCCCTTACCGCGATTCCAAATTGACTCGAATCCTGCAAGAGTCACTAGGTGGTAATTCGCGGACAACGCTGATCATCAACTGCTCGCCCAGCAGCTACAACGACGCGGAGACGATTTCGACGCTGCGGTTCGGTGTGCGCGCCAAGGCCATCAAGAACAAGGCCAAGGTCAACGCGGAGCTGAGTCCGGCCGAACTGAAGCAGCTCCTGCGCAAGGCGCAGGGGCAGATGACGAATTTTGAGTCTTACATCTCAGCGCTGGAGAGCGAGGTGAATTTGTGGCGTAACGGTGACAGTGTTCCCAAGGACCAATGGACACCGGCGCGGGGAGCAGACACAGTGAGCGCAGCTAAAATTGAAGCTCGTGCTCCACGGCCGAGCACACCGTCGCGTCTCCAGGAAACCGCTCGCGTGGAGACCCCGCGTCCTGATTCCGGGGTCGGGGATCGCTCTAGCACGCCTAGTCTAGTGTTGGAGAAGGATGAGCGGGAGGAATTCCTCCGGCGCGAGAATGAGCTACAGGACCAGGTCTCGGAAAAAGAGTCGCATCTTGTGAATGTGGAACGCAGTCTCCGGGAAGCTCGAGAAGAGCTGAAGAACATGAAAGAAAACGCTGCGCGATCTGGCAAGGATAACGAACGGTTAAACACCGAGGTCAATGAACTGCGCATGCACCTAGAGAAGGTTTCATACGAAAGCAAGGAAGCAGCAATCACCATGGATGGTCTGCGGGAAGCCAACTCTGAGTTGACAGGCGAGCTCGACGAAGTGAAACAGCAGCTTCTGGATGTTCGTCTGAGGGCAAAGGAGACCACCGCTGCGCTTGACGAAAAAGAGAAGAAGAAGGCGGAGAAGATGGCCAAGATGATGGCTGGGTTCGATCTGGGTGGCGATGTGTTCTCGACCAACGAGCGCAAGCTACAGGACGTGATCCAGCGCGTCGACGCTCTACACAAGGTCAGCGCAGAAGGTGAAACCATAGCCCCGGATGACATCGTGGAGCTTCGCACCAGTCTGCTAGAGACGCAAGGCTTCATCCGACAGGCGGAGCTAACCATGAACGATCGAGGCGAGTTTGGCGAGCTGCAGGACAGCCGCCGTGTGGAATTGGAGAAGAAACTGGACGAACTTCAGCAGGACTACGAGGGCCTGTTAACCCGTAACTTGGGCGAGGGTGATGTGGACGAGATCCGCGAGCGGTTGGAGAAGACCTACATCACTCGGAAGGACGCCGAAACTGCTGCGGTCGAAGGACTTCGCGCCGATATCACTCGGAAGGATGAGGAGCTCACCAAGTTGCGTCAGTCGCTCGTTGACACCCAGTCCCGCACATCGACAAACGGTGCCGCTAGCAAGACCTTGCAACAGCAGATCGCCGAATTCGATGCCATGAAGAAGTCGCTCATGCGCGACTTGCAGAATCGCTGCGAGCGTGTGGTCGAACTGGAAATTTCGCTGGACGACGCTCGCGAACAGTACAACAACGTGCTGCGGTCATCGAACAACCGCGCTCAGCAGAAGAAAATGGCTTTCTTAGAGCGCAACCTGGAGCAGCTGACTCACGTGCAGCGCCAGCTTGTGGAACAAAACAGCAGCTTGAAGAAGGAAGTGGCTATTGCAGAACGCAAGCTGATTGCTCGGAATGAGCGCATCGCTAGCCTGGAGAGCCTGCTTCAAGAAAGCCAGGAGAAACTGACGCAGGCCAACCACCGGTATGTGTTTCTTGCCGGGTCGTTTTTGTCTTTTTTTTTTTTTTTTTTTTTTTTTTTTTTCAGATAGCTAATTTTTCCCGACTAGATTCGAGGCCCAGCTCACTGCCGTGAAGGAACGCCTAGAAGCCGCCAAGCAAGGCTCCACACGCGGTCTACCTGCCATGGACGGCAGCGGGAGTTTTAGTTTCGGGGGATCCCGCATCGCGAAGCCGCTGCGCGGCGGCGGCTCCGACGGGCCGCCGACGAATGCGAACGTCGCGGGCGTACAGTCGCAAGAAGCGTCTGGCAAGCGTTCGAGCTGGTTCTTCGACCGCCGATGATCCCACTGCGCCCTCCGAGAGTTGCTCGTCTCTGGCACTACTGCTCCTGCGATTGGACGGCTGTCTGCCGGGGACACCAGAGTTCCTGCAGTTTGTGCTGCTGTCGCTAGCCTTTGGTCGATCTTGAACCTGTTCTAACGCTGTCTCACGAGTCTCTTCTTGTTTCGTTCCTCCTCCGTCGTTGCTGGTTGAGGTTTGGAAAGCTTCTTTCCAATGGCCCGTGGACCTTTTTTTTCCCTTTCCCTTTCTCTTGCTTCTCTCTTCTTGTTTGTTTTCTTTCCCTCCCTCCATTCCATGTCGGGGACGGAGGTTCGTGGATCTTCCTGATACCCTTGTACATCAAATCCAGATAGAATGCAGAGGAGCTGATAGGTAGCCTGCGTGAGATGTTCAGATGTGATGTGAGATTATATATGAATGCCAGTGGGTCAAGGCGTCTTACGCTATTGAAGCGATAGTACGAAGCAAACGAATGAAGGGAAGACAAGACCGATGCCTTAGTCTTCTTCTGGTTTCTGGGGAGCAAAAAAACAAATCTCGACAACCTGATAGAAAATTCTATATATTGGAGTTGGCTGAATAGAGATTATGTACTTAGGCCCTTTTCTGCCAGCCTCTAATCACTATCTCTCAAGCACCGGGCCCACGTCATTCGATGTAGGGATAGGGACAAGGGTGCGGTACGAACCACCTTGGGCACGGCGAAGGGACTTCCAAAAAAAAAAAAAAGTTGCTGTATTATACAGTCATCTTCGGAAGGTGTGCCAACCTGCACCAAGAAGTTTGGCCGAACATGGAATGGCTTGTTGTACAAAGCCAACCAGAGGGAAACAAGACATGTTCTTCCGAGGCCTCCAGGAGTAATCCGAGTGTATACATCCAGAGACACGGGCAGACATACTACCCATCATCGACCAACCTCACGCGCACACCTTCCAGACCCATAGTGGTGGCGATACGGTCCATCCAGTCGGTAGTCATAGGTTCGCGCGTGTCCGGGCCAATTCTTGATTCAATCATCAAGCGGGACCGACCCGGTGACCCGGGAGGCGTTAGCGGCGATGGTGCTATATGGGAGCTTGCATGGGATTGAGAGACTTCGGTGGTACGCATGCGATCCGTGATAAGACGGTTTTCGGCTTCTGCTGCGGGCCGCTGAAAAGGATCAAGAAGAATGATAAGATAGTTGAGCAGCAGAACCCCGGAGCGGATGCCGTGGATCGACAGAGACGCGAACCCCTCGAAGAAATGGTATGGCATGGGTCCGATGAAGCCGGCTTGTGCCTCTTGGCCTGCTCGAAGGGTAGAGGCAGTCATACTGAACTCGGTATGGATGCCCCGCAGGGAGGCGCGCGCTGCGAGCACCTCGTGCAGCAAGGCGGGTCGGTCCTGCTTTTGCACGTTGGGAGTTGCTCCCGAAAGATCATGTAGGCGCTTCACGTAGCCCGGCAGCTTGACAACCTCGCGAAAAGCGCGCTCCGTGATGTCAGTATAGACCGAGGAATCGGGCTGCTTGGCATTGTCCGCCGCAATCTCTTGGTTGAGTTCTTGCCATTCTGGCTTCTCCAGAAGACATTTCTCGCCTGCTACGAGCGCCGAGGTCACCAAAGTATTGCGGTACGCAATGTATAAGGCGCGACCGAACCCGTGCAGGTGTGCTCTGGGTCCGCGTAGTTGCATTAGCGCGCGGATCCCGGATGCATGCTGCATCCACCCGTCTGCGGTGGTGCACGTATGCATTTCAAAAACCGCGAGGGCTATGGCGGTGGCCAGGGCCTCATCTGATTTGGCGGCGGAAACCTGGTTGAGGAGACCAGACAGACCACGCAGAGAGCGAACATACAGCTCATGTCCTGCGTCTGAATAGCGCTTATCATTATAGAGGTTGCCGATATAGTTGGTGGTCAGACTGCGGATGGCCCAATCAAAGGGGGTGTCAATCCCCACGCGTCGTTGTGAGACATATTGGACCCAGTTAACGGATACCCTAGTTTCCGTGACCTTGAAGTAGCAGGGGAACGCGGACATCAACCAATTGACATACAATTGGGTCTGCTGGGCGGACGTGGCCTTGGCGGCAAGCGAAGGAATAAAATGTTCATCAATGGGTGGGAGCGGCGCGTGGTGCCCACTGGAGTGGCCAGGCCGAGCGACAAGCGGAGCCTCTTGGCTTGATGCGTGGGATTTCGAAGACGATGCCGAGGATGCCGAGGATGATGCTCGGGCGGACCGGAATCGAGATCGATGTGGCAACATCGATGATTTGTGGTTTTCCAAGGACCTTATGGCGCGACAGGAGGCTTGGGCGTCTGTGCATCGTGAACAGGGAGATTTCCCGTCACACTGTCACCGTTAGATTAAAATGGGACCATACATAATACCCAGCAGTGGCGTTGGGAAAGAGTCGACTTCACTCCACAATTGACATTCGACCAGGGTCCACCTCTCACCGAAGAGCCCAGAAGTCTAGAACCGGATGATTAAGTCCGAATTGCACCAAGGCTGCCACTGGCGTCTTGAGTCCAAGCTTGTGGAGCGAGCCTTGTGGGCGCCAGAAAACAAAGGGGAGGGACCAACCGAAGCATTCGTCTGGACGCATCGCATACAGCGAGGCGCTGAGATCATGCTGATCAAGGCATGAACGGGGGGCGCAAAGTCGCCGAGATAGTCGGCATTGAGAGGTGGGAAAAGGCTAGAGCAAATAAGAGTACCACGGGAATTTGGAAATAATGTTGGGCGCGATCAAAATAGCAGCGATTAGCGGTGGGGGCATCCTTTATGTGTGAGGAGGAAAAGCGACCATGATTGGAACAGCAATTGCGGTAGATGTTTCAACGGGTCAATCAATGTCGCACTTAATCTCGAGTGATCCAGAAATAGATAAAAATGAGGATGATGAGGATGAAGACGAAGGCGATGATGATGAGAAAAAGTCGAGGACAAGGCAAAAAAGACCAAGTCACGAGACTCCCCAGCACAGGCCGACAAGAAGATACCGACACAAAAACTCATGCAAATGCAAAGATCCTCCAGGTTTTCCCTTTCCCCCTTGAAAATACAAAATCACAAGCCTCACATATTTGCGCCACATTCGCCAAAGTCCCTTCTGTCTACACCAACCCGTCATACAGCGACAATGCGCTCACGATGGTCTCGTCCCGCTTACTGCCCTCCTTGAATTCCTCCATATCCAAGCTGCCATTCTCGTCCTTGTCCATCATGCGGAAGATCTTGCGCACGCGCTTCTCTGGGGTATCCTCGTCCTCTGGCAGCTTCACCATTGAGCCCACCATCTTGTAAATCGCCTCGACAATGGCTAGCATCTCGTCGTAGGTAATCTTGCCGTCCCCATCAATGTCGTATAATTGGAAGGCCCAGTCGAGTTTGTCCTCCATCTTGCCCCGCGACGTCACTGACAGTGCGCAAATAAACTCTTTGAAATCAATCATGCCGCTGTTATCGGAATCAAACACACGGAATACGTAGTTGGCAAAAGAGGACGGATCGCCGAAGGGGAAGAATTGCCGGTAGATCTTCTGGAACTCTTCCTTGGTTAGAGTGCCCGACGGGCAATCTTGAAGGAAACCTGGAGAAGTGTCAGCAGCGATGGACGGTTCGCCCCTCCCCCGGCCGAGAGAAATCAAATTAGAACCCCGTACCTTTGTACCATTGCTGGAGTTCTTTCTTATCGAAATGGGTTGCTCTCTGCAACTCATCGAGTTGAGAGGGCGACAGCTTCGATTGCCTGCGGAATCCCCGGGTCCCGGGTCAACCTCCGATGAAAGCGCGGGCGCAGTGAGGGGCACTTACGACTTCCCCATCGTGAAACACCCAAGCGTGAACGAGCGAATATAGGTTTCAAGGGCATGCGAATCGATTCAAGAATCGATCAAATCAGAGAGAACGAAGGGAGGATCTGTTCAGTTGACGAGAGAAGGGAAGTGACGCGGGGGGGGGTCGGGGCGATGGTGTGGCTGTGTCGGAGTGGCGGGGAATCTAGCAGCACGCGACAAGTCACGTTTGGAGAGTGTAAGGGCGAGGAGACTATAGCAAGAATCACCAGAATAACAGGAGAACAGGGAAATAGAAAGACGAAAAAGAGAGAGAAGAGAGAAGAGAGAGAAGAGAGAACCTTGGAGATCAGGCTGAGTAGAGGGGGCCAGCCGGGGGCTTGGCAATGACTACATGGATTCAACTCGGGCTGTACACGTTCGTTTCTTTTCTTCTTTTCTGGTGGATATCAAAAACATGGATTTCTTTATATTTTCCCCTTATAATGTCCCATCCAACCCTCAAACCCATGGTTGAGACAGATTCATCAGGCGGGGAGCTTTTAATCGATCTTGATAGACCCATAGATGCGATGGATAAACGCCCAGCTGGCGAAGAAGCCAATGGAGCCTGGAGCGAGGAGTCAGTTCGAAGTTCACAAAAGACGATTTCTCCGAATACATACCGGTCAAGATGAACACCACAAAGGCAATCAGAGCTGAGTAGCCCACGTAAAGTACGGTTCCCGTCAACCCGCCGAAGCTCACGCGCGTGGCCCAGAAAATCAGCGCGTTCAAGAACACGTAGCCGCCGGTCATCCCGGCACCAGTAAATGCACGCCAGTGCCACCGGTAGTTCTCGGCACACAGCAAGAAGTAGACCAGCAGAACAGTCGTAGCGGCCGAGGTGATGATCATCAGCCCGTAGCACAAGAAGAGGAACCCAAACATATAGTAAATCTTGCTGGTCCACAACGAGGTCATGATGAAGTACAATTCCACGAAGATGGCGCCAAAGGGCAGGATGCCAGTCAGGAGAATCGACGGAATGGTCCGCAGACTCCCGGACATGGGTGGCACCTGGCGAGGAATTTGGTTGGTCTTGGTCGGACCCTCGAGAGCCTATATCATAACTGAGTTAGTACGTCCTATGGTGTGCGAGCAAAGGGAAGAAGAGGGACACATACCGATTGTTTGAACCCGATCCAACTACCACCCACACTCAACGGCATGCTGATAACAAACCAGATCAGGATCAGGGAGACCATTGTGCCGAATGGTACGGCACCACTCGAGCCCTTGGCCCAGACAAACAGGTTGAGTAGGAAGAAAACGCCGAAGATGAAGCCCGGGATTAACAGGGGAGTCATGATAATGTTGCGTTTCCAGGCCTCGCCCCCGAACGCCTTGTACACTCGCGCTGAAACATAGCCACCAACGCATCCGAACAGGGCCGAGATCAAAAGGATTGCGGTGGCCAAGAATCCACGGTTGGCGGGCGAGAGGAGACCAAGAAGGGAGAAGGCTGAGAGACAGGATGTTAGCAATGAAGGAGAATAACAATGTCACAACACTCGGACCACTTACCAACTGTCACGCCAGTCATCATGAACAGCTGGGCCCCATTGCCCACCATCACACTGAGCAGCATCGGCGACTTGGGGCACCGGAAGACATCCCCATGGACCAACTTCCACCCCGAATCTTCCTGGATACCATCCTCGACCGCAGCCGAGGTGCCGTCGAGATCTTCCAAATTCATCGAATCCAGTCGATTGTAACGGGCAATGTCCTTTCTCAAGGCGCGGACGAGGATCACGCTGACCATGCCCACGAGGAAGACCACGAAGACCGCCGAGTTGATGAGGGAGAACCAGTGAATCTTCGGGTCATAGACATGCAGGTATTTGTCCCATCGTGTGGCCCATGCCGTGTTGGATTCCCTCCAATACACACTGTACGTCCAGCTCACCGCAGTGTCCCCGTCTTCGGTCAGCTTCAAGGCATTACCCGGGGTGCCGCAATCGGGTGGCGCGTCCCCCACGGCGCGTGAATCAGCACGGGATTCCGGCTGGACAAGCACTCCCACCACCCGATATTGGCCGCTAGCGCTCACGCGGTGGTAATCGATTACGATGTCAAAATGGTTGTTCAAAAATGGCTGGCCGCTCTCGTCCAAGTCACCCAAGTAGAATCCCGGGTTGTAAAAATTGGTGTTGGTGACGCGGTCAAAGTTCAGCTGCGCGGCTGGCAGTCCATCCACGAGCCAGTTGATATTGTATCCTTGGGCTATCCGTCGGTTGGTGAATTTGGCGCTCCGGGCATCGAAGGTGACTGCGGAACAGGTCGATTTACAGGTCTCGTTTTTGGCCATATTCAGCTCGAAGGGCGAGGTACGAATCCGGTCCCCAAACAGGATACTGCCCAAAGATTCCCGAACATCCTTAGCTCCATCTTTGGGCTCACAGAAATGGAATGCGGGATGGTAGTAGTCATATGCGAACACGGAATGAAGCTGGTCATCGCGCGACAGGCCGGGTGTCAAATGGTTGACATATAGCGGGACGGGCTGGCCCTCATCATACGAGGTTGGCGCGACACCGGGTAAATAGAAGGCGGCCGATAGAGAGGGAATAGCAAGGAAGACCGAGGCGAGGAGAGCGGATGGATTAATGTACCGCATAGTGCAGTCGAGAGCTCAGCTTGGCATGTGTTTTGTTGGAAACAAAGAAATAAACAAAAAGAAAAGTAACGAAGAAAAGTAATAAGAAGAGTCAAATGAGTCAAGAAAGCCAACTCAAATAGGAGCAAACCGAGGTGCACCAAGACTTGCACCGGAGAACAAGCAGGGGGAAGCCGATTAGTTCGAAGGCGCCAAGGAAGGGAAAGGGGAGGCTCTTAATGACTCGAGGACACCCTGTGTCGCGGCCACGTGATGCATCACGTGCTGATAACTAAAAATTTCCCGTCGGTTTTCTTCAAAAAAAAATACTTCGCATATTCCAAAATGGCTACTCCGGGGTCCTCGCGGGATCCATCGACCCTGCTGGACATTCTTACCTCCTGCTTGTCAAGCACTGCTTCCTCTCTCCCCAAGTCGCGCAAGGATGCGCCGTCCGATCCCTCGATCGAACCACCGCCGGATGGTATCTCTCTCCTCGACACGAAAAGCGAGATTTTGCTATCATATCTGCAGCACTTGGTTTTCCTGATTATCTTTCAATTGCGCCATGTGTCATCTGCCCAACAAAATTCCAACAAATCGGTATCGTCAGACCACACTCTTAAGGACGATATTGTGAAGAAACTGGTCGAGCTGCGCATCTTTCTTGATCGTGGAGTGCGTCCGCTTGAAGGACGCTTGAAGTACCAGGTGGACAAAGTCATCAAGGCTGCAGATGATGCCGAGCGCACGAAGCGAGAGAGTCAGTCGAAGATAGCGAACAAACCCCGCAAGACTCAGCAACCAGACAGCGATGAGGCATCATCCGACGGGGAGGATCACAGTGGAAGTGATGATGACAGCGAAGGAGAAGATAGAGAAGGTATTGATGAGATGGCATATCGACCCAATATTGCCGCATTCTCCAGGGGGCGGCACCACAGAAGCCAACACCCGCCTCCAAGGCGACCCCGCAGGCTCCCAGTGATGGCATTTACCGCCCACCGAAGATTATGCCCACTGCTCTGCCTACTACAGAACGTCGGGAGCGAGAGGACCGTCGACCTCGCCGGTCCAACGTGATTGACGAATTCGTCGGCGCAGAGATGTCCTCGGCGCCCACGGCAGAGCCCAGCATTGGAAGCACGATTCTCGCTGGTGGACGACAGACCAAGTCCAAGAAGGACCGCGAACACGAAGCCGACCGGACTACATACGAAGAAACCAATTTCATCCGTTTACCCAAGGAAACCAAGAAGGAAATGGCCAAACGACGGGGTCCTGGGCGGGAGACAACATATGGCGGGGACGAGTGGAAGGGACTCACCGAGGGAGCGGATCGCATCGAGCGCCTCACCCGGCGCGCCAAGGGCAGCGGGGCCGCGTTGGACAAGAGCCGGAAAAGAAAGGCGAACGAGGGCCAGCGCAGCGACGGAGTGGGGATGGGGCAGATCTTCGACAAACGTCGCAAGAAGATCGAGGGCTGGAAACGGTAGAACTGGGCATTCTTTGGTTTCTCAACATTCAAAATCTACGGTCATCACTGGCGTTGAGACGAGTCTCTATAGTTCATGCATTGTTGTGCCGATCACTAGACCTAGGTACAACCTGTCTTGGTTAGGCATTGGGACATATCTCTCTGATACAACCATGTATTTATTCGTAATCTACGTTGCAATAAACCAACGAAATAGAAGAATTGGTGTCTATACTGTGTCTTGTACCATCGCGCTCAAGTCAGTAAACCTGCGCGTCGCACTTCACATGCGATGATGTCATCGTGTCCTGAATCGAGTTGAAAGCCGCTGCCTCATGAACTGCGCTTGCTTCTTCCATCTACCACTTCACCATGGAGAACCCCGGTATGAGGTCGATGCTGATGCTAGCGCGCTCATCTAGTTGCTCTCGCTGACCTTGTCTCCAGTGGCCGAGATCCCGACGGTGATCCGTCTTCTGACCCAGTCACCACCATCGCTCCAAGAAAAGGCCCTAGCGCGGTTCTTTACACGAAATGCAGCATTTGTGCATCCATTCTGTCGAGTGCCCAGTTTTGACGGGAGTCGCTGGTGGATCGCAAAAATCTTCCAGTGGTACAAGATCATGTCACCCCGGATCGAGCTCGAGATCCATTCTATCGGTCAGTCATTCGTGGTTTATAAAAAAAATCATTCCTGCTAACCGGGTTGCTAGCATTTGATGAGGAGCACCACAAGCTATATGTTCACATGTCCCAGATTTTCTCCATCTGGGTGGTCCCGTTCCATGTTGCGACGGTGACCCTCACCACGGTCCTGGATCTTACCACCGATCCTACCCAGAGCGATGCCTCCGTCAATGGCGACCACAGGCTGTATTACATCACCAAGCAGGAAGATTTGTATCAGACCTCGGAGTTTGTCAAGTTTGTCGTGCCGCATGTCGGACACGGGTTGGTTGTGGCTTGGCATCTGATTGCCACTCTATTCTGTCTCCTGGGAGTCACTTGTCTATGGCCGTTGCTGTGGCTAGAGGAGCAGGGATATCTCCCAGGTCAGATCGCACCAGGCGGTAATTTGGCTTACAATCTCGAGAGGAAAATCCCAGAGATCCAGGGAGGATAAAGCGAGTCGTTATATGTTATTATTTTCTTTAGCACGATATCATTGATCGTATAGACCACCATCACTAGGGCTATTTTCTCATTCCAGTTCCCTATTTGGCTTTCGTGGCTGAAATACAAGAAAATGATTCTGTAAATCTCAGACATCATCGTCACTCCCCTTGTCAGGGCATCACTAGTGTGATTTTCGCTGCTTCTTCAGTTCGCGACGCAACGCATTCTCTTGCTCCACAACTATCAACGGCAAAGATCGGCCAATTCCAAAGAACACAAACAGCGCCCACTTCCAGCGGAACGGATTGATGATCAGCACGAAGATGTACCAGTAGATCAGCTCAGCGTAGGTGAAGAAGTCAAAGGCTCGGGTGGGCGCCAACTTCTTCATGAAACGGGTGAAGTCAATCCAAGTTTTCATCCACTCCTCGGTCGGTCGGGTCAAAGGGTCGGTCAAAAACATGATCAAGAACCGCGTGTAGATGCCGATGTGCATGTTGCCCACCGTGCCAATGGCATCCACATAGGTGCTATTGTTGGCACAGATGTCCGGGTATTTGGGCGGAAAGACCTGGAGATACCAGCTGGGCGGACTGTAGGGCTCATCGAAGACCTCATTGGGCAAAAAGTTCAGCGAAGGTCGCTTGAACCCTGTAGCCATGACGATCACATCACCCTCGATCAGACCTTCCCGGCCGGGACCCCCCTTGGGCACGCCCTTGGCTCGATGGTTGAACAGCACGCCGGTCTTCTCCACGGAGACAATGTCACCTCGCACCCAATGGGCCTTGCCCTCTCGAATCTGGTTGAAGAGCTCGGAATTGGCCATCGGGGTTTGGGTGAAAATACCGTCGTCCGTGGGGGCAATATCTTCCAAGTCACGGTAGAAGAACTTGCGCAGCAACCACTCTGGGATCCACGAGAGCGAGATCTCCTGACCAAAGATGTTGCACGCCAGCAAAGACTGCACCAGCACGTTTCGCGGGATAATCCATTTATCAGACCGAGATAAGACATCAATCTCGCCTGCACCCGACTTGACTGCAAATTCGAGTGCCTCAATAGCACTTGCGCCGCCCCCGACAATGAGCACCTTTTTCCCCTTGACATCCTTGCCATCCAGGTTGGACGAGTGGAAGATCTGGCCCCCAAACTGGTCTTGGTCGGGCAGTGGAGGCATCTTGGGGTCTCCACACACGCCGGTACATGCCAGAATCCCATCGAATTGGCCATACTCGCCTTCATTGTCGTTGATAATCCACTTGCCCTGCTTGGTCTTTTTCACTGAGGTGATGCGGGTGTCGAAGACTGTTCGTCGCTCGAGGTCATAGCGCTTCCAGAGACTGATAATCTGCTCCTGAATCTGCTTCTGACTGGGATAGGCGCTGTCATAGTGAACCGACGGATGGAACCGGTACATGAGACTGTGGACTTGCAATGCAGAGGTGGAATTGACTCGCTATATTCCGAGTCAGCCCATTGCCTGGTTCATTCCATTGGGGTAACACTTACACTCCAGATGCCACCCAGGCCCTTGTCTTTGGGTCGCGACTCAAAGATTTGCACGTCGAAGCCATGGCCGACACAATGGGCAGCCGATGACACACCAGTTAATCCAGCACCAATGACTGCAACTCTCTTCCGAGGGATATTTGGGTTGCTCGTAGTTGGAGGGGTGGAATTGGAGCGAAGATGTAGGTAAGCAATGCTTGGGCTATCATATAGAGCCAGGTGAAGGTCTGGACAAATGGGTGCCGGACCACGGCAGGGATAGATGAAGCCATAATGAATGAGGGAAAAGAGGAAAAGACGAAGAAGACAAAGAAGACGAAGGACCTTCAAAAGAGCCAATGGCCCCTCTATCTGGGAATATTTGTAGTCGTTTGGATTGTGACGTGATACGGTGGAGCATCCCTTTCATGTGAAGCTGGCCATGACATCATCCAAAGAAGAAAAAAAAGAGCAGCGAGGAACAGGAAAAAACGGTCATCAAATACTCCACTCGGGATGCCGCTAATCTGAATCATGAGATAATGGGTCTAGGAAATCCCCGAGCCGAATTAATATGGTCTACCCATGTCTACTGACTCGCCTGCAAGGTATACAAGGTACATGGTGGGGGATGTATATGTTCTAGATATTGAACACAGAAGAGAAGGGAAATAGATAGTAACCCATTTTGTTCTATTTCTATTATTTTGAAAAGAAGATTTGGCTTGTCCAATGCCTCTAGCATACTACCCTAAGATATTCTTTTAATATACCTCAAGTATATACACCCAAAATCTCCAATGATTGACTGACACACCCCAACCTGGGCTGGATTTAAACTATAAAAAGAAAGGATACCGAACTAATGACCCTTGTCAAATTGAATCCCCAGATCCCCAGATCAGCTCCTTTTATCCATGGCTCTTCTAGGGCTCTTCTAGGGCGCCCCAATCTATAACGGGCGGTGAGAAATGATTCTGCCGCTTCTTTCATTGGCTTCATCGCCCCCCCCCCCCAAGCGCCTAGTAGCCTTCCTTCATACCTGAGGACACGTTGACCATGATGCTGTCTTGATCCCTGCCTACTTGTGCCATGGCTGGCCACACCCCCGTCTTGGATCAATTCCTCAGCAGTGTTGCCGAGTTGGTCCAAAATCGCGATGGCGCCAAACTGCAGGATTTCCTCCAGATCGAACCTCCACTCTCCGAGATTTACCAGCGCATGATTGAGGAATTACGCCAGCAACATGCTACTCCCCAGAGTGAAACTGCACTACTCCAGCGATGTGAGGCCTTGGTGCCTCGGAAGGGCTCGTCATGGACGGCCTTTCCCACCTTCGTTAAACTCTACCTGACTTTCCTGCGTGATGTGAACGTCGAGAATCTTCTGGACACCTATAACCTGCTCAAGGCCCTTCTCAAGTGAGTTTGATTTGAATTGAAGCCTGGAGGGGTGGCTAACCCGTTGCCAGTCAGTGTGTATTGGCCCTTGGTGACAGCCAAATGGGTGTCATCGTCCTCCCGACCGTCCTCTACCTCTCGAAAGTGCTGGCGAAATTGGCCATGGGACTAGACCGCCGGCCCGAGTTGATTGCACATATTCTGCGAATGGAAGGACATACCGATCGCGACGAGAATATTGAGAAGGTGACTCTAGTAGAGCAGTCGGCCAACGTCGTGCGCGAGGCCTTCATCAAGTGCCTCACGGATCGCACCGGCAACCCGGGTCCGCAAGGGAAGCCCGAGGGAAAAAGAATTGGCATCTATCTCATGGCCAATCTGTGCCTGAAGCTTCTGTTCCAGTGCGGTAAACTTCGCAACGCCGAGCAGATGTTCGCCAGCATCAGCGCGCAATCCCCGCCTTTGACCTTCTTCCCAGCCTCCCAGCGCGTCACCTACCTCTACTACCTGGGCCGCTATCTTTTCTCCAACACCCTCTTCTATCCTGCCCAGATCGCCCTTCAGGCCGCCTATGACCAATGCCACCGCCAGGCATTGAGCCAAAGACATCTCATTCTGTCCTATCTGATCCCTTGCAACATTATTTTGGGCCGATTCCCGTCCCGGGCTCTCCTCCTACGACCCGAGGCGCAAGGCCTCACCGAACGGTTCGAGCCACTGTGTCGTTTAATTGCTCGCGGAGACTATATTGCGTTTCGCCAACATCTCTCCATCGGTTCCCCAGCCGCGGAATGGTTTGCACGGAAGGGGATTTTGCTCACGCTCCGCAACCGCTGCGAGATTCTGGTGTGGCGGTCATTTGCCCGCAAAGTGTTCATCCAGGGAGGTTTTCATGGGGACCCGCAGGCGCAGGCGCAGCGCGGACCCCCGCCGTTCCTCTACCTCCAGAAGCTGGTTGTGGCTACATTATGGCTGCAATCGCAACACGCACCATCCAACGAGAGCCCCAGTGATGCCACTGCGGCTTTTAATTCCTATGGGTCCCAGATTGTCGCCGAACCAGCGGATCCTGATTTCAGCGGCCTATCGGACTCGCCCGCGGTTGGCAACCCCGACGCCGATCACGAACTTCTGGTCAAGTATGGGGACTACCTGGCTCCCGATGGCCTTTTTGATGACCGAGGCTACTGGCACGAGAATACGCACGGGAATTTGGTGAACGGGGTGCCGGAAGCTGAGGATGACGACCGCCAATTGGATCCGTATGGGCAACCCGATCCCGAAGCTAACGGGGCGTCCCCGGTCATGCGAGAGATTGAATCCATCCTCGCATCGCTCCTCACTCAGGGCTTGATGCGCGGCTATCTTACCCACCGCAATCCCCGGTTCGCCATCCCTGGAGCTCGACTACGGGGCGCCTTGCCCACGGGATTTCCCAATGTCTGGCACACCATCTCTGCACACGAGCAAGAAGATGACAGTGTGCCCGGGTGGGTTCAGCCGCCCAAGCCCTCACTGGGTGCACCTGCACTGGCAGGAGGGCGAGTAGTCAACCTCCAGGGCGCCCGGCCGGTCGGGGTGCAGTAGGGTGGAAGGGCATAGATTTCGTCTATCTCTATTTCTATTTTTTTTTAATGATACCATTTTGAATGAATATGATGCTTGCAATTCCGTGTTATCTAGGAATTGAAATTGTATAAAGTAAGTAGACATCAAAGTAAAAATCAGTGCAATTATTTAGTACTGGGCCGATTTCGTTAGCTGCCATTCCCCATATGCGGGGAATCCACTCCCTTCCCCGACATCCCCCCTCGTGTAGATGGACCATCACGAAGCTGTGCAGAAGATCGCGGCGCGGGTCGCGGATTTCCATCGTCGCCAGCAGCCGTTCCGCATCTATCATGCTTCCACCAACTCGACGAGGCCCGCCAACCACTCGGCCTCCACTACTGTCAGCACCGCCGCTCTCACGCGCGTCCTCGAGGTCAATGCAGACTGCCAGACGGCCATCGTCGAGCCCAATGTCCCGATGGACGCCCTCGTGGCGGCCACTCTCAAGAAAGACTTGGTTCCGCGGGTCGTTATGGAATTCCCCGGAATCACGGTGGGCGGCGGGTTCTCCGGCACGTCGGGTGAGAGCAGCTCATTCCGCGAAGGATTTTTTGACAATACGGTGAACTGGATTGAGATTGTTCTGGCAGACGGGGCCGTGGTGCGGGCGTATAATGACCGCGTCGACCAGACGCTGGATCTCGAGGACCCGCGAGCAGATCTATTTTTTGGTGCGGCTTCTTCCTTCGGCACGCTGGGGGTGGTTACCCTGCTGGAAGTGCGGTTGAAAAAGGCTTCTCCCCTGGTGGAACTGCAATACTATAGGACCTCTGATATGCCCGGGGCATTACGCATCTTTCGCGAAGCCGCAGCCGATCAAACCACCGAATATCTGGACGGCATTGTGTACGCGCGAGACCAAATTGTCGTCTGCGTTGGGCGGCAAGTGGAAAAAAGACCCAATGCCCAGGTTCAGAAATTTACCCGTCGTCGAGATGACTGGTTCTACCTTCATGTCAATCGCACCACCAAGCACCGTCGCGACGCTGTGGACTATATCCCCCTGACGGACTATTTGTTTCGCTATGACCGCGGCGGGTTCTGGGTCGGCCGCTACGCCTACCATTACTTTTGCGTACCTTTTAACGCGCTCACGCGCTACATCCTCAATCGATTCATGCATACTCGGGTTATGTACCACGCCCTGCACGTCAGTGGTTTTGCTCGGCAATACATCATCCAAGATGTTGGGGTGCCGGTATCGAAGACCACCGAATTCCTGGACTGGCTCGACAACCCGGACAACTTTGGCAAATATCCTATTTGGCTGTGCCCACTTCCTGCTGGAAGCGCGGGCGGGCTGGAAGGACAGACGGTTGACACCGGCAACGGGACACACGATAAACGGTTAGATCGGGACGCGCATGATACGACATTGATGAACTTTGGCATCTGGGGTCCATCCACAGCTGCTGATGCGACACAGTTTGTGACCCAGAATCGTCGACTCGAACAGAAAGTACACAGTCTGCGGGGGAAGAAGTGGCTATATGCACATACGTACTATACCGAGGAAGAGTTCTGGGACATCTACAACAAGCCCGAGTACGATGCCTTGCGCCACAAGTATCACGCAGGGCATCTCCCTACGTTGTATGACAAGGTGCGTGTGCGCGAAACAGATCTCCCGGGGGTCCATCGCGGAGACAACGAAGGTGGGTGGAAGGGGTTTGTGAAACGCACACTGTGGGATGTCTGGCCATTCAGCGGACTTTATGGAGTGTACCACGCGTGGCTTGGTGGGGATTATTTGCTGCAGAAGGAAACGCCCTCTAAAGACAAGCCCGAATGAGCATATATCAGAAGTTTAGGGAGCCATGGGTATTGGATAAAGGTACTTCGTTACTTGCTATGAGTCTTGAGCAAAGAACAAACGCCCTCCGCAGATGCATAGTGAAATAAGAAAAAAGATCCGAAAAGCGCGCCTCTTGGCGTGGTTATTCAATGACGATTCGTCCTTCGAGCCGAGGCGAGATTCCTGACGTCCAGGCGGGGGTGAATTCCCCTTCACCATCCATCGCGTTGAGTGTCGTGGGTTGAAGACCCGTGTGCCGCATCCATTTGCGGACAACCCGGCGCGCCAGCTGCAGGCGATGCTCCTCCTCGGCCGAGGATCGAGCGGGATGCGTCACGTAGTTGGTCGTCGGTCGCGGCGAAGTGAGCACCTCGGGGTCCTCGTCCGAGTCGGAGTCCATGGCATCGCCATTTGTGCCATTCGCGGTTTCCGGGTTTGCCTCGTCAGGAAAACGGCCGTAGTAATAAGCGGTCCGGGCCGTCCGTTGCAAGGCGGGCCGATGCCCGAGTCGTCGTCCTGGTGTCTTTTCCGATATAGGGGATGAGGTAGCAGATGGCGGCTTCAGCCATCCCTTGCCGTGGAGGTTATGGTGCACGGAGCCCCAGTGTCGTTTGAGACTCGGGCTCCAACGTTGCCACTTCCCCATCACCTTCAGGCTTAGGAAATACTGTCGCAGAATCGTACTGATCAACACTCCGTTTTCCTCGCACACGATCTCCTCCACCTTACCTCCCTCGGACTGGACCAGTAGGGAGGCAAATCCATCTTTCCCTCGCGCCATATAACCGCGCGTGGCTAGGACGTAGTCTCGCTGCAGATCAATGGGCTTCCCTCCAACACGGGCAAACGTAATACGCGAGCCCGCCGGTGCGGAAAGTTTGTAACCAAAAGCGATGTTGGAAACTTGTGTGAACCGACCTTCGAGCGCCGGGAGCTGTGAGACCCCATTTTCAAGAGCTTCTAGCAACGCATGACCTTGCAGGCGCACTAAAACGACGGGATCCTCGAAGGGAAAGCAGTTTAACAGGTCCTTCAATCGCAGTATGCCTGGTGGGTAGATTTGATCTCCACGAATAGTGCCCCCGGCCATCATTGCACAGTCCGCGGCGTAGTAGAAACGCATCAAATCACAGACAAAGTTACCCAAATTCGACTCACACTGCCGCACAGTCGAGAAACGGCCGTCCAGCGGGCTGACCGTGTATCCTACAGGCTTCTCTAACTTCGCTTGGAGACTAGACGTGAGTTTAGCCACTAGATTCACCGTGGCAGGATCCTCTGGGATCGAGCGGACGACATCTCGCCGGATGATGTTAACATCCCAGCCGGATGCGCCATCGGGTTTACGAAAGAACTCGATATAGCTCAACTGCTTGAAGTCGGTGCCAGATCGAAGCACGTGAGTACCGTTGACGACAGCGTGGGCGTAAAAGTGATCATGGCCACCGAGGATGATGTCCACCAGACCGGAAGGTAGATTTTTGGCCAATTTTTGATCATTCGGTTCGCGTTGGTGAGTCACTGCGATGATGAGTTTGGCTCCCTGTTTACGAAGCGATGGCACAAGTGCCTGGACGGTTTGAGACGCGGATTTGTAGATGAGATCAGGCGGAAGGGCATTGATAGTGCCGAGCCTGGTAAAATAATCAGAAAGAAATAGGGCAAATGCTGGGGGGGGGGGACAACATAAACTGGATCTTACCATTCTCGCTCCCCCAGGCCAATTACACCGACCTTGATTCCATTTGACGAAGTCAACATGCACGTCTTGCCACAGTCGGCAATGGGAACGTCCTCTCCAAGAGCTGGGTCGAGAACATTCGCAAGCAGCCATGGGAAACGACATTGGCTGGAGAGATGGCGAAATTGGGCAACTCCAAAGTCGAGATCATGATTCTGGGCAGGTCAGTAGCGTTCCAGGTTGAGAACAGACTTGGTTGCCATACTCACACCCACACACGCCACATCGGTTTTGACCTTATTCAAAAACGGGACCATATGCCGGCCCTTGGTTATTGTACTCTCGAGGCTTGGGTTAAAGGCATCGCCGGAGAAGAAGGTCAAGATGTCAGGCTGGCCGGCGAACCGCGGATCGGTGCGATAGTAGTTGATAAGAGACTGGAAACGAGAAGCTCCGCCAACAGGCTCGGCAGATCCTGGCCTAAAATGCAACTGGGTTAGATCGGTGTTGATCACAGCCTGAAGCTTGAAAGTGGGGAGCAAGTGACATACTCGATGTGATAGACATCGTTATAGTGGATCAGCCGCAGATCTGGGGAACCAGTGCGATCAGAGTAGATGACGGAGAGGCCGTCATCATGGAAAGTGGACATGGGATTTAACTACAGCACGAATGACTAGGGATGAGAGAAGAACGGAGAAGAGAGGGAAGGAGGTAGGAGGAATCGGGTGGGACAATGGGGACCAGGTGCCTGAAGATGCCTGGAGAATCAGGAGTGGAATTGGGGCACAACATACAAGACAAACATACCAAAAGAAACAAACATCAGGAGCCGCACCATTTGGGATCTGCCAATAATCCTTCCCCCGCCTATCGACATCACTTTATTTGCCTTTTTCTCTAAGTATGCTCGTTCTCCAGCTGTTCTTCTTCTGTTGGATAAAAAGCCTGTCTGCGTGTCTCGAGTGGATATTTTGCCTATCTGGGCCAGCTGAAGCGTTGTTGATTGTGCGAAACAATTGTTTCTACTGATTGTGACTAGTTCAATAGACATAAATTGTACGGATTGTGTGTTTTAAACATGTGCTTAATGATTTGTATCAATGCAATTGGATTATCTCGCCTTCCCTTACGGCAGCGTATACCCCCCGTCAATGATAAGATCCGCGCCTGTCATATAGCTAGATGCATCCGAAGCGCAGAAGACATAGGCCTAAAGACAATATCAGCAATGTCTGTTTGGCCAGATTTAACTCAAGGAGTGGGTAGCCGTACGCCTTTCAGTTCATAACATTCCGCCATTCTCCTGGCGGGGATCATGTCGAACCACTTTTCTCGCCATTCCTGAGGGTGTATGTCAAGAATCTCGGTTGCAATAAAGCCAGGGGAAATGCAGTTAACGCGACAGAAATCGACCCATTCCACGGACAAGCATTTGGCCAGCTGCACGACTCCAGCCTTGGAGGCGTTATACTAGACAGTTGTCAGTTGGGTGGGAGTCCAACCGTACCAATATATCGAGGGACAAGAAGAAGAGGATTTTTGTCAGCTTACCGCTGCCTGTTTCTGAGGCACATTCACCAAGGTCGCGCTCACGGAAGCTGTGAAAATAACGTTACCATGGCCCTGCTCCTTGAAGATGCGAGCCGCGGCCTGCGCTGAGTAAAAAGCGCCATCCAGATTGACTTTCATAATGTCGCTCCACTGGGATGGGGTATAGTCCTCTGCAGCAACGCACGAGGTGACGCCTGAGTTGACCACGATAATGTCGAGACGGCCAAAGTCCTTGGAAATCTGCTGCACGGCGGCTTCGATCTCGGACTGGGTGCCCACGTTGGCCTGGTAGGCGGCCGCACGCACATTGTTTGCGGATGCGATTTCAGCTGCCGTGGTTTCGGCTGTCTTGGACGAGTTATAGATCAGGGCCACCTAGATGAGTGAAGGTTGTTGTTAGTCGAGTTTCAATACAAAGGCACCACACTACATACATTGGCACCGGCCTCTGCCAGTGCTTTGGAGACTTCGAGTCCGATCCCACGGGCACCTCCTACAAGTTGTGGTCGGTTAGTCTGTAGCACATAAGTCGTGGATTCTTCTCCATACCAGTGACGGCGGCGACCTTGCCCGTGAGGTCGAATGCCTTCATGACATGCTGGTTTGGGGGCTGCGCGAGGACCATCTTGTCGGTTGTAAATTACTATAGTGGCTGGCTCGTTTGGACGAGTTTAAAGAAAAGGGATGTTACAACTGCGACTCCTTCATGCCTCCCCGCACATCGGCGGATCTCCGAGCGGAGCCAGTCGTCCGGGCGGGGTGGTTCACGGATCCACAGCGGAGATGTGGATCCGCCGGGCTCTCTACAAACAGCGCAGGATGTTATAAAACAAGCGTGGATTCGCATTAGACAGCCAAGTTACGTCTAGCTCTAAAAGCATAGGATGCAGCTGGGCAAATAACATTCCAGAGGCATTCGAGAGACACTATCAACTAAGGGATGACCCCTGAGGGATACGGAGCGGCCAATCAAGAACCAAGGTGGTAGATGCACTACATCAACTCCGCCTCTCTTGAAAATTGTGGATTGACATTTGTGGGCTATTTTTCCACTTCGCCCCCAGGGATCTTACGGAGCAACCAGTCATCGCCCAGTGCTTACACGCCTACGGCGCCGCAGATCCCTTGCTCCTCTTTCGGGTGCCTATTAGAGTCTCCCCAGATATAGGAGAACTACACTTTTGTTGATTAGTATGTTCCATAGTCGGAAGTGACAACGCCAGGCCCCAACCCCTAGGGCTTCTTGGTTGAAACGTATTAGAACGTCCCACTCAGCCAACATCAAATGGCCTTTAGACCCAAAACCAAGCGACAGTGGTAAAGGAGAGAATAATGCGCGAACTATAAGTATGAGCTTAGCCACGCCCCAAGGACGACGTATGACAAGCAATGCAAAATCAACTTTATTTCTCCTTTTATTCTAGTCATGATGAAGTCGTTTCTCTTGTTGCTTCCATTGATGGCACTTGCCGATGCCGCCAAACTGGCCTATTGTCCGCTGCTTGGCCCGACCTTCCCAGCTTCTACCGACTTCAACTCCAAAACATTCACGGGAAACGAAAAACAACACTACCACAATCCTCGACAACGCGGTCAAAACAGGCAAACTTAAAAACTCGCTGTCCCTCCAGATCTTCTCTGCTTACGATTCCAAGCCACTGTTTGAACACTACTACACCGCACCGGAAGTCAGGAATGCCACGCGAGGTGTGCGCAAGGTCGATGAAGATACGGTGTTCCGCATTGGCAGCGGCTCCAAGCTGCGGACCATGCTGCTGTACATGATAGAGACAAATGGCACTCGCTTAGATGAGCCTGTGGCCAAATACGTCCCCGAGCTGAAAAAGGCGGCGGACAAACTCGGACACAGTAAAATGGAACAGGCCGACGAAGCAGACTACGTCCAGTGGGATCAAGGAACAATAGGTGAACTGGCCAGCGATCTCGCCGGTATCCCTGGAGACTATGATTTCCAACTCTTGTTTACCATGAACACATAGCTAATTCAAAAGAAAGACGGCTTCGGCGATCAAGCAGCGAACCCCAAAACTCTCTATCAGCTGCAACAGCAAGGCTTCCCATCCCTGAAAAAGGATGACATCCCTCCCTGCGGTGCTGAGGTGGTTTGCGATCGAAAGGGTACATGAACCCCCCCCCCCCCCTCCTTTATTTTGAGTACTGATTAATTCGATATCTGTCGGATGAACAGGTTTCTTCAAGGGCTTGCTGAAAGGTCACCCGTTGGCATCCACTTCGTCAACACCAATCTACTCGAATGCGGGCTTCCAGATTCTGGCATATGCCCTGGAGGGCATCACCGGCAACAGCTACGGGCACCTACTTTAGGAGAAACTTATTAAGCCACTGAAATTGACCCGGTCTAGCACCAACAAGCCCGATGACAAGCACGGCGTGATCCCTGGCGACCCAACCTCCAACTACTGGAACATTGACACTGGGGATGAGACGCCGTGAGTATTCAATTTCCTCCAGCAACACAGATCAGCCCAGAATGAACGTAAGCGTGATCCTGCTGTCCTATGGATGCGCGCTCACTATCTACAGGAAACAAACCCCTCCTTCGTGCTCCGCGCCGTCCAGGACATAGTCTTCGAAGACCAGGTAGTGCCCGCACTGAAAGACCCCTGGGATGTACGCGTGCGAATCGCGCAGACTGGCATCTGTGGTAGTGATATTCATTATTGGCAGCGAGGACGGATTGGAGGTAAGAAAGCACCTATGTCAGGAAAATACACCTACTCATTCCGCCAGACTTCATTCTAGAATCACCCATCGTGCTCGGGCATGAGAGTTCGGGAACTGTCGTGGAGGTTGGTTCCGCGGTCAAGGACCTCCATGTCGGCGACCGAGTGGCCATAGATCCCGGGGTGCCATGCAGACAGTGCGTAAGATCCGTGACACATCCATATACCAGCAGATTCTAACCAGACATAGCTGCGAGTACTGTCGCAGCGGCTCTTACAATCTCTGCCCAGACACCGTGTTCGCAGCGACGCCTCCGCATGACGGCACGCTATCCAAGTACTACATCACGCAGGCCGACTTCTGCTACCCGCTACCCGCACACATGGACCTGGAAGAAGGGGCGCTGGTCGAGCCTTTGGCCGTGGCCGTGCAGATTACCAAGGTAGGCAAGGTGAAGCCTAACCAGACAGTCGTGGTCTTCGGGTGTGGGCCCATTGGTATTCTTTGTCAGGCCGTGAGCAAGGTGTATGCAGCGCAGAAGGTGATCGGGGTAGATATCAGCGCATCTCGGGCCGAGTTTGCGCGCAAGTTTGGTGCCGACAATGTATTCGTGCCGCCGACAAAGTCCGAGAGAATTGAAGACTCCGCATGGAGCGAGAACGTGGCACATATGATGAAAGAGCAGTTCGGGCTGGGCGAGGGACCCGATGTGGTGCTGGAGGCGACTGGCGCGCAGAGTTGTATCCAGACCGGGATACATTTGACCAAGAAGGGTGGCATGTATGTGCAAGCCGGTATGAGGCGAGAGGAGTTGGGTTATCGTCACCCTTTCCTTGGGGTATTATTGGATCACTCTCCGAGCAGTGTTGACTCTGATCAGAATGTCGTCTTCCCCATCACCACGGCCTGTATCCGTGACTTGACTATCCGGGGTTCCATCCGGTACACGACTGGGTGCTATCCAACTACTGTGGATCTGATCAGCAGTGGCAAAACCAATGTCAAGTGGCTCGTGACGGACCGGTACAAGTTCGAGCAAGCAGGGGAAGCATTTGAGCTGGTCCGGCAAGGGAAGGAGAGTGTGATCAAGGTGATCATTGAGGGTGTGTCTTCCTAAGCTGAATATTCTCATATAGAAGACGGAACTATACCGCAGATGAAACAGCATAACATCCGGGGGTGGAGCCCATATGAATATTCCTAGAGCTGTATTTCACAGCTCCAACTCCATCGTCTTAACGGATTTCACGTTTTTTGACAGGATGTAGGAGCATTGATGGAAGACACAGTCGAGAGTTTTCTTTCTCCCACTGATATAGTTAACTCAAAAAGGACCGAAACAAACCCGGTCGACTTACATTCTCTGCCTCGCCGTACCCCAACCAAGCTCGATAAAGCTTCTCAGCAAACGCCGAGCGAAACATAAGAGTGGTATTAAAGAGAATTTCATGGTGCTGGTTCCAGCTCCATATGCTAGTAAAGCCGGCATTGACTTCACCTTGCGGGTCACCCGAGTTGGCGTGGCGGTTGAGTTCAGCTGGATCCCATGCGTAGTCATGAAACAGTGGCTGCGGGACCTGAATAGCCTTCAGACCATAGAACAAGGCCCAAGAAGCCAAGGACATTTCAGAGGCGAGGCCAACTCCCTTCTCAGCCTTGTCGGAATGCAACAGGCGAAGAAGCCGCGCCGACACTCGAGACATGGCGACGACAGCTGCACGGCGTAGCATGTTTTCTCCCTGCAGGAAATTGAAGATACGCCCACGGAAGGGCCATTCCACGCCTGCCGGGTTGAAACGGGGCAGCCAAGTGATCAGGTCGGCTTCTTTGCCCACGCCCCAGCTGCGGGCGTCGTCTTCTGGGTTCGGCACCGGAGGCACCGAGGCTTCTCCTTCGACATCGATCCCCTCGGCGGGTCGCGGACCCCAGACGCTGTCATGGCCGGAGACTTCCTTGTCCACCATGTTGGTAAACTCTTCCCAGGTGCCATGGACGGCGGGAATGTAGAAGTAGGAGTTGCGCTCCCAGGTGTGCTTTCGGGGCTGTCGTTTTGCAAATTCCGTTGCTTGGTGAAGTAAATGGTAAAGATGGCCTGTGTAGCGAGAGTTCATTTCAAACTGCCAAATGTAGTCGTACTGTGGATGCAGTCGCGAGAAGATCTGCACTGGCTGATAGTATTGGAGAATTGCTCTGAAGGATTGTCAGCCTGAGTGGTCTTCAATTCACTGAAAACCTCGAAAAACATACACATGCGTGCCAATGCCAGGATACCAGTCAGCCAGCATCTTCTCGTTGAAAACGACAGCCATTTCTCGCAGCTCTGCCGGAAGATGCCGTTTTTTAAAACTCTCCATAGCTGCAGTGTCCCTGGGGCCCGGCAGAGTCTTGCCCTGACAGTCAACAAGGAGGATCACTTCATATTCTCCCCCCGAGTAGAGTGACAACTCCATGACCATAGACCGGATATGGTGGAGGTCATTCGCCGTCCAGATCGTCTTTTCCTGGGGGTCTGCGGAGCGATATCGATCGGCATTGCGCTGTAGACAGTTCTGCTGCAGGCCGGCCCAGTTCACCTTTTCCCAACTCACTTCGGCTGCTTCATTCGACCCGAATCCGCTTGTCCAGTTCCCCGGGGCTGCCTACCGCGGAGCCATACGCGCCATATCGAGAATATCGATCCGTGCAGCGACTCTGATCCAAACCCCACGACTCGTATGATCCAAAGATTGGTGTCGGGAAATCTAGCCTCGCACGCCATTAGTTCCTGTCATCTTGTTCACATGCTTTTGCTCCTCGCACCTGAGCTGTTCCAATGATACCCGCTCATCATCGTATCCTCGCTCCGGCGGTTCAGAAGATGGCCATGCGGTCCCAGACATGGTTAATAGGTTCTTTTCGTGTTTCTTTCCAGGCCGCACTGTTATAGTTCGGGTACGGGTCATCGATGATCTGTGAAGTTCCTCGGGGCTGATCTCCTGCATAGTTGATCGGGAAAAGGTTCCAAAGGTTGCAGATATTCCGCAGGCCTGCCAACTGTGAGAAGAGTGATCAGATTAAAAATTGACTGGCTAGAACGCAGTATCGAAATAACAATCAATGCAAAGAAACAGAGATCATCTACCTCAAGGGCCCCATTTTCACCGGAGACACCGTCACAGCCTTCTCCCTCACTGACGGCTCAAACAACAGCACCACCACGAGCAAAACAGCTACCGCAAAACGGCGCTTTAGAGGGCCGAAGCACCCCGCAGCGCCAGGGAGGTCATCGTGTAGAGAGTGTCATAAGAATTGTAATAAACCTCTCCCGCCTGGGATGGTGTCCGGACATTCAACTCGGGCAAGGGCAGACAGACGCGATTGTGGTATTGTGTTTGAACCCGAGTTTCAGGAGCTCGCCCGAGCAGAATTTCGTGAATCTCCCGGCCCCCATTACTGGGAACACTCTGATCTACAGTTCTATTCCAAAGCGGGTTGGCCCGGATAGCCTCAACTTCCATGGAGTAGACCCACTTCCCGTGCCCAGCGATGATGCATTTCCGACGCATTTCATTCGGTGGACAGTTCCGAACCTTTACATTCAGCGGCTACGCTAGTTACTAGCACATTACCTACAGTCTCAAGCATGGCACAAGACCACAATATGTACTCTTTGCATAACGAAGGGGATATCATCTATGTACTTGAGCGCGAGAACATGATACAAGATAGCGCAAGGCATATGGCTGGCAACACAAACTTCCAGTTATGACTCTGAGAAAACCGATGGGGCAGGACAAGAGGCAGGCCGGAGAATCAAACGACACAGATTCACGGCGGGGACTCGTTACTCGTCGGGGCCGCTCGGCGACCCCATCCACTGAAAAACCCTCCCCCTCCGACCGCAGCGCTGCCGGAAGACGAGGCTGCAGGCTTGACCGGTTCTGTGGGAGCCTTGGTAATGCTGGCGCGCGAGGGGGACCGGCCGAGGAAGGAATTGCGGTTCTCCAGGTTGGCGGCCGCGGCCTGGGGATTAGGCGAACTGATCATCTTTCGCAGTGAATCAAGCTTGGCCTTGACCTCCTCTAACTCTTGCTTGGCAACCGCCTCCTCCGTCTTCGCATTCACGAGCTCCAACAGCAGCGCCTCCTCGGGCGCAGGCTTGTTGTTCTCCGTGGATAACACGTTCTGGAGCCCCAAGCTACTCGACCGTTTGCTGAACGTTGGGCTTTTCTGAGAGTTCGAGCGGACAAGCCTGAGCTGGCGCAGCCCAGTAGGAGAGGACACTTCGCCCGTGGGGCTCGTGGAGGATGCCTCCGGCAGGGTTGGCGATTCCGGCACCGATGTCTTAAGGGTCCGGAGCTCCTTGTTGACGCGCTCCAATCGCTGTCGATCGCGATACCCATCCTGGATCCGACCACGGGCCTCACGCAACTGCTCCTTGAGAGAAGAGTTTTCCTGCTCGAAATCATCGATGCGACGCGTAAGATCCAAGCAGCGACTGGCTTCCACTCCGTGCATCCCCTTCCATCGTGTCAGATCATCATTCAGCTGATGCTTGGTTTGGATGATGGACGTGCGCTTGGGCTCAGCGGTGTCGAATCGTGCTTTAGCCTTGGCGACCAGTTCGGCTGGATGTGCTTCAGCGGGCATCTCCTCAAGATGATTCAACATCTCCTTTGCCAAGGCGTGATCTTCCTCGCGCTCCTCGCGCTCCTGTTGTAATTCGTGGGTAAGGTCGGCGTGTTGGCGTTGGAGGTCGCTCAAAGCCATCAACAAATCCTCGATCTGTGTGTGGAGGTCGCGATCCTTGTGGTGGGTCGACATGGTGGATTTGACTCGTGGCTTCTGACCTTCGGCACTCGCAGTAGCGGATGACACCTCGGTGGGTGCAGTACTCGCGTCAGACGTGGTTTCAATCGAGTTCAAGGTGGAGGTCATGCTCTGTTTAGATGGAGAGCGTCGGATTGTGCTAGCGGGACGCGACGGGCTGGGGTTCGGGTTCAGAGATTTGACCGAATTGTGAGAGTTAGAAGAGCCGGCCCACAAGCGTCCAAGGAAACGAGAAGCTGCAGCCTGCATCTGAGGGAAGGAAATTCCCAAAGTGATGCCTTGGGATTGGTTGTAGCTGGCCTCCAAAGCTTGAAGACTATCTTTTGTCACAAGAGACGTCAATGACACAAAGTCATTCACGAGATCATCTGCATTAAACGCGTATCTGGGTTTCGCCGAGTCAGAATTTCTTCTCAATGCAATTGCGGGCAACTCACGTGTCCCATAAACTCCGCGAAAGCAACAGTTGCATCACATCTTCGAATTCAGTGCAGGCCATGATCCTCTTCTCATTGCGCTGCATCAGAGAGAGCGCGACTCGCATCAAAGTTTCGCATGCACCTTCCAGAAAGATGACGTCGTAAATTCGCAGCAACATGGGTAGCGGACAAGCCACTGCAAAGAACGACAAGAACCACTGCGACACGTAGACCGGCTCGACATTCAGTGACTCCAGGTGCTCAAAGAGGGCCGGTCGGTGTCGCGCCAGGAGATTTTGGAACTGGTAGACATGAAGATGAAGACCCGAAAGGTCGGGCAGGTAGCAGGTTCGAAGGTTATAGTGGTCCATCAGTCTGTATAACCACAACAATATCAGTCTCAACTCTCAGTCGCATCAGTCCAAATTTCGTACCGAACTAGCACACAGAAAGCCTCGGCATCCGTCATGTGCATGAGCAGAGGGCCGACGACAAAGCCCAGTCCCTGACAGTAGCCAATCTTGGTGTCGTAAAGACTGAAACATCTCAACACTCGGGCCAGCATCTGTTGACCCTCACCGTTGGGGTCACGAAACATTTCCACATTGGGAAAGCTTCGACCAATGTCCTTCCCGATCAACCCATCATACGGGCTGCTTTCGCCCGAAAGCCGTTGGAACTCGTCGAGGAGTGTGGTATCGCGCGCGCCCGCTAAACTCGGCCATACCACACCTCGAAGGGGCGGTGGCACACCACCCTGGATCTTGTTGGATGTCAATGTCGGCAGTCGCTGAGCCGTCTGGGGGTAATCCGCCACCAGGGCAGCCCAGAACTCGAGTTCAGTCATCGGGGGAGGCGGCAACTGCGAATAGCGCAGCTCTGCCCGCGCCGGGTCGTTGATCAGCCGTTTGATCTGATGCAACGACTCCGAGCGGGACTGCCGCTGGTGCCTCTGGCCTCGGGGGACATTGGATAGGCCGGATTTCGGGTTCGTTGCCAAGGCATTGTTCTCCTGTTCCAGGCGAGCCAGAAGCAGGGCTGTGGACTAGAAAGCAAGAAAAAAAAGTGGAGGTTAACTTCCATTCCAGTCTCGCCCACGCGGGGTCCGAAGAATGTGCGGCTACCCACCTCATCTGAACCTTCCCCACGGGGCTCTTGCTCCTCTGTTTTCTCTAGGTTCTCCCAATCCACCTCATGGTCCATTACGTCACCTGCTGGCTCTTCTCCAGCAGTTGGAGAGTCATCCACGGGGGTGGGGGTGGTTTTCGCAGCGTCTTGGAGTGGCACCGGACTGATGGGTTCATCGGCAGTCTGCTGGGGCTCGGATTCAAGGTTGGTTGCTTCAATTGGGGTGGGAGGGATATCCAGGGAGCGCCACTCTGGTTGGGTATGCTCTGAATTGGACTGGATGTCGGATAGTGAGACGGTCACCATGGAGTCATGGTTGGGGGCGTGCGGTGTGCCGGGCGACGCTGGGTCGGCGTCCATTATGACACGATCGGAATCAAAGATGCGATCAAAAAGAAGCAAAGACAACTCAAAAGGCAGTCACCAGAGCAGTCAATTAGACCTGGGGACAAGATGGGGTCGAGAGATTCAACGCAGACTTCATCGCTGACCGGGGGGGGAGCGAGTCAACACAAATCCAACAGGCAAGAATGGTGCGACATACCCAAGGGTGACCCTGCACCATATAGTATATTCTGGCCCTTGGAGATCCTCCTATGTACACTGTCCAAAGAGGCTGGAGTTGAAGAGAGAGAAAAAGGGAGTCAGGAGAACACCGCTCCCACTAGCCCCTTAGCCTTCCCCTCCTGGCCTCCCCGTCGATCGTTAAGTAGGGATTGTCCTGGTTATTCTGCTGATATGCTATTAATATTGACGAAATACACTATGTTGGTTATTCTAATGACTCTAATTCTTATTCTCCCTGCTTTCTACGTATCTACTGTCCCCCTTTTTTCTGTTTACGCACGCGTTCCGCCGCCTTGTATTTTCCATGGGTTCAAGCACTGAACTTCTGGGCAGTCTCCACTTTGTCTTTGTCTTCTTTTTCCCCCCTAAGAACCTGTAGGATAATGACTCTGCAATTAATATAGTATTAATCTAATTCCAGTGCCCTGATAATATAATTAATACCTACCCATGAATCTATAGGGGGTGACGCACTACGCCCTGTAATGTACATACACCCAGAGCTCCTGGATGTAATTTATATGTATTTTTCATTGGTGAAAGCTACAGCTCACAGCCTTTGATTGGATATCATGCCAGCCCCCGTCAAAAAATACCGTAGTATCCAGATTACATATCAAGCCCCTGGTCTCATGTTGATCGTAGCTGCATGAAGGCGCAGAGCCAAGAAGCTACTCAAGGCTGGCCAGCAGACTACAGTCAGTCCAGAGTCATCTTGCTGCTGAACATTCTTTTAAAAAAAAATGCCCCAGCCCCTAGGATCACCTCACTTAGTGGCGGGTTGTGGATCTGCCCTAGCGGCCCGTCTGCAATAATAGTTCTCGAAATAGTTCTAGAATGATAGATTGTCGAACAAGACAGTTCCTAGGATGGTTTGAGCTGGATACTGATTGAAGCCATATATATTGGAGACAAATCCCTCGAATGGCAAGGTAGAACTCGATAACATAACACAGCTTCAAACTGAGGGAACGACCTCTTCATGAATGTTTGATTCTATGGGTAAAGACCTGCTTTGATCTGCATGCATTAGCATATACTAAACCTCTAGGGTTGGACGTGCTATGCCAGCATGCACCAATTCTATCTCATAATGCGGGAGCGCTATGGTCGTAGGTTTATTCTGTCTCGGTTCCCCCTCTTATATCAAACCTCGGCCTGGTATAGGCTAAAAAGCAGGCCATTTCAGCCGATTTTGAACCCTCCACCCCTGAGTAGGAACATTATGTCAACCATAACGCCTTCCTGGCTCGTTTTTCATCGATCGGAATGCTTGATGGTCCGTCATATGCTATCTGGACTATACGATCGAATCTCGAGTAAACTCTCCCGGAAAGAGACGATTTCTATAGTGGCTGTATTAGTGGAGCTGCGGTGTGGATTCTATTTGCCGGACAGTGGCTTTTCACTAAAATTGTTCAAAGCCCCCGCACCATGACCTCTCAAAATGAGAGAAGTTGGAAGTCTGGCCCGCTTTACACTGGTTCAATACTCGGCCTGCCGCGATGGAAGTTCTGGCAAAAGGGTTTTGCTGCTGCTGTGGAAAGTAGTCGAGCGAGTGAAGAGTGCCGGCAGCTTGCGCAGAAAGCTGTGGATTACATGGATGCTACTGAACGAGTCAATACGTGGTAATAGTGGCTACTTTGTATCGTCGACGTTGGATCTGATTTGAAGGTCGACTTGTCTCCTCGAAACCTTGCGCTGCCTTACTAGCCTCAATCAAAGTCCGATATGTAATTGAATATCTGTATAGGTCAAGCATTGGCTATTATAGGCCTTTCCCCGTCAAGACGACGCTACTGATAGGTTGTATTGATACTCATGCCACTGTCTTTGCTCTAACAAATCTATCAATTTTGCTTCACTAGCGCAAAAACACACTATATATAATTTGAGGAACATGGCCTTTTAAACCTATCAATTACATCACTAACAAAAAAAAAAAAACCACTCAATATACCCTTCTCTAGCAGGGATATGCATACTCTTTCCCCAGAGAACCAGCTAAGCAAAGAAAGCGGGATTCAACTCTTGCTGATTTCCCGTTGTTTCCTATTTCGATCGTTTGTTTAGGTTTTTCCTCTTTCGGCAGTGGCGTCAGGGCGGTGAGGAAGAACGATGATCCGACTGGCTCCTGACGGCCACCGCCCAGCGAGCCGCCCGGAAGGCGCGTTTCATGCGGAAAAAAAACAATTCGTCCCCTCTTCTCCCCAGTCTTTCCTTCCCTTCTCTCTTCTCCAGTTTTTCCAGCCTGAGCATGCTGGAGCGTGATCCATCTATCGCGTAGAGCTCACCTCATCCCATTATTCACGTCATTCGTTTCGGTGTGATTCCGCCTGGATCGGGCCCCTCCGTTTTTCACCTCCGAACTCCCCAACTCAACAACCATGGATGACTCCTTGATGGAAGATTCCGTCTTCGAGGACGATGGCGGTAGCTCCGACTTCGTTCCTGAGCCTGCACCGGTAATAACTGACATTCAAGACATGCTTGCACGCCTTTTTGCTGACTTGATTCTGCTGTATAGAAGCCCAAGGCCAAAGCAGCTCCCAAGAAGGCGGCACCTGCCAAAGCGGCGCCTAAGAAAACTACCCAATCAACACTGAAGACCAAACCTGCCCCCAAAAAGCGGGCCAAGGCCGACAGTGAGGATGACATGTCCGACGATCAAATGTCCGATGATGACTCGCTCTCTCACACTCCCCCGAAGGCGAAGAAGACCTCTGCTCCCAAAAGAGCTGGCTCAAAGCCTCTTGCCGATGTAGAAAATGAGTCTCACCCGGGGGACGGTGCCACTGAAGCGCCGGCCAAGGGTGGCAATGCATCAGAGAAGTACCAGAAGGTAAGCCGAGGCAACTCCAGTCAAGTAATGAACCAGAGCTGATCTGATTTCTCACCAGCTCACACAACTTGAACACATCATTAAACGTCCTGATACATATGTCGGCTCTACAGAACGCACCTCGCAGCAAATGTGGGTGTACAACACCGAATCCGAGGGAATGGAGTGCCGCGAGGTCTCCTTCGTCCCTGGTCTGTACAAAATCTTCGACGAAATCGTGGTCAACGCGGCCGACAACAAGCAGAATGACAAGAACATGAACGAAATCCGAGTGACCATCAGCCGCGAGACCGGCGAAATGAGCGTGTGGAACAATGGCCGTGGTATTCCAATTGAGATCCACTCGAAGGAGAAGATCTATGTTCCTGAGCTCATTTTCGGCCACCTTCTCACCTCATCCAACTATGACGATACCCAGCAGAAGGTGACCGGTGGTCGGAACGGTTTCGGTGCCAAGCTCTGCAACGTTTTCTCGACCGAGTTCACAATCGAGACCCAGGACTCACGCCAAAAGAAAAAGTACAAGCAGACCTGGACGGAGAACATGACCAAAATGGGCAAAGCAAAGGTTACGGAAGCCAAGGGAGACGACTACACCAAGGTCACTTTCAAGCCCGACTACGCCAAATTCGGCATGGAAGGGATTGATGATGACTTTGAAGCCCTTGTCAAGCGGCGTGTCTACGATTTGGCGGGTACAGCTGGTGTGGCTGTCAAACTTAATGGCACCCGCATCCCTATTCGCAACTTCCGGAAGTACATGGAGATGTTTACCAAGGCCATCCGTAAAGAGCGTGGTGATGATGGACCCCCTGCCAAGGACGAGATCATCACTTGCAGCCCGGATCCTCGGTGGGAGATCGGCTTTGCTGTCTCGGACGGTGCCTTCCAGCAGGTGTCGTTTGTCAACTCGATTGCCACAACTTCAGGCGGAACTCACGTCAACTACATTGCCGACCAAATTTGCAATCGCTTGGCGGAGCAAGTAAAGAAGAGAAACAAGACAGGTGCCACCCTGAAGACTGCCCAGATCCGGAACCACATCTTCATCTTTGTGAACGCTCAGATCGTCAACCCGGCGTTTACCTCCCAGACCAAAGAACAGTTGACCACGAAAGGAAGTCAGTTTGGCAGCAAGTGTGTACTCGAGGAGGACTTCTACAAGAAGGTTCTCAAGACTGAGGTCATGTCAAACATCCTGCATTTCGCCGAGCAAAAGGCCGATCAGATTTTGAAGAAGGGCGATGGAGGCCGCCGCTCACGCATGAGCAACCCGAAGTTGGTCGACGCCAACAAGGCTGGCACCCGAGAGGGTCATCACTGCACTCTGATCTTGACCGAGGGTGACTCAGCAAAGGGATTGGCGATGGCTGGACGAGCCGTTGTCGGACCGGATCTCTTCGGTGTTTTCCCCCTGCGCGGAAAACTGCTCAACGTGCGCGATGCTTCGTTTGACCAAATCTCGAAGAACCAGGAGATTCAGAACATTAAAAACTTCATTGGTCTGCAGCACAAGAAGGAGTACACTGAAACCAAGGGTCTTCGATATGGTCATCTCATGATCATGACTGATCAAGATCACGACGGCAGTCACATCAAGGGGCTGCTCATCAACTTCCTGCAGGCGCAGTTCCCAAGTCTGCTGAAAATTCCCGAGTTCCTCATCGAGTTCATCACGCCCATCATCAAGGTTTGGAAGGGCGATCCCAAGAACCCCAGCAAGCAGAGGTCGTTCTTCACGATGCCCGAATATGAAGCGTGGCACGAAGAGCACAAACACGAACGTGGATGGGATCACAAATATTACAAGGGTCTGGGAACTAGCACCACGGATGATGCTCAGGTTTACTTCCGAGACCTCGATCGCCATCTCAAGGAGTTCCACACCATGCAAGAAAACGAGGCGGGTCTCATTGAGTTGGCCTTCTCCAAAAAGAAAGCCGACGAGCGAAAGGAGTGGCTGCGGCAGTTCAAGCCGGGCACATACCTCGATCATTCAGTGTCGAAAATCACATACACCGATTTTATCAATAAGGAACTCATCCTGTTCAGTATGGCAGACAACCAGCGCTCCATCCCCTCTGTTGTGGATGGTTTCAAGCCAGGACAGCGCAAGGTTTTGTACACCTGTTTCCGCCGAAATCTGAAAAAGGATATGAAGGTCGTGGAATTGGCTGGTTACGTTTCCGGATTGACGGCTTACCAGCATGGTGATGCCTCTCTTCAGCAGACAATTGTTGGCCTGGCTCAGACATTTGTGGGCTCCAACAACATCAACTGCTTGGAGCCTAGTGGAAACTTTGGAAGCCGACTTCAGGGTGGCAGCGACGCTGCCAGTGCTCGTTACATTTACACCCGGCTGTCCCCATTCGCCCGGAGAATCTTCCACACGGCCGATGAGCCGCTGCTGAGGTACAATGAGGACGATGGCAAGAAGATCGAGCCTGAGGTGTACATGCCCGTTGTGCCGATGATTCTGATCAATGGTGCCGACGGTATCGGAACTGGCTGGAGCTCTTCCATCCCCAATTACAACCCCGAAGACGTGGTGAGCAATCTCAGGCGTCTTATGGATGGTGAGGCTCCGGAGCCCATGGAGCCGTGGTTCCGCGGATTCACGGGTGAGGTGGTCGCAGTTGGTGGAGACCGATTCAAGTTCAGCGGTATAATCAAGGAGTCTGGAGACAAAGAAGTTGAAATTACCGAGCTGCCCATCCGCACTTGGACGCAAGACTTCAAGGACAAGCTGGAGGACATCATCAAGGCCGAAAAGGTGCCTTCGTTCATCAAGGACTACAAGGACTACAACACCCACCATAAGGTTCACTTCGTGATCCAACTGGACGAAAAGCATATGAAAGCTGCATTGTCGGAAGGCTTGGAGGAGAAGTTCAAATTGTCCAAGACAATCGCGACGACCAATCTGGTCGCTTTCGATGAAGAGGGTCGCATCACCAAGTACGCCACCGTTAATGATATCCTCAAAGACTTCTACACTATCCGCCTCAAGTATTACGAGCGGCGCAAGCAGCATCAACTGTCGGAGCTCCAGAAAGACTTGGAGAAGCTGAGCAACCAGGCGCGCTTCGTGCAAATGATCATCGATGGCAAACTTGTCATCTCTAAAAAGAAGAAACCAGTTCTGATCAGCGAGCTGAAAGAGAAGGGCTTCAAGCCTTTCCCGAAGGTGGCCGAGGCTGCCAAGATGGGCGAAGATGAGCCGGTTGTTGAGGAAGATGATGATGAAGCGGAAGACACTAACACGGAAGTCTTGTCAAGCGCCTATGACTACCTGCTGGGTATGCCCATTTGGTCTCTGACTCAGGAGCGTGTGGAGAAGCTCCGTCGCCAGATCGGCGACAAGGAGGTCGAAGTTGACACCCTGATTAAGTTGTCCAAGGAGGATATCTGGAAACGGGATCTGGACGACTTCATCAACGAGTGGCGCTTCCAGCTTGAGGATGAGGCTCGCCGCCAGCGCAAGGTGGCTGGCATGGGCCGCCGTGTTTCGGCTAAGCTGGCGACGGGCGGTGGTCGCGGGGCGACGTCGCGCAAGCGCAAGGCTGCTAACGGCGACGATCCAGATGACGAGGACTTTGCAGCTCCGAAGTCAAAAAAGACCTCTGCTGCTTCCAAGAAAAAGGAGGCGCCGACGAACAGTCTCATGAACTTCCTTAACAAATCCTCCACCAAGCCAACGGCTTCGCCTACGGACGGAGGTGCGGGATCGGATGATGAATTCGACATTGACAAGGAGGTGCTTCCCAAGAAGAGTCGGGCCGCCGCGAAGCCTAAGCCCAAGCCCAAAGAAGAGGATGATTTTATGGATTTGGACGATGTCCCCGAAACCACCTCACGCGCATCAGCCCAACCGGCAACCGATCCGATGGAGTTAGATGAGCCTGAAGAAGCCCGTCCTAAGGCTAAGCCGGCGGCCAAACGGGGGCCCAAGGCCAAGCCAAAGGTCGAAGAGGACTCGGATGATGAATTCCTCGATATCGCTAAAACAGAATCATCCAAGCCTGCTGCTCAGCCCAATCGCACGGCCCGCAAGCCGCCCGCCAAGTATACCGTGCCCAGCGATTCGGATAGTGACAATGGAGACGACCTGCTTGGCGACGTCAGCCAGATGGTCAAGGGTATTGGTGGCGGCGGTGAATCGGCGGATTCTCGACAGCTCTTCTCCGAGCGGTCCCGTCCTGGAAGCAGTGCGAGCTTGAAGGCCGCAACCAAACAGTCCAGAATCAGCGATTTCGACGCGGACGAGACCGACTACAGCAAACTTGTGCCGCAGAACTCCCCGCGGCGCTCGCTGCAGATCAAGCCCAAGGATGTCAGGGTCGACGACGATGATAAGGAGGACGAGGAGTTAGTCAAGCCCGCCCCCAAGGGTAAGGCGGCGCCCAAGGCGCGTGGTCGGCCCAAGAAGGATGCAGCGCCCAAGACAGCCACTCAGTCTGCACCGGCAGCTTTATCCCCGGCGGCCAAGGCCTATGCCTCAAAGCAAGCCAAGACTACCAAGAAGAAGTTGGCGGACGATTATTCTGAGGATGACATCGATGCCATGGCCAACGATATCCTGGACTCTCCGGCAGGCAAGAAGGATGATTCGGATGACGAACCCGCGCCGCGCCGGGCTGCTGCTCGTCCATCTCGTCGCACGGCATCGCAGCAGAAGAAGAGCTATGTGATCGACGACGAGAGTGAGGATGATGGCTCGGCCGATGACTTTGATGATGAGAGCGAGTAGACTGTTACTTTTTCTCTGGAGCTTCTTTCATTTCTTTTTCTGGCCTGATTTTATTCCAATCCTACCTTTATTTTCCATGTTTTTGAGTGTGTCTGGGTTTGATTTCTTTTATGGTGACCAGGCAGAGCCGGCCAGTGTCCGCAGGAATTTGATTTGATTTTATTTTGATGTGTTTCGTAGATTCTTCAACGGTTGTTAATCAATGTATCTCTTAGATCTCGAATGGCGGATGCTGCACAGCCAAGACGCAAGTTCCTTGTGGATCTCTAGCCCTAATGCCGCTGTGAACCAGCAACGACTACTGTGTGGAAATGAAGAACGAAATTCTTTTAAATCATAGACGGAAATCAAATATGCATTCAAACTAATTCAAAAAAGGACCTAACCAGCCTGTCCCTAAACCCGACAGACCCCAACGCCATCCAGTCTAACCCAAGGTGCCGTAATGCAAAGTCCAATGGAAACGCCCCCATCCATGCCTCAGTCTTTAGACGCCCCCCAACACAGAGACAAACCGCCATCCACGCCCTTTCACCAGAACCACGTCGGCAAGCGAATCAAAGAGAGGCGCGGCGACGCTTCCGCGTCCCAGTCAAGAGCCGCGAGCCCAAGGACGAGCCCCAGACATTCACAGAGGCGACATCATCAATATCAGTATCGCTGGTGTTAGCCTCCTGCGTGTGCAAATGGAGCAGAGCATGAGCAGCCTTGACCTCACGAGCAAACAGCCGCGAAGTCGGCATTCGTTCGCGGGGGTTGGTACTCGCAGCACGAGAGAGATTCTTCTTCAAGGAAGAGTCCTTAGTCCCCAAGGGCACCCCACCAGAGAGACTATTGGAACTGCGCTCAAGATAGTCCTCGTCACCGACGTCGTCCACGGATTCATCCTCGTCGAAGTCCGTGGTGTGATCAGACATGTTCTCGTCCGCATCCGCCGAGCCATCACAGCCACTGTGCCTCTTTCCACCGGTGTGCAGGTCCAGCGAAGGACATTCCGGGGTACGGGAGAGGTCGGAGCGGGGATTAGACGAGGCGTCAGTGTCGGACTCGCTTTCGTCGCTGAGACTCGTCGACGCGGCGTGCAGGCGGCCACCCGCATACGAGGGGATAATGGCTCGACGGGGCGACGGCAGCTGCGTCCGGGGCACAATCTCCGAGCTGCGCGGGGTGTTAACAGGTGTGAAGCTCGGGTGTAGCGGGCTCTTGGGCGACGTGCAGTAGGACGGTTCGGATGACGAGCCGCGGCCGCTACCGCTGCCGACGCTGTCGGCGTAGTGGGAGTAGCGGGTTGGTCTGGGGAGGATGTGACGGCGTCGACGAATGTCGATCTCTGTGACGGAGGGGAATTGGGGCGTGGCATCTTCCCTCCTGTGTAGGAGTGTTGGCGTCGAGGAGGGAGGGTCGTCTTCATGCAGGGAAGACCTGGGCTCGCTCTGCAGGGCTAGCTGCCGGTAGTGGTTGGCGGTTTCGGTTGCGCGCTGCACGATAGCGGGGTCGATGACCATGCGGCCGTACTGGGCTTGGTCCGACGGTTTGACGCACAGCGATGGGAAGTCAGTGCCGAAGAGCGGCGTCAGGGCGTACCGAATCTTCCAGCAGAATGTCGCCGCCAGGGCCTTGGCTGCTTCGTAGGGCATCCAGTATCCTGGACGGATATAGTTAGCTCACTGGGTATATCTCACGAAGAGAGAGAGAGAGAGAGAGAGAGAAGTGGGTGTTTTTTACCTTGGGCAGCCAATGCTCCGCCAGTGATGCTGTGGCAGATCTCACGAAGACCGGGGTTGGCATTCAGCATTTTGCCGGGGGTGGTCTAGCGGCGGACGATTAGAAAGTACACAGAAGGAGCTGGAAAATGAAAAGGACCTGCCTTGGAGTATTCGTTGCATTTGAACAGATGCGTTGTGCGGACTAGCCCAATGTTATAGTCCCACATCACCGTCCACTGGGTTCCCTCTCCAGGGACCTCGTAGGTGTACTGGAAGACTGGGATTGGAATCAACATGTGTATATTGCATAGCGAGGATAGTTTGATAGATCAACACATACCATTGAAGCAGTGACGGCCCGTCCTCTCCTGGAACGACTTTTTCTCACTCGAGTAGGGAATATGGCGAGGAAATTGGGCAATCTTGCCGATAGGATGCAACTTCCACTCGCGATGGATCCTTTCCAGCTCCTCATCCCGCTCCTCACAAGGTGGGTAGCGAAGCTCGCCCCTGATATTGCCCGGCCGAAACACGGGCCCATCCCTGGCCATCTTCTGCCGCTTCTCGTAGGGCATGCAGATACTGGCAGTGGACGGGGTAAGTTGGGGCAGGGGAGGTGCCTCGGGGAGCGGATTTAAGAGAGACTTGATAGACGCCATGAATATCGGGGATTGGAAAGTGGCGGTTCAATAATCAAAGGGAAGGTAGAAGGGAATAGCTTCCTCTCAGGATCGAGAGAAGAGGAATGGGCGAGAGATGAAGAAGATGAAGGTATGTCTCTCCCCAAACAACGGGGTTTCTAGAAGCCACGGAGCGTCAAACCTGGCAAATGCCACTGGCAAGCGAGACAATCCCAGGCTGTTGGGTCTCACACCCACCCACACGGCTTTGTTCAGAGGTTTGTCCCGCACTGCTTCTACGGGGGGGTACAAGGGAAGGAGTGTTTGCAGAGATCAAGAGATATTGGGAGAAGGAGAGCAAGGGAGGAAAAAAGAGGAAGAAGAGGGCTGTCAGAGAGGGCTCGAGGCAAAGGCAGCGGTGAAAGTCACCAGGCCCTCGGATCGGAATTCAACTCGGGCATGGCCTCACCGGTCCTTTTGGATTCTCTCTTACGAGCCTGTGAAGTCGGACGAGTCTCCCGGGGCTGTTTGTCTCTCCGCGTGGAGCAAATCTTCGACTTTGGGCTGACAGGAAATGCGGTACATGTTGTCATCGACGCCCATGGAGGCTGTTGCGAGAAAGAGAAACCCATGTCTCTGAGTTTCGAGGCATCCTGTGTTTCACCGGCCACTGCAGCTACCCAAGCCCGGAGCAGCACGAAGAGGAGCATGGCATTGCCCGTTTCAGGGTGCGTTGGGCACCATGTGCATATCCTCCATCGTGAAGAAAATGAAAGACGAAGAAATGTGGGTGTAAGGTTTTTGGCCACCGCTTCTCTCTTTCTCCCTCTGCGCCCCAGGACATCTGTACATACAAACAGACTGTTACGGCCATCTGCGTGGATGGGGCAGCCCCCATGAACCCTCATCTATTAGGTATCTTTCTCTCTCTCTCTCTCCCGGGAGCATGTCTAACTGTCCAACCCATCTATTGCGTGTGTACGAAACAAGATCGAGATCGTGTCAGATCAGCCATGACATCAGGAAGACTGGAGACTGGGCACTGGGGCAGCCGGAGGATTAGGGTAACGGGCCCAGCGCCAATCAAAGAACCAGTGAGCAGAACAGACATCAAAGAGGTCTGAGACCACGGAAGGCTGCAGGACAACTTGCTCCTTGTATGACGGGAGGCTGCATGGCCTGCGAGTCCTGCGGTGAATTGTACAGCTGTAGAGAGCAAGATAAACTTCTGACCGGGTCAAAGAGCTGGGAGTTATATTGCTGGATAGACATGGTATTCTATGCTTGGATATTGCTAGAGATAGAGCGGTATACTAGCTATTGGTAGCTTACTATCCAGTTTAATAGATCCTCCGGGACAACTCCCCTATTTTCGTCTATTTGAACAGCCACATATCCACACTGGTAGACCGCCCCTTGGTGAGCGAGTCTCGGGGCCCCGTAGATCAGAGACACGGGCACGCTAGTACATGAGAAGACCTCAAAGAACCTTCCATGCAGGCTTCTCTGCAGCAGGCCAGCACGTTGGCGGCTAGAATCCACTTGGTGCGTTTTCTACTTGCCGGGAGTTCTTTGATGGAGGCTTTTCTATGGTGCCATACCACCTACCCTAATTAGTCCATCTTAGGCTACTAGTCAATACAGGGGTGAAGGAAGTGTTCAGTGACCATTTTGCTAATCCAATCGGTGCCGGGCCGGAGCAGGTGCAGCGCATAGCACAGCATAAACGGTGCAGATACCGGCCGTCAGGACGCTATACAACTCATCTAGAGACTTCCCTTTTTAGGGGACAGGTGCAAGATCAGAAAAGCAACGTAAATGAATAGATGCCATTCTCACCCAGGCCTTTGTGAGGCCTACGGGGTAGGCTTAGGGCCGATCTACCAAGAAACTTGCGAAATCCAGAGACCGGGATTGCAATGTCTAAGACACTATACGGGCTTCATGAACCCAAAGAGCGGTAAACCCGAGCATGCGTGTCCCCTCTGCGCGTCTCGGATTCCCAGGCTTCTGGAAAAGGGGCTCGAAGGCCGAGTGTCTCAATGGGGATGCTGCTGTTAGGGCTCGAGCCCATGCCTCTCTCTTTCTCTCCATCTTTCCCCATCTCATCTTCAAAATGTGATTTGAAAATCCACTACAGCAGACTCAACCCTGAGTTGGATTCAAATACAATATTGAAATGGTCTACTGTCAGGCAGAATTGGCCATGGGCGAGTCTATGGGAATGTCACCCGCATAATACTCGAGACGGACACATTTTTGGGACAGCCCGAACAAGCGATTGCTGCTCGACGCAGACCAGAGAGAAAAAGTCCAGTCGTCGACTTCAGTGAAATGCAGATTCGAATCCGCCCGACGCACGCACCTTCCCAAGAACTGCACGGTCTCGCACTGAACTCCTCGACAGATCCCCCCCCCCCAGACGAAAAGCCATCGATGTACAACGTGCCTCGAATCTGGGGTAAGATAGCGGGGAGGGTGAAAACGGGAGAGAGGGGAACAATGCATCCCGAGCCCTACCTCAAAAGGGCAAGTCCTCGAATCCTGAGAAGAGCAACGAGTACAATGACAGGAAAACAGGCCGGGCCGAATCGCGACGCGGCGAATTGGGGGACAGCGGCTTTCGTGGCCCGGGATGAAACCCAACGGCTTGCCTGGTCCGGGGAGAAAGATGGACTCGTTACTCATAGCTCTATGCATAAGAAAATAAATGAAAAGAAGATGACAGGCCTGCATCCGGTCGTGGGGGAGTGCGAGATGTGCAGGGCCCTCTCCGGCTGTGAACAACTGCCCAAGTCGCTCGAGTCGAGATGCCATCTCTGTCTCTCCCGTTGCTCCCGAGATGGCGTCACGACACACGCTGTCGATGCCTCCGGCTACCCGGGGGAAGACATGTAGTACCCTGCACAATGGCCAAGGGTGGGTTCCCCGGGGTCCTTAAGAGAGGCTCGAGGGCCGGGATGCTGCAGTGGGGAGCTGTTTGTGTTTCTGTGTTTTGGCCTTGGGGAGATCTATGACAGACAAGTATACATCCATGACACTCACGGAGCTTGGCGAGGACAATTCCATTCGAATGATATCAACCCGAAAAGACATAGACAGGGGGAGAGAAAAGGCAATGGACAAATAAAAGATATCACGCAGAAGAAAATCAAGTTTTAAAGAAAATAGGGGGACCACAAGAGACACGATCAATCCATCGCTCAAGCATCCTGCATGTTCTTCTTCGTCGGCACGTGGATCTGGCCGGGCGTCACATCACATTCCAAGGAATCCGAAAAGACAACAGTGCCCAGAATCAAATCCCACGTGTCATTCAGCGTATCCGTATAAAATCAGTGGTCCAAAGGGTGGTACTCATTCGGGCCAATTGATTTCATGTGATAATCGGAGGCCCACGGTCTCCCATCTAAAGCGCCAGAAGAGGCTCGCGCTCGGCCGCTGGCTCGGCGGCCTGGGCGGGCTCAGCCGACTCAACCGACTCAACCACCTGGGCCACGGGCTCAACCTTGGGGGCTTCGGGGAAATCCTCGGTCTTGATCTGCGGTTCCACAACGGGCTCGGTCTTCACGGGGGTCGGCGCAGTCTTGGTCATCTCGGGGGAGGCGGATCGCCGGTGGTTGATGTACTCCTGGGCCTTGGAGCTGTAGTCCCCGACATACTGCTTCATCAGGCCAGTGGCATGCGAAGTGCGCTCACCGGCCAGGTCCTTGAGCTGGTTGGTCTGGGAGGCGATGATGGACTGGACGTTGCTAATCTGCTCATCGATGATCTCACGGTTGTTGATATAGATGAGAGGCGCAAAGTAGGCGACGGTCACCGCGACCACAGACAGGCCCCAGATCGGGAGGAAGCGGATCAGCCAGTAGCCAGTGAATGCCGCAGTGAACGCCTAGGAGCGTATTAGCATGGGAAATCATGTGTGCTTCGAACACGAGATTTTAAACATACGGCCACGGTGTGGATGACATTCTCGGCGAATAGAATGCGCTGAAACTCAATCAAGAAGAAGTCCACCAGCTGCTCCAGGTCCTCGAGCACGGCCTCAACGGTCTCCTTAGGGATTGTGTAGTATCGGCGAGGGCGGAAAGAGCTGGCGATGCCCTGCTTGAGAACTACATGGCCCGCAATCTCAACAGCGGCGGTCACTACCGAGTATCAGCCATCACTCACTCCGGAAACCCCTGGTCACGCGACCAACTCACATCCCAGCGACATGTACAAAAACTTAAAGGCCCAGCGGAGGAGGGGCAAGTAACGTGCGGCGAAGATGAATCCGACAACGCTGGCATAGGAGACGGCGGTCGCACGGGGTTGTTCCCACTGCAGAGCAATAAAAGGGGGTGTTAGCGATGAAGTCCACGACAAGAGAATTTCGCGACGACTCACGCTGAAAAGGCTATACAGCAACGAATGGTAGTCTGGGCCAGTATTAGCATCTCCTAGCACGACTCGATACGCGCGAACATACGGGTCAACGGCTGGCCATTGTTGGTCGTGGTCGAGGGAGTCACGCGCGAGTCCTTGAGGTCGCGCAGCTCTCCGCTCGTCCGAGCGGCTTCGGACTTGATGTTATCAGCAATAGGGCCTATATTTGAAGCAGTTAGCTGGCTCTGGCGACGCTAGGAACGTCTTCAGGAGATGGAATTTCCATTACCCTTGGTCACCGCATCGCTGATGTCTGAAGAACAGGAGCGAGGGGTTCAGGGTCAGTCTGGATTACGCGACTCGAGGGAAGAATGGAATATGGAAGCCGAAGGGAATAAAGAGACAAAGACACGGAAAGCACAAAGATCGAGATGGAAATACTGCAGGGGTCAGCATCACAGCATCTGCGGAGGGGGGGGAGTCATGTTGTCATACCTCACTGCCCGTGTTAGCGTAGCTCACGTCACCAGAGTCGGCCATTTTGAAGAAAAGGAATTAAAGACGTGAAAGAGAGACAGGAGAGTCGGGGGGTCTTCAAGACGTGAAAAGGAGGGGAATGGGGGAGGAAGAAACCAACTTGTTTTGGCGTTGATGCAATCATGTGCGTTGCCAAGGTTTCCCTGCCGAGCGCGCCGGGGGACCCTGTTTTATTGCTGTGATATCATGGCATCTATTTGATAGATTTGATAGTATCTGGATGATAGAAGAGAAAGAAATATGTAGAAGTATTCTATTTCAAAATCAGAATGATTGTAGGGAGTGGAGTTGAGATTTCTTCTTTTCTTCTACAAGCATACCTAGGTATAGTAGCTTACTAGCTAAGGTTACGAATGAGTAGGCCTGGGTTTGTTGCTTGGGAGAAAACAGGATTTAAAAGAACTTAGAATGATAGAATAATAGAATAAAAGATAATCGAATTCTTTACAAATTCAAGGACCGAGTATACGACTTGGTCAACATTCTCCTATCGATGATTCATTCCACTCTAGATGCCTCTTCCAATTATAAAAGAGATTTTAAGTATGATAGAAAATCCTCTGCCAGTAGAATTCAGGGATTTATCAATATACTAGGCTAATAGAATTTAAGTCCTTGGGTTCCCAATGCCGACTCGTGCAGCATAAGTAGAAATATAGAATTCATCAATATCATCAAAATCACAGAAATTATAGAAATCACAGAATTCTACCTATTATACTTATCTCCCCAGGTTTGCCAATGATCACTCAAGCAAAAAGAATCCCCGACAAATGTCGAGTCCTGCAAGTATGAAGTGGCCCGTGAAGTTTATGTATCACAGCAGGAATCCTTCCTTGATTCCCCGACGATCGTCGACAGTATCCTTCATCTTTTCTCGGGTGATCAGAGAAGAGATTCCGAGGTAGACTTTACAAGCCATGTTCACCCCACTTGGCAAAGGATGAGGCTGTACAGCTGTATGGCTCGCTCTGAACAACATCGCAAAGGATCGACCTCACGGGTCAAGCTCCTTTCACTCTTCCCCATTACTTCACCTCCGGTTTTCTGCCAATAACAAAAAACCCCATCTCGTGTCTCTTCATCCCCAGCCAAACCCCACATGACTCATCGCCTGCATGATTTCGCGGCCCTTGGCCTCGACTACCTGATTATAGGCGGTGGCACTGCCGGCCTCGCTGTGGCTGCACGTCTCAGCGAGGATCCTCAGGTGCAGGTGGGGGTGGTCGAAGCCGGCCCGTCAGCCCTAAACCATGAGGATGGCGGGGTCATCACCATACCCGGCCGCTACGGCGAGACGCTGGGGTCCGCGTATGATTGGCAGTTTGCGACAGTTGCTCAGCCCGGGCTTGGAGGACGGTCGCTACCCTGGCCGCGGGGCCGTGTCTTGGGAGGTACCAGCGCCTTGAATTTCATGGCGTGGAATCGTGGCCATCGTGCGGACTACGATGCGTGGGTAGAGTTGGGCAATGAGGGGTGGGGTTGGGAGGATCTGCTGTAGGTGGTTCTTGTATCAGACCAGATCATTCTGTGTTTTTGATGTCAAACCTGACTGTCATAGTCCTTTCTTCCGCCGCAGCGAGACATTCTACCGTGCTCCGTCGCGTACTGTCCACTCTCACAGATTGTCTCACCAAAAGAATATGCCGACCTGTACACTCACGCCAAATCTATTGCCCAGAAAACTGGCCGCCCACACGACGAGCTCCTTGCCCGTCAATTTAGCCCCGATAGCAAAGGCCGAGGCCAAATCGAGTATCTCTTCGATCTAGGAAACTGGAGCCCATACTTTACCTCGGAGCCAGGCAAAAAGTATGCGACAATGCTGCAGATGCTGCAGTATCCGTTCTCACGGGGGTCGATCCATATTCCACCACGAAATAGCGAAAGTGCAGAAACGAGTCCAATTACCGTCGATGACAAGCCTGTCATTGATCCGCAGTACTTCTTGGGACCAGGCGAAATTGATCGAAAGATCCTGGCTATGGCCCAGAGACTGACAGATCGCATCTGTCAGACGCCGCCTCTTACAGGGCTGGTCCAAGGTCGTGTGTTTCCTCCTTCTGATAACATACGCTCCGATGACGAAACCTACGGGGACTTCGTTTCCAACTATACCATCACTGATTGGCATCGTATGTTGATTCTTTACTTTTTTTTTCCTCATTTGGCTTCCCATTTCGGGCTATGAATATGGATAGGGACTAACAATCTATAGCAATCGGTACTTGTGCCATGGGTGGCCGTGACGGGGCTCAAACGGGCGTTGTTGATGAGCGACTCCGGGTGTATGGAGTGCGTGGACTGCGGGTAGTCGATGCTAGTATCATGCCATTGCAAGTTGGAGCGCATATCCAGGCGACTGTGTATGCGATTGCAGAGAAGGGAGCAGCGATGATTCAGGAGGATATGCTTCAGGTATAAAGAACATAGGAGATTTCATAGTAGAAATAAAGAGAAAAATACACCGAAACTCCCTGCGAGTCATGAATTCTCACCCTCACCAGGCAGCATCTTCCTTCAGCCTCAATCCCACCCACATCATCATATAAAGATGCCACAGTCCCTCGGGTTTTGTTAGGGTTTTCAAGAAATCTCAGTCGCCAACATGGCAGAGCCCAACCTGGCCCCGGCCACGTTCGCCGAGTACAATGAGCAAATCCAGAGTCTTCTGTTTTCTGTCCCGCCGGAGATTCGATACGCAATCTTCGCGTACTCCTTGGCCAGTACCCCAGGCACTACTCAGCCAGTCGGTCAAGATGCGCACTGCACACGTCCAGGGTACGAGACTCGGCACCACACATATCTAAAGCTCCCATCCAGTGTGACCCTCTTCGAGTTTGACATCGAGAGTCGGGTGCACCGCGAAGACGAGGTAGATTATATCGCACGCAAGACCGCCGACGAGTGGCATTTTAAGCGCAGCGACGGCATCCACCTGCTGGCCGGCCAATCTGACATCTCCATCTCGCGCTGGACGGGCAGTTCGGTGCTGGGCAACGAGCGCTGGGTCCGCGATGAGACGCGGCCCGGTCAACTTGATTACTACTTGACAACAATTGCCTGGCGGCCCTCGCAGCACCCGTTAGGTGCTCGGCCATTGTACAATCCGTCCCTAATGGAGCCGGCCGCCGCGTGCACAGCTGGAGTTTAGAAAGATATCAGTGAAGAGGATACAGAATGCCGGTGTCTCTCTGAGTATCCCCGCTGCAGAGGCTGTGGAGACAGTTGCTGCCCGTTTGGAAGATATCGAATACTCGGAGGGAGATTCGGCGTATGAGTCTGACGATGAAGATACGAATAAGTATGATAATGAGAGTTCAGAAGATGAGACATGAGAAATGAAACAGTCTGGGCACATCTCTTCCCATGGAATATGACCTTACCTTCAATACCCGTTAGGATGAAGTCCGTAGTCATCTTGATTGCTAGCCATCCATGAATAGCTACCTTGAGGCCTTAAGGATCGGGTGTCTACCTGGATTCTTGTGTGTGTTATCACGTGACTTGGCGGGCACCACGCGTCACCCGTTTGGGACGTCTGTTTTGATCCTCAACCATACCGACATTAGCGACTACCCACGCCCCCAACCGCTCCCTGCTCGATGGTTATCGTTTTCTTGTTTTCTTTTGTCTTCACCTAGCGACCTGCGCCTACACTCTATCATTCCCTGGTAGCGCCCGGCGCGTTGTTTACATCATGGCCGCCAGCACAAGAGAGCAGAAGCCTGTCGGCTCGACAGCATGGATTGCTGCGGAAAAAGAAAACATGACAGAGCTGGTTGACCAGGAGATGGAGGAGGTTGAATACCCCGTCCGCCATGAAATGGCGTGGCTAAATGAACATATGGCCGAGATCTTCACCAAGGGCCAAACGTGAGTCGCGATGCACCGCGCCAATTTCCGCCTTCGCTAAGCTGACCCGGGATAGAAACTTTACGGAGGTGTTTAAAACTCCCGGGAAGATGAAGGGCAAAACTCCTCGAACTGCCCGGAAACGACACTTAGAGGAAAACCGAGTGGTGAGTATCAGAGTGGTTACATTGTTTTTGAAGGCCCTCATTAACCTATGCCGGCAGCCCCTGAGTGAGATCTTCTCGTCTGCCCATAAACAACTGGAAAACAAAGCGAGCCCCAGCCCATTTATCCATCGAGTTGTCTCCAAACCCGCTGCAGCGACTACCTCGGCCGCCCCTCACAGCACCCACAATACTCAGAAGGCCACTACCCTCCACGCGTCACAACCGGAATACCCCGACCTCAGTTACAATTTGAATTCCTTTCCGCAATATAACACCGACTCAGGCTATCATGGGATGCCGGATGACGACGATATGGTCTTGCCGGATGTGCAACAGGAGACTCAGACTTCCACTCAACCGTTGGAAGACGACGATGCCACAGCTCCAAATACCCAGGAGGCTGACTTATCAATTGCCCAACAAACAAATGATGACTCTTTCCACTCTGCCCAAGAGAATGTTCGCGCTCGCGGCGAGACTGTTGAGCCAATGAACACCGAACCGACTCCCACGCAAGAGCGGCCAACTCGTCCGGCAGAGTCGACTCCCAAGGAACCAGAATCAGAAATGAGCTCAACACCCACGGCTAAAGCACAGTCTAAGCCCAAGGAAGATATCGCTCCAGAAAAACAGCAGGAAGAACCAAAGCCCCAAAAGGAGCTGGAAGAGAGGGAGAATGGACCGGCCTCGAGGGTTCACTTCTCGCCACAGAAGCCTCCAGCAGCCCAGCCGTCCGAGGCGTCCAAGTCGAAGGATAATGACGAGCAAATGGAAGATGCTGCACAGGATGACACTGTCCTTGACACCCTTGATGATATCGGTTCTCCTTCAGATGGCTCCACTCCCGAACGACCCCCAGTCCGGAAGAGCAGCTTGTCATTTGCCTCACTTCCCGCCAGGGAGCCCCTGACAAAGAGCATGGGAGGATCGCGGATTTCTCGCACGAGCCATGTCGACCTCGCGAAACTGAATGCTGGAGGTTCCAGCCATTTCGGAAGACAAACCGGGGGACACAGAACGACTCAGGCTCCGATGGATGACAATGCAGGTGAAGCCGGTGCAATGGACATTGACGATGAAAAGGAAGCCAGTCAAGAGGAGGACCCGGAGAAAGCCAGCAAACTGCACAACAAGAAGTCGACCCAGACTCTTCACGAAAGGATCAGCATGCTTGGAAAGCTGCAGCCATCACGTCCAAAGAAATCGATGCCGTCTGGGCCTGGGTTGTCTACTGGTCAGGTTGCTTATCCGGACCTTCCTGCCTCTAAAGCGGAGTCAAAACCAGAACCCTCGAGCCAAAAGCTTCGTGAGACACCCGCGCCAGAACCGACTACATTTGCCGAGGATGACTGGATCAAGCCATTGAGTTCTCCTCAGAGACCGGAGCTTGCCAAGAGCAAGACCACAGACGCGGTGGAAAAACTCTTTGATGTCGACAAGAACCCATCAATTGGCAAGAAAGATGCACCTCCTTCTCAGGGACAACCCGCCACAGAGTCTGAGCGTCCGAAGTCAGCAACCTCGATCTTCTCGTCTCCTCGGCCGACCAGCCATCAAAAGACTGGGTCCGTGTCCAATATTAATCCTGAGGCGTCTACTACTCCTGGAGGTTCTCCCAGACGCTTGGACGGGCCCCTCAGTGCTTCGAAGATGCGGTTGCAATCGATCATGAAATCTGCCAAGGGCCTGTTCACAAGTACCGGTAGCATGAGGGTAGAGACCTCGTCTCCCGAGCAGCCAAGAATCCAATCGCAAAAACAACCGAGCGCCGAAATTGATGAAGATGATTATCATGAACCCCAGCCGCCTCCCACCCCTCCTCGACCAGAAGGCCGCCGCACGCGGAGCTCTACTGAGAAGGAAGAGAAGCGCCGGCAAAAAGAAGTGGAAGATCGCCAGCAGGATGAGGCCCGTTCAGAGAAGGTTCGAGAGCAGGAGAAGCAGAAGGCTCTTCAGCTCAAAGCCGCGCAGGACAAATCATCGATTGAGCCAGAAGAGCGAACGGCTACGACTACCCAGAAGTCGGCGCAATCGCAGCGACAACAATCACGCGAGCCTGAATCCTCTCATGAGACGAGTTCCAGATTCGCCCTTCCCCAGCCTAAGCAAAACGACCGACGTCCTGTCAAACCAACCCGTGAGCCCATGCAAAGGCCCAAGCCGCAACCGGTCTCCATTCGCGTGGGGAGCACTTTGTCTCGTCAAATTCCCATGGCCTCCAATGTTTCTTCAGGCGTACAGGAGTCGAATATCGCAGCTCCTACGCCTGCACCGGCCCCTACTCCTGCCTCGAAATCGTCGACCTTGAAGAAGAAGGGCAGTAATTCGTCCCTTCATACGGCCTCGTCTACAAGCAGTTTCAAAAGTTCTGTGTCCAGCCAAACCCAGGCACAGCGGAAAGCCCAGCTTGCGAGCGAAAGGAAGAAGGAGCAAGAGGAGCGCGAGGCCCGCCGAAGAGAGGAGCAAAAGTGCGAACAGGAACGCAAGCGGGCTCTCCAACAACAGCAAGAGGAGGCTCGCCGACAGGAGATGCGGAGCCGTGCTGAGGCTGAACGCGAGCGTCGGGAGAGATCCGCTCAGGAAGATCCCAAGAAGGCTGCTCATATGCAGGCGATTGAAAAACGACGATTGGAAAATGCTCGGAGACATGAGAGGCAGGGAAGCCAGCAACTAGCCAACGAGGTGAGAAACTCCGCGTTAATCACATTGTGTTTCATCTTATTGACAACTTCCAGGGGCCACCGCTACAGCACGAAAAGCCCAGCATGCAATCTTCGCAACGGAATGACTTGGGGGCCTCTCGTCCACCTTCTCGTCTGGGTTCTGTTCAGCAATACGGCCGGTCGATCAACCCGCCTGTTCCTAACCCCGCCAAGCCTCCCAAGCGAATGATGGATGAGGAAGCCAGTCATCGTCCTGCCGTCTCCAAGCCCAGCAATGTGAAGCCATCCGGGGAGGCCAAGCGGCGAAAGACAGAGGACGAGCACAACCCCATGCAACCCATGCGGCCCACCATGGCACCGCCGATCCGCCAGTCAAATATCCGAAAGGTATACTTTTGTAGGTTAATTGGATTTCCCAGCGAGCTGACTGTTGATTTTAGGAACCCGGAAAGCCGTCTCTGTTTGGACACGGGCAATCATCCATGGCGCACCCCTCTGGTTCTTCTATCTTTAACAAGAGTGCTCAGGCCCAGCGACCAGCTCACCCCATGGACATGGCCAAGTACGCCAGCGGCAAAATTCCGTTCGCTGAACCGAATCACGCACCGCCCCCTGCCCACAAGCCGGCCAGCTCGTCCCAGCGGACCCCTGCCACAGCACCTAAGCCATCCCCCAAGTACCCGAGTGGTGAGAACATTCATTTGCCGGAGATCGCCACAGATAGCGAGGACGAGGACGAATCAGACTCGGAGATGTTCCCCGTGCCCAAATGGGCACAGCCCAAGGAGCTGGAGAGTCTTTTGCGACAGCAGGATGGCATGGAAGTCGACTCGATCTTCGGGCCGATTGCGCCCTTCTCTCTGGAGGACACCTTCAAGGCGGACAAGAAGGTCAAGAAGTTCCGTGACCGTACCAGCAGTGCCAACTGGTCGGGACCGGACGGACTTACGCAGGATGAAGTCCGCAAAGATCGCCAGGAACGGCAACGGTTGAAGGTCAACGGGGGGTGGTCTTTCAACCCCTAGTTGGGCGGGCAGATTTGACGTGTTTCATTTTCTTTTGGTTTTTCCCACGTCTGTATTAGTTCTGTATTATTGAACGGTGGCCGTTTGGGAGTGAGGAGTCGATATATGCTTGGGGTTGGGCGTTACAGGGCGTTTATATCTGGTTCATTTTGTATCTTTTAGATTACCGCATACTGAGCATCCGTTGGTGCATCTGGTCGTTAATGGATCCTACCGGTTCATATCCTGTGTTCCTGCTGGGAGCATGAGTTCCTTTATCCTGTTCATGTTCCCAGCTGGTAGATATCCGATTAGCGTGGTCTCTTCTCGGGGCCGGTTGATCTGATTAGAATTTTTTTTAAATTTCCGAAAATACTGTGGTCTGGTGCTAGAGGTGATCTTTGTATCCTATTTCGCTGGTTGGCGTGGCACAGTAAGAAGTTGGGAGAGGACGATTCGATGTAGAATACTAATCTTTTGCTCATATTTCATAAAATATGAAATATCTTCATCAAAGCATCATTGGTCTAGTGGTAGAATTCGTCGTTGCCATCGACGAGGCCCGTGTTCGATTCACGGATGATGCATCTTCTTTTTGTTTTTCTGGTCAAATTGTTAGTTATTATAATTAGTCTTGATTTTGGCATTATTTTGTTCTCTTTTTCTTTTTCTTTTTTCTTCTCCTTACTTGAAAAAAGACATTCTACAATCCATGCCATGGTTTGTTTTTGTTTGGCTCCATGGTCAATCGTCGCCATTCCGAAGGAGAGTCAACGCAACCATGGATATATACCCAGGAGCAAACCCGGCGAAGCACAGTTCATACAAACAAAGCTCGTTTTCCTTGTCTGGCATCAACCTACGAATAAGATCAAGAAAAGTCCTAGGGTTATGAATTGCGTATTCGAGACTATTGAATGTTGCAACTCGTGCGAAATTCCGAATGGATATACAATCAAATATATCATGGTAGTCTGACAACCTCAAGTGGTATATATAATTTAAGATTTTTTTGTACTTACACCCTGCTCAAACAGAGCAGCACCCTATCCACAAGAAAAATCTAAACCCGGAAAAAAGCCAGCGAGGGGAACTCCCCACTCCAAGCCTGTGCAGAAAATATAATACAAGATGCATGCAGAACTACATCCCAACTAGCACCGCCTACCTCGAACAACCGAATTACTCGGCATCCGGCTCGATATCGCTTCCAACCTCGAATTCCTCGTCCATCGCGTCTGGGTTCAGATTTGCGGCGTCGGGTGCCACGCCCAGCTTGTCCTCGGGCTTGTCGTGAGAGATGGTGCGCCAGCCGGCTGTAGCAGAGGGGTCCTTGATGTATTCCGACATAGGGAACTAGAATATTGCATGACGTGTCAGAGAAAGCCAATCCAAAGAAAGACATAGAAGACAAGGGGAGGAATGTAAACAAGATAAACGATAGGACACTCACGTAGTGATCGTTCTTCTTCATGGTGGCCACCCACGGCACGTTGTCAAACGTCACCGCGCGGAGGCGGAAGTACGTGTTGTCGGGGATGTTGCGCACTTCCTCAACAAAGCGGTCGAGGTTAGGCGTCGGGACACCATTGACAGCAGTCAGGAAGTTAGTGGGAGCAAGACCGTAATGGTAAGAGGGAGAGCCACGGCTCTAAATAGAGGAGTCAGTAAATCTGCCACTGCGGAGAAGAGCCAGAGCAAGCAAGTACTTACCCTCGCGCTCACATAGACCTCGCTGTGGAGTTTCGAGATTTGCTGTCGCACGGCATGATGGGGCTTCTGCAGCACAGCGCCACAGAAAACGACGGCGCGATCGGTCTCCAGGTCTTCCGTCGGTACCGTTGGCACCCGAAGGCGCATTTCCTGACCATTTCGGACAACTAAGGCGTCCAGAACCTCCTTTTCATACATGACATCCAGCTCCGAGACACGGGTGATGAGCTGGCCGTCCAGCGTGAGAATGATATCAGCCTCTTGGAAGCTGTCGGCATCGGACGTAAATGTCGCAGGCGGACAGTCGACCTTGCGCACCATGAAGAGCTGGTGTCGCGAAGGGTTGGCCTGGGCTACCTTCTGGATCCATTCTTCCGAGACACCCATAATGCGTGCTTGGCTCATTTGTACAACATAGCTTTCCATGTTCAAAATACGCAGCTTCGGGGTGACCCCCTGCTGAATCTTGGACGCCACGGGGAGCAACGATGGCGTAGCGAATCCAAGGTGGTATTCCACATCCTTGTGGGAGCTGGGGGTGCGTTCGCCCAAGTAGTTCAGCCACAGGGCCTGCACCACCCCGTCCTCACCAATCAACACGCCGTTGGTACATTGCCCACTGAGGCCGGTGTCCACTGTGATGGCATCCAGGTTGATCGCCCGGTACCGGGGAGCAGCGGCATTGGCCGGAATCGACACAGTGGTAATATCAGTGACAGCGGTCTTGGCCACAACAATGCGGAAGTTTTGATTGAAGCCAACAAAAATGGTCTCTTGGCCCTGCTTGATGTACTCGGTGCTGAGACGAGCACTCTTCACCGGCGCCTGCACAAGGCTGGGGTCATACTGGATGATGCTGTAGTTCTGAAGTGGGTGCAGGAAAACCACCTTGGCACTGACAATAATTGAATCGGCAACCGTGACATTAATGTCACAAAGATCGTAAGGGACGATGGCTCTCGACACGACTACCAGACCTTTCTCGGCATCGATCACCAAGCCGAACCCGGTCTTTTTCGCTTGTGGGTATCCATCCAGCTTCAGCGGCATGGTACACGAAACCCGCACAAAGCTACGAACGATATCAGCTGCTGCTGGCTGACTGACGCCGTCCAGCTGGATGAAGTCGGCTTTCCTAGGAACGGGTGCATCGGCAGGAATGGGATCAGCGATATCAGAGAAGTCCCAGATACCAGATTCATCATTACGAACCGCCAACCGCATCTTGGGATGCCAGTGGCGGTCGACATAGATGATGCTCGTGCCCTTGGTGTGGAGGTCACGGATATGGCGATAGGAAATGACCACCCGAGAGCGGTCGGGGATGGTCTTCATGACTTCTACGAATTCATCGAGATTTCGAGTCGGCCGCTTGTCGACCGAGTCAATGAGCCATCCCGAGAGAGTGTTCTCGAGCTTGAAGGAGCCAGCCGCTTCGCACACATAGACACCGCGAGTGGCGATGGCATAAAGCCGCGACTGCTGGTATGACAGATCGTGGAACGTCCCGCCAGCAACAGTCACGAAACGATCAGGCGTGATCGCGTGAAGATCCCCCACTTGACATTCGACCTCGACATCTTGACCTCCTCTTTGAACCAGCAACCGGACGGACCCGCCCACGCTGGAGTCCAGAATATCGTCAAGACGGACGAATTGCGTCAGGAGCTCTCCGTTGACCTGCAACAGCACGTCGCCTTCCTGTAGCTTTCCATCTGCTTGACCCTCGGGCAGGATGATCTCGGCCGCCAGCATGTTGGTTTCGGTGGGAGCGGCCTTGCGCACAGCAGCTTCCCACTCTGGCGTCAGACCGAGACGGCGACATTCGTCAAAGGGCTTGAGGATCCATTGAGTCTGAATCGTACCGCGTGTGACCGGCTTTTCCTGGCGGATGCATTCCAGCGCCCGGAGCGGCCGATCCAGCGGCAGGAAATAGTCTGTGGCAGCGCCATCAGCTCGACCACCAGCTTGTAAAGCGACAGCATTGCCGTCGATATTTACCACAGGACTTCCCGAGCTGCCACCACTGGCTGCGGCCGCAGCCTGGATGTAGTTTGTGTTGAAGTCGCTGTAGCCCTCGCCATATTCGGGTGCGTTTCGGTCCAAGCGACTAATCACACCAGAGAGAATGCTGAGCTTTTCTCCGGCGTCATTACCCACAACGCGAATTTCTGCACCGACTCGAGCTCCGTCTGGCTGAAGCTTGAGCTCGGTGAGTTTCATGTACCGAATGGCGGCCGGATCAAACTGGAGAATACCGAAGTCGTGGACGGGGTCGCGATATACGGGACGGACATCACACTGTTACCAAGTAGAGAAGCGTTAAAACTGAGTCTATAAAGACCGCGCACAGAATCATTTAGACTTACCTCCTCATGGTTGTCGAAGATACAGTATCCCCAGAACGGACCCGAGCACACCACATGTCGATTGGTCAAGATATATCCGCGTTTGGCATCCACCACGAAGCCGGTGGCTTGACTGCTCATCGACAGCTCCGTGTCAAACGAGCAAGTTTGGCAAAAATGAATCGACACTGCGCTCTTCACCACCGTCTCAATGGTCGCCTGCCATTCGGGCGAGTCTGCCTGCGATGCACCAACACCCAAGGCACGCCCTGCATCCTCTTCTTCCCCCACATCATAGACTGTCCCATTGGCTGGTGTGGCGTCTCCGGGGGTCAAGACCGAGCTTTCAGGTTTCAGGTGCTTTGCTGGACGGTCGGCGGCACCAGCGACTGCGCTGCGCTTGCGCTTTGCCCCAAATTCCACATTGGCATCCATGGCACCAGAGGTCGAAGATACGAAACGGTGGGATTGGCGACAGAGCGAGCTTGCGAGAGAAGAGATTGTTCGGAAGGACCTTGGGGTTGGTGGCGAACCGCCGTGGACGATAGACCGAGGGCGATTCTGACTGCGCAAATGACGGGTGTATAAAAAGGATGACACAAATGACCGGTCGGTAGTTGGAAGGTGTGGTTCACTGGCAAAAGGACCGACAGAGGACGGAGAGAGCCAATGCAAAGGCGGAGAGGCAGTGGTGATTGATGAGCTCCTTCTGCACGCAGCCAGCAGGGAGCAAGACATTCACAACTGCCTGAGCAGTAGGTCAGGGACCGCAAGGAAGGATATTTTATTTTTACAACAATAAAAAAAGAACAAAAAAGGGAAACGCGAGATCCGATGAAAATCCAAGGCGATTGAGGCGGAGAGCAGGAGGAGCGCTGATTGGCAGAGAGATCGCTCAGCCGATGCGATCCCATGGCAGATCAACATGGCCACATGAGGCCCTGGCAGGGGTACCTTCAGGGACCTCAAGTATAATAGCCAGTCTATGGCAATGGGATGTACTCTGAAGTATATTGGTAATGAGAAGATGAGATTGCTGGTATTCTATACAGTCTCAATATGGTATAATGTACATGTTCCTGGTTCATCATATAGCCAAGCTGGCCAAGGACTAGAGTCCTTCTAAATTATTCGCAATTGGATCGCCCGCGGATTTTGGGGGAGGGACAAAGCAAGACAAGCATCGCCAATCCTGGGAAAATATATCGGTCTCCTGATGGGTTGCAATGGACGCGGGGACTGAGTGGAACGCGGTCTCCGCATGCCTGGTGATAGTCCCCCCTACCGCATGGGCGCATGATCTTTTATATTTGATCCACAAGGGTGGCGCAAAATTCGAGGTTCACGGGTACGATAGAGGTCTTGCTGATAACATGGCGTTGCATGCGAAAGACCCTATGCTGCACCTAGACTTTCAGACAACAGGCTCGGCCATCGGTGATGGGCTGGGCCCCCCATTGCCTTGCAGAGCCTGTGGACTGAGCCTTTGGGGTGTGGGGCCCTTGCCTGATCGCGGGAAGAGCTCATTCAGCCTGCCATACAGCTCGGTCACGGCGGGCAGGTTCGGAGGTGGTGTCATGATGGCCGGAGCTTGCGGGGCAACACTGCCAGATTTCTTCGCACGGTCGGCGATGTGGGCGAGGTAAGCCAGGTTGGCTTGCAGTCGTCGCATGCACTCAATATATTCGGGGCTCGGTTTCTGACCATTGCTCTTTGATGCGTCCGCGGCTTGCTCTGAAGTAGGCGATGGGTTTGCTTCTGGGTTGGAGGCAGCGCCAGCCTTACCGGCTGCTTGAAGGTTAACAACCTCCTGTAATAATGCCGAGTTGATGTCGAGTAGAGTTGTAACGCGAGCCTTCTCTCGTGCGGTGGTTTGGGCTTGAACTTGGGCCTGAGCCGGGCTAGGAGCGGCGGACTGTGCGCCACTCTGGGGCGAGTTCACTTGCTGAACAGGCTTTTGCTGGTTGGGGAGAAGGGTGTTGGCGGAGAGTGCGGCCATGTTTTGGGAGAAAGTCTGCGCTACTGTGGATGGCACATTGGCAGCGGTTCCCTGTGGCGGTGGGAACTGGCCCACGGTTGTAGGGACGGGAGGTTGCGTGTATGGCGCTGAGAAGTTCTCCAGGGGCGCTGCGGGCAGGTTAGCCGGAAGGCTCATTCAATCGACGATACGTGTTCCCCGCTGAGGACTTTCGGCAGCAGATTAGAGTGAACCGTCAACAAACCACAATGGCAAATATTGCCAATGATCATTTCAGCGACAGCCGGTATCGTCCAATCCGAGCCGGAAGGGGCCCAGCGGGAGGTAGCCGGGGGACACCCCCCTGAAGGGAACAGGCTATGGCAAGTCTCTGGCGCATAGTGGCAACTGTTCCACAAATGCGCTTGGGCGACATGTCAACCCCATGGGGGAGAGGGGGGGACATAACAGGTGCCCTGAGCAAATAAGGGTAAAGATGGAAATAGGGATGATCACGTACCCGAGGACTGTTGGGCAAACCCTGAGGGCATCATGGCTCCACCAGGGCCTGGCTGTAATGGCATAGCACCAAAGGAATGCTGTGCAGGCTGGGACGGTGTCTTGGACTGGGGGTACTGGGGGATCGAGTTGGGGTAAAAGGACATCTGGCTTGGGCTCTGAGTCGGGACGGGAAAGCCGGTGGGATAGCCAGCATTGGGGTCCATGGTGTTATAAGGAACCATCAGTCCCGAACTATTGGGTTAGGGGGCTTGAGATTTCCCCTGTGTAATTTTTGCTCAGCGATCCTTCTGCGAGAAAAGCCAATGGGCACCTGGATTACGCACGCCGCACGGATAAGATATGTGTGCGAGGGGAGGGCCAAGAGTGCTCGTCACTGGGAATCCAGGGATGGGAGGGAAATGAGTGAGCGCCCAAAGGGATCTAGAAAAAGCCCAAGTGTACCGATAATTGGTTGCGGAGACAGGAGATAGCAGGGGTGAGGGAACACGACCGGCCTCAGCTCAGTACTGGGACTTCGAACACGACAGATTCTGGTGGTTTGTGGCCCGGATTCAGAGCGATCAGCTGTGGGCGGACGGGCCAATGCAGCGGAGCCTTTTCGGTGCGGTGGAGACACGGGACCAGATGATGCTAGTGGCTCTGGATCCAATCTGGATGGACTCGAATATTAGATCCAAACTGGTGATGAAGGAAATGTGATGCCAACCACTTTGAAGAATCACCAGCGGCAAAGAGATGCGACCAGAGACAATGGAAACCCGAGTGTCAGAAAAGGTGTCACGGGACTTGAAAAGGATACTAAGACAATGTAATGACAAATACCCGTTATTTACACCACAAGGTGGTAAGAAATAGTTTTCGAGGTATGATCAGTGTCATGACCACAGAACAACTTTGAAAAACGAGCAACACACGTGACCACAAAATAGCCCAATATCACACGTTTCAACACCTTAGGCACCGCTTTCTATACACGTGACCCGGTGTGTTGTGAAGCTTGGGATTTCCTCGCAATCCTTGGGCAACTTCCTCTAATGGTCTTTCTAGTAATAGTGTGGAAATAATTTACATTCAGGCACCAACATTCCAGAGACCTCCCTAACATCGGAGATACTACCATTCGCACGAGATTCCCCAATAGAGAGGATCCGGTGCTGCGCCTCATGACGTATTGTTTGGGCCAAGAGTGTGGCGCTCAAAGCTTCATCCTCCACCGCCACAATCTTGAATCACATGAAATTCGAGTACTTTTGCACAGGAATAACCCGAAGCTATCTGAGATTTCTTGCTTGTCAAGGGGGAAAAGCAATAGTTAGTACTAAGTTTTTCACGAGTGATAGATGACCGGGTTTTCAGCGTGTATACTCTAGTCAAAGATAGGTCGACCTAGACAACCCCTGACACTCATCTAATGAGCATTTTTAGTTTCCAAGGCATCTCCTGACCCACAGCGAGGCATTACACAGGATTACATATTCCTGATTCATGCTGCGCGCCACATCTTCCACGTCCTTCTCACCGTTGGACCACGTTCGACCAAACGGGACGCCCCAATAAACCCGATCCCATTGACATGATCGGCAGAGCCAGCAACTAGAAATGATGTGTCCAGAGCAGGTAAACGATCCAAAACTTAAACTTGACTCAGCTGCCGAGGCACCGATGGAGAGTCCCCGGTGCCTTCTGCGATCTGCAATGCGATCTACACGGGCCAAAACGAGGTGCATGGGAGTGTTATGCGGTGTAGATACAGACACGCAAGCACGTAATGCCCTAAGTCAGCGGTCACAAAAGTGACAGGGGAACATTGAACAACAGATTGAACCAAAAATCGATGTAAATGAATAAAAACATAACCGACCCAGAAGAAAATACTGGGAATACATCCAGACCCACCGTCTCTCAAACGGGCATCTTGCAGTACGCCAGATGGAGTGGACCCTCTGACATTGAGATTAGAATGATCCCATTTCCAGGAAATGCACGATGGAGATCATTGCCTTACACAGAATGGGTATGAACCCTTCGAATGGCGCCCCTAATAAGAACCCCCTAGGATCATACTCTTGGGCCTGAAGGGACGTTGACTCCCTTACTTTCCTGAAATATATAGATCATGAACCATGAATATCTGTCTGCTGCTACCTATACAAAAGGGAGAGAGAGAGGTTCAAAGTCCATTGGACGGATAAATCTCGGTGTAATGAAACAAAGCGCGGAGATCTATCCAAACCCCATCGCAAGCCCTATGACGATAAGCTCATCCATCTACTGCAATGGGGCGCCCGAAGAGCCTGGAATTGACTGTAAGACAATTCCTGCAACCCCCGCTTTGCTGCCAGAAATTTGTCAAATAACTGGATTGGCCCACATTGCTCGCTTGACTTGCAGGGGCCGGAGTACACCTATCCATGTTCTCCGTTACGGTCTATACATGGCTCGGGCCAAGTGGCTGAGGCGAACCAGATCCACCGAGAGCAGTCTGCCAAACCCTGTCAACGCGTGTAAGACGGGGAATTTCCCAGTTGATCTATACCCAGGATGTCGACACACAGCACCGAGTTATGTCCACTCGGCCGGTGCAATTCCAAATGCCCTAACAGCGACAAATGCCTACTATCACTCCTCATAGACCCTGTTGATTGTGTATTTATGTTGACGATAGAGCAGATTAACTTTGCTTCTTCGGCAAACAAAAAGTTTACCACGCCTTTGCCGACGAAGACGTACTTGTATTCCCGGAATTCTGGTAAAAGTCTGAAAGCGAGAATTAGGGCCTGGTAGGGGGTTTCTGGTGCACAGGGACGCTCGAAGCGCTCGTATCCCCACTGTTCCCACCAGCCACTGGCACAGCCAGTCTTTATTTAGTCCTTTTCTTCTTTTTTATTTTCTTTTTTTCTGGCCATCCCTCAAAGAGAAACATACGATCGACACTCTTGGCCAATCCCAAATCCCCCCAGTCTTTCCTTTGGTTGAGATATCGCAAATAGAATGGTTGATAGATCATACCCCATCTGCGGCTGAAGGGCCCATCAGCGAAACAACCCAGGGAACTCTATGGCATTCCACGAGAAGCCACTCCGTCGACTCAATCAGGAAGGAGTTGTCACAAATACACCTTTCTAGTGGGGAAACCTAGCCACAGCTCCCATTGAGGGGTGTGGAGGCCGTTGAATGCCAGCGTCAATAATGCAGCCCCCCTCCCCCCGAGATCCCCAAACTCAGCCCTGACACCGGAAAGAAGATCAACTGTAACTCAATCTAAGACGATCGAGAATTTTATGGTCAAACCCGTTGGGGACATGTGGATGAATACAGATCTTACATCGAGTTTCGAATCTTGCTTCATGCATGTCGGCCCGCGCCAAAGCAAACTGCTAGTGGAGCAGCAGAGAGATATGCCATAATAGTCCGGGATTTGATCCTTGGATCCTTGAATTTTTTTTCGGTAATTCGGAGACATGATTACATCAGTGTTGTTCCAAACACCGCCAATGCTCGCTAACATCCCTAGTTGTGCTTGCAGCAAGCGGGCAGGGACTTGCTGTACTGTATCGACACTGTCAGACACCATTGGACTTGTCGATTCGGCGACGCAAGGAGCATCACAATACAGGAGAAGAGAAGAGGATATCGGGGGATTATTACAGCTTCCCCCTGTTAACGAAGTAGCTCATGGATTTGTATTTCCGTTGAAAAAAAAACCAACCTCGGCCCGCATTCGGGTTTTTATGCCTGTCATGGCGGTAATCTTCCTACCATTTACTGTAGTTCCAAGATTTGTGGACCGCTAGACCGATGATCGTCCCTTATGAAGCTGTACATAATAGCTTCATAGAAAGCTATTTGTCCGTCTCATGCTTCTGAAGCGAGGGTTTAGTGGTGCAGGATGTGCCAAGGGGACCCCTTCAGTGGGCCCAAGACATAGATCTGTTTCCCGGATCTAAGACCTTTTTTTTTTTTTTTTTTCTTTCTTAGTTGATGGCAGATATCAAATCAGTCAAAATAGTCTAGATATATTCAGAATAGTTACTTGACGAGCTTCATCCAGCAGGTTCTGTGGCAATTCATGTGAAAATGGCCCCCGTGGGTACTTTGGACATGGAGGGGAGTATAGTGCGTGCGCGGAGTGGCTCGAGGGGTTTTCTGTATGTACCTCTGCTGGGAAGTTAGTACTTTAGTTGCTCCACAGGGTTCCTAACTCCTGGGCATCTCCACACTTCTCATAGTGCGCCACAGCTGACACGGGTGGCTGAGTATAAATCTCCCATGGCAGACCCCATGAGCTTGTTGTCGGCGGGTCCGAGAGGTTCATGGACTTTTGTTCTGACCGTAAATAGAGCATGATATTTGTGGCTCTGCCTTAACCATGCTATCTGACTGTACGTTCGTCTCTCTTTTTTTGATCCCATCCTTTTTTGTTGTGATGTGTGGTGGTTCTTGCCAGGCTAAACCCTCATTCTCCAGTCAATTGCCAATCTGCCGTTGGATCTAAACTCCCGTCAACAAACCCGTGCTTTACGGTATGGTCCTTGATCTAATTTTCTTTCTGATAGAGCTGACACCAGCTAGATCCCTACAGCTATGTCCCACCGACGGAACATTGAACTGGCTTATCCGCACTATGCCCTTATTTACATCGACGCCGATGGGAATCTTCGGCACCAATCGTCCCAATCAATTGCAGATAGCTATCAAACGATAGTGTCTCCTAGTGTCACAGATGCTTTCCTGAGAGCAGTGGCACGGTCAAGGGAAACCCATCTGTCCCAGTACCATGGTAAGTCTAGTCTCTGTGAGTACAAGAGGGATTGGAGGAAATTGACTATGGATAGTCCAACCTAGTGCACCGATGACACCAAGCCCAGTAACATCCGCACACAGCCATTTGCCCTCCCAGATCATCCCAAGACCTCGGAGTGAGATGAGCCTGGGGAGAGAAGGGCCGATACATGCTCCCGTTTCACTAGGGACCCCATTCCAGCTGACGATGCGACCAATGCCCCAAGAAGCAACAGGGGCCTGGCATCGGGACAGTTCACATTCCAAGAAGAAAAAGGTATGGAACGAGGACCTCGACACAGCCGCCCACCAACGAGTCAGACTATCCCTCGGAGACGAAGAGCTGCTGCGTCTTTACTACGAAAAGGCCTTTGAGAATCTGCAGCAAACCAACTGCCGGGTCCTGGCTAAGGCCTATGTCAAGCTCGTCGAGCCCCGCAAGCAGGTCAACTACCCTTACAACGGACGGAAGATTGTTTCGGGCAGAACACGGCAGCTCGCGCCGGACGCGACGAAGCCTCCCTGGTGGCCGTCGGGGGTCAGCCACCGCGAACCTGATCATCTCCCCAAAGTTGGTAAGTAAACAATGTTTTCTGCGACATGCTGGGCACAGGACTGACCAGATCCAGAACGCATTCGACTCCTCGTTCACATTGTCCGCGAGTTACGCACCAGATATGGAGTCACCGTCAAACGATTGAAAGAAGCCGACCAGCCAATCCGCCGCCAAATATCACCACCAGAGCGCCTACAGATCCTGGATGAGGTATATCAAGTTCGTGAAGCAGAAGAAAAGATACTCGAAGGAGCAACAGGTAAGTTATCAGCCATCCTTGCACTGGAGGCGTTTTTTTACCGAGCTGACCCCGTTGCAGAGGGACAACAGGCAGTATGGATTTCTCGAGCAAATCTCCCCGACAAAATGACAGCCATGACAAGCCCAGAAGAACGCAGCGGCAACAGCACGCCCACCGAGCCGGCTTCCGTTCGAAACACAGACCCTCATTCTAGCGGAGATGCCTCGGCCACTAATACTTCGCAGACACTGTTCGCGCCAGTGAGGGATGGGTCCGCGAGCTCGTCTCCGAACAATACGCAGTCCATTGCACCGAGTCTTGCAGATTATACCGAGCAGAACATGCATGACCTTGCAGGCATTGAGTCGACCCAGGGCGTGTCGGTCACCCCGCCAGACCTGAAACGGAAACGCGAGTGTGCTGCCACATACTCAATGGACCCAATAAACCATATTTCGCATACACATGATCCTTCTTCTACTGCCATTGGCATCGAGCCATATGGGATGGGGTTGTATGGGGATCCAAATATCTTCCCGTCGCCGGCGGTCACAGAGCCCATGGGGGAATATGCATTCCCTTACTACTTTGACTATTGATTGAGTGAGCCAGGCATTCAAAGTGTGTGATCCCTATTTTCATGAAGATTATGAGTTTCCTTTGTCATTTATACCTCAAAAGTGCGGAGCTTCATTGAATAATTTAGTATCTCAACCTATATATGGAAAATCCCTTTGATCTCTCTCATAGAGTCCTAAATCGTGTTTACCATAGGAACTAATATTAACTAGACACCCCCCCAGAGCAGTCAAGATACCAGTATAAGCCGGCTTCTTTTCCAGATTTTCATCCCAAGGCAACGCAGCTCCCTGACCGGAAAAGGTACTCGGGACCCAGGAGTACTTATCTGTCCAGTCCCAGATGGTAACCCCAACACAGCCATCAGTCTACACACAAGCCGCCACAGTATTCCGATAGTCCGTCGACTGCTGAGCAAGCAGGGCATCAGTTGCCGGCAAAGTCAAGCGAATATCAAGCTCCGTAATAGCAACCTCCACCCCCAGAGCCGTAAACGCAGCCAGGTTGCTGGCCTGGGCACTCTGACTGGGCGCGTTCCCGACAATGAGATGGTCCTGGAGGCCTACACCGTCGATCCTGGCGCCGTACGACTGCACTAGCTTGACGATATTCTGGACGGCGGTGGCCTTGGCGCCTGCGTATACGAGGCTGTAGTCGTTATAGTAAAGTTTCGTGTCGGGGTCGGCAGCTGCTGCCGTGGCGAAGGCAATGGGGATGTATGCGGGGCCGATGTGTTGATAGAAGACGCTGTCGCGGTAGCTGCCGTCTTCGTTGAGGGCTACACAGAGAAATTGGGGCGCTGGTTAGTTGGTGTAGATGTATTCTTTGCTTGGTACTCGCCTTCGTTGACAACATCCCAGGCGTAGCATTGGCCCTTGTAATGGGTTACCACGTTGGTGATTTGGTTTTTCATCGCTGCCAGCAGCGTCTCGTTGGTCCAGGATCCACTTGTGACTGTGAGGATATTAGTATTGTACCAGATCATTCTGAATCTCGCGCTCAAAATCTGCAAACATGCCCCAGTTGGGCAGCTGGCTATGCCAGACCAAGGTGTGGCATGTCAGCTGCTGGCCATTGGAAGCAGCAAGATCGGCAATCATGTCTCCCTTGGTGAAGGCGAACGTGTTCTGGATAGGCTCGGTGGAATCCCATTATTGCCAGTTTTGATTAAGCTGTTTCAATTCCACATATATATATATATAGATAAGGATCCACCAACCCTTTGCGAGTTCCCCGGGGTGATTTGACCAAAGTCATCTGTGTTTTTTAGCCCGGCAACATATGCAGTGTCAGTCAACTCGGGATTATCCGTGGCAGTGCCAAAGTAGAGTAGTCCCTTGGCCACTGCAGCCACATCTAGACCAGCTGCTTGAGTTCTGGCAGGTTGTCAAGGTGTGAGTAGTGGAAATACGGAGGGGAGGGAGAGTAGAACGTAGACCGTACACTTGGGGCAAGATGCTGGCCAATGCCAGCGTCATGGTGGCCCAGTGAAGCATACCGAACGGCCTGATTGACTTATTGTCCACAGAGAACATAGAATAAGAGAAAAGGGACGAGGAAGGTTGACTGATGCGAACCATGCTCAAGTATTTTTCAAATGAACATTGAGAACCTTGGCCGTTCTTCGGACATACAGTCCATGGCGTAGGAGTCGCGGCTTTCTATCCCAATTAGATATCTGAAGATTATTTAGCCTATTCAAAGGAAATTAGGCCGTACAAAGGCACTAAGATGAAGCCCTAACCGAGGTCTCCAGCTGCATAAACACGTATCAAAAGACCTAATGTCCAACAAAGCACAAGTAAAGAATAACGAGACCAGTGTGTTTCCATTAAATTGCCTGTAATTGAAGCCCCGAACGTTTCAGGAGTCAATCTCAAACAGAGTAACACCAAAAAATTCATTCCATGGCTCATGGAACTACCGGCCTTTTGTGCTTTCTCAACACGCGGATAGCCAGGTCAAATCTTCGGAGCATCCTCCGTATTCCTGCGCCGGAAAAAGGAACTGAGCCGGGAAGCTGTGGGACCAGAGGCCGCTAATCCAAGACTAGAAAAGGGCCTTGTGCTTCGGGGAAATTGAAGAACAAGGTGCAGCCGCCATTTTCTCGGCTGAATGGACAGATTGATAACCCCTGCCCGACGAAATTGATCTTGTTCTTAATCAAGCCCCGCTGGAAACAATTCTCCCAAGCTAGTGTCGTGTGGTCAATGGTATCGGGTTTAAGCTTTGATGGGTCTTGCCACCTCGATGAGCAATGTCTATACAGGACTGGATATGTATCTACGTACAATGACCGCAGGGTATCGCTGACTCTCTCCAAGATCGCGCCGCTCTGGGGAGGTAAAATAGCCAAGGTATATGATGTGGCTTTTTTGATGGGTGTGCCCGGGCTCCCACCCCGAAGCAAATATAAAATGGAGATCTCATAGCAGCAACTCGATCTTTTTCCAAGGTCGATAGCATACTTCTCCTGGTGCAGTAGCGATGAAAAACCTTTGCATCTGCCTAGACCTGGCGTGGGGTACCGGGAAAGGGCACACGATCATTGGACATGTCGAGAGATAGAGAGGAAGACATCGAATAGTCTCAACCCTCCTTCCGCGCCTTCATCGCAGCAATAAAAGCACCGGTCTTGGCGATCGGCACCACGAAGATTCGCACAAGCTCGTCGAGGACCTCAACCTTACCACCAGAGAGGATCTGCAACAAGGGGACCTTCTTGCCCGCCTTGATCAAACCCCCAGAGACAGTTTGCATGAAGCACTCGACATTATTCATCGAATACTCCTTCTTAGAATCCCACGGCAGCGGGAAAATATATTCCAAATGATCCGCGATGGAATGCATCTCGGAAAAGGCTTTGATAAAGTCCGACTGCGCCTCCATAGGGTACAGCAGGACGGCTGGAAACTCGATCGTGCTTTCGGGCGAGAGAGGGTCCGGGACCAGCTTGATGCCGGCGTCTTCCAGCTCCGGCGGCTGGTTGGTCTTGCGGGTTCGGATCTGGCGCGCACGCAGAGCGGTTCCCAGAACCATGTTTTGCTTGCGCGCCGTCTCCTCCTCGGCCTTTCTTTTCGCGGCGGCGCGTTCCATAGCGGCCTTGCGCTCGGCAATCTTCGATGCAGCGGTCTGGAGCGCCTTGTTGTCGGGGTCGATGGCCAGTCCTCGAGAAGCGGAATCCTCCGCCTCGGTAACCTTGTGTAGCTTCAGAAGGGCCATCGACGAGCGGTAGAAGGCCTTGATGTTCTTGGGATTGACTTTGAGTGCGGCGGCGCAATCGAGAGTGCAACCACGGTAATTCCCTGAAGGTAGATAAGTAAACGAGTAACAATATTCCAAAATATCCAAGAGGCATGAAAGGATTCGACATACCCAGCTCCAAGTTACACAACGCACGATTGATGTGTGATACTTCCTCCAACTTGCGCAGGAGAGTTTGTTCGGCCTTGGGGTCCTCGGGCTTCTCCCACTTGTCGACCTTGGCAAATATGACCGCGATACTTTTTGAGTAGAATTCCTTCGCATCGATCCATCGTAGTTCTTGGACGGCTTCGTTTCCTTGCTCCTTGAAGGTCTGCGCAACCTCGGCACGAGTGCCCTCATTCTGCATAGCTTGCAGCGCATCCAAAAGCATATTTTCGCCATCTATCCTCACCAACAAAATTGGTCAGTTCATCCATCGCATGAAGTCGCCTGTCAAAACAGAAAGAAAGAAAAGAAGGCCGACATACTCTCATCACCCGCATTTTCAAGATCCGTCATGAACAGCGGAGTCTTATTCATCATCTTCAACAGCTCCTCCTTGGAATGCGACTTGACCGATGCCATGGCCGGTGGCATCTTGGGCGCATTCGGGTCATTTTCAACCTCCTTCAGCCTCTCCTCGTTGATCGGGAAGGGAATCTCGTTGGATGGGGCAAAGGCATCGAAACCGGGCTGCGGGAGATCCTGAGCCGCTGGGGGCGCCTCGTTGAGATTGAGCGACTCGTCGAAGTCGTCCGGGAGCTCTTCGATGCGCGACATGGTGAAGCCGGTGCGAACTGCCAGTCGCCGTATTGAGCGAGCGCTTTGCAAGAGCTTAACACGACAAGAAATGCGCGCGACAAACAGTGCAAACCAGAGGGGAGATGGGGTAGGGTGGAGCCCTAAGCCCTATTGGGGGGTGGTACTTCTCTTCGTTTGTCTCCTTTTACTCGAGACTCAAAATAGGTTCTTTAAATATCGAGTAACTGCTCATTCTTCAAGCCAAAAGGGAATGAAATGGAAGCTGATTTTAGTTCTATCATCTTCACTGCGAATCTATGCTAACTTGTTCCAGAAAGACCAAGATATTGGCTGACTAATGGCACTGGTTTTACCCGTGGACCTGTGGCCCTTTCCAACGTTTGGCTGACTCTCGCGGCAGAAGTTACAGCCTGGAAGATCCAAGCAGAAAGAGGCGCCTGTCCTTGTATAAAGTTTCCATAACATTTCGATCACGTGTGTGAAGCACTAGCCCTAACGGATCAACAGAAACTCGAGGCTGCCTGAGGCCATGAAGGCTTCTGTACATGATGACTGGCAATGGGCACCCGGGCATGATGACTAGACTATGCGTGAGTTACTAGTATCCTCGATGCGAGTAATTCCAATGTGAGATGCCATCACATCGGCGAAAGCCCGACAACCACCAACCCCGCATCAGTCGGGTTGAAGTCCGAGTCGCCGATGTAGGTGACTTAGTCCCAGTAGAAGGCAGAATCCCCAGCAGCAGATCTCAAAGAAGACCATGCAATCCAATATAATCTAACCCATACAATCAAATAATAGACTCAGAGCACCAATATGGCCCAGACCTTCAACATCCTGATACTCCCCGGCGACGGCATCGGCCCCGAAGTCATGGCCGAAGCCATCAAGGTACTCCAAGCCTTCGAGACCCCCAGCACAAATTCCAGCTGCGCCAGGAATTGATCGGAGGCTGCAGCATCGACGCCCACGGCAAGTCCGTGACCGAAGACGTTAAGCAAGCATCGCTGGACTCAGACGCGGTCTTGTTCGCTGCCGTGGGCGGCCCGAAATGGGATAATGTTCGTCGGGGACTAGACGGGCCAGAGGGAGGGCTGTTGCAGCTGCGCAAGGCGATGGACATCTATGCCAATCTTCGGCCGTGCTCGTCCTCGTCGCCCAGTGCCTCGATTGCCAAGGAGTTCAGCCCGTTCCGGCACGATGTTATCGAGGATGTGGACTTTATTGTTGTACGAGAGAATTGTGGAGGTGCTTATTTTGGGCGTAAAGTTGAGGATGCTGATTATGGTGTGTTGGAAAGCATCTTTTCTTTCCATAATCGGCTTTTTCTTTTGAGAAGACCACTGACTTTGCTTCCTGCCATTCAGCAATGGATGAATGGGGCTACTCCGAAACTGAAATCCAGCGCGTCACTCGTCTCGCCGCAGAAGTGGCCCTCCGACACGATCCCCCTGGCCTGTGATCTCACTAGACAAGGCCAACGTCCTCGCCTCATCGCGACTGTGGCGCCGGGTCGTGGAAAAGACTATGACAACTGAGTACCCGCAAATGAAACTAGTCCACCAGCTAGCCGACTCGGCGTCCTTGATCATGGCGACGAACCCGCGAGCTTTAAACGGCGTGATTCTGGCCGACAACACTTTTGGCGACATGATCTCTGACCAGGCCGGGTCTATTGTAGGGACGCTAGGGGTGCTACCTAGTGCCAGTCTCAATGGGCTGCCAGGGGACAAGACGTTGAAGACTCGTCCGTATGGGTTGTATGAGCCTACCCATGGGTCTGCTCCGACGTAAGTGACATGGAAGAGAAATTCGTGGATTGTGCTAATTTGAGTATATAGAATTGCCGGCCTGAATATCGCCAATCCTGTGGCGATGATTCTCTGTGTTGCGATGATGTTCCGCTACTCGCTGAACATGGAAGAGGAGGCTCGACGGGTGGAGGATGCTGTGCGGAAGGTACTGGACTCGGGGTTGCGCACGCCAGATCTTGGAGGTAAGGCGGGGACAAAGGAAATGGGAGATGCAATCGTCGCTGCGCTGTAGGCAAGAAATGTAGAGAGTTATGTGGATGTATGTTGGTAGTCAACATGAGGGTCGTTCTAAAGGGGAAAAGTCGATGTAAATCGCGAGTCAACAACTGACTTATTATGACATTTAGCTGGGCTATGTTGCTGGCTTTAGCCCTGGAACTATTCTGAATTTGGGTCATAGCTGCCTGCTAGGCTATAGACTATTGCCATGGCCTTGAAGTCAATTTGAAGTATAGCCCGATCATGATCTCTCACAGAAACAAAAACAAAGACCAGAGAAAATACAATAAAGAAGTTTCAACAAGCTAGACCAGCTCAGGTCATATGATCTGAATGATTGTCCATGTCTCACTGCACGCAACAGATTGTGCCTGAAACCGCCCATTGAGGTTCTTGTCTCTGACATCAAACCAGCTAGACAGGAGTTTGATGGAATAGAAGAGGTATCGTTTGCGCCCCAAAGAGGATAGGTAAAAGAAAAGGAAGCAGGCTGATATTCCTTGCGAAAACGGTATAAATGATAGGCAGTTGCTCTCTTGCAAAGACTACTTCTCCCCTTCTGCTTCTACGCCCCAAGTACCAAGTCCAGTCTCAGTCTACCCTACAACGACTTACACCTCGACAGCCTCTTCTGACCAGCGTCCACTGCTACAAGAACGCTCCTCCAATGACTACCATCCCAGAGGACGGTGCTGGCAAAACAAAGCAACCCTACCTTTTCAACTCTACTCAGCAGCCAAACATGTCAATTGAACCAACCACCGCCAGAACCTGCTTGGACAAGCTCCAAGGCATGGAAACCAAATCCTCTGAGAGCAAAAGACAGCTGATGCAATCGATCGCGGATGACATCTGCGCCACGTTCATGAAAATCTCCGAGTACGCCGGGGCCGGCACGCTGCGTGCCAGCCACACGGAGCCGATCGACAACGTGGTTCGGGTCATCCGTGACACGGACGTGTCGTTCCGGCGCTCCCTGGAGCAGCGGGTGCGGCGTCTGCGCAAGGAGAAGCGATGGCTGCGCAGAGAGTATCGGAAGGTGGTTCGCAGTACGGAGACGCTGTCGCGTACGTACAAGGAACGGATTCTGGTGATGAGGCATAGACTACATTTTTCGCAGAAAAACCTGGTCGATTTGCGGGCTGAGCATGAGCTGTTGCGGGCATGGTCTCAGAATAGAGGCCAGCAGGATCAGGGAAGAGATCTCAAGGGGGTGGAAAAGGCTGGAGATGACAAGAAATCACAGTCGGGCGTGGATGGTGAGAACCCGAGCTTGCAATAAACAACAGCTCGGCTGTTTGTTCTCGGCGCATGGCAGTCAGATCTTGCGTGATGCGATCCCGTGTACTGTCAGTACCAGCGAATAATGTGAATGGCAAAACAAATTGATCCAAAATAAGGAACAATTAAATTGAGTCTGACAGAGACTCATCTCGATAGAATCTCACGGGTTGGCAACCGAGGCAATTCAGAGTCGCGCATTTCCATCGGAATTGCACGGTCTTATCGGGGTGCGATTGCCACGGAATCACCGGCAAATAAGAAAATGATGTTTGGGCCGAGCATCGGAACATTGCCACAACCCGAGCCTTGCTCAGAGAGACTGATATCAGAACACAAACACAACGGACCTCGGCATTTTTTCTGTTGAATGCGCGCTGGCTGATTCGGCCCGCGGATCCACTTCGCAGTTCTCTCGTTCATGTGGGAGTACTCCAGACTCCTTGACCCCGTTCTCTTTTCTCTTTTCTCTTTTCTCTTTTCTCTTTTCTCTTTTCTCTCTTCTTTCTCCTTTCTTCTTCTCTCGAGGCGCTCTCTGTGTTTTCCCTCCGTGCTGAGTTGACGTCGAGGTGACCGTTGTTCCTGACCCACATCTTTTGCCTCCAAGAACTCTACCCCGGACAACGGTATCAGCCGAGAATGAGCAGCCCCCGGGACTATGAGGCGGTCCGCAAGGATATCGCAGCTCAACTGAAGAAACCGGGATATGACGATGGCAGCGCAGGGCCCGTTTTTGTGCGGTTGGCATGGTAAGTGACGTTGGTTGATTTTCTGGTGATCCCGATCGGCTGGGCTTCGCCGACCGAGGAGAAACACAAAAGCATGGTCGCTGACAACACCTTCTTTGGACAGGCACTCCTCCGGTACATATGACGCTGATTCCGACACGGGTGGCTCGAACGGGGCCGGCATGCGGTACGAAGCGGAGGGCGGCGACCCGGCCAACGCAGGCCTGCAGCACGGGCGGGCGTTCCTGGAACCGATCAAGGAGAAGCACCCGTGGATAACATACTCGGACCTGTGGACGCTGGCAGGCGTAGTAGCGATCAAGGAGATGGGCGGGCCGGAGATTGCATGGCAGGGTGGGCGAACAGACTTGGTGGACGACTCCAAGGTGCCGCCGCGAGGGCGACTGCCAGACGGAGCACAGGGCGCAGACCACCTGCGATTCATTTTCTACCGCATGGGATTCAACGACCAGGAGATCGTGGCACTGGCGGGCGGCCACAACCTGGGCCGGTGCCACGGCGACCGCAGCGGTTTCGAGGGCCCGTGGGTGACGAACCCGACGCGGTTCTCCAACTCGTTTTTCAAGTTGCTGCTGCAGCTGGACTGGAAGCCTCGTAAGCTGGCGACCGGCATGACACAGTTTGTGTACGAGGACCCGGATGCCGAGGGGGACGAGGAGCCGCTGATGATGCTGCCCACTGACATGGCGCTTTCGACCGACCCGGCGTTCGCGCCCTGGGTCAAGCGTTATGCCGAGGACAAGGACCTGTTCTTCGATCACTTCGCCAAGGCATTTGCAAAGCTGGTCGAGCTGGGTGTCCAACGCGACGCCCAGGGGGTCGTCACCAACACCGACAACCGCCTCGGCGGTTATGTCTCGGCTCCCAAGAAGAGCAATGTCGCTTCAGGTCCATCCAAGTCCAAGAACGACGTCCGCGCTCGGCTGTAGGCCATGCTTTGTTTTTGCTTTCTGGTTATAAATTCCCCATTTGTGTTGATAGATCTGGGGCTGGCTGGTAGTAGGGGCCCAGGCGTGTACATAGAACAATAAACCCTCCCGAGATATCTGACCACATCTTTAACTGAATGCTTGAATGTTTGATATCAGATTGGGTGCACGATAGATGAGAGACGCCTCAAGAGCTTCCAGTCCAGGATCATGACGATAGCCCGATGGATCGAAGATGGCGAGGAGAGAAAGGAATAGGAGAGTGGAAGAAGAGGAAGCGGATGAGAAGAAGAAAAGTCCGGGGAATTTGCGGGGAAAGACTCGCACGGATGCCTCCACACGGTGTTATACGTCCGCTGGTTAATGGGGCCCCGCTGATTGGCAGAGCCCGGGGGGGCTAGTATGTCGTCTGTGATTAGGGGATATTTCCTGTATGCCAGTTGTATAGAAAATCAACAGAATACCAGATTCTAATCTAAGAGTAAATTAAAAACAAAAGTACATCAACTCTAACTGAATAACCAAAAACATACTCATCTCGACACGACCAGCGTGCGAAAAATCAAAGAAAAGGAAAATAAACCAGAAATAGAAGACAAGGAGACAAGAAAAATAGCAAGAAAATTACAAATCAATCCTTGCTCTTGCGCTTTCGACCCCGGGATGGAGTCAGTGCCCTGTCCTCAGCTTTGAGGCTCTGGATCCTTTTGTTTTTCGCCTTCCCTTTCGTCGTCATTTTGGAAATGGGTTTCTTCACGCAATTAGCTTGAATAATATAGGGACGACGAGGTTGATACGCCCGAGCGCGCAGGGGACTGGAAATGTTCATGTAATCCATCCACTCCGCATCTGCATCTTTCATAGAAACATCCCCGCTGGAGTTTTTGCGACCAGAAGACTCTGACGAAGATTTGGATTTCGGCGAAGCAGAAGTTTGCCGGAGCTGGGGGATGAACAACAGCCCATCCTCTTTGGGGGAGCCGAAAGGCCCGACTTCTGGGAGATCTTTGAGGGGGCCATTTTCGAGAGAACTCAGCTCGTTCAACATCTGGATTGGGTCCCCCAGTATTCGTCAAATATGTTAGCGCCCTCTTGTACCCCGGGAGGTCTGGCCTCCGGAGGTGGGTTGAGGGGCGTGGGGTTCATCGGAGGGGACGAATTCAGTTGTGCATTCATGATATGATGAGCCAAGGAGTCTGAGCTTGAACGACTTCTGGTCGAGGGCCTGGGCGAATTTGGTTTCGCGTTTGGCGGAAGGTATTGGGAAAGGTCGATAGATTCGCCAGACATGAAGTGATCGCCTATATTGGAAAGAGTCCGCGGCCATGGCTGGGGCTCCGGCTCAGGGACCGGGTCGGCTGGTTTCCAGGGAACGTGCTCCGTGAGAATGCACTTTTTCTGGGCAACTATCTGATTCATGCTGACAACGGCATTCCCCGCTGTCGCCAAAATATCCAATGAGGGGTCCATGACGAGCTCATAGATCACGGACGGCGGAGAGTACTGCATCCACTCCGCGGGCACTCGGTTCTGTTGGTGGAATGGTGATATTCCGCCGACGATGGCGCCTGAGTTGACGCACCCATCGTACATGCGGATTTGGCCTGCGTCGGCTTCACCCCGCTCCGCGTCGGTGAAATACACGCGAGCATGACAGTCCTGTTGATACACACCACCAAGCCAGCGATAAGTGGCCGTTTGCTGAGCGCCCGAGGAATCTGTGTAGTTGAATGTGAAGGCTTCGGTGTGGTTGATCAATTTGGTATCGTCGTCACACCCAAGGACCAGGCGCAATGGAAGTTGGTCGAACCGCCTCTCGCGAATCACCCCAGCCGAAGCACCACACTGATCACAGGGAGATTCCTTGCGCTGAAACACAGTACGCATGATCAATTCAGACGGATGAACTCCCTTTCTATCACTTTCCAAGAACGGTGGGTATATCCATGACCCATTGCCCGGCTGAATTGTCGGCCAGCCGCCATGGTTGCATCTACACGAAGTAGTCACCTTCTCCTGCCAGGAAAATTGAAACTGGGCAAAGTGGCGCGTGAACTGCCCCCAGACCATCCAAGAAGGAACAAGCTGTCCCATTTTGATGTCAGGGCACACTGCGCATACTTTTTGGAAGAACTGGTCACGTAGAAAGATTGAGGTCTTGTCATCCAATACATTCCAGTTGACATTGGTGGCTTCAATAAAAGCTCTCTCAAGCTCAGTGAATGTCGAGGACCGATTCTCTTTGCGGTCTGCAACAGTGCATCCGGCATCGACCAGCTGGCCCAGAACGATTACAGAATCAATGGCGCAAGAAGAGTCGGACCAGACTGGGCCTCGGCCACGGTAGGGGTAAGGAAGACCATTTGGGTCAAATTCGAGAGATCTGGGCGACAGGAGCATTTTTGCTGTATCGGGATGATTCTCTAATTGAGTCAGCCGCAAGCCATTGGCAGAGTTGATGGTCTTGGATGGACGCGCAACTCGCGGCGGGGCACTAATATCCCGGTCAAGGTCGGAATAAACGAGCTTCATTAAAGCTCTTTCAACTGCCTCGACGACAATCTGTGGGTTGAACAATGGCGTAGGTAAAACCGAGAGAGGTTTATTGGGCCCATTGCTGGTCGGGCTACCAGCATTGTTCTGCGATGGCGGTGACTGGATGGTCCTTTTTTGTCTCTTTGGCGAGGGGGGCCCTTGGTTGTTGCCTGCCCGTCGTTTCCGAGTACGGGCGACATTGGGATTCAAAATAACCCTATTGCTGGTCCCATCGCTGGCCTCATGGCTGGCTGGGAGAAGAAACTGTGCAAGATAGGAGTCCGGCACCCCAAATGGTGCGTCGTGAGGCCGAACAAATGGTGGACGTGGTTGTAGCCTGGCATCCGGGTCATGTGGGTAGAAGAGGCTAACGGGGCGAGGACAGGGGACGATGGTATATTTCAAAAGTCGAGAGCCAGCATCCCGCGTGAGGTCGAATACTTCTAACCAGGACTGCGGACGGTGTTGGTCTGCCATGTAGTAGAATAGTTTCCACAGAGATTTCACGACCTCGAGTCCAGATAAAAGGCGTCTGGACTTGTAGCGAATTCCCCAGAAATGAAACTTGGCCAACACAACAGCCTCTATCTTCCTGAGCGTGCGTTGTTTTACGGCTTGCTCCGCCGTCATCCCGAATATTTGCCATGAGTCTGGCGGGTCGGGCAGAACGGTCAAGTCGTAGGGGGGCAGAGGTTCTGCTGGAAGGACGAGCTCCTCCTCCCGTAGGGGGAAGCTAGGAGGAGGAGGAACCGAGACCATGTTCAACGGAATAAAGTAAAAGAGGCAGAAATTGAAAATCGTCAGAGACGTGATAGAAGACCAGGAAAGAACACAAAAAATAGACACTCGATGGTCTGGCGATAGTTTCAAGCATAAAGATGATCGATATAGCATTCGAAGAGGATCGAGTTGGGTGACAGTTGAACTATTTATGTACATCTTGGAGCCGCATTTTGGACACCATGATCAACGGCACCCTGAAAGGCGTCCAAGAAGCAACCGCCATGGGAAACTGTTGGAATAAGCCGGCGAGAAAAGATAGAACAAAGGCCCGGATCGAATCCCATGGTACAGGTCTGCTTCCGTGAAGCAAAATAGACCTTAGCACCGGCAGGGTTCCCAAATTCAGTCAAGTTGCCGAGTGTTTCTATATTTGTGAGGTTAGCCCATTGTAGTTCATTGTTTAAAGGACATTCAAGGATATAAGAGCCCAACACCAAAGGATAAAAATAGGAAACTTCATCTCAAGAGACTCGGGTTATTCATGACAACAAAGGCTGTTGATGTCGTCCAAGACTTTTGGCCCCGAGTGAGCCAACAAAGGCAGCAGGCTCGAATCGAGTCCCAGTCCGTAAGGTCTCGTGTGGCCATGTAACACTAGGTATTTAGTGTGTAGCATTAAATGTATCTTGACCATTAGATACTTTACAAAGAGAAGGGAGGTTGGATTGACAAAAGATGGCCGATGCCCTCTTCGAGGGGTGTTCCCATGTATACTGTCAATCGAGTTCGGTGAATAAGGTGAATAACAAAGAGGTGATCAGACCTCCTAAGCATGGGGAATGATCTGGTCCCGCAATAAAGTGGAGGTGGCTTGTCGAGACTCGATGGCGGTTTCAGAGTTGCGATTCACCTTTGAAGGTGTCAAAAGACAAAGCACGTCGAGGCAAGCGACTTTACAAGAGATGGAAAGATGCGTGTGTCAAATACGTGAAATGTTTCAAGCATGTTACGCCTAAATGACAGTACGGGTTGCACGTGAGACAGATAGCACATGATCTACAGGCTAGCCCTAGTAGGACTAGCTCATTCCAAGCGAGCCCTCACATGTACTATACCATAAAGGGCTAGCGCGCCAATTACCCGATCCCACAACGGAAGCAAAGTCAGTCACCACACGACTTCCTTCTCTCCATCCCTCTGTCGACAACCCATCGCGATCCCGTCGCGCCCATCGCCCATCATGTGTACGTTAAGAACACCTCTTCCCTTTTGATCTTTGTCAACTCGCGAGTTACGACAACACGGATTGTCGTGGTCCGGAAAGGGGGAATTTAGTGGTCAACCCACAGTGAACATCAGGCTGACCCGTGGACTTGTCGATGATTACAGCGCTCGTGTCCGGCGAGAAGACGAACTTCCAGTACATCTTGCGTCTGCTCAACACCAATGTTGACGGCAAGCAGAAAATCATGTACGCCCTGACCCAGGTCAAGGGTGTTGGTCGCCGTTACTCCAACCTGGTCTGCAAGAAGGCCGATGTCGACCTCAGCAAGCGGTACGTTCGCCATAAACCCGAGCGATGAATGTGCAATGTCTCTGGGTGGGATGATGGGAGGAATGATGGCACAGAAAGAGAAACAAGTTGCGGTGGGGGAGAGCGGGTTTGAATTGGACGGGACACCCAGCGGCCAGACGACATTGCACAACTCCTCGCACACATGATCCAACTATCGACAAATGAATAACAAGCTGACGGGATTTCTTCTTGAACAGTGCTGGTGAGCTCACCACCGAAGAGCTCGAGCGCATCGTCACCATTCTCCAGACCCCGACCCAGTACAAGATCCCTACCTGGTTCCTGAACAGACAGCGCGACGTCACCGAGGGTAAGGACAACCAGGCCGTCTCCAACGGCCTGGACAGCAAGGTCCGTGAGGACCTAGAGCGCCTCAAGAAGATCCGCTCCCACCGTGGTCTGCGTCACTACTGGGGTCTCCGCGTCCGCGGTCAGCACACCAAGACGACCGGCCGCCGTGGCCGCACCGTCGGTGTCAGCAAGAAGAAGGGCTAAACCAGCTATTGTCTGTTTCCCGGGGGGGTTGTTTTTTTGGAGGGATTCCTTTGTTGTCAGTGTGTTTCTTATGGGCATACGTGGGTCCTTTTTCCCCGGTGGGCTGGTATGACACCGGTCCAAAAAATTGAAAATGAATCATACCAATCTGAAATGACCGATCTCTTTAAATCTTTTTCTTTGTGCTTTTCATATAGCCTAGGCACTCCGATGTGTCCCAACACTCGTAGCAAGACTTGGGTGGAACTTGAGCATATTCTTTCATGTCTTAGTATCCAAGTAGAGGCATGCTCTACTTACAGACAGCATGCCTCAACCCTGACTGTTTGGCCTGCAAAAAGTTACAACTTATCGACGTCGGACTATTTAAGATGGTTTACAAGGTCTTGAAGGTATACCCTAGAGAGAAATCTAATTCAAATTCCTTCGTGTATATACTTCACAGGAGCAAAGCAATCGAGATTCGCAGCAAAAAAACACACTACCGGGAATGCGGACCACTGGCTACCTCCGAAAAAAATTCTCAAGATTCAGTTGTTGTATGCAAACAAACAAGCGACGAAATCAGCAATATCCATAAATCATGCTGAGATACGGGACTCGAGCAGTTCCTAGAACCACTCACCACCCAGCCAGCGGTTGAAGAACTCCAGGCCAGACTCGGGCTGGTCCATGGGGACCATGTGTCCACCGCCGTAGAGACGCATAAAGGTGAAGTTGCCGTGGGACTTGACCTGGCCGATCTTCTTGCCAGTGTGCTCGTTCTGTTCGATCACGAGGTCCTGCAGCTGGGTCGCAGCGTACTTGGACTGGCCAGGCCACTCGAGAGCCTCGGTCCAGGCCTTGTTGCCGAGCCAGTTGCAGATGAAGTCGGCATCACCGGCGTAGATCAGAACAGGGATCTGCTCCAGCAAACCGGGCACGAGACGGTGGAAGGGCTTCATCCAGTCGCCATGGAAAAGGAAGTTACGGTTGATGTCAAAGTTGCACGAGTCGTAGCTCTCGACCTCGGCACCCAAGGCCTTGCGCACCTCCTCCTTGTTGAGGTAATCACTAACGTAGCCCATGCCCTTGTAGCACAGGTTGCTCGAGTCCTCACACTTGCCACGGACGTCGTAGACATTCTGGCCAGTGCGCTGGTACGGCGCGAGAAGGGCGTTGTTGCAGTAGATAGAGGCCGGGACGCAGACCCAGGCACTTTCGCTGTTGTAGCAGGCTTCAATCATCTGCTGGCAGCGCGGCAGAGCGTTGTCCATGGACCGGCAGCTGCTCTCATCCAGGACAGCCGGGTAACCACCATCACCACAGGCCATGGGACGGTAGTACTCGTATTGGGTAAGGCCGTCGGTGAGACCGTTTCCAATGAGAACAGACTTGAGGTTGATGTTTCGCTTCTTGTGAGAAAGAATCTCAGAGGCGAACTGCGGGATGTAGTGACCGGCATACGACTCGCCAGCAATGTGGAAGTCTTGCTTGGCGTATTGAGGGAACTGCTTGAAGAAGAGAGACAGCAAGGCATAGACGTCCTTGCCCGCGGCCACCGTGTCGCTAACGGAGGAGCCACTGTAAGAATACCCGACATTGACGGGCTGATCCAAGAAAATCACAGAGGCATTGGAGTTCCACGAGTAAGGATTGTAATTGGCCTTGATATTCTTGTCGATAGAGCTCGGGCCAAGCTCCATAAACAACCCAGTCAGAGACGAGCAGCCGGGGCCACCATTCAGCCACAGAACAACCGGGTCGTTCACGGGGTCATTGCGAGACTCGAAGAACCCTTTCGGAAAGTCAGAATTGAGTCACACGAGAAATATTCTCGATGAACTTACAGTAGAAAAGGTGCTTGTCGTTCTCATTATCATCCAGGTAACCACTGTACTGCTTCACATCTGGGTCAACACCCAGGGAGCTGGGGTCGACTTTCTTGACACGGAGATCGTAGGTCTCCAGCTTGCCTCCAATCTCGCGCTCCTTGGTGCCCTCAGCACCAGTCACCCAGACATTCTGGACATCGGCACCACGGACAATGTGATCCCAGTGCGCGTCCGGGCGACGGGTATGCTTCTTGGGCAACGAGAGCATGGGGGCATGGTCCATGGATTCTGGGAAGTAGTTGGACACTTCCTGCCAGAGCTGGCGAGCCTCATCTGAGAGCGTCTTGAAGTTGTCCTGGAGCTGCTGCAGTGGCTTGGAGAAGGCATTCGTACCCTGCTGGGCCAAGGTCTCCACTTGCTCCTGGGGAGCTCCGAGGATCTGCTGAATGGGCGGGGCAGCCGCAGAAGCAGCTCCCACCAGCAGCGTGGTAGGTAGAACTCTCATTGCGAAAAGATTTCCTGGTTCACAGGAGTGATGATAGTGATGGTAATGATGAGTCGACGACAGGTACCTGGGGGTCTAGCAGGCAGCTTTTATCAGTGTTCGCCCGAGGTAGCTGTCTAAAGTAGACAATGCGTGAGAAAGAACCACTTACACACTAATAATAGGGCACAGTAATGATAGAAAGAGGAGTTGCAAGACGGGATGCCCTGCATGCGATGGAAGAGAGGAGTTGGGAAAGGAGGAACCCTGGGGACGATGACGCCGGGCCGGGCAGCTACAGCGATAAGCGGGAGCCAATCACGTCGGGGAAGGTGAGTCATCCAGTCACGAGATGAGGGGTCACGGGGCTGGAGGCAGACTAAGCCGCATCAGGCGACTGCAGATGGAATGCGATTCATCATTTTTTTAGAAGTTCCCAAGTGGCGTGGCATAACTCAAGATGCCGATCAACCAGCCCTCCAACCAGATTAAGTTCACTAATGTGTCGATTGTCCGGCTCAAAAAGGGTACGTCTTGGTAACTGTGACATGATCTTCAACCCCACTGACGTGTTGCGCTTTAGGCAAGAAACGATTCGAACTCGCCTGCTACAAAAACAAGCTGTTAGAATACCGATCTGGCGCCGAGAAAGATCTTGACAATGTGCTTCAAGTACCGACCGTTTTTCTGTCTGTGTCAAAAGCGCAGACTGCTCCGTCAGCAGAGCTAGCTAAAGCATTTGGCGCCGATACCCCGCGGGATGAGGTTCTCCAGGAGATTTTGCGCAAGGGAGAAGTACAAGTTGGAGAGCGGGAGCGCAAAGATATTCTCGAGCGGGTGGAGAAGGAAGTGCTGGATATTGTATCCGGCCGACTGGTCGATCCAACAACCAAGCGCGTGTACACGCCTGGGATGATCTCCAAGGCGCTGGACCAGCTCAGCTCCGCCAGTGGCCAGCAAGCACAACAGGGTGGAGAAGCAACTGGTGCCGAGGACAAAGCGGCTCAACCTCACAAACCTCAGTGGACAGGTGTTTCTTCCAACCGATCTGCCAAAAGTCAAGCTTTGGATGCTATGAAAGCCCTCATCGCCTGGCAACCTATCCCGGTTATGCGCGCTCGCATGCGTCTTCGGGTGACTTGCCCCGTAACGCTTCTGAAGCAGTCCGTCAAGGCCGCGCCGGCACCCGCATCCAGCAAGGACAAAGAAGCCTCCGGCGGGTCCAAGTCCAACAAGAAAGGAAAGGGATCCAAGAAATCTGCCAAGCGGGATGACTCGGATGTCGAAGCCGGGTCAGATACAGAGGCGGCACCGAAGGCACCGGGGACTGTCAAGGACAAGATTCTGAGTTATATTGAATCGGTGGAAACACAGGAAGTGGTTGGCGGCGATGAGTGGGAGGTAGTTGGATTCGCCGATCCAGGCGCATTCAAAGTACTGAATGAGTTTATCGGTAATGAAACTCGGGGGAGAGGAAGAGTGGAGGTTTTGGACATGTCGGTGACCCAGGAGAATTGATTACGGACATATCGTTGCTATGACCTCGGAAGGTTGTGTGCATGACCATGAATATGACTGATGATAGAGTAAAAAGCACAAAAACCAGCGTTTGTTTTCATTCTGATTTAAGAAAACATAGTTAGAAAAATAATGAAAAGGCAAGGTTGGAGAGGCAAAAAGGTATACTAAAAGATCAGTAATCGCCTCGGGAGACTTCGAAGTTTTCTGGCTCTTTCTTGTTCGATCTCGACATCTTGATGATCTACGGTCATTGGGACTGGGGGATAAAGCTGAAGAGGCTTCAACGGTGCTATATAACGCCAGAGAGATTGCAATGGTCCCGCAGATCGAATGAAGCGGTATCTTCAATGATGTAGACCAGTGAAATATAAAACTCAGGGCGTTCCAAGACAACCAAATAACCATGCCTGCCTGATCGTCAATTTATTTTTCTCAATATCTCGTAACCTTAGGCGTGTCAATGTCCTTGTTCCTGTACAAGGCAAGAATAGAAAGAAATATCGAGAACAAGCCGGCTTTCTCCGCAGCGGTACCCTATGGCATTCTATACTATTGTGTCCAGGTGAAGATATTCCAAAGGTTTCTATGCACTTTCTTGTCTAGTATTGGGCTACTGGGTCCTTTGGAAGGGAAGTCCAGGTTCAGTAGACCCACGATGCATTGTCAAATAGCGGTGTCGATGCTCCAGTGATACGCGCGAATGGCATCGAGATGATTCTAAGACAATGCCAGAAGCCTACCAGGATACAATGTGAGGAAAACTGCACCATACTGTGGGGCTGCTAGGGCAATTTCTCCGGGGTTGTTGCCCTCTATGGTCTCTAGAAGTTGCGCATGCTAGTAGGAGGGGCTAGGTCGAGGATTGCACATTGACTCAGTCGAAATGAAAATACCTGAATTCTGCGGTGTTTGAGAGTATGTGTCTAGATTTCCCGCTATTTTGCTCCACTTCTATGAACCAATTTCGCTTCAAATGATCTAACCTCGGGATAGCGGTGGTTGAACCTGAACCAGTCATCTCAGACCACAACCTTGGAAGTGATAGGGTGCATGCTTCAGAAAAAGGCCAATTTCTCGATAATTACATACTATATAAGAGTCATAAACTCGGGAATGTAAGCAAGTTTTGGGCATTGGGCCATCTGATCTCTCGGGACTGGAGTCATATCTAGGTTATAATACAACAAATATAAACAATATAGACAGCTGAAAGGAAGACAACGCCGGGAGAATGAGGGGTATCCCAATGAAAAGAAAGAGAAGGGTGAAAAAAGAAAAAGAAAAGAAGAAGTATAAAGACGTTGACCGCACAATCGGATGCAAAAGCAACAAACTCACACCAGGCCCCGCATGTCCAAGTTGTCACATCCCGTCACCAGCAAAACGAGATTCTTGCCTGGACCAAGTTCTCGGGCAAGATCAACTGCCTTGCCTACCGCGTGACTCGAGTCCAGTCCTGGCAGGATGCCCTCGTGGTGTTGCAAAGTTTTGAACCCGTCCAGGGCATCCGCGTCCGTGGCGGTCAACATTTCAATCCGGCCGCAGTCCTTCCAATGAGCAACCTCAGGCCCCACTGTGGACAGATTCATGTCTGGCGAGATGGAGTGCGAATCAAGGATCTGACCATCGCGATTCTGGAGGAGGAGAGTGCGCGCGCCCTGAAGGACGCCCATCTCACCCTCGGTCAGGGCAGCAGCCTGGGCGGCCTCAACACCAACGAGGCGCGTGGCTGAGTGCTGAAGGAAGGGCCGGAAGAGCCCGATGGCACCACTGCCACTCCCAACGGCAGTCACGACAGCGTCTGGCAGGCCACCGGCGGCGTCGTGCATCTGGGCCGCGACCTCCTCGCCTAGTAGAGCTTGGAACGTGCGAACCAGGGTCGGCAGGGGACTGGGCCCCACCGGGCTGCTCATGAGGTAGTATGTCGTCTCGTGGTTGCAGACTGAATACCGCAGCGCTTCAGTGATGGCGGCACGCAGTGTTCCCATGCCCGAGGGAGCGCGCGCCGTCAGCACCTTGGCCCCGAGCAGCTTCATCTCAAGGACATCTTCCTGCTGAGCATGAGCGTCATCGGCGCCCATGACAACCACACAGCGCAGACCGAGTCGCGCGCACATGGCCGCGGTGAAGTTGCCATGCTTGGCCGATGCGCAGTCCGTGACGATCTCACTGCGGCCCATCCGGCGGGCCAGTAGGAGCTGACCGATGATATTCCTCGTCTTGTGGCTGCCGTAATCGTTCTGGTCCTCTCGCTTCAGCCAGATGGTGGCCCCACCGGCCAGGTTCGTGAGCTTCTCCGCCGCCTGCAGCCGTGTGGCCCGGGGCCGCTGGAACGTGGCATACTCAGCCCAGAACGAAGGGTCGGAGACGGTGGCCTCGAAGAATGATGTCAGCTTGTATAGGAAGCCCATGATGGACTCGGGGGCAAATTGGCCCCCAAATGAGCCATAGCCATCGAATGAGACCTGCGGTGGCCGCAGGCTCCCATCTCGCTGCAGGATTGGAATATACGGTGTGCTAGTGTCCAACGACGACAGGCGTCCTGACTTGGCGGGTGCCTCGGAGGACGAGGAAAGGCGTTCAGTGGCTGCAGAAAGTTCGGTAGGTTTGGTTTCTGCTTCTGATGCGGACGTCGAGCCACGGGTGCTGTCGGTGCCGGTTAATGGAGAGACCGGCTGAGCCCTAGGCGGCGTGGTGTCTTGTTTCTGCGGGCTGTGGCCGGCAACACGGGTCTTGGCCGCCGTCTTGTGCAAGAATCTCAAGCGATTGGCATTCTCTTGTGTGGCAGGGGTCGAATCAGGGTTATCGGAAGTCTTGTGGGAGGAAAAGCAAAGAAAGCCGCGCAGAGACCGGAGCATGATGCGCTACCACACCTGGGGGGGCGTGAAGAGATCTGAATGATAACCCCGGGGGTCGGTCAATTATACATGAAGGGATTGCAAAAAAGAAAAAGAAAAAATGACTGAATTGCAAGGGGACCCGGGGGAATAGCTATGCAAAAGATAAGCAGACACCCACGTGCATGGGATAGAGGGTGGGCAAGTCAAGTAGGGCAAGAAGGGGGAAGGGGGAGTCAAGACGCCATCGAGGAGACATGCGGCTTAAATACGGTGTGCTAGCCGGGACCTCTTGCTGAGAAACGGTCATGAGGCCCCGGTTCTGGGAGATTTCGAGTCCGGCATATCCTGGAACGACCCCATCACAGCTCTCTCTCTCCCCCCCCCGAGTCCGCTCTCCAATCTCACTGGTTACCACTCCACCCATCCCAAGGTGATTTGCTCTGAGTCAATGAACATGAATCGTGTTTTTTTTTTATTGAATATTGACTGATTTGTCTCCCAGATACTACTCTAGATGCACAGGATGCGCTGTTCTCCGATTTGCGTGATTGGGTTTAATGAAGCTAGGCCGGTATAGTTCGCCAAAACCTTCACCTAACTCAGATCCTTCGGCAGAGCCTGGTCCACTCTGGTGGGCCCGAATCCTGATGCCAATGTGTCTAGGCCAGATAAAGTATGATCAACGTTTGCATTGAGCGTCAAAACGCGCGGGGAGTCTCACTTGGCATCTATGTTAGCCATTTACGCGAGTCAGATCTTTCAGAAAACAAAACGCTTGAAAGTCTATATACTGTTGGCAGATTCCCCCGGTATGATCTCCATGATCTCCGGGGCCATTTGTCTTGTGGAATTATCTTGCCAAAGGGCGTGCTAACTCGTTAAAATCATATAAAGCTAAACCCCCCCACTGTCCTGATCCTGCTTCGTGCACCACCGCGACCTTGATATTGCAAGTGGGGATGCTCATTCCTCGAGACGGCCTGAGACGAATGACCGAGATGATCTCCACTACATCTGCACGCCGCACCACTTTTCCGCCCCCCCCCCCCAGGCCTGTTCTTATTTGGTAGAGGGTGAGAGGGTGTTGGTTGGATGAAAGCCTCGCGGCTCACCCATAGTCCCGGTACGGCGACAATCCCTTTGTGTATACTTCCCCCTTTAGTAGCCACGCATCTCTTCTGTGCCATAGATGCGAGCTAGTGTTCAATCACAGGGCTTCACCCGATTCATGGAACTAACCCCGACTATGGCCGGCCGCGCATTACCACGTCATTGATGTGTTCATAGTGGGTTGGACTCGACGAGGGAAGACTTGCATTCTAGGGCGTGGTAATCATGTGACCGTCTCAAGCCCTTGATTGTGGTCCAAAGCTGTCAATAATTCGCCGTGACAGCTTTCAATTTCCCCCCTTTTCCGCTAGAGAGTTTGATTGACAGGTAATAGTCCGGCTGTACCAGGTTAGTACATAGCCGCCGCACCTCATAATTACCGTTGGCCCCCTTCTGCCTCCAAATGCCAGGCAGTAGTACCTAAAACGAGGGCCAAAACATAAAATCCAGGCAAGAAATCTGCACGACCGTTTAAACATCTGGTGTTAAATCCTTCCAAATCCTGGTCAACAGACAATTCGTATGAGCAAAAAGCCTGGCGCGGCCCAAAAAGGGAAAGAGACGGTGTTCATCGGGCCAGGTGTGGATATTGGGGCGGAAAAAAAAGATGAGGTGGGGGGGGCTAAAGCATAGGAGTTTCTCTGTAACCGAACCCGTGGGAATGCTGCCAGGATTTCAATGTTCCGAATAGAGGCTCGCATTCGCTGTATTGCTGCGTGCGTGCGTGCCTTGGCCTTGATCTTGAGAATAAATAGTATTCGATGTGGGGAGGGGCCAGATGCATGCAAAGCTCGTGCAAATAGGTACGTGATACGCAATGCAGACATGGGGGGGGGTATAATGTGGACCATGGTGCTGGGAAAGAAGAGCCATGCTCTTTTGGGCATACACAGGGGGGGGAACAAGGGCCAAGGGGTGCGAGCATGGATGGCCTAGTGGATGTGGGAAAGCGGTAAAAGAGGTGCATCCCCTGGGCATATTATTGATGCGTATTGGCCAGAGGATATAAAATTTGGCTTTCTCTCGACCAGTTCTCCATCCTGTAGGATTCACTTGGGGTGCGTTATTGAACCCCCCCGTTGAGCATCTGCATTTCCTTTTCAAGATGTCAAATATTGGAACCTCGTTGGGCTCGCCAATTTCATCAGGCAATGACTCTGTGGACTTGAAGTTTCTCTGCTGGCTATCTTTCAAGATTGCCCAGAAGCTTGTCTACAACATGTTGCCCTCTGGTGCCTGTTGAAAAACAGGTTGGTCTCCTTTCTGGCTTTCTGACATTCTCAAGGTGGCAATGCTGACACTATTGGAATAGCAAAAGCGTGGGATTCCTATAGGCCAGAGATCTCGTATCCTTCTACACCAATACAATGTTCAATTTTCCGGTAGTTCCTCGATTTCGGAAACTGCATTATCGACATCAAATCAGCGATTTGACTCGCTTCCTCGAGCCCATGGCCCAGTGATCCAGTCCATACCTGAATCTGACGATGTCTAGTCAGCTATAAAGGCACACCCAAGTGCAAGGAATGGAGCGCGTTTTGTATACTCCAGGGACCGTGGTTGAGGGCGGTGTTGTACCTCGTTTCTTTCCAGGGTATATACAGATGTCGCAGGTTCCTTCGCTTATTACTTTGGTTGATTCTCCCAAGAAAGATACCCTTTCTCACTGGTCAAATTCTTCAAACGGGGTTGATGAGGTTTCATTCGCTACAATTTCCTCTGTTCTTGCGCGCGATACCCCGATTATTATGATATCCAAATCAAAAAAAATGTTTCTCTCGCTGGCGTCCCTTTCCAATCCTCAACGAGTTCAACAAAGAGTCTCGACAAAAGACGGTTCTCATCCCAACCCGAAGCATCACAAAGAGCCAGGCATTCTCCACTCGTCTGAAGATATTATGCCCGGAACTAATCTCATAGCATTGGAGTCTTCCCCGGCCGCAGAAAGTAGGGATCATTGCCCCAAAACGCAGCACCATGCCTGCCTCACCCCAGCCTCATCCATCGAGATGGATCGACACAAATCGAAATTCAGCATCCACATCATATGCTCATCCAGCACATTAGAGATAATCCCCTGTCCCGGTGGTCCTTCATTACTGGGAGGCGCAAGAACAAACTCCACATCATTGGCGTCAACCTCTCCCCCCCCCCCAAATGCATGATGGCCAGTGCCTCAGCCATGATTCTCGCATAGAGATGGATCTCATCGTAGGAGATGCCGAGATCGTCCATCTGGTTAAGATGCAGAGGGTAGTTTCTCAACGAGAAGAATTTCCGCGGTGGACCATCTTGTCTGATTATTGAAGGACTTTGCCTTCGACCGAGATACGGTTTTTCGCATTAGCTGGACAATACGCATCGATCAGACGATCTCGCGTTGGTTTGAGGAATGGCGGGATACACTGAGACTGAATCATGTTGCAGGGTGTGTATAACACAGGGTAATAGGTCAGGTTGTCTGCCCGCCAGGCGAGATCTTGTATGTCGATTCAACGATGGCACTCGGGGACTCGAATGCGTGGGTCAACATGTGAAGGTGTCTCGAGGCCCCGGAATCGAGAGAAACTCGCGATGGCTCTTTGGTGCATGTGGAAATCATTTTCGAGGGATCGATCCTTGCTGCCATCACCTCTTTTGAAGGGCGGTCCTGCATCTGATAATGCCCATACTGAGCCGCAGGCGCCAGTGCCGATCTTGTAGAAGGTGGACATGGTTGTGCGGAGATTCACGTTTGTGGAAGGTGATGAGGGAAGAAGAGGGGGAGGAGATGCCCTATTCCCTGGTTCCTAGACGGGTTGGTTTGGCAGTTTCTTCGAGTTCATGGGCCCCAACTGCAAGTGGAATATCCATTAACGATTCCACACAGTCGATCCAGAGGATCATTGCCTGGTTTATGGTACGATGTGCAGGATGACAGACTTGGCTGAGGGGTCGATGAACCGTCGATCTCTACTTCTACTTCTACTTCTATTTCTACTTCTACGTAGATCTTACATTCGATATCTGATATATCAAGATTGATCTGTTCTCTATTCAGTCTGTTCTATCAAATCGATATACAGCACAATCTAGACCAACACATGGAACCCAAAAAAAAAAAAAAAAGCCCGGTCAAATCATAACCAAAATCCAGAACGGGTATACGCTCAAATGCAAATGCGAGACGGTGAATGCCGCCATGGCTGACACGGTCTGGGGCCTCTAGCCAAGATTGACTCCGTGTCGGCGGCAACCGGTGAATGGGGGAAACGGCATGCCGTTCCGGTCTATCGTGGCAGGGGGTGTCGAGATTCGGTGTCCTGCTGTCTCGAATCCGACGCCCGATCGTAAGTCCCATGAGGGATTGGTCCCAAGGGACAAGGGTTCATAAAAAGGAGTGTGAACCGACATCGAGTCGGTGAGGGGGTGAGGGAGGGAGATGTCACCTGGAGAGGGTCCTTTTTCCTTAGCAAGGACCATCTCCCAGCGACAAGGGATGAGATGGGCGAGGTCACGCGTGGAGTTGCACGGCATTCAAGGCACGCGTCAGATCCTCCGGCGAGAACGGGACGCCCTTGCCCCGCGGGGACATAACACAGGGAGAGACGGCGGGGGAGACGGCACCACGGCGCACGTCTGGCGAGGCATATCGGATAGACTCCTTGAGCTGGGCGATCGGGTTCGCCGGGAATTCGTAGGGGTCTGGGAGGAGCGTCTTCATGGAGGCAGTGTAACTGTCAGGGTCAACGACCGTGGAGGACTGGGAGCCCGAGTCGATGTGAGGCGAGAACTCGGCCGTGAAGGGGCGCGGAGGGGCTAGCGAGGCACGGGCGTTAGGACGGGAATTATACGATCGGCGCGAGTTGCGAGCAAAGGAACTCGTACCTGGATCGACGTCGACACCGTCATCATCGGGGGAGACCTCGCCGGTGTCACTGTCGGAACCTTGCTCGCAGGTGGCGCAGGGCGAGAGGGGGTTGTCGAGCGAACGGGTGCGGGTTACCATGGCACCATCGAAGGACCAGGCAGCCAGTCGTTTTTGATGGTCGCGATCGAAGGGGCCCCGGAACTTGGAGGGGGGACAATCGTAGCGATGGTAATACTCGACTTTGGGCTTGGTGTCATCCCGGGGGGCGAACGGTGGAACACCTTTCGGACTTTTTCACGAAATGGCATTTTGAAGGAATAAGATAACAATGGAACCAGCAAAGAAATACGATAATCCTCGGGGTGGCTTAATCACAGATCAAGGTAGACTGAGAATAAAACAGAGTGCAAAGACAAAAAAAAAAAAAAAAAAGCCTCAAGTGCATACCACTCCCAGACTGGGATTGGACGCGAGGTGCAACACGTTAAGCGGGGTAGACGAGGAGGTGTCTCAGCATCCTTGGAAGGAAGAGATGAAGAGATGAAGAGGTGAAGAGATAGAGGGGAGAGTGGAAGTAGAGAAGGAGAGGGAGAGGGAGAGATAAGCCCCCCAGAACATCCGGGCCACATCCGGTGAAGAGAATGGGGTAAGGCAATGACGAGCATAATACTTACACTATACACTCTACACTACGACGTATTTCAAGTGGGCCGTTGCGCCCCTCGGAACTGCAGGCCTGGAACATGAACCTGGGCCATGGTAGCGGTTACAATATATAGAATATCCATAGATAGTTCATAGTTGATAGAATATACAATATACAATATACAATGTAGAATATAGAATACCATCAATTTATTCTATCAATACTGATCACCTTCCATGCCAAGCGATCGGCCTGCAGCGAAGGATTCCAGAAGTCGGGCACGATCGGGAGCCTCCGTTACATCATGGGCCCGTTTTTTGCCAACGTGTCTCTCGTGTGGTCGCATCCGGGTCCAGCACGACGTCAGCCATGTCAAGAAATATGCCGGATCAGGTTGGCCAACAAAACCAGAGGCGAATCATTGACTTCGCCCCGTGCCCCGTTCGCCCCGACCCACTCGGCACGGTATCCCGGCTAAACAGGGGAATTTTGCGTCCACGCCCATGAAGCACCTCTGGCAGGCCTCCCTTTCATACAAGGCCGGCTGGCCCAATGGAAAGGCGCTTGACTACGACCCTATCAAGCTAGGCTATCAAGAGATTGCAGGTTCGACCCCTGCGTCGGTCATTTTTTGCTGCTTTTCTATATAGAATAATCTGTAGGAAATGATGATGTGTGTGGCTGAGATATAGTGCCCAAGGTAAACTTGAATATTGCAAGTCCGTGCTTTAACAAGGTATATCAGTTAGGGCTGTTTCCATAGATATATATTAGATTAATTACTTGGCAGTTTCGATATATATCCGCTGTGTATCTAAGTATAGATCCTAAATACTTCCATTCAATATGATATACTATACAAGTCAGTCAGACTATAAAATTAGTAACCATTTCAGTATTATAACCACAACCAAATATAGTCAATGTCATCCATGCTGAAACCGCCACAGCCCACTTGAACCATCAGTGGAAGAGAACCAGACCCTGGCTGTCACTGGGATGACTATGTGTCCTTTTTCTCGTGCTATTTTTGACATTTCTCCAAATTAAGGATCATCTTTGATCGCTTTGTTACTTTGATGACATCCTCGGGTTCATCCATGGGATGTCTTTGGATGATGTCATTCTTGTTTACCCATCTCAGCCACAACAAAGAATGCACGAAAACACCACCACAGGGGTCTAGCAAGTCCAACACCCTGGGTGATGGCCAAGGGATCTATAACAGACCCTAGCGCAGGATGACAAGGGCCTGTTCCCCCCAGGGATCTCCCTAGTTTATGCTAGATGGCAGCAGCCCTATTACCCGAATCAGTATTAGGGCTGTGGTCCGAGCACAGACACACGACCCGAACACGGAACTATGAAAGGGGAGAGGGTGTCTTAAGTCAACCATGCTGGATGCCGTGTCCGGGGACTCTTTGATGCAGTCGAATTACATGGGGAGAATCATTCCTGCCCCGGAAGTGGAGGACTGCGATCGTGGCATAGAATGTAACAAGGAGACTCTCCCCCAAGAGACAATGTCCCCCTAAAGAAACAAAAAGGGAGAAAACGCCAATTGTCCTCTGTAGATATTAGTAGTCTTTGGGTCCATCAATTCATTTCTTCACTCTTTTTTTTTTTGGTTCCAGAACCTCTTGGTGGCCGCAGAACCACGGATCTTACGCTCTCAGTCCAGCATACCGGATCGTCCACTATCCCTTACTTTGGCCCACTTCCGTTTTCCTCTTCTCTCCATCGACCTTTCCCACCTTACCACTTTTTCGCCTATCCCCCAAAGAACAACCTGTAAGTTCCTCCTGACTGGCGATATCGACGGACTCAATTCCTCCGTCTTTGCCGCCGCGCGCATTCTGTCGTCATCCCGACGTGGCCCATTCTGATCGCATTTTTTTTTCTGCTTCGCACAGCATCACCCCCACGAATCCTCACGAGCACCATGCCTAAGAAAGGTGGCAAGAAGAACAAGAAGGGTGGCAAGGCCCCCGCCGCGGCTGAGAAGGTCGCCGACACCGCGAAGCCTGTCGTGTAAGTCGCGAAAAAAAAAGTTTTTGGGTGGTCGCGTGCTTCGCCCACACAGCCATTCGGCCCCATCTCTGACACTTTGCTTTTTCCTGCACAGTGAGCCTGGCCATGAGGCTGAGGACCTCGCCAAGTACGGTGAAGGCAAGGCCGAGTCAATTGAGAAGACCGAAGCTCCTGAGGCTGCGACGCAGGAGGCCGCAGGTGCCGCTCCCGACCTGAGCAGCAAGGCCCCGTCTGCAGCACCCGCTGCTCCGACTGAGGTGAAGGAGGCCGAGAAGGAAACCGAGAAGGTTATTCCAGCCGCGACAGAGAAGAAAGAGGAGGGTACGGTGCAGGAGGCAGTGGACAAGGCGCAAGCCTCCAAGGCCGGCCAGATTGGCAAGCTCGATGGGGGTGATGGCGAGGGTACCGGTACGAAACTGTGCCCATGGAATGTGTTAGAAGGCGGACGGGGATCGCTGACCTGTTCATTGTAGCCGTGCTGCCCGAAGCCACCGCCAAGGAGTCGACTCTCGCCCCCGAGGCCTACCCCTCGACTTCGGAGACCGCCGCCGAAGAGTCTGCGACCTCGACGGCCGCCACGACCGGTGCCGCTCAGCTGCCTGAGCGCCCCAAGACCGCGGAATCGAATAAGGCTGCGGCCACCGAACTCGCCGCCACCCCAGCCGAGACCGAGGCCGCGCATGCGAAGCGCCCGTATGAGAAACCCATCTTCGCCGAGGACAACCTGAAGCCGCACAAGATCGCCAAGACCGAGGAGGAGGAGAAGGAGGCCTCCGCTGCTGCCGCGGCCGACAAGGAGGTGGTGACCGGTGCTGGCCCTGCCTCGACTGCCGCGCAGGCTCCGGAACCGGTGCCCGTCACGGAGGCGAAGAAGGCGGAAGAGAAGGCCCCCAAGGCCGCTGCCCCGACCACGACAGCCGACGGCAAGGCGTCTCCCGACGCGGTTGCGGCGGCCGCCGCTGCGATCAACTCCTCCAAGGCGGACAAGGCCGCTGCCGCTCCCGTCACGGAAGCGGAGCCCAAGAAGCCCGAGGCGGCGCTGAAGCGCGGCGAGGAGCCCCAACCCGAAGCCCAGCCTGAGCCGGCCCAGCAGCCCGCCAAGGAAGAGCCCGCGAAGCCCAAGGAGGAGGCGAAGAAGGAAGAGCAGAAGAAGACGGAGGCCGCAGCAGAACAGCCCGAGCGCAAGAAGGGTGGGTTCTTCTCGTGGCTGAAGCGCAAGTTCAAATAGATGATTCTCTGAAGAATGTGAGTGTGGATGTACGATAAGGCGGCGGTATGTGCACTCGCAAGGAGAGATAAAGAGGCAAAGGAGAGGTGTGATGCTTCTGTGGTTCCCGGGTTTTTTTCTTTTTTCTTTTTTTTTTTTTGATGATATACCAACTGAAATTATATATCATAGTGCTTATTATTATTGACTCAAAAATCCAGTCGACTATTTCCCCCTGGAATTCTTACTATTGCGAGAACCACAAGACTATGTATTCCTTCACACCGCTAGTTTTGGGTGTCAATGCGTGGTGGATATACCTAGTGAGCTGGAGCTGCACGCTGGGCCACGTTGATGAACTGTTGTGGAGTCGATGACGAGGCCAACTGTATCTTGTGTCATTCACATTGTAAACCTTTATGAAAGGACTTGAGCTTACATTTAAGTACTAATGTAGTCGGCGTGTCCGAGGCTGTTCTCAGTGTTCTGTACCACTGGGTATAAAACCATTCAAGTTTCTGGGAGCACAAGGTGGATCAGTGGCAAGATTTCTTCTAGAAGAGATCTGCACTTGGTCGATCTTCCCCCGGTAGATCCGTAGCACTGGAGACAGAACGATTCCACAGTCGGTCCTGAATGAAATCTGATAGAGCTCTATATCAATCATATCTAGGTATTTAATCTGGATTCCACTAACACGCACCGTTGCTTTAAGATTTTCAGTCTCGACACGCAACAATTGAGACATCTATACATCTGCTAGAGAGCAACCAAGTCTGTGTTGATGTCCAGTATATATCGCTACTGACCTATTTTGGCGAGTATACACGAGTATACATGAGAATACACCAGAGCTTTGGGTTATTGCGAAACTGACAGAATAGATCATACATTATCTACCAAGATCCTGGCTATCCCCGGTGGTCATGGCTCATGCCCTGGGAGTGGAGTGATTCTCGAGCTGCTTCTGAACAAATGCCATCCCCGCGCACTCGTGTTGAGCCACGAAGAGATGATCCTGACCATCGGCGTGATGGTTGCCCAGGAACTGTTCCAGACAAGTATTCCAATCATCCAGGTTTCGCCGTCTGGATTTATCGTCCTGCTAAAATTGAAATACGTGCATATCACTGGGAGTCGAATCCAATGGACAGCAGACGAAACCTTCTCCCAGCTCCTGAGCATGATGGATTACTGCCAGTCAAACTGACACAGTTGGATGAAGACATGTTGAACGGAATTCATGGAAAAGCCGCTCAGGTTGCAATGCGCGTGATGATCCGGACAGCAGAGATCCAACGAGTTAGCGAGTTAATCGACATGGAGCAAGCACACATCGACTGCTGCATCTACACAGGTCCCGCAACACTGAAATTCGCCCAACGGCTACGTGAATGGGGCACCCACATTCGAATTCCCACATCATTACAAGCAATATCCATAGACCGACGTTTGTGGCGCTCACAGCAAGTCGACCCGACTATCGGCGAGCCGGCAGAGCAGCTGGCACAAACATACGAGGAAGTGGGCGCAGAGCTAAAATTTACCTGTGCCCCATATCTGCTGGACAGTGCCCCCCCCAGACAGGCGCGAATGTGCTCTGGGCCGAGTCCAATGCCGTGGTCTTTGCAAACAACATTCTGGGCGCCAGGACAATCAAGTGCCCGGGTTTCCTCGACGTGTGTGTTGCCTTGACGGGACGGTCGCTAAATACTGGCTGCAACATCAAAGAAACCCGAAAAGCCCGTATTCAGATCCATTTAGAATCTCTGCCCGATGCAGACGATGCTTCCCGCTGGTAGGATATCATGCTGGCGATCTTGCTGGGGACTCTATTCCAATCATCATGGGTCTCGAGAGACACAAGGTGACCATCGAAGATCTGAAAGCATTTGGTGCAGCCTTTGCTACCACCTCCAGTGCCCCGATGTTTCATATTGCAGGGATCACCATAGAAGCCCGCAGCGTAACTGACATCGAGGACCACCTAAGTGGGACTTCAAGAGTCACACTCACACGACCAGACCTCGCCAAACAATGGAATTGCTTTAACATCCACGAACAAGGCGAAGAATCCACCCCCCTCGATCTAATCTCTCTCGGCAACCCGCATCTTCTCATACGACGAAACCGCAAAACTAGCCCATCTCTGCGCAGGCCGGCCCAAGAGCGATACTACTCTGGTGGTGACATGCAGCCGCGACACATACAGCCGAGCATACCGAGACGGATATATGACGAGTCTAGAAGACTTCGGGGCTCTGGTTATGATAGATACGTGCTGGTACATGATCCAGGAACCGGTTATTCCACAGGATTCGCGGACTATCATGACGGAACTCGGCCAAGTATGCTCACTACAGGAGGGGGTGGACAGAGCAGCAGATGCGGTCTGGGGGACTTGCGCAATGTGTGGATACTGCGTGTTCGGGTTGGGTGTGGAATCGTCTTCCTGTTTGGCTTGACGGTCGTACATACGACGGGGTATGGAGAGCATAAACTAAATTTCAAGAAATGAGAAACATCCCCAAGTTCATGACAGGATGAGATAAGATTGAGGATGCATAAAAGATATAAGAAAGTATAAAATAAACGCCCCAGTTTTGCGCACACTGCTGTCGATTTGCTCTCTTCTTGAAGATGGCGACGGAGTGATTCCGGGGGTATACAGTGGATGATTACAGAGTCCCAATAACTTTGTTTTTCTACTATATGTAGATCTAGGATTCATGAGGTCTCGAATATTATATAAGTAGATTTTGATTGTCAAGAGAGATTAGTGAGCGTATTTGACTAACTTTTGGTTCACAGACTCGAATGCAACAGGCATAGTGCTCAAGCGTAGAGCTTTTTCTCATGGCTGTGCAAGCCATGGACATTGCCCTCAGTCTGCGCGCTGGCGCTTCTCATCTCAAAGCGAACCTGTCCGTTGTTCACCCCATCACGCAGGGCATCAAGACTCTGAACGCCGATATCCTGAAGAGAATGCTGCACCCCAGCCACAAGGTAAGGCACAAACTGAGTGATAGAACCACGATCAACAACCGAGCCCGCCACGCCCTGCGCAACCTTGATCTTGTCATTCTCAGAGAAGTATCGCGACGCGCCGGCGTTGCTGCCACTCTTGGTTTTGTCCTCCATCACGGCAACACTCCCCATACCCCGGTAGGCTTTGACCAACTGACCTTCATTGCTTACAAAGTAATCGCCCGGGGACTCGGTGGTTCCAGCAAGCAGGCTTCCCATCATCACCGTCGAGGCACCTAGTGCCAGCCCCTTCACGATATGGCCGAGGTTCTGGACGCCGCCATCCGCAATACAGGGCACGCCAAACCGCGCGGCAAAAGAAGACACACTGCGCACGGCTGCGGCCTGGGGACGACCGGCGGCCATAACCTCTTGCGTGATGCACGCGCTGCCACTGCCCATACCGATTCTCAGCCCATCGGCACCGGCAGCAATCAAGGCGGCAGCCTGCTCGCGGGTGACGATATTGCCACCGATAACGTCAATCTGGGGGAAGTTCTGCTTGATGTATTTGATCATCGCAATCTGGTACAGGCTATGTCCCTGGCTGCTGTCCACGACGACAATGTCCAGGCCCGCGTCGACGAGCTTCTGCAGCCGGATCTTATCGACCTCGTGGGTGCTCACGGCTGCCGCGCAAAGCAACTGCTTGGATTGGACCTTTGAGGCGAGCGGATAGTAGATGTTCTTCATCAGATCACTACGAGAGAGCAACGAAATCAGGGAGCCGTCTTGGTCGACGATCGGCAGTTTGCCCTTCTTCGAGCTCCGGAGTACCTCGTTGGCCTCGGCGAGAGTGGTCCCTGCCGGCGCAGTGACCAGCTCCGTCGACATTACAGCCGTGACTGGGTCGTCCAGCTGGTTATGGAACTGGATGTCTCGGCTGGTGACGATGCCGAGGAGCTTGGAATGAAGGGTTCCCTTTTCTGTGAACGAGGCACATCAAGGTAAGAATCATCCAACGAAAAGAAAAACAGGAACAGCTCAAAGAAGATTAAGGAGAGAGAAATAGAGGGCTCACCAGTCACGGGAAACCCTCCGAACCCCAATTTGGCCTTGAGCTGCTTTGCATCTGCGACCGTCGCCGTCGGAGACAGAACAGCAGGGTCGAGAATGAACCCATTTTCGTAGCGTTTCACCTTGCGCACCATCTCGGCCTGATCGTCCGCCGGGCAATTATTGTGGATGACGCCCAGACCACCCAGAAGAGCCATATGGATGGCCATATTATGTTCCGTCACGGTATCCATGGGCGAAGACAGGAGAGGTGCCTTGAGGGTGAACCGCCTGGTTACATGGGTCTCCAAGCTAACTTCCGAAGCCGGGAAAGCTGTTGGACGAGAGGCGAGGATTAGAAATGGCAATCAATCAATTAAAACAGATGCGATGGTTGATTGCCATACTGATCGAGCCGGGCAAAACAAGGAAGTCGTTGTAAGTCAAGGCACCATGCTTGTCCGAGTCGAGCAGGGTATCAACGTGGAGGCCATCTCCGGAGGAATACTCCTTGAGGATGTCCAGAGCCTTGGTATAATCCTGAATTTCGACCATCTTCGCGGGGAATCTGCAGGGCAATTGGGGAATGGGAAGAGGAATAGAAGTAAATCTCAGATGGACTCGTAGACGAGTTAACTAGTTAGTTAATTTAGAGGGAATGATGAGTCAAACTAGTCCGCACGTGTATAAACTGCAAACACAGTAATGTACAACTGGGGCGGTATAAGCCCCAAAACACAATAATGCACAGGGCGGTTGGGGCCAAAATTCTTTCGCCCAAAAACCCACTTTTAAGGCGTGGCATGTTGGTCCTGGTCCCGGGATAGAAATAGATCTTGTGATTTGAAATATATAAAACGAAGGAATATATACATAATCAAAATGTCACAGCTGTGCCATACTCCAAAATATGAGTTGGAGTTGCGAGATAGAACTCCCATTCTACAAAGCAACGACCATCGCCTCAGCAGGCCTCACCGATATATGCCTGTTACCACGACTCAAGCCTAGTATGCCCAGCGTAAGACCGGTGGAGCTATCCATGGATCCAGGTGGGTCAGAATAGTTCATAAAGACAAATATGGACTCAACCTGGGAAGTACACTATCGAGTATGAATTAGGGTTTTCAAGGCTCAAGGATGATCTGCTGAATCGCATAGATCATAGTTCTACTCCAAAATGTTTCATACTAAGATTGAGAAGCAAAGGCACCGTCAATTTCTACATGCTGATCCACAAGAACATCTGACGTACTTGATTTCCTCTAGCCTCAACACTTCCAAGTATTCGTGGTAGAATTAATTAGATCGTGATATCTGGAGTGCTTCAGTGCCAAACCCTCAGAAAGTCCAAGTGTGCCGACAATTGTATACAGATCCAGACCTACCATGCTGGAAGTCTCTGGCCACCCCATCCTTACAGACTATGGCCAAATGCGACTGGTCGAAGGATACGTGAACTGAGACTGGTGAATGGTTGATCTCTATCGTGCCCCGGAAGTTTTGCTGCAGCTGCCGTGGGGATTTCCAGTTGATTTATGGTCGATTAATGCCATGGTAAGTCGAGCATATAACCGTGGGCTAGCCTCGTCGACCCGGTAGACCACCTTCATGGTCAATATGGACTTCCACTGGCTTTGGCACAATATATCGGATATCTTGGCCCTCCTCCACTAAATCTCATTCAGCAGTTCCCTCTTCTCAACCTACTTTGATGCAGAGGGTACATCTCAAGTACCTTGTCTTTCTCGTTTTCAAAACCCGTTGCTCATTGAAAGCTATCACAGGGACTTGGATCTCCGCACCCCCGATACCAAAAACCTCTTTCGAGGACTTTGTCACAGCAATTCCAACAGGACAGGAGAAAGATCAATTCTTACGGTTCATACGGAAAATCTTGACCTGGGATCCGGAAGTGAGAGCCATGGCAAATGAAAATATACTCGGCGAATGGCTCATGAGACCGGCTGAAGAAACGCCGTAGGGAAGCTACCACGAGCCTAGTAGGTGTATTCGATGGGGATGATATCCTAGAAACTCTAGATATTTCTTGTCAATAGATTCTAGTGTCAGCCGCCAAGCTGAAAATATTGCTCTTTTTAGTCCATGTTATAGCCCTGTGACCGAGGCAAGCTCAGTAGGTACATCTGTAGTCACTTCCATTCTACTGTAGTTCGTCATATTGTCGAATTTGCTTTGTTTTTCTAGCTTGTTACATTTTTAATACTCTATTTCATGTTGATTGGCTGTCATATCTTCATATATATATCTTATCGTGTCTGCTGTCATGTCTTTTGTTATGGTTTTCTATTGGACTTGTTGGTATCCATGTCATGTCTAGACCCATGGGGGTAAGACAGGTAAAGCGAAGCTGGCCGTAGGTCTCGAGTCGCAGCTCTTCCCGATACTCTCATAAAACCGGGTATTGAATTGACGGCACCACTGGCAGCGCAATGCTCGTCATGACCCGATGTTCATCGAGACCCATGAAATCCCGGTCAGTGAAACCACCTCGCGTAGGAACCATGGGACTCGCCCTCAAACCCTCCGACCACGGTCAGACCTGAAGAAGATGGAGCTCTCGGTGAAACAGATTGTGTCCGGCAAGCGGGTCCGGTCTGGAATATGACTACCGCTTTGCCGAGGTCGAGAACCAGCGTGCAAGTAAACTGTGAGATAAGAGGCTTGGTCTGGTCCATTGCGTATCCACTTCACTCGCGACGTGGCTCCACTCGTCCAGGAGTAGTTCGGATACCTCGGGGATCGTCGCTGGCTTCGCCAAGCTTTGACCAAGCTTTGACCGGCAGAGCAGAGAGATCACTGTTGTTTTCGCGGAGGAAACTGGGATAGATGGAGGATCTAGAGACAAGATAAGCATTATTGGATAAGTGACGATCGACAACCAAAAAGCTTGCGAGAGATATCGAGAAATATCGACAAGAAATAGTAAGAGAGGGCAAATGCCAGTGCCAGGATGCCGCTCCTCGGGGTCAATGCGTTACGTCACTGTCCCCGCACTATTTATTCTTTGTCGACAACCCCCCTCTTCTGCTTCTAAACCCAACCCTCCCAATTGCAATCATGGTTCATCTCGCTGCTGTCAAGAAGGACGACGAGGTCGTCCATCCCTCCAGCCGCGTGGTTGACTCCATCGGCGCCCCGGACGAGAATGACTTCTACACTAATGTGTATGGTAGCCACTTCGCTGCGGACCACATGCTCCAGCATGAAATGCCCGAACGTGAGATGCCTCGTCAGATTGCTGCTCGTATGATCAAGGATGAGCTGAGTTTGGACGGCAATCCCAAGCTCAAGTAAGCTAGCTCTCTTGCTGGTCTGGACAAGCCACTGACGCTTTCACAGCCTGGCCAGTTTTGTGACGACGTACATGGTATGAAAAAGTGTCTACTGCAATGAAACATCAATGAGTGGACACTGATTGGATGGTATACTTCTAGGAAGACGAGATCGAGTCGATCATGACCGATTCCTTTAGCAAAAACTTCATCGACTACGAGGAGTACCCCCACTCCGCTGAGATCCAAAACCGCTGCATTAACATGATCGCTCGTTTGTTCAACTGTCCAACCGATAGCAGTGGCGAAAATGCCATGGGAACCTCGACCATTGGCTCCTCCGAAGCTATCATGCTGGGGACACTGGCCATGAAGAAGCGATGGCAGAACAAGCGCAAGGCCGAGGGCAAGGACTGGACCCGCCCCAACATTGTCATGAATAGTGCCGTCCAGGTCTGCTGGGAGAAGGCCGCTCGCTACTTCGACATCGAGGAGAAGTACGTCTACTGCACTAACACCCGCTATGTCATCGACCCCAAGCAGGCGGTCGATTTGGTGGATGAGAATACCATTGGTATCTGCGCCATCATTGGCACCACCTACACTGGTGAATATGAGGACGTCAAGGCGATCAATGACCTGCTGGTCGAACGGGGCATTGACTGCCCAATTCATGTTGACGCGGCCAGCGGTGGCTTTGTCGCCCCGTTTATCCAGCCCGACCTGGCGTGGGATTTCCGTCTGGAGAAGGTGGCGTCGATCAATGTGTCGGGTCACAAGTATGGGTTGGTTTACCCCGGCGTGGGCTGGGTTATCTGGCGGTCTCCGGAGTATTTGCCGCAGGAACTGGTGTTCAACATCAATTACCTGGGCGCCGACCAGGCCAGTTTCACGCTCAACTTCTCCAAGGGTGCATCGCATGTCATTGGCCAATATTATCAGCTGATTCGTCTGGGCAAGCACGGTTACCGGTCCATCATGGTGAATTTGACCCGGATTGCCGACTACATGGCGGACCAGCTGCAACAGCTGAGCATGATCCTTTTGAGCCAGACTAAGGGCCGTGGCCTGCCGCTCGTGGCCTTCCGCCTTCCCCCAAATCCCGACCGTGTATTCGATGAGTTTGCGCTCGCCCACCAGCTGCGGGAGCGTGGCTGGATTGTGCCGGCATACACCATGGCACCGCACAGCGAAAAGCTGCAGCTGATGCGTATTGTCGTCCGCGAGGACTTTAGCATGAACCGCTGCGACAGCTTGCTGCAGGACATCAAACTGGCTCTGCAGACGCTCGAGTCTATGGATGAAGCCATGATGGTCAAGTACAAGGCGTAAGTCGTTGGAAAAGCCCAACCAGAGGGGCTTTATTTTGGGCATACTGACTCGATCATTAGGCATATGCATAGTCAACGAGCTCACCCGCGACACCATCGCCAGTCGCATCCGCACTACAAGAACGAAACGCACTCGCTACAGGGCCAGACGGGTAAGACTCACGGCGTCTGTTAAGTGTGGTGCTAGTGAGTCAAGACATGTTTTGCAGTTACAGCGGGAGAAAATCCTGAGGTCCACCCTCGTTTCAAATCGGTCGCCTCCCCCTGTATGTACCTGTAAATAGATTCGGTAGTCATGACTCCATCACCAACATCCCACATCCCACCCCCGTATATCTCCCATATTCTTCTATTCTTCTATTCCATCAAACCCTCCATTATGTGGCGCGTTTGTTTACGGGATTTATATATAGAACAGCCGCCCACCAATCACCGGTGGGCGATCGCGCTCCACCGTTCAGCCTGCACTCCTTCGTCTGCGGGCGGCTTCGTGTTCTCGACACCAACCAGCAGTGATGCCCCTCTTCAGCAAGAAGTCCAAGGCTCCCCCGGCTTCTTCTACTCCAGCAACCTCACAGCCTGTCTACCTCCCTGTGCGTTCTGCCGAGAACCTGCTCCACCCCGCGCTTGCTCCACCGGACCCCAACGCCCCCATCCAAGACAACTCATACGGGCGCCGCCTGTCCGACTACCGTTTTGTCTACGACGACCCGCCCCTTGGCCCTGTCCTTCCTCAGCAACAGCCTCCACCTGAGCAGCCCTCATCCTTGAGCCGCTCTTTCAGCCAGCGTCAATCTCGTTCGCAGCGCGACCGCCCTACTAACAACCCCGTGGCCCCTGAGGAGGATCTGCAACCTCGCCGCCTAAAGAAAAAAAGCCTTTTTGTGCGGCCATCCTCCGGCATCCTCGAGCGCAGCATTTCCGTCAAGGGCAAGTCGATCTCTCATCCTCTCTCCCAGCCAGGATCTCCCCGGCTGCCGCAATCTGTGTCGCTACCGACGACGGAGGAACACCCGTTGCCTGGCCCGCAGCCTCACGAGGAGGGAAATTATCCGGCCTTAGTGCAGCCCTATGAGCCGCGCTCGACCTCTCTTGCCTATCAGCAGCAGCATCAACAGATCCAGCGAGATCAGCAGTTAACACACCCGGCCCACCGTACCGAGAACCAGGAGTGGGCCCAGCAACAGCCCATTCAGCCTCCAAACCCGGACCAAACGCGGCGGCCGCCCCCTCCCCTACAGCTCCAGCGATCCAACACCGACCAGTCGCGTCCATCGCCGACCGACTCGGCTGCCGAATCGCCGCGACCTGACCCGGACCAGGTTCCTCGGGGACAGCCTCAGCCTCATCCTCTGGCCCAGGATCCGGTATTGAACTCCCGGCCCTCTTCCCGGCAGACTTCCGAGCCGCTTTCCCCGTTGAATTCCCAAACTCATCCTGACGCCATGCAGCACGCTCCGGCGCAGGCACCCCCGCAGGCTCAGGGCCAACCCCAGCAGCCAACTGAACGGCAATCCGGCCCTCCCCCGCAAGACTCTAGTCGGCGGGGCAGTGCATCCCAAGGCATGCCGGACCAAGGACGGAGCACCCCTACAGGCGGGAACCGGGCTCGTGAGGAGTCCGGGGACACCGACATTCGGGCATTGATTCAGAAACATGATGAACTCCGTACGTTGTGACTTGTTTCATATAATGGAGAATATCCTACATACTAACAATCCGCTGCAGAAGCCAAGTACTCCAAGGTCAAGCGCTACTATTTTGAGAAAGACGCGCAAGTTCAGCACCTCCAGAACACCGTGGCACACCAGCGCATGGCAGTGTCTCGCACGGTCCTCGATGATAATGAGTACACCAACCGATTCCAGCGACTGGATGGAGCGATCAAGGATCTGGCCTTTTCGGTCCGCAAGGAATGGCGCGGCATCCCGCCGTGGCTCCACGGCCAGGTGACGGATGACGCCGTGTCGGTTGGCACCAAGGAGATGACCGCCGTGGGACGGGCGATCATTAGTCGGTGGCTGGTCGACGAGATCTTCCACCGACACTTCCACCCGGCGTTGGAGCCCCACTTCAGCATGCAGCTGAAAAGCATCGAGATGAACCTGCGCCGGCAGCAAGCGCGGCCGGCGACCGACGAGGATCGCGACAACGCCGCCGTGCGGCTCTCCAACTGGCGCCGCACGACCTTTGACGGGCTGGGTGATATTCTGATCGGCCCGGCCGCCGAGGAACACCGCGCCGAGCTGATCGAGCATCTCAGCGCCGAGCTGGCCTCCTTCATGGGCTCCCAGCTGCACGAGCCCGCCCTTGCCGGCCTGGAAGCTGGCGTGCGCATGATCATTGAGAATTCGATCAACATCGCCGAGAAGATCCCGCTGGAGGCGCGCGACGTCTGCGTCGAGTACTTCCCACCCAACATCCAGTTGGCCGACCTCTATATGAAGGTCGAGGGCGGCTTGCCACCTCTCAATCACCCGCTCGTGGGCCCGGGCGACCACGAGGCCGAGGAGCCGCCGACGACCGAGGGTGACTCCTCTTCTGGCTCGAACTCTGGCCCTGGAGAAGGCCAGCCCCGAGCCAAGAAGTCTGTCTTTGGTGCACTGATGGGCCGCAAGTCGGCACCCGAAGCCAATCGTCCGGCAGCCGGAAACTCGCCCGACGACAAGGCTGATCTCCCAGAGTCTGCCCCGGCCCCAACTCGGATTCGATTTGCATCGTTCCTTGCCGTCGAGGTGCGCGGCAAGGCTCCCTCCACCGTGCTGATCAAGGCGCCGGTGTGGCTTGAATAGAGAGAACCCTAAAAGGGCGAGATTGGTGCCCCAGAGGCGTGAGGTGTACATACCTGACACATGCTGACACGGCGATGACGGTCACGATTCATAATATCTTTTTGATATCCCCATGCGTTTAGTCGTTTTGCGATGGCAGGAAGCAGGTTGATTTGGGGGAGGCTGAATTTTTTTTCTTTGTTTCTTTTTTTTTTTTTTTTTTTTTGCCTCATTTTGTGCTTTGCTTCTTTGTGGCCACACAATCTTAGATTACGACACTCATGTCTCGAGTTGCAAACATCGATTGATCTACTGTACAGACTCTGGACAAATTGAATTAATCCCTGTCAACCAGGAACTCGCCCCTTCCACCTAGACAGAGAAGTCATGCCCATTTTCAATTCTTTGTTATGGGATTTCAATCACAACGGCGGCGGCGCCAAATCCAAACCCTCAACACTCAGCTTGAATGCATCGCTCCGCGAATAGCTCCCCGCAACATCGAGATCCAGCCGACCGCGCTCACAGTCATCCAGATCGATCTGCGAGATCGCCAGCCCATCGCCGGCCGCAGCGTCGACGCCAGGCCCGGAGGTAGTGGGCACGGCAGCGTCTTCGCTGTCGGGCGTGTCATCGGTGCAGACTTCCCACAACGGACCGGCGAGCACCTCGCCCAGCGGTGAGACAATGCAGCTGCCGCCACGGCAGATATAGTCTGCGTCGCAGGATTGGGTCGTGGGCAGCGATCTAGCAGAAGCAGCAGCAGCAGCAACAGCACCCTTGGTGTCAGGCTGGCCCTGCGGCCAAACAATCTCATGCGGGCCCTCGGCCGTGATGGAGGATTTGCGGGCTGGCTGGGAAGGGCTCTGTTGTGTGTAGGGAGACGTCGAAGTAGACGGTGCTGCCGCTGCTGATGATGGTCCTTCCTCGCCTGTGATCCAGTCCGGCAACTCGGACGACCGCACGCACTGGTTCGCCGACAGCACGAAGCAGCGGCCCTCGGCGCCGACGGTGCGCATCAGCGGCAGCCAGGTGTCGCGGGCGTCGGCTGTCGGGGCGAGGTAGAGGTTGACGTTCTGCGAGTACAGGCTCTGGCGCAGCAGCGGCATGTAGTTCTCCCAGCAGATGGCCGAGCCAATGGTCAGCGGGATGTTGTTCAGGGTGGTGGTGACGGCGCGCAGGGTGGACGCGGAGCCTTGGGCCCAGATCATGCGCTCGGCGCCGGTCTGAGAGATTAGCAATGGCATCGAATACAGCTGGAAGTATACATTGCATGTCGAGAGGAAAACTCACCGGCATAACCTTCCTCCTCTTCCCCAACATCCCCCTCACAGGATCAACATAAACAACAGCACAATAAAGACTACCCCCCGCACGCTCCACAAGCCCCGTAACCACAAAAACACCCGTCTCCTTCGCCACCCGCTCCAGGAACTCGCGCGTGCCGTCCCCGCGATGCGGCCGCCCCGCCGCAACCTCCAGCCGGCGCTGCACCCAGTCATCGCCCGCGCCCGCCGGCGTGTCGCCCAGATCAACGGCGGCCTTGAAATACGCCAGGAACTGGTCGCGGCCGCGCGGGTGCCGGCTGCCGACGGCGGCGCCGAACGCGCAGGTCCGTGGGTATCCGCCCAGATAGGCTTCGGGAAAGAGGACGAGGTGCACGCCGCGCCGGGCGGCGACGGCGGTTGTGCGTTCGAGGGCAGCGAGGGTTGCGGGGAGAGTTGCGTGCGTGCGGGATTGGGCGACTGCCACTGTGAGGGAGGGCATTTTCTTTTCTTTTCTCTTCTTTTTGACTTTTCTTAGCTCTGGGTCACGGGGTAGCTTTCAGATGTAAAGCTTGGCTGATGAGATAGGTCTTTAGAGGTGGTGAGAGGACATAGAATGAGGTATGGAGGTATGGAGTCGTCACTTGCGGGGCAGATCCCGGGCGGGATCTCGGCATTTATATGCACTCGGCGTGTGCTTGGACGTAGATCAAGTACTAGAGGTACTTTTATACTGCTTTAAATGCTGAGAACTCTGTGCTTGTATTGATCCCTGCAAATGTACGATGAAGACATTGCCATCATGACATCATCTATACCACCTACTCATCTAAGAGTATATCTCAAGTAGACAGCTTGTATCTCAAATCTGGAATCTACAATCATCAACCCAGTGTGAAATAGATATGCACCTCTCAGTCTGATTGTATCTACCAAGATAAATCCAATGTACAGGGCGACGGCCCAACCCGGGACAGAACACACAGCTATGTACACAAAAAAAACCAGGATGCAAATTGGGGCAGAAAAGAAACTCCCGGGTATAGCGCCTCGCTATGAGATAGAAATTGTGAAAGCCCGCAAAATAAACACCCGAAAATGGAAAAATGCTGCAATATGGACGAGAAAAGAATGAAATGCTCCAACGCAGCATGCAATCATCGTAAATCAGAAGTCGGGGAAGGGCGTGGCCAAAAAGAAAAAAAGAGTGACAAATGACGTGTGCCCTTCTTTTCGTCTTTCTTCTGTTTTGTTCAAAGATCGGTCAGATCTGGGTATTATTTAAGTCGAGAGGCCATTGGCAGTGGCGGCTTGCTGCAGCACACGCGGCCAGCGCGAGATGAGCTCGACGTCGTCCAGGACCCCCTTGCCCTGGTTGCGCACGTATTGGGTGCTCGGGTCGACGCGCGGCTCGTAGTCCCAGATGGATGGGGTGCCCTGGATCAGAGCCGAGTAGACGAGGCGGCGGCGGCGCTGCGAGCGCAGCACGTCCTGGCGGATCGCCTCCAGGTCCCAGCGGGCACTGGCCTCTTCCAGGAAGTAGGCCAGTATCTTGGCCGGATCAGCGGTGTCCGGCAGCGCAGGCGGGAGCTTGGCGGGGCTCGGGGTGCGCGGCGGTGTGGGCGACGGGAACGGGAACGAGGCCTGCGCGGCACGTTGCGGCACGGGCGATGCGCGCGGCGTGTCGCTGGGCGTGGGGAGGTTGGGTTCCGCAGCGAGCGCCGAGGCGGGTTTGATAGGTGCGGCGCGGCCAGGCACCGGGAGGTCGGCGGCCAAGTTCGTCTTCTCCTCGGGATCGGCCGCCAGGTTAAACAGCATAGGCGGGTCAATGGCGGAGTGCACGAATTTCCAGGGGCCCCGACGGATCATCACAACCGGGGCCTGCGTGCCCTCACCCATGTATTCGCCGTACACGGTGTCGGTCCGGGGACCTTCGCCACCAGTCAGGTAGGGGACCAGGGAAACACCGTCCAAGGGCAGCTCCGGGATGAGCGGCGCACCGGCCAGCTGAGCAAAGGTCGGCAGAAGGTCCATAGTCGAGACGTTCTCGGGCACGCGCTGGGCGGCGAAATGCTTGGGGGCGTGGAAAATCATAGGCACGCGGGCCGAGTTCTCAAACCAGGTCATCTTGTACCACAGACCGCGCTCGCCGAGCATGTCACCGTGGTCACCGGTGAACACGATGATGGTGTCGTCGGCCAGGCCGGTGTTCTCGAGAACGCGTAGCAATTTACCAACATTGGTGTCGACGTAGGTGCAGGCGGCATAGTATGCGCGGCGCGCGGCGCGGATGCGCTCGTCCGGCATCTCCTTGCCGAACAAGTCAATGCACTTGAGCACACGCTGCGAGTGCGCGTCCTGCTGGTCGTGCGGAATCGCCGGATTCTTGGGCAGCGGGATGTCGACGTTCTCGTACAGATCCCAGAACTCCTTGGTCATGGCGTAGGGGTCATGCGGGTGCGTCATGGACACCGTCAAACAAAACGGCTGCTCAGTGCGCTGCCGCACATGGTCGTACAGGTACTGGGTCGACTTGTAGATCACCTCCTCGTCGAAGTCCAGCTGGTTCGTGCGCACCACGGGGCCCGCCTCCATGACCGAGGACATGTTGTGGTACCAATCGGCGCGAATTTCCTGAAACAATGAGTATGAGTGTTATATACAATTGACGGGGAGAAAGAGAAAGAACCTACCGGCTCGTCCCAGTTGACCGACCAGCCGTAGTCTCCGGGATAGATGTCGCTCGTCAGACGCTGTTCATAGCCGTGCAGCTGGTCAGGCCCACAGAAGTGCATCTTGCCAGCCAGGGCTGTGTGGTAGCCCTCGCGGCGCAAGTAATGCGCATAGGTCGGAGTGTCGGCAGGCAGATCAGCGGCATTATCATAGGCCCCGATCTTGGAGGGCAGCTGGCCGCTGACCATGACGAAGCGCGACGGCGCACACAGTGGAGAGTTGCAGTAGGCCGAGTCAAAGACCACACCACCCTCGGCCAGACGGTCCAGGTTGGGAGTCTTGATGCGCGAGTCCTTGTTGTGCAGTGACAACAAGGGGGCCGCCATCTGGTCAGCCATGATGTAGAGGATGTTAGGCTTCTTGGTCGCCATGATGGGTTGGGTGGGGGACCTTGGAGAGTTGGGAAGAGAAAGGGAAGAAGAGATGGTTCCAAGGTTGAAACGAATCGGCCATGCGACAGGCGGGCGAGGGTTCATATAAGGCGAGAAGGGGGGGGGGGATATGTGGGGAACTTCAAAAAAAAAAAGGCCAAGACGAACCAACATCGCACCAGGATGTAATTTTACACTTTACAACTGGTATACATTACAAACAGCGTCGATCCCGGCTGATTCACCCACTGGCAAATTGCATGAAGAATGCAAATTTTCATTCTTACGCATCAGATAAGTCGATTAGTCGACAGTAGCTCACCCGCACTGCATGGGCGATCAGGGGATGATCCGGCAGTGACGTAGGCAATGGGACCATTCGGGGCAACGATGGTGTGATTGCGGAGGAACCCGATCTGTGGATTCTCGGCATTCGTGTGCTTGGATCCTTACATACCGAATACACAAAGGGTGAGTAAGAAGTCATGAGATCGGATTTACTAGCCCATGTCGAGTCTTGTCCAATGAGGACGGGATTGGGGAGTTTCGAGCAGGACTGTGTTACTTGCTTCAGGCACTCGATGCGGCGCCACCGAGGTTGCACTGCATGATCTGTGATCTAAGATATAGACATAGTATTATTGTTGTTGTTGCTGTTACTACTACCGCTACTACTACTACTACTACTACTACTACTACTACTAGTAGGATCGTTCTATCTTAAGATTAATATCTATGCATATTATCTACATAGCCGAGCGATCTATATCCTACTTACAGAGCATGTAATGGCAATTGAAAAATACAAAAATACCGGTAATACCGGGCAAGGGGCGTGCAGCACTAAGCAGCCACCCCACTTGCTTATCTCGACGCCCAATCACCGCGGGCTCGTCTACAATCAAGCGAGATATTCCTGCGAATTCTGCTGATCACACGACTGCCACATCCTGCGATACTGGACACGGCTATATTTTTATATGGTGATCACAAAATAGATGGGAAGAGACCTCTACAGTTCATTCTCAAAAAATGGATCTCCAAAATCGTGACAGGTTTCCACCCACCCGCAATGAAGCAATCTCCCTTTCCGAGCACGCCATTCAAGGCGGTCTGTCCCCGGATCTGGGGGGATTGGGTCACCGCCGTTTCTTAGCGATGTTTCATGTCACTGTACTATAGAATACTCGGATTCGTGGTGTTCAGTGTACTGGATCCCGGGGAATCGCCACTTGCACGGACAATATGCTCGGGCCTGGATTGTTTCACCCGATGCAGAAGGATGTCGATCTGCCAATTCGAGTGTTACATATCTTCCACCTTTCTAGTCTGGTGCGTATGTATCCTTTCGGTGTAAAATAGAACCCCTGTTCACAAGGTCATGAGTTCATCCAGAACAGGGCATAGGGAGCGACCCGCTACACGCCAGAAGAACAGTTCAATCGGCCTGAATGATCATTGCAACGAAGAATGAGATATTGTGACATTCGAACAAATTCTGCGGAAAATGGCAAAAAAAGAAGAAAAAAAAAAGCAAAAACAACAACACAAATTCCCCGATTCCCCCGCCGATCCCCCTTCACCATGCATCCGTCACAGGCTGCCGATACCCACACCAATCCACAGGCCACCCAGGCGCAGACCATTCAGACTCAGGCCACTTGGACACACGCCATTCAGGCGCAGACCACTCCTCCGCTGGCTTCTCCTCTACAGGCCACACCTCAACAGACCGCACCTCCGTGGGCTTCTCCACAATCCACTCCGATGGAGGCCACTCAACACCCGCGGGCTTCGGCACCGGTACCGGGGCAGGGACCGGCTCAGGCTCCGACACGTAGTCGTAGTTGACCACGTACCAGTGCGCCAGGTCCCGACAGGCCGTCGCATCCTCCAAACTGTCATGGCCCTGACCCTGCTGGATCTTACGGTTGAGACGCGCCTCTGCCAGGTTCCTGAGGCGCGGCCGGACATGACCGTCCGGACGCAGTTTCTCAACCCGGCACGTGTCCAGGACACGACGATGCATCCACCGCAGAGCCAGCATGTCGGAGCTGCCCCCGTGCGCGACCACAATGGTCTCAGGGCTGGCATACTGCCACAGTTTTTCGAGGGCTTTGTGACGTCCGTTGATGCAGTTGCCCTTATTGCGAGCACCGCGCAGCATACCCCAGGTGATGCCAGACCAGCTGGTGTTGGGGTGCAGCAAGGGCACCTTGGGCCAGACCAAAGAATCCACGAGGATTTCGCCCGTGAAGAAGTCGATGGCGCTCAAGCGGATCAATTCGTGATCACCGGTCATGGAAATGCCCATCTCGCAGTCGAGAGCGATGGCCTTGCGTTTGAGGGAGGACTTGGCCTCGGGGGTCGGGTAGAGCGTCCACAAAGGTCGGAGATAAGGGATGTGGACGTCGCTCTCGTGTCCGTCCCGCGTCCTGCAGCCGCTACTGGGTGCTGACCTCTTGCAGCAGCCCCAAGACTACGGTCTTGTTAGCCGCCAGGTCCAAGAATGTTTCATGGAATGAGAGCAGAGGTGTGTGACTTACATTGCCCTTCAACTTTCCAGGGTGCTCGTCGCAGCTCGAGAGCTTTCTCTTGCCGCGCATCTCATTGACAAGGTCATAAAAATCGTCCTCGAGGCTGTCGTACATGTGGCGCTGTGGCCCTGTCCCTGGTAGCTGGTGGATCAGGCAGCTAGGAACCACACCTGCCAGGAAGAAGAAAAGAAAGCATCAGCAAAAGTCATCAACAGCCATGTCCCAAAAGAAACTTACGGCGACAGTTCATGCATCGGCGCTTTTCCAACAGCTCGTAATCATCGAACTGTCGAAGATGGTACCCATGCTGGGGCATCTCCTCCTCCGGGACCACGAGCTTGCCAAGGGTCTCAAGGTACTCAGTGGTCAGTGGGATGGAGGTAAGACGAGGTTGCTGAGGAGTCGGTGGATTTTGTTGATGCCAGAACTGAGGGGGGGTCTTTTGATACCCTTTCGGAGACATCCTGAAGAAAAGGAGTGGGTCCACGACAAACGATGTCCAGAAAGAATGATGCAAGCGGAGGAGTCAAAGAAGAGACAAAGATTTGATGCACAAACGGATCTCTTGAGGTGATCGTGAGTATGTATGGGTTGAACTGAACTTTGAGGTGAAATGTCAACGTCTCAAAGTGATCGTAAGTTTGTCTGGGTTCGTGTCCGAAGATTAGAGTGAAATGAGAATATCACCAGGTGATGATGTTTCAAGAAACGGAAGAGTTGAGTTCTCGGACGAGACCAGGTAAATAAGAAGTGTAGAATGAAGTCACAAAGTCCAGTGTGTGATAGAGAAGACTGAACAAAGGAGTGAGAAGGGTTGTGAAATGATGAGGATGAAAAGATGAAAGTAGGAGTCGAGGAACTAAAGAAGTGAAAATGGAAAGAGAAAAAAAGGCAAGGCTTTAAGGTCGAGGGGGCGGCTGGGGAGAATGAACAATAGAGTTAAGGTTGAATAGGAAGGCGGCTGGAAGGGGGTGAACAATAGAGTTGAGGTGGAAGAGCGGCTTGAATAGAGGAAACAATAGTCGAGGTCAGAAAGGCGGCTGGGATTAAAGGCAAGAAGTCAACAAACAAGGTAACTAGGAGACCAGCGAGTATGGCTGGGGAACAGCATTGCATTGTAGTTCGCTTAACGGCTACAGTAGAATACACAGCTCGGCGCCAGACCTAAAAGTGACAGGAAGGACTACAGGAAAGACTGTCAGTCGTCGAACTATCGAACCGGAGCTTGCTTGTCTCAACCTGATTGGAATGCCGGCTAATAGAGCAGAAATAAAATCCTGAGCATAGACCAATCATGCAGAAGGTGGAAATAGATCAAAATAAGCTATAACATGGAGAGCGCTAAGGCTTATCAGATCAAGACATACAAAATGCGGAGAGAATGGCGTCATCGATGGATTTAATCAACTTTGATCCCACTACACCCATCAACTCGTTAGCTTTGCATATCTGGACACAGCGAGAAGACCCAAAAAAAGACTCACCCATATACGCGCCGGACAAAGGCGTATGCGGCCAGGAACCCAACAGTACCCGTCAACAGTCCATACACGACACAGGCGAGGAGGCTGTAACTAAAGAACAGGAAACTCGACACAAAGCCGGTGACATGGAGCTTGAACAGATAGAACCAGACGCAGTAGGCAAAAATCCAAAATGCGCTGCTGCTTCCGGCCAGGAAGCTCTGCCACCACCAGTTATAATTCTAGGGAGGTTAGCTCGGGACTCTCTGGGCTTGTATGCATCCAAGCCTCGATGGGGCGGTCTTACCTCGGAGCAAAGTTGGTTGTAGGTTGCAATGACAGTCACCTCGATGACCGTGATGATCAGCACCACTGAGACGACGCTCAGGAATCCGAACACGTAGTAGTAGCCACTCTTGTCCTGCCAAAGGTTCTTGAACACATACAGGAGCTCAATGAACAACACAGCAAATGGGACCAGACCAGTCAAGAGAGGGCCAAGAGGGCTGCGGAGATACCACGGCTGTGGCGGAATTTGGCGAGCGATCGAGTTGGTTTTCAACGGATGCTCCCACGGCGTCGCTCGCACAAACCCAAACCAACTACCAATATAGACAAGCGGGACTTGAATGAGGAGCCAGAGCGCGAGAAGACCGATCAATGTGCCGAACGGGATGGCCGTGCTAGATGCTTGGGCCCACACGAACAAATTCAAGATCAACACAAGGAAAAAAGCAAGCCCTGGGAAAAGAAAGGCCGTCTGGGACCCATGTCAGCACCAAGTAGTGGAAACGAGTAGAATATGGAACTCACAACGAGGGTGTTTGTCCGCCAGGCCGTCCCGCCAAAGGTCTTGTAAAGTCTCCCAGAAAAGTAACCGGAGAAAAGACCAGCGAAGACAAAGAGACCCATGCCAACGCTGACAAAACCGCCACGAAAGCTAGGGTTCAAGACTCCAAGGCAACTGAGCAGGAGGAGTCCTGTGACCATGAAGAACAGCTGCATTCCCGAGCCCACCAATGGAGCCAGAAAGCCACTGTAGGCAGGGATCCGGAAGACATCCCCATGGAGGAGTTTCCAGCCGCTAGTGTCCTCGACAGCCTCCTCATCAGATGAAATGTCTCCACCCTCCACATCTGCATCTTGGTCCAGCAGCCCTTCTCCACTCTTGTCTCCAGACTTGCCGCTCTTCTGACGGGACTTGGTCTTGAGTTTTTGGTCTTCCATAGCTCCATCGCCCCGGCCCTTGATATCGCCTTGAACTGTGCGACTCCAGATCACAAAAACAGTGACTCCCAACACAGTGCAAATAGTCAGCGAGTTGATAATCGCCAGCCAGTGGGTCATGGAGCCCTCTGCCTGGTTATTGAAGTATAGATCCCATCGGTTGGCCCATTCAATCTTGGGCTCCTCGCGGAAATAGATCGAATAGGTGTAGGGGACTTTGAGTTTAGCCCCGTCGTCATCGTCGTCATCGTCCTCCGGGATGTAGGAAAGCCCCTTGTACTTCTCCTGGATCCGCGACATGTCAGGCGCAATGTATAGCCCCAGCCCCTCCTGTTCTTTGTGGACGTCTTTGGGGCAACCATCCTGGTTGCGGTCCTCGGCAGCGATACTCTTCGGATACACCTCGAATCCAACAATCACCTTGCCTCCCTCCGGCATACCCCGCCAGCGGATCACGATCGTGAAGTGATTGTTGATGAAGTACCGTGGTCGACCGGAGGCAGGGGAGATATCCCTGTAACCGAGCTTGAACCCAGAGGCGTAATACTTGCGCCTTCGGTCGACTGTCACAAAGCTGGTGGCTCCGGGCAGGTTGTCCGCAATCCACTCGATCACATATCCGTCTTTGATGAGATGGCGCGCCCATTTCACATCCGAGCGACTGACTTCACGCGTGCAGAGGGGCCGACATTCGACATCCTTCCCCATTGCAAGCTCGAAATCAGAGGTCATGATGCGATCCCCACGCAGCACTTCTCCCAGATTCAGCGAAATACTCTGGCCAGATCCGAAGGGTGAGCCGCCATGCGCCCGGCCGCTCGGGGGGCAAACGAAGGGGAGGTCGTAGTAGGCATATTGCAGTTGCGTCTGGTCGGAGAAGATCTTGTTCACGAGTAGGGGGATGGGGTCGTTGTCATTATATCGAGTGATGGAGTAACCTGATTTCCAAAAGAGCCACGAGTCAGTGCCACAGGCGCAGACTGGCCATCTTATACCGCGGAGGCCTTACCAGGTATATAAAACGCCCAGACATAGGAAACAAACAGCAACATCCATGGCACCCATGTACCAGGATTCAATCGGCCCAAGGCCATTTTATATGTCGTAGAGAATGACTTGCTCTTGCCGGTTCAACCGGAGGAAATAGACAGTGTCCGAGCAAGCATGTACCCAAGTTGGTGGCGACAGTGATCGTCTGTGAAGATCGGTCAAGGGGATCTGGTTACGTCAAGCGACCGCCTTGACCTGGACCGGGCGAGTCCTTGCCCGAATGCTATCGCCAGAGTACAATGTATACGTAGGTCGACGATGGACGCGAGAGGAAATATGCGCGCAGAAAGGCTGGCAGTTCGGGGGACTCCCTGATCGCCAGGGATCGACTGGGTGGATACAGATCACGGGGACAGGAAGAACGTGGTGTTAACGAGCGTAATCGGCACCGAATGCCACGATGAGCTGACAAGTGTCGAAGAAAGTCTTAAGGGATGAACTCGAAGAGAAGCTTCCCTGGCGCTGAGTTCCAGCATATCAAACGGATTAGCTAATTTCCGGCATGAAGCCAGCAAAGCATCCCGAGGATATTAATTACCATACCCCAATAACATCAGATGCTGTGAATATTCACCTTCCATGAACTATTTCTACGCTAAAGAGTCTTCAAAGGGCTGGTCGCGAAACTCATTAAGTTCCCGTATCCTATGATCCATCCGTACACGAGGATGTAAGTGGATGTATATCTGCCAGGATGGGCCCAAGAGACGCCAAGCACTGGGGAATGAGGAGGTAGATATCCAGATCGCCAGAGCCAATCATTCACACAGCTACTAGAAGAAGAAAACATGCTGATATCTGTATACAACTTGAAGGCATGAATTGAAAATGTCGAGAGGCCGTTTATATCGGGAATCAACAATGCCTACTTCGAGGTAGGTATGAAAAACGAAAAGTGGCAAGTCATGAGCATTGAGCAGGCCGTGCGCTACCTTGAAAAATAAAAGACCATTGAGTACATCGTGTTGAAAAGAAAAAGGAAGAAGAAAAAGACACAAATGGCTGGTATTGGGGGATGCCATCTCATGATGGGTGGCTCAGAAGATATTCCACCGCACCTTGCACACTGCCCCCTGCCCGACGCAGCGCCTCGATGTTGCGTTCAAACTCATAGAACCCCATATCATTCAACTGTCGGAGCTGTTCAGCATATCTCTCTTCCGGAGGGCGGTTATCTGGCGGCTGAGGACTGCCAAAACCGCCTCCGCCAAACAAAGAGGCCAGATTACCCATGTCTGGACCCCCGCCTGCCGGACCTTGTCCTCCTCCCATTGCTTGCATCATTCGTGAGAGCATCGCAGGGTCGTTCAGGAACGGATTCTGCTGGGGGTTAAATGGGTTGATCCCCGCCTGGCCACCTCCGTTATTGCCGAAGAGAGCCGGGTTGAATAGGGAAGCAAAAGGGTTGGCTGTAGCTTGTGGATTCTGTCCTTCTCCAGCGGGAGATCGATCTGTATCGGTCTCTGCGGCACCTGGAGTGCCTTCGGGTTGATTGGCGCCTGCACCAGGGGTGGCGGATGGAGGCTGGGCGAGGTTTGCGAAGCCGTTCCCCCCGAAAAGGGCCGCGAAGGGATTTCCAGCTGGACCCTGCGGCATTTGGCCAAATGGGTTGGCAGGGGTATTCTGCTGTTGTGTGTTCTGGGTTTCCTCGGTGGTATTGGTGACGCCGGGCGCCGGGAATGCGCTATCGCCACCAAGCCCGCCTCCACCCATCCCCATTGCTCGTTGCATTTGCATCATTTGCCGAATCGAGCTCGGGTCGGTCAACATACGCCGAAACTCAGGGCTCTGCATCATCTGTCGCACGCCGGGGCCCATGTCCCGAAGCATAGGGTTCTGTTGGATCATCATGTCGATCATGGCGGGGTTTTGCAGGGCCTCATTGATGGTCGATTGAAATTGAGGGTTCTCGAGCATGTTCAGCATCGTCTCGGTATCTGGCGGAGGGCCCATCTATATGATGAAACAGAGTTAGTATTCCATCATTGAGTGGTGGCTGGGGAAAGCCGCAACGTCTACTAAAGCCCACTTACCCCACCATCAGGACCAAAGAGGCCAGCCCCAGGAAGCTGGGCAAAGCCGGCATATCGCGCACCAGTCAGACCCGCCAGGGGATTGTTGCCCGTTCCTGCAGCGAGGTTGGTAGGGACACCCGCAGCGGGTTGACTCGTCGATCCGGCGGGGGCGGCGGAAATAGTCGGTTGAGCAGCTGTATTCTGACGCTGTTGGTTGCTTGCGGCACTCTTCACCAGATGAATGGTGTGGCCATCCTTGATCTTGTAGGTCTCTAGCGTCTCATTATCCTTGAGAACTCGACCGGAATAGATCAGGCGCTGACGTTCTGCCGGGGTATCGGCGTATTCGGCACTTGAGAGCCTCTGCTTGAGATCCGAGACGGAAGTGGAAATTGGAAGGGTCAAAGTAAATTTAGCATCAGTAGATGACTTGACCGTGAAGGTAATCGAGGTATCCTCGGCAACACCTGTTTCATCGGCCATGGTTGGAGTAGAGGTTGATTGACGTTGGAGACGTTAGGAGGTGGGGAGAATCGGGTGTGAGGTTAAAAGGAAATCGAAAAGAAGGTGGGTCACCACGTAGGGAAAAATGACGCCCAAGAAACCTTCCCAGCTCAGAACGACGAAAGTGACAAGTGAGGCACAAGAGAGGTGAATGGAGTCAGCAAGTTGCCATTGCTCGATCTATGCCCGTTACCTAACGGCGATTACAGAAGGCGGTCGAAACCCATCGTCGGGGCACGTGACACGCAAACAGACCAAACATGTGCGCACTGGAATTTTACAACTTCTCCAACCTCGGAGCGTCGCGTCTGCTGTACACCATTCACCCGCGACCATTGGGCATCAGGACCTCAGGAGTCTTCCTCGATCCTGGACCAACATAGCAGAAATGGGATTGGTGTGATAGCAATATCCTCTGGATTGCAATTGCACACAACCTGTGTCTTCTTGCTTGCTGCTGGGGAGCAGCGAGCTAGTCGCCCACTATGGCTACCACTTCACACATGTTTATGTACTCCTTGACAATCCAGCCACCAACTGCGATTACACAGGCCATTCTTGGTCAATTTTCAGGGACTAAGGAACAACAAATTGTCACGGCATCCGGCTCCAAATTGACCATCCACCGCCCTGATCCCTCACAGGGCAAGGTCACGCCGATTTTTTCACAGGATGTCTTCGGGATCATTCGCACTCTGGCCGCGTTCAGACTGGCTGGAAGCAATAAAGGTATGTCTACTTATGGCCCGAGCCTGCAATTTACGAGTTCAACTTAGTGATTCTTCAAGCTCCCCGGGCAGCATGGTCCTGGTTTTCCGAGCCGGCCCCCTGAAGAAGGGCGGGGACCTGCCCCGGCCAGCAATGTTGAAGCTGCAGTATTTGTATGCGGACTGTGCTGAGATATTCCCTAGATTACATTATCATCGGCTCGGACTCGGGTCGTATAACCATTATCGAATACATTCCCGCACAGAACCGCTTTAGCCGCATCCATTTGGAAACATTTGGCAAGTCAGGGATTCGCCGGGTGGTGCCAGGTCAATACCTGGCGGTGGATCCCAAAGGACGTGCCTGTCTGATCGCGTCCTTGGAGAAGAACAAGCTGGTCTATGTTCTGAACCGCAACTCGCAGGCGGAACTCACCATTTCGTCGCCACTGGAAGCACACAAGCCCCAGACTTTAGTGTTTGCAATGACAGCACTGGATGTCGGTTATGAGAACCCTGTTTTCGCTGCCCTTGAGGTAGACTATTCCGAAGCCGACCAAGACCCCACTGGTCAGGCATACGAGGAGCTGGAAAAAGTGTTGGTGTATTACGAACTTGACCTGGGTCTCAACCATGTTGTCCGCAAATGGTCTGACCCGGTTGACCGCACCGCTAGCCTCCTGTTCCAAGTACCGGGAGGCGCCGATGGCCCCAGTGGTGTCTTGGTGTGTGCAGAGGATAATGTTACGTATCGACACTCCAACCAAGATGCATTCCGTGTTCCTATTCCGCGTCGGAGTGGTCCCACGGAAAACCCAGAGCGCAAACGGTCCATCGTGTCGGGAGTCATGCACAAAATGAGGGGCGCCTTCTTCTTCCTTCTCCAAACCGAGGATGGGGACCTGTTCAAGCTGACGCTCGGCATGGTTGAAGATGATAATGGCCAGTTGACCGGGGAAGTGAGCTCGCTGAGGATCAAATACTTTGATACTGTGCCAGTCGCCACAAATCTTTTGATTCTTAAGAGTGGATTCCTCTATGTCGCGAGTGAAGCCGGAAATCATCATCTCTACCAGTTCGAAAAGCTTGGCGATGATGATGAAGAGATTGAATTTTCCAGTGACAACTTCTCGGCTGATCCATCTATTCCCTGTGAGCCGGTTTACTTCCATCCTCGTGGCGCCGAGAACCTCAATCTCATGGAGAGTTCGAACTCCTTGACACCGTTGATTGACAGCAAGATCGCCAACCTGAGCGAGGACGATGCCCCTCAAATCTACTCAGTCTGTGGCACTGGAGCTCGGAGCACGTTCCGAACTTTGAAGCACGGGCTGGAGGTGTCGGAGATCGTGGAATCGGAGCTCCAAACGGTGCCCTCTGCTGTGTGGACGACCAAATTGACGCGAGCCGACGAATTCGATGCCTATATTGTTCTTTCATTCGCCAACGGTACTCTCGTTCTGGGAATTGGAGAAATCGTGGAGGAGGTTACCGACTCCGGGTTCCTTTCCACGGCACCTACCCTCGCCGTGCAGCAGCTTGGCGAAGATTCTTTGATTCAAGTCCACCCCCGGGGCATTCGTCACCTGCTTGCAGACCGGCGAGTGAATGAGTGGCCTGCCCCACAGCATCGGTCCATTGTAGCTGCAGCTACAAATGAGCGCCAGGTCGCCGTGGCCCTCAGTTCCGGTGAGATTGTTTATTTTGAAATGGATGTAGATGGGACTCTGGCCGAGTACGACGAGCGACGACAATTGACCGGCACAGTTACCTGCTTGAGTCTGGGCGAGGTCCCCGAGGGCCGTGTTCGCAGCAATTTCCTGGCTGTTGGGTGCGACGACTCGACCGTCCGTATTCTGAGTCTGGATCCGGACTCCACTCTGGAGAACATGTCCGTTCAAGCCTTGACATCTGCCCCGTCCGCTCTGAACATCATGGCCATGGCCGACTCGAGCTCAGGAGGCACGACCCTTTATCTGCATATTGGCCTCTACTCTGGTGTCTATCTCCGCACTGTTCTGGATGAAGTGACCGGTGAACTCTCGGATACCCGAACCCGCTTCATCGGAGCGAAGCCTGTCAAGCTGTCGCAGGTGTCTGTGAAGGGCCAAACGGCCGTCCTGGCTCTGAGCTCTCGTCCATGGCTTGGGTATTCCGACATCCAAACCAAAGGCTTTATGCTTACGCCATTGGACTATGTCGGCCTCGAATGGGGCTGGAATTTCTCCAGTGAGCAGTGCGAGGAGGGCATGATCGGTATCCAGGGCCGAAATTTACGGTATGTTCTTGCTTCCTTTTCTGCGTTTATTCCCAATATTTCCCGTCCCCTTGATCATATGATGATAACATCAAATCCGAACATTCGTGTGGATTCAAATAAATATATTTTATCCAATTGTTCCTACTGAGATCAGTCCATTTGTGCTTGAAACAACTTTGCAATCATCGCACGGTTTGACATTTTCGCTGACTGCGACTAGGATTTTCTCTATCGACAAACTTGATAACAACATGCTCCAGGAGTCTATTCCTCTCTCCTACACCCCCCGCCGTTTCTTGAAGCACCCGGAGCAACCTCTCTTCTATGTCATCGAATCCGATAACCATGTCCTGTCCCCTGCCACACGCGAGAGACTCATTCAAGATTCTCAGGCAAAGAATGGCGATGCTGCTGTTCTCCCCCCGAAGAATTTGGTCATCCCCGGGGAACAGGCCACTGGGCTTCCTGCATTCAGATCGTGGACCCAATCACTGCCAAATCCGTGGTTTTCACCCTGGACCTTGAAGACAATGAGGCGGCCGTTAGCATTGCTGCTGTGCCGTTCTCGAGCCAGGATGATGAGACTTTCCTGATTGTGGGAACTGCTAAAGACATGGCCGTCAACCCCCCTCTTCCTCTGGAGGGTTCATCCACATCTATCGGTTCCAGGAAGATGGCCGGGAACTGGAGTTCATCCACAAGACCAAGGTCGATGAGCCGCCCCTCGCCCTTCTTGGATTCCAGGGTCGTCTTATTGCGGGCATTGGCTCTCTCCTTCGCGTGTACGATCTGGGAATGAAACAGCTTCTCCGCAAATGCCAGGCACATGTTGTCCCCAAGACAATTGTGGGTCTTCAGACGCAGGGAAGCCGGATTGTGGTGAGTGACATTCGCGAGAGTGTTACCTATGTCGTGTACAAGTACCAAGAGAACATTCTGATTCCATTTGCGGATGATTCCATCGCGCGCTGGACGACCTCGACGACCATGGTTGATTACGAAACAGTTGCGGGGGGCGACAAGTTCGGCAACCTGTGGCTGCTGCGCTGCCCCGGTAAGATTTCCGAGGAGGCGGATGAGGATGGATCTGGGGCCCATCTCGTCCACGAGCGGGGCTACCTGCATGGCACCCCTAACCGCCTCGAGCTCATGGTTCATTACTACGCCCAAGACATTCCGACTAGCTTGCACAAGACCCAGCTGGTGGCTGGTGGTCGAGACATCATTGTGTGGACCGGGTTTCAGGGCACCATTGGCATGTTCGTTCCGTTCGTCAGCCGTGAAGATGTGGATTTCTTCCAAAGCCTGGAGATGCAGCTGGCAGCGCAGCAGCCCCCTCTAGCTGGACGAGACCACTTGATCTATCGCAGTTATTATGCGCCTGCCAAGGGCGTCATTGACGGCGATCTGTGCGAGTTGTATTTCCTCCTGCCTAATGACACGAAGTTGATGATTGCGGCGGACCTTGATCGGTCTGTGCGGGAGATTGAGCGGAAGATTTCGGTAAGCCTATTCTTATGTTGGATGTTCAAGTCAGTGCCCGGATGCTAACCCCTTCCTTAGGATATGCGAACGAGGGTGGCGTACTAGTTTCGGGGTGGTCGTTTCGGCGTCGGCTGCTGGCGTTCCTGCCCATTTTCCTGCGGAATTCAGATACCTCCGTACCTGTTAATCCAGATACCATTCTGCGGCATTGCACCGCATATTGAACAAGTTCCTATCCCGCAGTGTAGGGGTGTCTCTTGCCTCGCTCGGTCTACCGATTTCCCTGGGTTGATCTTGAGCTGGATGCAGCGCGGACATTGAGCCGCCTGTATGAGACTAGAGCAAAGTGCAGAAGCGCTGTCGACGTTTTTTGAGTACGGTTTTATCTGCATTGCACCACGGATATGCACCGTAATTTATCAGTCGGGACAACGTAGAATCATTGGAAGATGTAAGACGCAATTTCGGATTCTAACTGAGTGATTTTTAAACATCAACAGGAAAATGAATCGAATTTTATGAATTCTATAAATCCCATGAACCCCATGAACTATGAACTATAAACTGCTTTGACGCTGGGTATATAAAAATTGGATCTGTGCCAACAAAATACGATCTACACTTTCCAGATGGCATCCAGCGACCAGACCGACTCTCGGGTCCAACAATGCCGACCACAACGCCGAATCCACGGGACACGCAATATAAGTTTCACACCCAATTCAGGCCGTCTCGAGAGGTCTCTCGGTTAAGGCCGGAAATTTCTGGATCTTCCCGACTCGGCTACCGTCGTTGGGTTCCCTCGGAAAAGTCTGGAGCTTCCAATGTCGCCATTTCTTGGTTTACTTTGACCTTATTTTATTTTCCTTCATCTTTGCTCGTATTTTGAGAGTCATGATCCAGTTTCACCGCGCAGATCTATGATGAATGGACCCGCCTCGGCCAGCATGGCTACCTGGAAGCATGATCTTCAAACTCAAGCTCGGCCTGGGACCGGGGGAATGTGGGCCAAGGTGGTTGAGGTGGAGTCCGAAGGGCGTGCATGTCGGCGTAAGGCGTGGTCCACTGGCCCCACCTGCGATGTGCTCTGATCTGATGCCCTTTTCCCCCTTCTTTTTATTATGATTTTGATTTTTCGCTTTTTTTTTTTGATACTTGGATCGGGAGGCATAGTGGAGGCAGTCGACAAAGAAAACAGGAGAAACGATTAGAAACAGTACAACTCACCGTGTCTGGATATTTCCTGGGCCCAACGTCAGTGTCAGTCCAAGATGCTTGGGAATGTCAATCCAAGGGCGTATGCATGGACCCCAATCACCCCCGGCTCTCTTTTTCCCCTGTTTTCCTTTGGCGACACTTCACCATCGCCGTTTCTCGCTTGAGTGAGTCACGGCCGCGTGACCTCGTGAATTCGATTTGTAAGAACTTTGACTCGTAGAAGCATCCCCTGATGTTATAAACCTGGACTCCTCCACGTCCCCCGGCTATACACTTTGCGCGGTTGACGACGGGCTCCACTATCAGCTTCTTAACTATTCTTTTTTTTTCTCTCATTCTTTTTTGGACTATTTCTTTTCCATTACTTAAGAGACCTGGATCTGCCTGAACCCAATAAATCCTTGTCCAACCCACCTATTCACTCTTGTCAATTCTTTGCCCAGTTGTCGCCTTCTATCGCAGAAGTCCACCGGTATAATCCTGTGCCGCGTGGAAAGACTTCGGGACACCATGGCAGCCATGTCGATTGCCAGCAGCGGCTCCGATACATTGGATGCCTGGACCAAACGCTCCCAGCCCAAGATTGAAATTGAACTGATGGGACAAACACCCGGCCTGGTCAGCTCATACACCACGGGGGATCATATCGATGGCACTGCCACTATCACCGTGAGCCAGGAGACACGGTTCGACGAAATCGAGATTATCTTCCAAGGTATGCATTCTCGCAAGAGTTGCTGACCTGTCAAGAAAGATCAGATGCTGACCGATGCACAGGGACATCGCAGACCACCGTCGAGCGGACTTCATGCCCCGGCCGCACAGGCTCGCAGCAGATGTTCCTGAAATTGCGCCAACCAATCGACGAGACGGAGTACCCGACCCCGCGGGTGTTGGAGACCGGACGGTCGTATCGATTCCCATTCACCTTCGTTGTGCCGGAGCGTCTGCTGCCCCAGGTCTGCACGCACCCCAAGAAGAACCCACAGATCGAACGATCCCACACCATGATCCCCCCAACACTGGGCGACCCGATGCTTGCCAGCAATGGCAAGACGCTGCTGGACGACATGGCGCCCGACATGAGCCGCATCGGCTATATCGTGCGCGTGGTCGTGCTCAAGAGGTTACCAGAGCACCGCCAGATCAAACCACTGGCAGCCGTCGCCAAGAAGGTCCGCATTGTCCCCTCCATCGAAGAAGAGCCGCCCATCAACCTTGCCGATCACTCGGCGTATTGCGCCCACAAAGAGAAGACCGTCAAGCGGGGACTGCTGCGCGGCAAACTCGGCCGGCTGGTCGTGACATCGTCCCAGCCTAAACCCATTCAGCTGCTTGCTCCCAGCGGCGAGCCGAGTGATACTGTGAGCACGGTGGCCACGGTGGATCTACGATTCGACCCCGTTGGGGACGAGCCGCCGCCGAAGCTGTGGTCGATGAGCAGCAAGCTGCGCGCGAGTACTTTTTACAGCGTGGCGCCGTGGGATGAGTTCCCGCGCCAGAGCGGGTCGGTGCCCTTTTCTCAAATCGGGCGCGGCCTCTACACCAACACGGTGCCTATCTCGACAATGTGCGTGGCGTCTGCCCAGTGGGCGAAGCACTCGCCGGCGACGGATCCGCGACGGGACTCGACATCGTCCAGCTCGTCCGAAGACTGCTCTGCGAGCAGCAACAGCCACAACAACCCTAATATCTACTACTATACCGCCTCACTTGTTATCCCCATCACGCTCCCCGAATCTAAAGCCTTCGTCCCGACTTTCCATTCCTGTTTGATATCCCGAATCTACGCCCTGGATCTCTGCCTGTCATACCATACGCCGGCCGCCAATCTGCTGACGCCGACGGTTTCCCTCCGTGTGCCAGTCCAAATCACAAGCCGGTCCAAATCTGCCGAGTCTCTCAAGTCCTCGCTGGGTATGACCGTCACCCAGGAGGAGCTGGATGCATTCTTCTCGCCGCGCAATGTCTCCCCACCACTTGAATTCCCTGAACCGACTCCTGTGCGTGATGTTGCTGTGGGTGATGATTTGGCTCCACCGGGTTACTCAGAGACTTCGAATTTGCCTGCTCCGCCGCGTGTGCGGGCTGTGAATTGATCACTGAGAAGCTTGGCTGCGCTACACTCGCTCAGATTCCCACCTTAATTTGTGGCTTGAATAGCCAAGAAAAGAAAAGTGTGCTTTTGCATGGTGTTATGAGGGGCATTATCTGGCTTTTTTTTTGTTAGTCTGTTCTTGAATATACCCTGGTATTTGGTTTTTCCTTTCGAGCACAAAAGCATGGTTCGTTTGATGTCGATATACTCATAATATATTTATTGCACAATATCAGGATAACAATGGATATGTTCATGGGAAAAGCTCAGAATAAGTAGCAGCAGTGCTGAAAATATTTTGATTTCGGGGGTGTTTCGTCTCAATTTGATATCCAAAACACCTACCAGTATTTCCAACCCACACAAGTAGATTGAACTAGAAGAATAAACTCATCGTCTGTGCAACATGACACATGTGGAAGTCTTCCATGAAATTCTTGTCCAAACCACCGGATAGGACTGGATGAGGATCTTCGACATGATATGTCCCTTCATCTATACAGATTGTAGCTGTCTTATGCTGCTAGAATAAGTTGAAGATAGAGAAGAAAGCGCAACACCGTATGCATCTACCCTCAAAGAGACTTCCACTTCGCTGCCTGAGTTCTTCTGCTTTTTGTACTCCCCTTTAAGGCATAAAGGAGGCTGAATTTGTTTGATACACACATTTCAAGTATTCTTTCATGTCTGGCTAAGCAATAGTGGTTTCAACCGCCCTTTAACCTTACAACAATAGAATGTTGTGCATGCGTCTGCATTGTCATGACAGGGGTTTGCAGGACTCCACGCCACAGGGTTCTTTCTTCCTTTGTCTATAGTAGAGATATGCCGAGTCAAGTAGCAGTCTCTCTCCATTCCGAACAGAAATGACTTTAATCATGTGAGAATCTTAGACTGTCGTTGGGATGGCACATGGAGTGGTCGCATGGCACGAGCGTTACATCTCGCGTGGATGGGTTCCTGCAGACCCCGCTGTCCTCTAATTCCCATCTCCGATACCACCGTCCTGCGTTCATTCCAGTCAATACCCTGGCATTCCTGCAAGTATACCACGAGGTTTTCAGGGTACTAGGCAACTTCCACGCATGAAAGGGAGCCCCGGATATGTCCCGAGGCTATCTCGATCAAGGCATGGAAGAGCATCGCAGATGACAGTGTCACCCATCCTCCACATTCCAGACTATTCGAACCACGCGGGGGAGTCGACACAATGGCTCATTCCTCGGCCACGCTATCCATCCACTGTGGTACACTCTCGCAAGGGATTCATGCAGCCGTCGACTTCAAACTGCCACCCTCGATTGCCTGAATACCCTCTTTGTGAGTGTCCTCGAATGGTGGCGTTCGCTGCCGACACTCGGGTGACGAAAGAACTCCCTGCCCGGCATGTCCATGCGCGTGAGCCAAACTCCTTGATATTTTAGAGCGAGCAGTTATCGTCGAATCGCACACCCTCCTCGGAATGGCCCTCCCGCACCAGAAAAGCCATCAAGGGCCTTGTCATTTCTTTGATCACTACCTTACAGGCAGCGTACCTCGGACATGCGGAGATATCCTGGGATGCCTGGTAGGCAATCGAAAGAATTCCAGGTGCCCGGAGGCAAGGAAGTGAATAGACAAACAAGCAAGTAAGCCATGTCCATCCTAAGTACAAATATCGAGGATACCCTCCTCGTTTGCTGCTCTAATCGATCCGTAATCTGTGTTCATTCTCGCTGACACGAGTACATTCCTTCGAGAACACTCTCGCTCTACTCTCCCTTCTCACCATGCGCTTTGTTCTTCCTTGCCTGCTGGCCCTGGGCTGGCTCACCACGGCCGCCGTCATTCCCTTCCCGAGCAATGCCACCGAGCCTGAGGTTCAGGCAGAGGCAACAGGGTATCGCTCTGTGGCCTACTTTGTGAACTGGGTAATTAGCAATGAACAACAACCCCCTTTCACATATGTCCTAAGTTGCTAACCAATCCTCACTTATGAACTAGGCTATCTATGGTCGAAACTACCATCCACAGAATCTGTCCGCCGAAAGACTGACGCATGTGCTGTACGCCTTTGCAAATGTGCGTCCCGAATCCGGTGAGGTGTATCTCTCAGACAGCTACGCCGATCTCGAGAAACATTATTCAACGGATTCGTGGAATGATGCCGGCACCAATGTCTATGGTTGCGTTAAGCAGCTATTCTTGCTGAAGAAGAAGAATCGCAAGCTCAAGGTGCTGCTGTCGATTGGTGGCTGGACTTATTCGAGCAATTTTGCCGCGCCACTCAGTACTGCCACAGGCCGGGCCAAATTTGCGTCGTCGGCTGTGGAGCTCGTGAAGAATCTTGGGTTTGATGGGCTGGATATTGATTGGGAGGTGAGATCTGCCACACACCAATGTGTGTACACAACGTCTAGGATGCTAATGCACATGTGCAGTACCCTGCCGATAATGCCCAGGCCGATAACATGGTGGCGACGCTCAAAGAGGTGCGATCGGTATGTGATGTCCATGCTAATGCTCACAACTAGCTCCAGCTAACCCCCTACAGGCTTTGGACCGGTACAGCGCAGCCAATGCAGGAGGATACCACTTCTTGCTGACAGTTGCCTCTCCTGCTGGTAAGAAACTCATCATCGCATAACCAACCAAATCCACCACTAACATACCCAGGCCCAACCAACTACCAAAAAATGAACCTCGCCCAAATGGACCAGTACCTCGACTTCTGGAACCTCATGGCGTACGACTACTCCGGCAGCTGGGACAGCATCGCCGGACAGGACGCCAACATCTACGCCTCAACCGGCAACCCGGCCAGCACGCCGTTCAACACGGAGCAAGCCGTCAACTACTACACCTCACACGGGGTGAGTGCCAGCAAAATCGTTCTGGGCATGCCGCTATACGGCCGCGCGTTCACAAATACCGACGGGCCCGGAAAGAGCTTCAGCGGCGTGGGTTCCGGCAGTTGGGAGAATGGCGTGTGGGACTACAAGGCGCTCCCGCAGGCGGGGGCCGTGGTCCACCAGCTAGACCAGCCGGTGGCGAGCTACAGCTACGACTCCGGGAAGCGCTTGATGATTAGCTATGATACCCCTGCTATCGCACAGAAGAAGGCGCAGTATATTCGGTCCAAGGGGCTTGGTGGGGGGATGTGGTGGGAGAGTAGTAGTGACAAGACGGGCGGTGATAGTTTGATTACTACGGTATGTTCTGTTCCCCCCATACTTCACTGGCAGTTGACTGCTTGGATATCCTGGATGACAATTTGGCTCGTGCTAATACTTGGATCTGGTAGGTCGTTACTGGAGTTGGTGGCTTGGGTGCCCTCGATCAGAGCCAGAATCGACTTGGTTATGGTGCTTCCAAGTATGACAATCTGCGGGCTGGGTTCCCGTCTGGTTGATGTCGCTTGTTGGAGTCTTTCTGTGGAGAATAAATTCCGTGGACACTCGCTTGAACTTGCGATATGAACTTGATCTCATCGACAGTGGAATATGGGTTCAATATGACTAGTAACCAGAGATATCTCGAGTGTTGTTGGGCTATGTGTTTGACCGGACATGATTACGCTCGCTATGACCGGGCTCGTTAACAGACCATGAATTTCATTCTATGAAAGCAATCACCGCAAATGATGAAATAGAGGCCTAAAATTATACATCCTAAAAGATACCTGCGCCCATAAATCTGACAGAACCCACCGACTATCTACCTATATACCAACTCCACCTTTCCACCCAGCTTACCATGCCATACAGAAGCAATTTACAACTTGCCCTCATCCTTGGCCTCGTCTGCCTGCACAGTCTCCGTAACTGATGCCGCAGACGGCGTAGACGGAGACGCACTGGCATCGCCCTTCTCCTGGCCCTGGGGTGTACCATTTGTGACCGTTCTGCGCTCCTTCAAAGCACGGTAGATTTGGGAGATTTGTTGGATGCCGCCGTCGAAGAGCGGGTAGAATATTCCAACCAGCATGGTACCCCAGAGCCAGATGATGGCGACGACGACCCAGGCGATGTAGAACTATACAAGTTAGAAAAGCAAAGAAAACATATGGAGGAATAGAGAAATCTCTAAAGGGAAAGGTCTAGACATACCTTCTTTCCAAACACATAATGAGATCCATACATAGGCAACGGCCACAGAACCCAATGACCGAGGAAGGTGGCCACAGACCAAAACGCCGCAATGCGACCCCAGCGCTTGAGTTCCTGGGCATCGAAGGCCGCAGAGCGTGCACCACCATCTTCGAGCGAGTTTTCGGCAACGCTGTGATTCAACGAAGGAGGATGGTCATGATGCGCAGTAGTTAAATCATCCTCCAACTTCTCCAGCGCCAGCCTCTCCTTCTTGAAACTCGCCCAGTCAAAGTTCTGCGGCCGGACCAGCGTGATTAGAACCGAGTACACGATTGGCGAGAAGCACGACGCCACGGTGCCGTACATGCAGGGCAGTATCTCGCCGGTTGTCGCGACGGAGACCTCGCCGCCCCAGTGGGCAGCTGTGCCCAGCCAGACGGCGAGACCGGTGGCTAGACCTAGGATTGGGGAGAGGATTGCGGCGGCTTTGCTTTGGCGGCGCCAGAGGATGGTGAAGACCATTGGGAAGATGCCGGGGCAGGTTACCACGCCTGTGTGTGTTAATACTATGCCCATGGGAACAAAAAGGGGAACGACAAGCATAACTCAAAGAGAGAGAGAGGGAGAGAAGGAGAGGGAGACTAACCCAGCATGTACAGAGTCCATCCCAGATCAATGCCCACATAATGCAGCATGGTACTGAACCCAGCCGAGAAGACCGCAAAGAAAATCACGCCAAAGTGGCTGGACCGGATCAGGTCGCGGTCCGTGGCGCTCTTCTTGAAATACTCGCGGTAGACATCGAAACTCAGGATCGAGCTGACGGCGATCACCTGCGCCGAGAGCGTCGAGGTTACAGCCATGAACGTGATGAGCAGCACTGCGGCTGCTCCGCCTTTGCCGGCGATGGTGATAGCCGCGTAGGGGAGAACCAGACCGTTGCTGACCTCGGAAGTGGTCATTCTCTGTGGAATTGTATGAGTTGGCGTGTCTGAAGAGAAGCTTTAATTCAACTGAGGGTAAGGGATGACTTACTCGTGGGAAAGTCGGGAAGTTGGGTGCGTTCTCCAGCCCAATCGCCACGGAGCTCATTATCGTTCCCAGACCCCAGGGAATGGCAAAGTAGGCGATGCCGCCGATGGTGTATCCGGGTACGACTGCGGCGGGAGAGGCCGAGAAGGCTTTGATGAAGTAGCTGGTGTCCATCTATTCGAGTGGTGAGTTAGATTCTAACGAAATGACGGAGAGTCACTCACAATGACTAGACCAAAGTTACTGCAGGTGTGCAGGATGCCGAATAGGATCCCCTAGTCGAAGATGAGCGGGTGAACGGGGGCTTAAGATATAGGGGCTAGACACTCACTCCTTTCGAAGTCATGGTCAAGTACGTCCCATCCTGATTCCCAGCAACAGGATGGCGCTGCGCTGCGGCCTGCAGAAGATCGAATAAATGACCCACCGAGCCAATCTGGTCTATCGAGAAGGCTTTGACCGAGAAGTAGCATGCAATGATGAGGATGAAGGCCGTGTGAAAATAGTCCGTGAGGAAGCTGCCGTCAAGTCAGACAATAAGAAATTTCTGAAATAGAACAGAGATCGACGTACGTGGCTTTGATACCACCGACAAAGGTGTAGATCGTCACACCAACAGGTAGGAGGAATGTGGCCGCAATGATATGGATTCCAGTACTGCGCAGATTAGCAGCTGAAAGATTGACAGTCAGATCCAAACTCACACAGCCGAGATAACAGCAGCAGCGCCAAGCAGCATGTTGGCGCACGCAAAGATGTTGTTAACCAGACACAGGATCATGAAAACAACCTGCGCCGTTCGTCCTACAGCCCATCAAGAGTGTTAGGGGAAGACAGCAGGGTGATTATTATCATTAGACCAAACACAAACCATAGCGAATCCGAACCACCTCCAGCGAGGTGTGCGCTTCTGGGATCTTGCGCTTGCACGAAATTCCAAGCAGCGCGAAAAACACAATCATTGGACTACACCCGGCAGCGAACCAGAAGGGCCCGGCGACGCCGTAGTTGTAGCCGACAAACGAGGATCCGAGCAGAGATGTGGACCATAGCCAGGACTGTAAAGCGATGAATGGTTAGAAAGTTGAATCCTTGAGATTTGAGCGGAATGAGGATATGACTGACCGATATCACGGCCGATGCAGTCAGACCAGTGCGGACAGTCCGGTTCGCGGTCATGAACCTATTCCGCATTAGTATGAATGCTAAAGAAACCAAGAGATATTGAAATATGGAATCCATACATTTCAGTCTTTTTATTATCCTCTCCGGTGGTTTGTTTCAACAATTTCGTGATGAGCATCATCACTAGCATACGTCAGTGCAAATCCTTAGAAGATTCAGACGCGAAGAAATACATACCCAATGCAATGATAACTCCAAGGAGGACGACAACAATATACCCAACTGCCTGCGACAGAGGCGGCTGGACAGTTGAGATGCCATCGCGAGCATACAGATTCGACATTCTTGTTAGACTCGAAGAGTCAAGAGCGCCAATGAAGACAGAAAAAGGAAAAGGATAACAATAATGGAAAAAAGGTCAAGATAGTATACACATAAAATTCAGGATCTACTGGCATCTAAGTGGGTATATATAGGGCAGAGAAAAGAATCAACACAAAATCAGCACATGCTCCCGAATCCATGGGAAAGACTAGGGCTTCGATATGCAGCCTGGGTCCCCCGGACTGGGATTTGCAGGATTCAGAGCTGATGCGCGAATACCGGAGCCTCTGAGCAAATGGGCATGGGCTGATCCACAATGGCTTGATATATGCGAGCGATGAGGTGCTTGATAGTGAGGTTGGCGCGCCCAAGAGCTGGACGATTGGGTTTAGGGGAAGATGAGCGCCTGAGAGACTTAGGAACTACTAGGAGACAAACTATCAGATTTGTGCAGATACAACTTTGCAAAAAAAAACCCATCAAGAACCAGAGCAATTGCGCCATTCGTAGAGACCGAGGTTGATTGATGGTTCCCGTTGCGTACCGAAATAACCCTAAAAGAAATGCCCGTAGAAACATTGCCAGAAGATAGGAGGGGCCCGGCGAACCATTAACACTTCAAATGATATAATTCCCAAAATCGAATGGCCGATCCACGACTCCACTGGGAATGAATGCCCACTGGAATGCCGAATGGAATCGGGGACCAGATCACCTCAACACAGACATTCTGTACAATCTCTCTCGCCCGAGAAGCACAGACGAAACAGACAGGAAGGAATCTGCAAATGTGCATGGTGACTCGCGCGCTGTCCCAAGCCTAATTGTATATGAACCAGTGAGGTTCCGCATTGCGCTGTGGTGCGCCCCTCAGGATCGCCGGCATCGCGCCATCGCGGTCCACATTGATGCTATGGGGATGGTCCAGCTCGATGACGCACGCGGGGTGGTTGCGGATGAGGTGCTCGACATATACAAATGGAATCTCAGTTTTTTTTTTTATTGGAAATATCTCCTGCTTTTGCTGTTTTGAATTTTGTAAAAAGTTGCCCGTGGAGATCTCCGTATACACATAGTATATTTTGAGCTTGTTCAAAGTTCACAAAAACAAAGTCATGACTGAGAATAACACGACAGGGGACCGTCCCCGCAAATCTTTGATTCTCAATGCTTTTGTGGAAATGTGTACGTTGGATGTTGTCAACAACGCCCACAAGAGATCTCCTTCTAACTACAACACAGGCAGCGGACACCAATCACCCGGTCTATGGCGCCACCCTGAAGATGAATCGCACCGGTTCAACGATATCGACCACTGGGTTGAGCTGGCGCAACTGCTCGAGGGGGCCAAGTTCCACGGCATCTTCATCGCGGATGTCCTGGGTAGGCGCATCCTCAACAAGGCATTCATACATTGACCCGATCGCTTACAGCACACTCCCCTGCAGGAGGCTATGATGTCTACAAAGGACCGAGAAACCTCGACCCGGCAGTTATCTCGGGCGCACAGTGGCCAGTTAATGAGCCACTAGCCGTTGTCCCGGCCATGGCGGCAGCGACGAAGAATATCGGATTTGGAGTGACTGTTACGACGACATATGAGCAGCCATACCATCTGGCGAGGCGTTTGTCAACAGTTGACCACCTATCGAAAGGACGGTATGTGTGTTGATCCATTGATTTCCATGAAAAAAATGCTGATGGAAGCTTCTTGACAGGGTGGGATGGAACGTGAGCGGCCTTGAGACCGCTGATCATTCACGAGTAAATGATACTGACTTCTCCAGGTCGTCACCGGATATCTTGACTCTGCAGCCCGCAACATGGGCCAAGAAGGACAACCACATGTAAAGCCTGGCTCCCAACCTCATCCGACACAAGCCCCAAACTGACAACCATCCAGCACGACGACCGATACGCCGTGGCCGAAGAATACATCAAGGTAACCTACAAGCTGTGGGAGTCATCATGGCGCCAAGACGCCGTCGTCCTGGACCGCGAGCGCGGGATCTACACAGACCCAGCCGGAGTGCGCCAGATCAACCACTCCGGGAAATACTTCACCGTGCCCGGCCCGCACCTCAGCCAGCCCAGCCCACAGCGCACGCCAGTGATCCTGCAAGCAGGGACCTCGAAGGCCGGCAAGACATTTGCCGCGCAGCACGCAGAAGCCATCTTCGTGGCGGGCCACAGCCCGTCCGTGGTAGCCAAGAATGTCGCAGAGATCCGGCAGCTGGCGAAGGCCGAGTTCGGGCGCGACCCGCAGAGCATCAAGTTCCTGGCGCTGCTGTGTCCCGTGCTGGGGCGTACGGAGGAAGAGGCCGTGGAGAAGTTCAAGTACTTCCGCAGTCTGGGCTCGATTGATGGGGCGCTGGCGCTGTTCGGTGGGTGGACGGGGATTGACCTGGACAAGTTTGACGATGATCAAGAGCTACGGCATGTGGAGAGCAATGCCATCCGGTAAGCCTGGGCCAGTGATGTTTTGAATCTTGAGTTCTGTAACTGACGCATCCATTGATCAGATCCGCCGTCGAGGGCTGGTCCAAGGCAACCCCCGAAGTCGCCAAATGGACCAAGGCAACTGTCGGCCAACACATCACTGTCGGCGGACTGGGTGCCACAACCGTCGGCACGCCGGTCCAGGTCGCAGATAACATGGAGCGTTGGGTGCGGGAAGCCGATGTGGATGGGTTCAACCTGGTAGGAGAGATCTATCGATTTCTATATTTTCGATTTGAAGACCGTGGATGCTGACTAGTCTTGAAATAGGCGTACGCTGTCAAGCCCGGCTCTTTCAAGGATGTTATCGACCTCCTGATTCCCGAGCTGCGTCGACGCGGTCTGTTCTGGGATGACTACGCTGTGCCCAAGGGCACGTACCGCGAGAATCTGTACGCGCAACCAGGTCAGTCAGGGCCGCGTGATGATCACCCGGCTGCGCAGTATCGGTGGAAAGCCGGCGTTGATGCCAAAGATTCTCCCGTCCCTGAAAGCTAAGCAATAGTGACATTTTGTGATGGGAGAATTACCGAGCGAGGTACGCACAGACGGAGGCAAATCTGCACATAGTTGTTTCTTCGTGAATGTATTGGCCGGGAGAGCCATTTGAGTCGAGAATTCTAGGGCTAGCAGTGGCAGATTTGGAAATAGAATTGCCATGGAAGACAGACAAACGTTTATTTTCTTCATAGGCCATTGCGGCATTCCCTCCCGGGGGCCTCATCTATGAACGCCAGACAAATGCAGTGATCCCGAATTTTTGTACATTATCACCATGGACGGTTTAAGTCAACATATCATCCAGGCGTTCACCGAGCACGCCTTCAATCTGCTTCACCCACTTGCGAACTTCCCGCTCAACACTCTCGTCTTCGTCCTCCATAAGCTCGCTGATGTATGGCAGCATCTCTGGCAGGAGGGCGAGCCATTCCTCACCGAGTTGTTCCGTCAGAGCTTGCTCCGTCTTCAAGGCCGCAAGACGAGTCTGCGGGTTATCGCCTCCAGCCGACTTGACGTTGGGAGCGGTCGAAGGACGGAGGTACTTCATCAGGGCGGTGTTCAGCTCCTTGTAGTTGTCAGTGGAGTCGGCGGCGACGGCGAGCTCCGTGATGGTAGGAACAGCTTCGGCAATGACCAGATTAGCAGTGGCTGAGCTGGTGGCATGTCCCAGTTGCGCGATCAGAGGCCCAGAAACACTGGAGAGGTGAGAGGGAGATTGCCAGAATTCTACCCCCGACAGTTAGCGAGCGGAACAAGAAAGAAGCAAGGGAACTGGTTGAACATACCATCCTGGTCATGCTCGAAAGCATTGCGGAGCATGCGGAGTGTTGCCAGCCAGAGCGGCTTGGAAGCTTTGGTGGGATTAGCTGTGCTGAGAACCTCGACCACGTTCTCTAAAATGTAGCTCGAGTAGCCGGTAACGATGGACTGGACACGGTTAGAAGCCAGAAAGTAATAGTGATGTCATGCGATAGCTTACCTGAAGAGTGCCGAAGAAAACCTCAAGGAACTTATAGAAGGTTGTAAGCCGCGACAGTCGGCCTTGCTCATCCTTCTTGGACGCGGTGGCCCACTCGACGAACTTAATGAAAATGGGCCGGAAGGTACTGTCGTTGAGCTTGTAGATCATCTTGATCGTGACGTCGTTGAGAGCGCTCTCGGCCCCGTCAAGGTCGGAAGAGTCAAAGGCCGCACCCTCGCCAAGCGCCACCTGTTCACGCCTCAAGTCGAATGCGTTGAAAAGGATCTTGGTAAGAACGCCAACGTTCTTGACGATGGTTGACTTGGGATGCTTCTCAACAGCAAGGCTAACAACCTGAAGGGCCTCATTGGTGGCCTCTGGTCCAGCCTTCACAGCGCGTTGCCAGTTGCGATTAATTGTACCGAGAGTTGCGCCCACATCCACCTTTCGAGCCATCAAGCGAAGGGCCTCCAAACGGGTCTCTTCGCCACTCTCGTCAATAGCTGCATTGGCAGATTGGAAAGAGAGAAGCAGGATCTTGTCCAAATGAGTGTCCGACATCATGAATGGGAGATGAACAAAGAGGGCGGAAAAGAGCGAGAAGATAGCATCGTGCAGTCGCGAGTTCTCCTTCCCAGGAGCCAGGCTCAGCTCGAGCAAGTGTAGGGACCGGCTGAGCGTATCGGGTAGTGCAGGAATCAGCGCCTGACCCAGCACCTCAGCCATAGAGGCAAGACACAGAACACCCATGATGCGAATGCGGTCATCAGTCTGCCCAATACAGGATGCACCGGCGATGACCTGAGCCGCAGGGATGACTTTAGACGGGTCCTTCCGGCCATACTTGTCCGTGATGCGATCAATGCAGGCAACCGAAGCATGCTTGAGAAGTGTATCCGGAGATGACTCAACAACGCGGACAAGGGTGGGCAGGAAGTCAAGGACGCGGATCTGGGACGCATTGTCGCGCTCAGGGTTCTGACGCAGCCGGTTTTCAAGTAGTCGTAGAACCTTGCGCCGAAGATCATCATTGGGCTTTTGAAGCAACACCTCGACCGTGTCCAAGAGGTCGACAAGAGACAAAGTGCCAAACAGCGACCCGAGAACCTCACCGCATGCTTGGCTAACGGGCTTCATGCTCTGCACAGATTCGAGGATACCCAGAATCTGCTGGAGAACACGGGACAAACAAGCGTAGGCCTGGTCAGCACTCTGGCCCTTTGTCTCGAAGGCCTTTTCCAATTTCGACTTCAAGGACGAGTGCTTGAGCAAGTGAGCCAAGTCCCGCAGCAAATCGACGGCAACCTTCTGCGGATCACGTCCATCATCGCTACCGATTCCGAGCAAAACCTGGGAGATTCCGGGCTTAGGCTTAAACGAATCACTGACAAGGTTGAGGTATTTGCTGTAAGTGGTGAGTTCCACAACAGGGCTAGCATCCGACGCCAAACCACTCATCAACGTAAGAACATCCTTGTCGGTCGAGTATCGATTAGCAAGCATTGCGAGGACAGCAAACAGGAAGTCCTGGGTTCCCAGTTTGCTGATCAAAGCATGGAACAGTCTCAAGCGACGATGAGAGGGAATGTGCTCAAAGGCTGCCGTGAAGCTCAGCAGCAGCTCCGAGGTCCCAGAAACCACGTCCCGCTTCTGGTTGCGAAGGGATCGGATAAGCGCAGGAACGACCTGGTCGATAGTCTGGTCAATCACCGACACAGAGTAATCGTCGTCCTTTCGAAGGACGCTAGAACCCATAAACGTGAAGATTGGCATCACACTGTGAAGAACCAGTTCGGGAGCAATGACGGATAGACCGGCCACAAGAAGAAGAGCCACATTTTGGACTTGAGGGCTTTCCGTCGTTCGTACACAGTCCACAACCAGATCGGCCCGGATGACGGAGGTGTCGAATTGCGGTTTCGCAGAACCCTTGAGAATGTGTCAATGTCTATTCAGTACAAAAACGTCAGAGAATGCTTACCTTGGATTTATTGACGATAGCCAAGAGGCTTCCCAGAGTCAAGCTGAGCAGGTAGCTCATGCCAGACTGGATTTGCGATTTGAAGTGATGAAGGGCAGCAAGAGTTTGGAACAATCCATCCGCCAGTTCGGGGTGGTTTTCCGGGGCGGAGCTGTCCACAACCTCCAGGATGAAAGTCATTTTGTCCATGAGCTTGCTGAGCTCCGCTTCATCCTTGACCGTCATGGCAACCATGTTGTTTTGACTAGTACGTCTCCGCTTCGGGGCAGGCCCAATGGCTTCGGCATCTGTGAGAGAGACAGGAATCTTCTGGACAAAGTGCAGGAGAACAGGACCGGAAAGTTCAACACTGCGAAGAACATCCCGGCAGTTAGTGACCAGAAATGCTTCACCAACTGACAGCCCAAGAGAGATATCCAACAATTTCTCAGACACAGACAGCTGATAATCTTCAGGGATTTTGGCCCACAATTCCTTGATACGGGCGAAGACGTTTGCAACAAAAGAAGACCTCAAGGCGTTGGAGTCACGGTTAATGTTGGACAAAAGAATGTCGATGGCATTCTTTTCTCTGGAGGTCACAATAGAAGCAATGTTATGCTCGGCCTCGGAAGCAGAGAGACGTTCGTTGGCACAAATTTCGTCAACCTGGACCTGGCTCAAGTCACGCCAGTTCTCGAGGAGCGGGAGGAGTTCTTTGGTACGGGTTGTCCCGGAGACCTTCTCGACTCGATTGACGAGGTTCAGCAGACCAAGCTTGGGGGCGAAAACCGGCATGTGAACAATGTGGGAGCAGAGGAAGGTAAAAAGACTGAACCGAAGAGATTTTTTCAGCTCTGAGGCGCCGGTGGCTTCGGGCAAAACGGAGCCTCGAAGAGCGGCGTCGATAACTCTACCGATGTGATTCGCATCGAGAATATATTCCTCCAGTCCAGGAAGTAACGCACGTTCCAAAACCTTCTGAGCATTGCGAGCTGAGAGCCAAGAGACACTGCTCGATTGTTTGCCCTGCCCGTAGATCGCGTCGTGTGCCCACGGCTTAATGGAAGCATCATCGGCGATGTTGCTCTTGTTGTATACAGAAGCAATGGCCACCAAAACACCAGTGGTATCACGACGAATCCGTTCAGAGGGGTCGGAGAGGGCGACAATTAGGAATGGAAGCAATGCCTGTGGGTCAAAGTCTCCCGAAATCGACAAGAGGGTAGACGAGAGAACATCCAAGGCTGCGACTTTCGTGCCGATAGGATAAGGGCCAGAAACAGCCCTAGCGAAAAACGACAAGAACTGGGGGGTTTTGGTGGCGTCTGCTTTACCCAAAATCTTCAAGTTGGCGAAACGATCGAGTTTCTCCTGCGAGTCCACCGCCAATGCAAACACTTGAACAAGGTTATCGAACTCGGGAATCGAGAGTTTGCTGAGGAATGAGAACGGGAAGCGAGCCTCTGTTGTCAATGACTCAAAAGCCGGCGTAAACGTGTCAACGGGCTCATTGTCTGCGTCCTCCATGTCCACATCTTCAATGGGCCGTGGCGCAACCGGCGCTTCAACCACGGTCTGCAGATTGTGCTCCAACGCGGGAATGTTGATAGCGGATTCGGCCAGGGTCTTCTGGAAAATTGGCTGAAGAGTTTCAGACCTAGTGAACCCTTGCACCAATTCGGCGAGGTGCGTTTGTGCGCTCAGAGTCATTCCGCGGGTGGCATCGCCACTGCTGCCGGCTTCGAGAATCATAGCGATCGCCTTCCTCGTTTCATTCTCTGCCAGCATGTTGTTCTCGAAGATGGAGGACAACAAGACGAGCCGCGTGTTGTCGCTCTGTTTATCAAGATCGCTCAGACAACCGGAAACAAGTCCCAGCAAAAGTCGAGATGTTTGATAATGCGCTGCCACTTCGGAAAAGCTTTTGATAGGGTTGTCAAGACGCAAAATTCCCTTGAACACTTTCTTGGGAATCGAGACCGATGGTTTTTGTTGTGCCAACACCGACAAGCAAATAAGACCAGAGCTTTTTGTCTCCTCTGTCCAGGAGCTGACCACACTCTCCATCAGGCCATCTACCACTTCGTCGGACAGCGAAGCTTTTTGGGCCAAGACCACGCAAATCATGTAGCAACTGATGATCAATTCCGAGACCCTCTTCATGGTAAAAGCGCTGCTGAGGACGGGAAGAACCCGGAGAATGATATCTTCATGTTTCTGCTTCTCGGCCTCTCTTCTTCCCGAGCGAGTGGTGTCTAGCATTGTAGCCACTGCCTCCGTGACGATCCCCGCCCAGAAGGAGAGCAATGCATGGCTCTGTGCCCGTTGTCGGCAGACCTTCAGAACATAATCATTCAATGCTGCGAAAAAAAGTTTGTTTGTGGTGGCACTGTGTACTAGAGGATGGCGTGGGGGGTTGACAAGGCTAGTTTTGTAAGGATATAGCACTTTGAACGTTGGCGAGACATTATCGGGAAGAATCGAGAGTAAATTCAAGAACAAAGGTGACGTGTGGTATGGGAGAAAAGTGAACAGAGTCCAAGCCGTGTTGTACTCATGGATCCTATAACAAGTTCAGCGGGTTTGGCCGTAACCTACTCTTCCCCGGGAAGATACTCACCTGAAGCGCCTCACAAGCCAATCGACAGCCTTGACCGCAGGGCTCAGCTGTAGCCTTCCGCCCACAAGACCAAGAAAGGCTTCAATCACAGTGTCCAGCTCCCTGTTCTGAGCAACATTCATCTGTGTCCTATCCTCGTCCTTGCTCTGTTCACTGAAAATTGTATGGCCAAATTCTGAGAAGCGAGAATCGAGAGAACATAGTTCCTGAAACCCAGCATAGCAAATATCATAGACTGTATCAAAGTCTTGTGATCCCGCGATCTTGTGATCAAAAATCAGCGACTGGGAGTGGGCAACTCTCTGAGCTTTAAGGTCAAGCTGATGAGTCGACTTTGTCGCAATTTGCGACAGCTGTGCTGCAAGAGATGACGCCATTGTAAGAGAGATCTGACGCCTATTTCAATTGCTTATCGCTGTAGCTCATCTCTCCTTATAAGCCTCTCCCCGAAAAAGCGTGTCTTTGTTATCTGCAGAATAGAAGCTTCAACTTTTTTTTTCTTCTTACCGCCTTCTCTGGAATAACAATTTTACGATTGATGTTCTGCCACATTTTCTTCACCGCCTAGAAAAATAGTATTCCAATTGTTTGTTACGAAACCCTTCCTCACCGCCGGAAAAACCTTTCTTCCTCGACCACCCCACTTCGCTCCTCCAACCGCCGGAAGAACAAATCTCCGACCCTTGCCTCACCGCCGGGATAATATTATCCCGTGTTATCAGTGAAGCTCTGCCGGAGATAAAATGGCAGAGTCACCGACGATGGACTCGTCTGGCTCGGGAGTGAGTCTCACTTTGGTTTCTCAGTTTCATGTGGGATCGCTCTAATATTTTGACCTCTGCAGGACAAGCAATTGATTCCACGATTTGCCAGTTTCAAACCCCCTCTGGCCCCTCCGGCCCCTCCGGCCGACCACAACAATGAGAGTCATGACAGACATGGCTCAGACCACCCTCACCATTTTAGTGTGGTGAAACCGAGGGAACGTGCGAAATACAAGACTCTGTCGCCCCCTCATAAAGAGGACACTCGAGGTCGCCGTCGCCGCCATGTCCCCCAAGGACATGATAGTGCCAGTGTTCGCCGGCACTTCCACGAGCGTTACGGAGATCCCCCAAAATTGGGCTCCTTTTTCCCTGACTTTACTGAGGCTCCTGAGCATGTGGAGTCTGAAGAGAAGAACGATCTTTTTTTTATTGACCTTGAAGGTGATCCGTACATGCTCAAATATGGAATGGGTAATCGCTACAGCGTTCCCAAATTCCCTCTGTTTGGTGGCGGACGCATTCTCGGTCTTCCCAGCAACCTCAGAATCGATTTTGAGGCCACAAATGCCAGTTCGCAGGCCTTCTGTGATGAGCTGGTCCTCAAGGACATTGTCGCTCAAGACAGAGTGAGACCCAACCGAATTTGGTCTAAGCTTTCCTCATCTGAGAACGCGACCCTTCTTCGTCCCCGAAATGACCAAACCTCGGATCTCCAAGCAGATTGGATCAAAGATTTCATCCCATTTGAGACTTCAGATGAAACACACCTGCCAGATGCGCTGCCTAGCAATGGCGAAAATCACACCGGAGCACCCGAAGCTGCTCAGGTGGACCCCGTATCAGAGATTATGCAACGCAATGGGGAACTTGTCCGTGCGGTACAAGCAGATCTGACGGATGCACAGTCTTGGATTCGGTTGATTGACTACCAAGACTTTGTGCTCTTTGGCCCCCAGAAAGACAATCGCTCGCTCAGTTATAGCGAGCGGCAAGTCCTGGCCGACAAGAAGTTCGATCTGTACGAACAGGGTTTGAACCGTGTGAGCGCGGGCCCCGGTCGGGAAAGGCTCTTCCTGGCAATGCTGGAAGAGGGAGCCAAAGTCTGGGACACGAAACAGCTTTTGAAGCAGTGGCAGTTTGTCGTGGAAGCAGAGAGCGAATCTGTCTATCTACGGGTGAAATATCTCGATTTCTGTCAGACGAACTTTCTTGAATTCAACGTCGACGTGTGCTGGCAGGCGTTCCTTGACTGCATGCAGCTCAATGCAGATTTCACGGATGATCCTCAGAAGTCTCAAGTGCAATGCTATCTTTTTCTACGCCTGACCCTCTTTCTGCGTGAGGCTGGCTATATGGAAATGGCAGTGGGCCTCTGGCAGGCAGTGCTCGAGTTCACTTGCTTCCGACCAAGCTCAGTCGCGCGAAATCTCGAAATGGCTCTGTCGGATTTCAAAGATTTCTGGGTGTCAGAGGTGGCACGTATTGGAGAAGAGGGTGGACGGGGTTGGAAGAGCCGTACGGCCACTGATGTTGCTCCCCTCTCCCACGAGTACAAGACCAAAGTTGACACCCGGCGCCTCGTGGTATCCTGGGCGGCTGCGGAAAGAGAACGGATCTGCAAATCTCGAATGCCGAGCCGCGCCAACGATGTCATGAATGAGATCGATCCGTGCCGGTCCGTCATCTTCCCTGACTTACGACAAATTTTACCACATTTCTGGAATTTCAATGCCAGGGCTGTCAATATGCTTGTCGAATGCTTCTTGCGTTTCTGCCATCTACCTTGTCCGACGACCGTTGATAATGTGTACTCAATCCGGCTGTGGGATGGTGACAGCTTCCTTCGAAATGAGCTTGTGTCCAATGCGGAATATAAGCGCGAACACTTGTTTCCTGCAAACGAGGCAGATAACGCCAGCTCGCTCTTCGCATTCCCACACCACAGTTTTGTGCACTCCATCCACACTCTTTTCACCGATTCCGAATCATGGTTTTCTTCGCTCGATTCCTGGATTACTAGGGCGAAAAACGAGTCATTCCTCATCGATGTGAACTGGGTCCGTTGGACTCTGCAATCTCTGGTCGAAGTCGCTCCCTTGAGCCAAGAATTCGCTGAGGTTGCTCTGGCGGTTGAGCTCGTGTGCGATAGCAATCTGGCGACAAAATACGCGAAAAAACTGTTGAAAAAGCGGCCAAGTCTCAGACTGTACAACGCATTGGCGCTCATTCACCGTCGATCTGGCAATCATGATTTTGCGGATAATGTGTGGATTACCACTATCGAGATAGGCGGTCCGTCCTTGGATCCTCGCACGGTCCAAAGTGGAATCGTTTGGAACTCGATGATTTGGGAAATGCTGCACAGTCACAACCCCCATCGAGCAGCGGCTCTGCTCAAGGTTCTACCTTCCGGCAAAGTCGGCGATTCTCTGAAATTGTCAAATGATGCGGAACTGGCGGATTTCAGCCCTGCTGATGTGCTCAGGACGAAAGAGGTAAGTGCTCATGTTCGATGGAACCAGTGTTTGGTTACTTATTGTGTACAGTTTTTGCTCCGAGCTCAACAGCGCGCCTGGGCTCCCGTAGAGCCCGAAACATACGTTGCTTGGGTCGACAGCCTCGCAATCCTCTATTATCTCACTAAACAGCCCTTCGACCGTGTCCTCGGTGTCTACAACAACATACTTTCTACACTGGAAGCTGGCATAATTGGCATTCAAAACTGGACAGATCTCACGGTTGAACTGCTCCACCAAGCCCGAGCCCAGCTCATGTATCATCACATCAAATCGGCTCGCGTGTTCAAGTCGGCTCAAATCCGCACCGCCCTTCTCCAGAGCATATCTCTGTTTCCCGAAAATACCATGTTCTTATCACTCCTTATGTTGAAGGATATCAAGATCGGCATCTTTGATCGCTTCAGTGATGTTCGCAGCATGACCGAAATGACTGATCTCAACACCCTCCATGATTGGCACGATGACATTAACATAACTGACATAATTTCTCGGGGTGTTCCAGTTTCAACGCACCTCCTGTTAATTTACATGGAATTCGTTTGCCCAGCCTTCGGCAAGACGGTTGTCGGTTCCATCCGATCGGCCTTTGAAAACGCTATTGGTGACCGCCCCGTCTCAGGTCCTTCAGGGAAAGTCCTTGGCAGCAACAAGGCTCGGCCGAACCTCAGTCTCTGGAAATGGTACATCTTGTACGAGTTGTATTGCAACAATGACGTTTCCCGTGCTAAAGCCGTCTTCTACCGTGCCATCCGCACATGTCCCTGGTCAAAGGAGCTTATCATGATTGCTTTTGAGCACTTGCGTGGTGATCTCACGCAGCTTTTGCATAAGCCACTGAGTGAGACCCCACAAGGAGAAAACGTCGCCTTTGGTCTGAGATTTGATGCCCTCCAGGAGATCTACATGTCCACCTGTGAAAAGGACATCCGTCTCCATGCACAAATTGACCGCTGGATTATGGATATCGTCACAAGCAGTGGGTATGTTGCGGATGGTCTCGAGCCAGGTCAGGAGCCAAATGATGCTGAGTTGAAGTTGGCCCGTGCCTTTCCCTCGCCTGGGAGTATTCTTGAGGGGAGGCTTTGAGGATTAATCATCCTCTAATGGGCTTTTCTACATACGTTTGACGAGGGGAGAGAACTGGGGTATGGGGGATGAAGATGACGATGACGATGTGCTTGTTGGAGTTTGCGCCAGTCGGAGTTTTTTTTTGCTGTTTCTTCTGTACGATTATCGATTTCTAGCTAATTTCTGAATGAATCGCGGATTCATGACACTTCCCTTGTCTACAAAGCAAGCCGTATAGTTTTATATGCTTGACTCGAATCTCCTTGCACAGGACAGCGCTATCACATGATCTCACTTGTCCAGGGCCCCTATGTAAAACTCACACGGTGTTTTCTTCGCCAGAAATAACCACAAGCAGCTAAGATGCCGTGGACATGGCGTTGGAAACGGCGGCATAACCCCTCGGTCACCAGAAAAACCGTGAGCGTCCGGAATAAGACAGCGCATGGAGCGAACCGCTAATGCCTGTTCCCTCGCAGGTCAACCATTCCGCAGATAACGGACTGAAGCCGTTATATTCAGGCCCAGATCCTCAGCTCGAGTATGACCTCATGCGGGTATTCCTTTTCACACAAACCTCAGGACCAGCTGATCACCTTGTGGCAGTATCGTGGCCGTCCACGGACTGAATGGACACCGCATGAATTCATGGACAGCTCCAAATGGGGTCAACTGGCTCCAGGATTTACTCCCCGCAGATTTGCCCCACACGAGGATCTATACCTGGGGATACCACGCGCCGACGGGGACAACTGAGTCCGGAATGCCATCGCTGCAAAAGGTTTCTGAAAACCTCGTTTCGGATTTATTGGCAATCAGAGAATCCACGAGAGTATGGGCTGGCTTTGCCTGTTCCCGGTATCATAAATGCTGAAAGTTCCACAGACAAATGACCGTCCCATTATATTTATTGCCCACAGTGTTGGGGGTACGATAGTGAAGAGCGTATGCTTCTCTTGCCCGAAATTCGGGAAGCCTCACATCTAATCCGCTCTTTCAGGCTCTGCTATACTCGATGCAACACGGTGCTTCCCCGTCTATCCGCAATATCAGCCTCTCAACCTATGGGGTTGTCTACGTGGGAACACCAGAGTTGGACCAACGACTTGCCGGGCTACAGAGCTATCTGGCCAGCAATCAAGTATCAGACGAAGATTTATCTGACAGCTTCAAGGAAGCACGCTGGCTATTGGGTTTACTTCAACGCTACTCTTCTGTCAGTGACAAGTTTAGGACTATTGTTGTTCGGGAGAGCCTCGATGCATCGGCCATTGGAGGTCAATCGACTCAAGTAAGGCAAGTTTTACAAGTACCAGTGGATGTGTGCTAACCTTTTGTGACTTGGTCCATATTTAGGCAGTCTCGTCTTCGACCCATGCAGTTTCCATTTCAATAAATGCGGATCATGACAGCATGAACAAGTTTGAATCTCTTTCGAATCCCGGATATATCAAAGTCAAATGGCACTTATGCATAATGGCCAATGACATCCTCGAGAGAACCAACCCCGGGCTAAGGTCCTGAATCAGTGACTTAGAATACAGACCGATCATGAGTCTGATCTCCCTTCCCTCAGTGAATTGGTGAAGCCTGGCGGGCACGATCCTGCCTTTGCTGGAAAGTCGACAATCAGATTTCTGGTATAATAAATCTCTAGAAAGAAACAGGTAAAGGCAGGAGCTGAACCGGAAGAAAGACAAGCTATTTAACAATAGAATGCCTTAACGGGACAATATATAACTAGAGATATTTTGACCCAGCATTAGCCGCAGGCCCGCTAGAAAAAGAATCCGCGGGGGCAGCTTTGCGTAAAGCTAAAGGAGCATAATTTCCTATTAAATTATCTAAATCTCATGTTGCATCGTGATGACCGTATTTCTTTCTATTGATTCCTCCAATTCAGTCCAAAGCAACAAAAAATGTGGTCATGTGTGCGTAGAAAGCCCACGAGTATAAATTTATCGTTCCCGCCCCTGCTTTCTTGTCACCTCCCCAATCACCCACCCACTTTCAAGCCGACTTCTTCCAATTGACTCCTTTCTATATATGAGCCTTAATATCCTTCCATCTGATCTAGGCGGCTGCTATGATGAAGCTGAGCCAAATAGTTCAAGGTCGATTGGGCCAGTAGTACATCACCAAACAACTTCACGAGACTGTCTTGCTTGCTTTGAACGTTATTCTCGTGAAGTATTATTCAATTACTAATGGCACCAGAAACCAACGCAAAGAAAGCGTCATTATTAAAAGTGCCAATCATTGCTGTATCTCTAATGAACGAGATATCTTGCTGCAGTTTCAGGACAAAACACCTTTTCTTCGATCTATGATAGACGAGATCCAACAGCCCGTTTCACCTAATTCTATTGTTCTTAGGTATATGCACCACAGCAGACATTTTAGCCTCGGGTGCTGGGGGCATGGACATGATCCTTGGATTCTCAAAGTCGAGGACCAATGTTGGGAGACCCGAGGTAATATGTAGGGATAGTGCGCATAACGTTGATTAATGACCTGCTTCACTACTGTATTGTGTGTTCATGATGTATTTTATATTTAATCCCAGCACTCCCTCTATTTATGCAGTGAACGAGGACCATCTAAACGCAGCAATCTGTACTTGTCACACCTCAACCTCAAACACCAAGGCAACCACCACACCACCAACCAAAACCACTCCTGCCAGCGTAGACAGACCAATCTGACTTGCCAAGCTAAAAGGAACCAGAACCTGGTTCTGTGGCCTCAGCATCTGGGGATAGAAATACCAAGTGGAGGTGACACCCAGCCAAGCCATGGCCCAGAAAAGGCCAAGAGCCCTCTGCCACAGAGGGGGCACTTGGTTGTCTGTTTTCTTCTCATCCTTTCGTTTCCAAATAGACCTCCACAATGCTTCGATGCCATCTTCGATCATGAGCCCCAGAGAAGCCATGGCGAAGAATAACAGGGCGCCCGATTCCTGTGCCGGGATGCCCTGCACAATATCAAGTATAACATGCAGTCCACCTGAGAGGAGGAATACGATGAAGACATTCATATACCGCTCCAATAAAGACCGAGGCGGTAGGCCCAGTAGATCACGAGTGATAAAGGTACTGACAGAAGTCAGGGGTTGTCGCAATAACTGGTGCCAGAAATTCCTGTGGGTAATTGATAAGCATAGGCAGCCAGCTAATATTGACTACTGGGTAAATGAAAAGAGAGTGCAAACTTACGCCCAAAATCCCCGTAACGAATCGACATCAGCCGCCCTTCCAAACAACGGGGGACAATTGGAAGGCGAGTCAAGCCCAAATCCCACGACGAGAACCGAAAACGCCCGATGATGGAAGTCGATAAGGATACGGCTCACAACGAACCCAGCAACCAAATTAGAAACAATCCGCTCAATCCACTGCTCAACTGATAAATCCCAGCTCGGCTGCGCCGGTAACGACTCATGCTTCTTATGCTCCAAGGCCTGCCGCAACGCAAGAGTACAGAAAACATCCAGCGCCAGATACTGCCAGATGGCAATGACAATCTGGCGAATCAAGAAGCGCCCTCGAGGAGGGTGATGCAGATTCCTTCGTTGGTAATATGCCGGCTGGGAGGGCGCATTCTTGACTTGCCAGGGCGTGTTAATCCCACGAGGCTGGGTGAAAAGCCGGGTCGCATAGTAGAGACGAGCCACAGAGCCATTTTTTCCCGCGTCGAGGGGGAGATCGGTGCCGTCTTTCGGGTTGATGAGCAGCAGGTTCAGGGCTTGCAAGACGACGGTCACAAAGAGGCGGGCAAATTCACACCAGATAAATCCTGGGCCTAGTGCCGAGGCCACGCGGATAGATCGGTGCGCAATATATAGCAAGCATGGAATTGAGAGGTACCGAAGAAGAGCCCGCCTGGGGGTTGTGAGTAGAAGAGTCGCGGGGACTAGGCCGTGGGCGGCGTAGAGCAATAGGATTTCCAGAACGTTTGCAGAGGTCGATGTGCTTCGTCTGTTCATACCAGGCAGACTTCAGTATATGCACGAATGCGTTGAATTGAGAGGAAATACTTGGTTGTCCATTTTCGCGGGGATCGGCAAATCTTTGTGTTTGTTTTTCTTTTCTTTTTTTTAGGCCCACGTGAGATTCGCACACTTCTGCAGCTCATTTGCACTTTTGAATATATAGTTGACACCTGCATAGAGTATAAAACGATGCAGTGAGATTTCTCATCTCAACTGGGCTGTGTGATCACCTGAACCCTCCTAGAGAGACAATATTTCGGGAAATAATAGAACCTCAAGGAAATTGTATAAATGCTCAAGTTGATTCGTATAGCTAACTACATAGCGTACAGGATGGAAACAAGATCCAAAAAGCCACAAAACACATCAAGAGACTCGTCAGTCATCACGTTATATACAATACAAACAAAAGGCATTGCGGCCCTGACAGACACCTCCTTAAAAGTTTTCCTTCCAGAACTTGAACTTGACGTCTTTAGTCGACGACGATTTGGCCGCATTGCTGATCTGGCGCGCCGCAGTGTTGGGTCCACAGAAATACACACCAATTTCCGTTGTCGATGCATTCTGCAGACCGCTCATGTAGGACTGGTCCAGCAAGCCGAGGTGCATGGCAGTGAACAGGCGCTTGAAATCCGGACGACCGAAATTCATGCGACTGCGCAGTTCGGTGAGTGGGTCCAGCGCCTGGCCTACGGAATTGAGGTAGATGTTGGCAGCAGTGTCGTCGTCCAGCCGCTGGGTGAGATAGGTGTGGATGCGCAGGAATTCAGCCTGGCCCTCGTTGGTGGCGGCTTCGGCGGACTGGGCTTCCAGCGAGGAGAGTAGCGCCTGAAACCACTCAAAGGTCGAGGTGTTCTTGCAGATCCAGATGAACTCGACACGGCGCAGACGACGCGGCGGGTTCGGGCTCGACCGCAGGTGCCAGATGTTTTTCAGGATTGAGGCCCACGGCGTGACCCCGATGCCTGTGCCGATCATCACGGCGATTTCGTTCTCGAATACGTCTTCGGCCGGTGCTCCGTACGGCCCATCCACGCGTATCGACGGCATCATTTGGCCGTTCTGCAGCGCCACCTCGTACATACCCAACGGATCGAGACCTTCCAGGTCTTGGGCCTGCGCCGGTCCGCATCCGAGGGCATCTCCGAGGGCTCGCGTGAAGTCTCCGACCTGGCGGACGTGTACGCTCACATACTGATCGAAGGGACAGGATGTGATCGTGAATGGATGCCATTGGGTATTGGAAACGTCGGGGACCTGGAGGAAAATCCACTGGCCGGGCTTGTATTTCATGCTGGGTTTGTGGAATTGGATTTCCATTGCATCTGTAGGTTCCATATCAGCCATGATGAGCCTTCGAGTTGAAGGGCTTGACGTGTTGACATACCGTACGGGTGACGAATCACCTTCGTGATGACAGTCTCCCGCCGAGACCGAATCTCGCGGTAGAGTCTCTCGAGAAGATACAACACGCCGGCGACCAGCTCCCATCTCCACCCCTCATAACCAAGGCAGTGGTCCCAGAACGGCTGTCCTGCAAATGGTGAAAAGGGGTCGGTGGTGTCTCGCACAAAGCAGCCCGTGGCATGGGTGTAGAATGCGAGCATAAACGGGATGAACAGATGATGCGTGTACCAGAATGTCTCGTATGCCTGTTGGCGAATGCGATGATGCGCAGTAGTATACATCAGCATCATGCACAAGAGCATGACATGGCCAGTGATACCACCAGCCTGGGTGAAGTGAATTTGAACTGCTAGCTCAGGGCGAACTTGGTTCTTCTCGATATTATAGAAGCTAAGAGAGATTAGCAAGACCGGTCCGAAGGGTTAGAGGAACACAGGTCAGCTTACTTGACATAGTGAGCTGCGACATGGAGCCCCGTAAAAACAAGCAGCGCATACGCGACCTGGCGATGAAACCATGCAGACTCGTCGAGCGGCAACCATCGAATCTGCGGTCTGAGCCACCGAAGCACGTTGTGACACATGGGAAGAAGAATCAAGGTTCCATCGACTGAGAGCGCCAGTCCGGCGCCTCGAGAGATCCAGACCGAATACTGGAGTACATTAAGAGATGCCAGTTTGGAACTTGATGTTTGGAGGTACCTAGGATCATGTTAGTGACAACTGTATAACATGTTCATTGGGTTTCGCAACGTACCATCCCACGGCAAAAAGACCAAAATGCATCCCCCAGAAGACGAAGTAGAAGAGGAGCTTGGAGGCTGTGATGTCGGCTTTTTGCAGCCAAGAATCTTTGGATGCGACCATTGCGATTCACTTTTGGGGGATGTCGGCCAGCGACAGTAATTAAATGAGCGACGAGCCGTGGCGGTTGACCAGCAATCGAGGGAAGCTCACTGCAGTCGAGAAGCGGGATTCGAAAATAATATGTAATTTACAGGCGCTCTGAATTCACTTCAGATGCGGCAAGTAAACGGGTCGTTGTTTTCTCTCCATGAACTTGGCCCCAGATAACAACCTCCCCCGCTGGCCAGGTACACTCTGAAAACAGAAAACTCGGGCTGGGCGACTAGTGGAAAAACCACCTAAACAAGAACAATGAAACAGCGATGGGACCAGAAAGCGCAACTCCGGAGATTTGGTTTGGTTAAACAACGTGGTAGTGCCGGCAGTCGCAAACTCGCGCTTCAGCCCCCCGAAATATGTCGCTAGCGGTGCCTGAGATCGAGTCGCTAGACGCTCAGGGTGAAACCAACAATCTTCAGAGGTTTTTGGGTCATGGTTCCTTCGATTCAGGTGAAGTCAGAAAGAAAAAGAGAAGGAAGTTGTGGAGGAAGAATCCCAGCGGTGTGGTTTTGGCTACAGGGGGCCCAATCTATAATTATCACGGAGGAACCGTGAACTTTGACCCAGCCTTTTGCACCTCACCACGTTATGACATCTATTATTCTATTGCTCGCTTCTAATAACCCCTACAACTCTCTGATTCAGCCATTAGGATTCGATCATCCTGGTTGTGGGCCAATAGAGACAAGTCTAGTGTGTAAGTCTCTCTTCACAAGAGGATTTTATTACCGACAGGTCTCGGGCCTAATCACCACAGGAATTTCTCTCCTCATTCTCAGATACAATTTGGCTGTGGGTGAGACCCATCACACTGCAGTCTTCACAGCGTGCCAGCTGCATCTCATCACGCCAAGGCCGGTGCTATGATTTGTGATTTGCGTCTGTCTGCTCCATGGTCCACTCAGTCACACCATGCGTCACCCAATCACACTTGTGGCTAAGTGTCCTTGAAGGAATTCGATAAGGAACAGGTCCAGGGCTTGGGCTCATCACTGGTCCTAATTGGCCCGTGGCGTTGAAGAGTATCCGTGCGGGTCACGATTTAGCCCTATTTTTCGGCGGTAAATCACCCCAGACGTGCAGCGATCACCACTGTTTTGCCGCCCAGCTGTCACATTGCAGGAGGGGTTGATGTGGGCAGTGATGGAGAAAAATGAATTATTCTTAGGCTCATATCTTGTCTTATCCGGCCTGCATGGCCAAATTTTATCATCCATGGTATCGACCACAAGTCCATATATCGACCCCCAGGCTCCTTCCTTCCACTCCATGTGGAACGTTACCGGGAGTTCTTTTTAATCGACTACATGGAGCTCTTCAAGGCTTCCTAACCGCTTCTGAGAAAGTACTGTTGGTCGCAAATTAGCGCATCCGCCGGAAATCCTCTATACGAAGCTACAACGACGCCGGCGTGCAATCCCCAAGTCTCCCCAAGTCCACCAGTGTCACCCGGATATAACAGCTATACATCACTTTGGGCTCGATATTCTCTTGCTGGTCAGGAGGTTTAACACAAAATACTCACACTCTACATATAATCCAACACGATGGGCAGACTCATCAAGAACCACTGGGGGCGGCTAATCATTCTCACCGCAGCAGCCTGTAAGTTTTCCACGAGAAAGGAAAACGAAAGAATAGAAAAGAGAAAGGATACAAGGATCACACTGCTAACCTCTGACTGCAGACCAAGTGGCCAGCGCAATCGAAGGCTTCATCTGGCCCAAAGTCTTCTGGGACTTTATCTCGAAAAACCTCAACGCCGCTGTCAACCCGATCCCCGTCCTCCAAATCCTCAATCTCATTATGGGCCTCATTGGCCTGGCTTGGGAATGGCCCTTGAAACCACTGGCAGGGTCATTAGCCCACCGCAGCATAGAAATTCGACTTGTTATCTACCCGCTCAGCGCTCTACTTGCCGCCCTCCTCTACCAAGGCACAGACCCAGCAATATATTATCTTGTGGGAATTGGGGTTTATTTTTGGGCCTACAGTGAGGGAGAGGTATTTAAGTTTTTTTTTTTTTTTTCTTTTCTTTTTCTTTCTCTGCGTGGCGTAAAAAGGGATGATGCTAACAAACGTGGTCTTTTTCTAGATTGTATGCGCAGAGCCGTGGACATTACCGAAGCGCTCGAGGATAACCAAGGAATAGGCCTTGTGTCTTCGGTCTGGCTTAGTTGGTGTCCCAGACGCAGACCATTGTACATATAATGATAAATAAAAATTATGCAGATATTGAACAAAAGCATCATCTGTATCCCTGGATAAGTTCTAAGGCTTTAGGAGTTAGATGATCTTCATTTTTAGTGTGTAATATGGAACCCCTTACAGAGTTAAACTAAATACTACTATAATGTACCAGGTGGTTCCTGCGGATGGTTGTTGGGGTCGGTTTGGCTGGTTAGCCGGTTCAGTTGGACTCGTTGGTATTGCGATTCTTGCCCATTCCCCTTCTTGAGAGGGTTTCGCCCCTCGGCAGGAAGAGGATGGATTCAAAAGAAAGGAATGTACGTGCAAAAGGAATTTGTATCGAGTCAAGCTACCGGATCCTTAGGATCATTGCGTATGATTTGCAAGTCATGGATTGCTTCATAGGGTACCGTGCTTTAGATAGCAACGATACAAGCTTGGAACTATAGAGTTGACCACAGAACTATTAAAAGAAATGTCAAATCCACGTGCAATAGCTTGTCTGTTCTTTTAAATTTGTCAGGGCACCAGGAGCACCAATCCAACAGTAAGTTAGGAAGCAAATGAACTCAAGAATAATAATCAGTTTATCGAGAGCCAACACATAAAATATTGTGGGTCCGACTATAGGTAGATTGAGCCATATCAAAGTGCATAAAAAGAATCACAATGTTCAATTTAACATCATAGAAAAATGACTCGACAATTCCATTTGTAATTCCGTATGCCATATATTGATGCCCAGTTAATGAGGCAACTCGGCGGAGCACGTGAGGTGTCGACCAAACCATCCGATCCAATTTCGGCTGTTCACGTCCCATGAAGTAGCGCTGGTGCCAGACTCATGGTAACACATATGCCACAGGCAGTTACTCAAGAATCACAGCTAACTGAATTCACTAAATACAGCTTAGATCAAACCAGATGCCTTCCCTCGCCCCAGACGGCACATCCAAAGTGGAAGACGATGACCATGTCTCCGATCCAGAGGCAGAGGACGTACCAGTCAACAAGATCACCAGCTTCAACGGCAAGCTCAACCAATTCATTCATGGCAGCAGTGCCCCATATATAATTGGAGATCTCCCCTCCAAACAAGATGGCGAACTGAAGCGCAGACTGGCGGGTGCCGAGTCGGAGGATGGCATCACCAGTGGCAGTGCCGAGACTGACAGGTCAACGCCCAATTCGAAACGGAGGAGGGCGACAACAAAACCACCCATGTCTCTCTTGAGTCAGCCACCGCGTCTCACTCGATCACGCTCCAGCACCTCGAATACACACTCTCCACCCTCCCCACCAATCCCACCGATAGTCACATCCCCATTAAAACCCCACGGCCGAGGCAAGCGGAAAACACCGCGCCCCGAACCACCGCATCCTGCATCCACAAGCACAGAATCCCTCCTTCGCGACACCATCCCACCAAATCTGATCCTGTTGTTGGTGGGCGTGAACCCAGGGCTCATGACGGGGGTGACGGGGTACGCATACGCCCACCCATCGAACCTCTTCTGGAAACTGCTCTATTCCTCTGGAATCACAAGCACACGGCACGTGCCCTCGGACACCTACAAACTACCCGACCTTTACAACGTGGGCAACACGAACATCGTGGAGCGGCCCACCCGCGACGCGAGCATGCTCCGGCGCGCCGAGATGGACGCGGGCGTGCCCATCCTCGAAGCCAAAGTGGCGGCGCAGCGGCCCGAGGCTGTGGGCCTGGTCGGCAAGAGCATCTGGGAGGCTGTCTGGCGGGTGCGCCATGGGCGGGCCATTCGCAAGGAGGAGTTCCGGTATGGCTGGCAGCCAGCTGCCGAGAATATGGGCCGCACGCCGGGCGGTGACTGGGCCGGGGCCCCCGTGTTTGTAGCGACGACGACCAGCGGGCTTGCGGCTGGGATGAGCCCTGCGGAGAAAGAGGCTGTGTGGGCGGAGCTTGGTCGGTGGGTGGTTCAGCGCAGGGCGGAGCGCGCACTGGCTTTGTCGGAAGTGTAGGTGTATGGTATATCTATATCTAATATTGCTATAATGAGGGTCATGCTATACGCTACTATTACGAATCAACGATTGCTACAAGCCCAAGAACGATTCCTAGTAAGAAGTGTAAAACCAGTATGACAAGTCCAACTGCTCATCATTCATTATCTCATGGTATCAGGTATCGAAGCCTGTGGTTTCGATGCAAAATGGAAATGGAAAAGAAAAGAGTTGCCTGGTCGAGTTCGAGCTCGCCTTTGCCAGGCCGGTTCCAAGTCGACCAAAATGCAGATCTAACCGAGGATTCACGGAATAAAGGCCCATGAAGGAAAGGTCATCGTGGATGGAGATAGCGGTCAAGCCAGAGACCTCTGTGTGGAGGACAGGCAGGACCATCAATCATGCAAGAGTTGATCGCGTGCTCTGTCAACTCCACGCGATGGACATAAATACCCAGTTTACCGGGTGATTCCAATAGGGCCATTGGAGTCGTTCTTGCCGCCCTCACGCTCACGTTGCTGTATCAGACCAAGTTAGTATTGGAGTGTGCCGTTGTAACTTGCGATGGACTAAATGGGGGAACGAACCGTGTAGTTCTGGTACTCGCCGCCCTCCAGAATCTTGATCATGCACTCATCCTCGTTGTTGGTTCCGAACTCGTTGTTCAAACTGGCCTTGCTGGCGGTGTCCAGCACGCCTTGAGCTCCGTGGCTGTTGGGTGGAAGTGTTAGTCGAGAAAATAAGAAAAGTGGAAGCTTTTTGAGAGGGTGGGGAGGGGAGAAGAAACTTACGAGTGCGTCACAAAGATCTTCCAGCCGTTCAGCACTTCGCTCAATGGGATGCTGCGGTCGTTCTTCCACTTGTGCAGGATTTCGAGGTCGTCGACGAAGACAATGAAGTCGTCGGAGCGGCCCTTGTAGAAGATCTTGGAGGTGGGGTCGTTGGCACGAGGCATGATGAGAATTGGGATGGTAAATTGGATATGGATTAAGCGAATTCAAGGAGGATAGAATAGTTAAAGTAAAAGATAGAGTATTCAGAGAAGCTGAGGAGCTCAGGATTTAAAGACAGGATGTCTGATGATGATGGATGACGTCAATGTCTCCAACGAATGCAAACAACCGACTTTCTCGATGTTTCCCTGCGCCATTTCTTTTGTTGGCTTTTAGCTGACACTGCAATGGAGCAATTTCTCAAGTCTCTTCCACCTCTAATCAGCCCTGGTCCTAGAAATCCCTCTCCACCTCCATCTAGCCCAGCCCCCTCCTTTGCCCAAGCTGCCAACTTGCGCCGGACGACGTCATCGGCTCCCTTCCTTTGAATCCGCACTGACGCCAAATCAGTGGAGCCAGCAAGGTGGCAAGGACAGGTTATACCTCACGAGAGCATGTTGAATTACGTTTTGCCAAGGGTGTCACCACAATGCCCCTCTATACCTCCACACCGAAGACCTAAGAAGAGGGCAAGAGGACAAATCATGGCCCTTTCTATGAATTTACAGTACATAAATGATTATTATCCACACTATACTATCAAGCTTGTAGTCTCACCAGGCCTACCAGGCTTCATGATAATAGGAGGGCGATATGACTATCCCTCTACTTCCTTCGAATCCACCCTGCAAAGCCGATCCAGCATGGCAGTGGGCTAAGCAAATTTTCCTCCAGCTACATCATCAATGCACTACAGCATACCCCATGGATTGGATCAAGTCCCCTGAAAATGCCGCCAGAAAATCTTGAAGGGAACAATGAAGCAAAATCCAAGTGTATTCCCGCATATTTGGCTTTCATTTGAGCCTAACCCCAACACCAGCCTAGGTCCTTTCCACCTTTCGTACAGGGCTATACATATGACACAAAGCCAGACCGAGTAATGGTATAGTGAACAGAGAATGTCAAAGCCGTATCCTGCCATGTCCAAAGAGCAAAAGAAAAAGAAAAGAAGCAGCTGCCGTCATTCTTGGATCATGGGCCTGGTCATTCGCACCTCCTTCAATTTATAACGTGCTCGCTCCCAGGCTGGGACGTGGCCGGATCAGATTTTTCGGAGACAAGACACTCAGCAGCGCCATTGGTGAGGTCCACTTCTTGCGGGCTGGAGAGGACTCCGAGTTATCATCTTGGCTCCGACGCTTTTCACTGCGAGGGGATGGGGGCGCACCCATAGCCCTTTTAGCGGCGCCTTTGAATCGAAGTGTCTTCGATCGCCCCATGGTAGATGTGATTGTCCTGGGGATTTCCCCATCCGCATTCTGCTGGTCCTCGCATTTCTCGCCTTGGGCCGTCAACTCTTTTTCTTCCCCGCCGTGTCCGTCAATAGAGTGGGCGTCAGTCATCACGGGTCCGGAATGGGAGGTGCTGACGGAACTGGACCGCCTGGTGAATCCGGCATGGAGACTGAGACGTCTCATGATGGATCCGCGTCGGAAGAGATCACCCCTTCCGAGAACCATTCCTGGCAATGGAAGCACGTCTCGTGTATAGACATCCGCGACCAATCGCTCCAGTCGGATTCGTTCCATCCGTCTCGCAGTCAGGGTCAGTGCAGTACGTGAAACAGGTGTCTTGGGTCGTTCAATCTCGCCCTGATCTGGAGATGTTAACTCCTCGTGGCTATGCGGGCAATTCGTCTTCTTGATGATTACATGCTGAACATGGGACTTGCGCAATACCGCCATGGAGTCCATCGATGATCTTCGAGCCAAAGAGCCCGCGGCGTACTGAACGCGATCCAAGGGCACCAGGTCGAGGGTCACGAAAGAGTATTGCCGAGGGTCCCACGAGCCCGGCTTTTCTATGCCCGACAAGGCTGCAGAGGATTTCAGCAACTCCGTCTTCCAGTGTCTCTCTTCTGTGGCCGAAGATGCACTGAGCACAATTTCGTAGTTTTCCTCTTGATCTTGGAAGATGAGCTTCCAAGAGAACAGGCATCCGTAGCAATAGAGCCCTGTTTCATTTAGCTAACGGGGACAGACGAGAATAGTTGCATACAAGGCCTTACCTTGTCCATTGCTTGGCGTATCCATCTTTAAGTCGTCCACGTACAGGCAGGCCACTGCCTCCAGTCGATGGAAGTCATCGATGCCCCTGGCAAAAAGGAGGTAGCAGTTGAAAAGGATGCATACCATGAAGTCACCGGTGGTGCTTTCTGGTGTTCGATATACCACATGGAGAACACCGCACAAGGTCATCGGCCCCAGCTCTCTATACATATCTTGAAGTGGATGCTATGCATAAATATCATTAATTACGTCTTTGGCCCCGACCGAGCATGGGAGGATTGCGCACCAAATCTGAGAATCCGATTCTTTCCTGGAGGAGAATAGTCTTTTGGATCCGGTCTTTGTGAACGGGGTTGCCGGTTGCTGAATTGATTCGTGCCACTAAAGCGCGCAAATTCTCCACGATCTGCTCAATGCCAGCATGGGAAGATGGGCAGTCACAAATCGGGGTTTGTCGAAGCATATCCTGGAGTAGAAGTGGATATTTGCAGAGGCGCTGAACAGGCTGTTTCGCAGTCAGCAAATGAAGCACTGGCGGAACAGGGAGGCACGCCAACCTTTATCAACAGATCATTTAGCGACATGGATCGGTTTTCTTCCTGTTTTCGACTGTCCATCGATGCGACTGACTTGGACAATGCCTCAATCCCCTGGTCAAAAACTTCCCAGTTGGGAATGGACCTGCGTAGGAGGACCATATCTTGGGTGAGAATCTCATAGTTGCTGCAGAACTCCTCGTATAGCGAGAAAGAAATAGACTGTCGACCGAGAAAATGTAATTAGCGGTTGCAACAAGCCTCGGGATTCGAAAACGCACCAACTTATCAATCTCACGCGCGACTTCAAGGCATTCAAATGGCTCCGCGGACAAAGCTTTGAGCCGCTGGTTAACCGATGCTTTGAAGTTGCTCGTCCTCAGAGACCGGTTTTGAAGCCCCTTGAACCCAGGCAAGTCAATGGTGCCCAAGCGCTTGTAGAGCCCTCGAGATGCAAGGTCGGAGAGTCCACTCTCTGAAGCATTTGATGTTGAGAGAGGGGACGTTGCCTGGAGCTGACTTAGGAAGCGCTCGTGGATAGCGAGGATGCGTTGGATGTTGCGATATATCTCGGGCCTGGTGTTGAATATGGACAGGACCTGCATAGATCATCAATGATCAGCAAGGCGACAGACTACAGCTAACTGGTACACTTACACCTGTGAGTGCTTTCAAGCCAAGGACATAGTCCGACTCGGTCGTGATGATTTCCCGTAACACCTGTCGTCTCTTGGTCGCCCGCAGTTCTGCGTCCTTGTCGATGTGATGGCTAGACGCCGGTCGAGTGCTGTCGGCAGAGATTCGCGAGCCTGATATGGTACTCTGGTTGGCTGTACTCCGGGTGGTCCGTCTAGATCTCGCCATGCTCCGGCTAGCAATGCTAAGTGTAGTTGTTTTGACGGTTCCCAGTTGTGAAGAGTGCCGCGATTCGCTCTCCCACTGTTGTTCCTGTCCGTTGGGAGCATCTTGGTTCTGCGTCGAGAATTCCACCTGTGAAGAATCCGACCAGCCTTCGACAAAGCGTTGTGGTGTGGTTCGGGGGGTGTATTTGCGAGGACGAAAGCTGTCCATCCACTTTTTGAATGGATGAGCGATAGCAGGTACTTCCATTGACATCACTGCTTCTTCGGTATCGAAAAACCTCACGTCGAAATCGTCCACATCGACGAGCACCGGTTTCTCGATCTCGACCTCATCATTGTCCTTCATGGTCGGCCAGAGCAATCCAGCTGACACCAATAGCGCAGTCATGAAGAAAGATGAGATCGAGCTTTGTCAAAAGTAGAAGCCGACGCTGGATGCAGCTTCATCGTTCGGCAGTCGCGACGGAGCTTCTGGAGGGGGTACACGGCTGCGTGCCTTGTCCGAGCAGAATTTCCAGCTAACTTGAGATGTCACGACGGCTCCAGGCAGCTGTCGCTGAAAAATATTTGAATCCCATCCATGTACGTCATGGTGTGAGGCAGGTCGATAGGTGGGATTGAAATGCTGTAACCGGGGTCGGGGATTTAGAAGCCTCAGATATATCTCGTGGGCGACAGATATATGGGTGGATCATATGAAAGTGAGCATCTAGGATCTAGGATCAACTTTACAGCTAGAAATAATGTCGCAAAGATATCCATGAATAGATCTTCCACCTGGGGCAAGGGTGTGTATAGATCTCTCAGCAGCCGAATGCCAAGCGCGCTTAGTTCCATCCAGCTTGGAGACCCACTGCTTCATCCCACCGTCCTGATCATGGGCATCCCCATGGACGACATCCACGCCCCAACTGTCGCCTCCGGACCGACGTCCGGGGGTGTTCCTCGCGATCTGTCGAAGCTATCCATAGTCGATCTGATGCAAGAAAAGGAACGGATCGAGGCGGAACTGTCGGCGCTCAGCAGCGTGTTGAGCTCGGTAGGTGCTTTGCTGTTGGAGATTTGCTGTCGCATTCAACTAACAGACTGGGTTTTTTTTTTTGTAGCATGGCGTGAATATGAACTCGTCTCTCACTACCTTCGATGGCTTTCCTCGCGACGACATTGACATTGCTCAAGGTACGAACTACTTGTCTCTGCGTTCCCCCCCCACCACGCGCCACAACCCGCTGAAACCCCATCAACTGTCTAGTTCGAACAACGCGAGTACGGATCATTCATCTTCGAAATGATCATAAGGAGGTAATGAGCCACCTGGAGAAGGACCTCCACCACCATTTCGCGACCCTCCAGAATGCGCAAGCAGCCGCCGCGACAAATGGCGCCAGTACCCCTTCGGCCGCTCCTTCACTGGCAGACAACAGCTTGGCAGATGCCGGTATGCTAGGAACACCATTTGCCAAGGTCAACAGTGTGGTTCCTGGGAGCCCGGCTGACCAGGCCGGCTTGAACTCCGGAGACACCGTCCGAAGCTTTGGGAATGTGCACTGGTTGAACCACGAGCGTCTTTCCAAGGTCGCAGAGACAGTTCAACAGAACGAAGGGGTACGTGGGCCGAATCTATGTCTGTTTCAATTTTCATCCGTCTAACTGGCTCCTATAGCGTCCGCTCTCGGTCAAGGTAGTGCGCAAAGCCGACAGCAGATCTGGCACTACAATGGAATTGGATCTGCAGCTCACTCCACGACGAGACTGGGGAGGTCGCGGGTTGCTGGGGTGTCATTTGGTTCCGCTATGAGAGCGACATGCGACTCACGAGTAATGATGGCCTGTGGTTTTGTTTATTTTTGTTATCTCTTGTAGGAATTGTAAATGGATTCGGCGTTGAGGATAGGCCCTCATGATTTCCACGCGCAATCTCAGACTTCAATCCCGTAGCGACGCCTTTGGGGTAAAAGTAGCGAAATGCTCGCATTGTTGTCCCTACGTCACGCACCTCAGGCACACAAACACACGTGACCACCCAGCGACCGGGCCAAAAATTCCATCCACCGCGTTGTTCCCCTTCTTCCTCCCCTCTCCTTGACAACTCCCTCGCTCCCATATTTCATCGCCTGTTTCACGGCTCTTTTATAGACCTTTGAATCCTTTTCTCCTTTTTTCTTCAGTCGCATTTTTCATCATGGCTGAGCAACAGGGCCCACCTACCTTCAAGCTCGTCCTGGTCGGTGACGGTGGTACTGGCAAGGTAAGCCGATCTGCCTCCTTGAATTGCTGATGGCATTCGGGGCGATGTTCTTTGGGTAGCGACAGTCGCTGGCCCAGATGGTGGCCTTGACAGCGTTTTCCCGCCGAATTCCCCCCTTGCCCCGCGCATGTCAACAAGGCAAAATAAATATCTGCCCAACGGCTTTTTCCAACGAGAATTCATCACTGACGCAACCAACCACCTGGCAGACCACCTTCGTCAAGCGCCACCTGACTGGCGAGTTCGAGAAGAAGTACATTGCCACCCTCGGTGTTGAGGTGCACCCTCTTGCTTTCACCACCGTATGATATGCCCCGCCGAAGAGCCCCGCTCCGAATCGGTCACCTCCCCCATGGTCTTACTGGCAACTAACTCAACCCGAATAGAACCTGGGCAACATCCAGTTCGACGTCTGGGACACCGCTGGCCAGGAGAAGTTCGGTGGTCTCCGCGATGGATACTACATCAACGGCCAGGCCGGTATCATTATGTTCGATGTCACCTCCCGCATCACTTACAAGAACGTCCCCAACTGGCACCGTGAGTTTTCCGTGGCGAACTTCCCAATCGCCGCAGGCAGTCGCTAATTCTAACCAGGTGATCTCGTCCGTGTCTGCGAGAGCATCCCCATCGTGCTGTGCGGTAACAAGGTCGACGTGAAGGAGCGCAAGGTCAAGGCCAAGACCATCACCTTCCACCGCAAGAAGAACCTCCAGTACTACGACATCTCGGCCAAGTCCAACTACAACTTCGAGAAGCCCTTCCTGTGGCTCGCCCGCAAGCTGGTCGGCAACCCCCAGCTGGTGCGTATCTCTCCGTTCTCCAGATCAACCTATTGCGTGCATGCAAATGTTAACAACCTTCCAGGAGTTCGTCGCCGCCCCCGCTCTCGCTCCCCCGGAGGTGCAGGTCGACCACGAGCAGCTCGAGAAGTACCGCCAGGAAATGGAGGTCGCACAACAGATGCCCCTGCCCGACGAGGACGACGCCGACATCTAAGCCGGTTGACCCCGTCAGGTCCACGACCTTTTCCGACCTCGGAGTTGCGAGCCCCCCCCCTTTCCTCTCGGGTTATCTAAAAGCGACCGAGAGAAAAGGTCGGCCCTCGAATCTTTTGGGTTTTGCACTGCAAAAGCAAAGTCATTTTTCCGAAATTACGATACAATGAAAGCGGTTGGGGTCGTGATTTGAAGAATGGGACGGCACGATTATGTTATTTTGTTTTTGCCCCCTTTATTCTGGTTTTTTTCTTGTCTCTCCCCCAAATCCTCCCCTCTAGTAGTTTAGACGCTTACCATTTCAATGCCTCCATATTTCTCCCCCCCCCCCCCCCCCCCCAAAAACCATCAAGCGGCATAAACAAAACTTAAATAAGATGAAATAAGGAAAAAAAAAAAGTCTTTTCTTTCAACAAGACTGAATTCGCAACATACTTCGATTCCCTCTTTTCAGAATTTAGAATGTAGCGTGGTAGAGCTAAAGCCTTGGAGCCAGAACTATGCAGACAAGAACAAAGAAATAAGAGGCCCGCAAAAAAGTGGGTTGATTCAAACAGGGATTTCGCTGGGCAATTATCAATCACCAAACCAGGTGAAATAAATGGCGACTTCGCAAACAACAAAGACAAAAAGGGGGTATAAAGTCTGGGCAATGAGAAGAAAAAGGGAACAAGAGCAAGCACCTGAACCCGACGCCTGTGGTCACTTCCGAACATTTTCTAAACTCAACCCAGTATCGGAGACCAATAAGCCCAAGCACCAAGCAGAAACACAGAAACAAAACAAGCATGGTAAACGATCGCTTCTGAGAAGTCAAAAAACAAACCAAACCATAAAAGCAAATTCCCGAAACACAACTGGAGGATTTGGATCAAATGGAATGAACATAACCAAGACCGTTTAGGCGCGTACACCCTAAAAGCAAAGCCGAAACAGTTAGTTCAAGTCCATCAAGGAAGAAATAGACAGTAGGCAAGTCAAAAGAAAAGGAGAACATACAAAGAGATAGGCCAGCTCCCGGGTATCCAAACGGGAGACATTCATAGCGCCGCCCTCGTCGAGGGCACCACCGATCAGCTCGCGTTTCTTTTCCTGAAGGGTGACGATGCGGTCCTCGACGGTATTCTCGATAAGCAGGCGGTGCACAAAGACGTCACGAATCTGGCCGATGCGGTGGGCGCGGTCGACAGCCTGGTCCTCGATATAGGGGTTCCAGAAGGGGTCAAACATGATAATGTGCGATGCAGCAACAAGGTTCAGGCCCGCGTTACCGGCCTTGAGAGAGACCAGCATGATTTTGCAGCCAGGGTCGTGGGTGAAGTTCGTAACGGCAGCGTTGCGCTCGCTGACATTCATGGTTCCGTCGAAACGGGCACACTTCCAGCCACGGCGGATGATAGGCACCTCCAGCAGATCTAGGAGTGACGTGAACTGGCTAAACACGATCGTCTTCTCGTCCTGGCCGCGATCTTCGTTGGCCTGCAGGATCTCCATGGCTTTATCGATCTTGGCACTGGGCACCCACGCCTTCTCGAGGCGCCGGAGATAGCGCCGTTTCTGGCGCTTGTTCTTTTGAGCAGCCTGCCGCAGCGCGGCCAAGGACTTCCGCTTGGGCTGACCGCTACTATCGTCGCTGTCGGGCTCCGAATTGTCCGAATCAGTGGTTTCCTCGGGCTCGTCCTCTTCTTCCTCTGCGTCCTCGGTGGGAGGCAGGGAGTCCGCGTCGTGAACCTTTTTGAAGGAATGGGCGTCGGTGATCTTGAGGGGGTCGACAGGCCCGCGGCAGTTCTGACATTTGATCACCCTCTCGCCATCGGGTCCTATGGCCGCAGTGGTAGGTTCCGAGATGCTCGTGAAGCACTCCGAACAAACCGAATGTCCGCAGGGAATGTAGATGATGGCATTTTCAACACTGTCCAGACAGATCGGACATTCATGGGGGTTGTTTTTGATGCGGTCTACCACCACCGCGCTAAGGAGTTTCGCATTGGCGACCAGATCCACCCCATCGACGGATGTGGGGGCATCAGCCCTGAAACCCGGCATGAGAAGGGGATGGCAGCATGCTTGGCGCAGGCGAAGAAGAAGGACCAAGACATGACTATAGTTCCTACCCAAGGTTCCGGCATTGAGGTAGCGGGTGACTTGCTGTTGAGTCTTCGAACTGAGCGCCTGGTACATCTCGTTTTCGGTTTCATTGAACACGACGTGGATCTTCTCTGTGACCTTGGGCGGCAGTTGCAGGATCGGCTGCCCGTCAATTTTGGACGCCTTCGTGCGTCGGAGACAAACAGACTTCACTAGAATACGCAGCTGCTCCATTGTTTTCTCTTCCCCGAATCCGGACTTTATAGGTCTGAGGAAGTCCTATTTTGGCCGGGGCCAGCATCTCGTCAGTCCCATTTCATAATGCCTCCACATCAAGAGCACTTACACGCTTGAACTTGTCCTTAATGTTGTAAGGGCGGATGCGAAGGAACCCCAGAAGAGACTGGAAGTCCTCGAGGCGGTTCATCATAGGCGTTCCAGTCAAGCACCAACGGTAGGTGGCGTTGAGACGGCAGCATGCCTTGGTTGCCTTGGCCATGGGGTTTTTGATATTTTGGGCCTCATCAACAATAACCCGATGCCATTTGCTTGAGGACGTAAAGAGGGTGGATTTTTCTTGAAATGATCGGACGAGACTGGCGTCCCGTCCCTCTTCCTCGAACTTTTCTGCTTGAAGCAACAGTTTGTAGCTGACAGTTAGAGTCCCGAAGGTAGTGAGCACCACGTCGTAGTTTCTAAGTTCCCTCCAGGTCACGCGACGCTGTTTTTCATGGAAGACGAAAACCGAAAGCTGATGTCGCCCAGGCTTGATATGCCGGTGGATTTCCAGCCTCCATTGATCCATCAGAGCCTTCGGCGCAATGATCAAGGACGGCCGCCGCTCGGGGTCTGTATATGGCCGTGCAACCATCAGAGCAATCGCTTGGATGGTCTTCCCGAGACCCATGTCATCTGCGAGGATCCCGCCCTTATGGCTGCTCTCTTCCTTGGCTTTCAACCACGTGAGACCGATTTTTTGATGTTTCATCAGCATGACCTTGAGCTCCCTGGGCGTGTCTTGATTGTCTGTTTGAGTAGCATCGCGGATGTTCTTAATACCTGTGAGTAAGTTTTTGATGTCGTCTGGGAAATCTTTTTCCTCGTAGAGCCTATGATCCATGTCAGTATTAGTATATACTACCAGGGGGGGGGGGGGGGGGGGAACAAGGAATGGCATACACGAGGTCATTCTCATCTGCATCAAGCATTTGCTGTTCGCGCACAAGGTCAAAGGCCTTCAACTCTGGAGCTGGGCCCGGCATACCTGGGCGTGGGATACCCGGGAGATTCGGACCCGGCCACGCACCTGGAAGCCATGGAAGAGGTCTCCGGGGCGCCGGCGATCCATTGATTCGAGAATTGAAGTAAGAGGCGGGGATTTCTTGAATGTCATCATCAGAGTCACGCTGAAAGGCATCGGGCGGGGATGATATGAAGAGACCAGGAGGGGGAGGCAAGAAGCGCGAGGATTTGTAAGAGTCTGACGGACCGGAGCCATTTGAGGGTTGGGTTCTATCGGGAAGAGCAAAGCTTGGATGTGGCATGATATCGCGCGGCGCAGTCTCAAATTCATCCTCCTGTGCCTGGAGCATGCGAGCCACTTCGGCGTCGCGCTCCACCTGAAACTCTGACTGGATCAGCCACTCATTGTCATCCTGCTCTCGCTGGATATCATCCAGGATTTTGGATGCTGGTACTCCTTCGGCTTGTGCTGAAATTCGGACAAGTTCCGGGTCTCTCATATCGTCATACAAAACTCGGTTCTCGGCCAGTCGCGCTTCCAGCTCGGCCTCTATTGCCGAGAATCGAGATTGAGAAGTCACAAAGGTGGATTTTTTGGACGACCCGTGATGGGGTCTTGAGCCGTCTGAGTCCTGGCGCGGGCGTTTGCGGGAGCTCTCTGAAGGCAACGCCGGGTACGACATTGGATCTGGTCGATCCGGCTGAGCAGCAAAGGGCGATGGGGCAGAAGAAGGCCAGTAAGGGACAGACGTAGACAATTGCTGGGGGTGGTTTGGTGTTAGGCCAGGAGGTTCCCGCGCCGGTGCAGGCGTAGGAGTGGGAAGCGCAGGAGCAGGAGAAGAGACATTTGTCGGTGCAGAAGGAGCTGCCTCACCCAGCAGCTGCGCAACCTGGGATTCTAGATTTTGGATGGTTTCGAGCACTTCCGCGGACTCTTCGGACCCGCCCGGGCGCCTCTCCAGGAGATCTTCATAGATGAGTTTCTGGAGGTCAAGGTCCTCGAGGAGATCTTTGATTTTGTCCTCTGTAGACGCGTTAGTCCCTGAGGGAGCCATGAATCAACAAAACTACGGGTCAATGCCCCAGTTAACGCCGTGAATTGGATTTCAAGGGAAATTTAGGATCCGAGACAGCGAAGACTGGCTAAGTCTGAGCATCCAAAATAGATAAAGCTGGAAGCAAAAAGTGGAAATTGATCTGGTCAAAGGCATCAGGTTAGACAGTCCGCCATCATATGGGGGATGCGACAGCAAACAAGATGGGGCTGAGGCCCGATGAGAGCGGGTAGTTGCCAGGTTGAGTAAAGAAAAAGCACAGACGTCGCGATACGGACCATCATCCGGTTTTTGCACGAGAGAATACTTACATGTTGCCTCGAGTTGTAGAGATGAGCTGTACACGAGGATATTGAACTTGGAGATGGGATGTTCGAGTGAAGTACCTGGGCAGATGTTGAACGCGGGAAGATCGATCGCTGGGAGGATTAAACGCCAGCAGAAGATGCGAAATTCACCGTGAGAGATTCTTCACAACATTGCAAACGTCGAGGTCTCTTCACAGGGCCCAGTACTCGTGGAGGATTCCCCTCGACGATGTCATGTTGAGCATTGCCAAGGCTACGGAGTCACGGCGCTGAATGGCTATCTGCAGCTCTGCAGCTACCAAGTATATGAAATTACGGGTATAATAGTTCAAAGAATTGAAGCCAATCTATGGAATCTACTTCATTTTGTCATGAAAATATGGCTTCATTTATAATTTATTTATTTTAGTTCTTTCGTCCCAGGATCGCCCACTCTGCGATCGAACGCGATTATCAGCACGTGACAAGACGCGCGTGTTGTGCAGACAAACAGAGCAAACACATAGGGCTGGGTCTAAATGCCCTACCCCCCAATCAGCACATTGCCACCTAAGGCAACAGTTCTCATCTAGACGACCAGGCATCCTGTTATTTCCATACAGACGGCAAGACGAGACCCGGGAGTGCATTGCTGGTGACTCATAGTTGGGTTTGGCCGAACACCCAATTGTCGAATGACAATTGCAATGCAGGCCAAGCATCTACGATTCCGAGGTGCAGATCAGTCTCTACCTATACCCTAGTCCATCGACGCCAAATGCACATCGGAACAAGAGGCAGCTCCTGGTTGCGACAGGAACTTCTTAGTAGGGAGCAATAAATCCATAGTTTCATGAAGCCTTGGCCTGGGGCATTTTGTCCTTAAAATTTTGATATATTTTAGTATACCGGAGTTTTCAACGACAGATCACTGCTATATATCTTCTCCTTGTAACTATTTGTTTCTATCTGCTGGAAGTCGATTACAATGGCCCCCGATATTGCACAGGCCCGGCTCTGGAAGACGCCATCCACCAGAAAGATCCTCAGCCAAAGCATATCGAACCGCGACCTGGCAACATGCCGACTAGTCTGTCGCAAGCTGGCAGTGCTCTTAGCGCCCCTTCTTTTTGCAGATATCACAATCCACTTCTGCAGTAGCACTTTACCCGGGCCATCGCGTATGGCATTCCTGGAGCGCATTGGGCGACACATCGAGGCTATGGCATTCAAGATCCCGCACAGCGCAGTAACCTTCCTACCGCCGATTCTCGATCCAGTCACAGTGGCTCCACAGACATTCATCTACAGGCCACGACACCCCGATGCATACCACAGCAGCCCCAAGTACGGCAGCCAGGAAATGACCGGCTGGCTGGTCAAGCAGTATTCGCCGCTGTTCCACGCTGCGACCAACAAACCTACTTTTATAAAAGCCCTGGCGCTCATGAAGAGCCTGCGGCATCTTCGAATCAGTTGCGAAGGCCAAATGCCCAGCCATCGATACCGCCGGAGTGCCGTGGACTATGCCTTGATCTCATTGCGGATGGCAATGGAACAGGCACCATTAACATCATTGACGACGCTTTCGCTGCTCTCGATTCATCCCGGAGCGGTGCTCTATTTGCAGCCGAACCTGGGATTTGGCGCATCGCCAGGTTCGCGGAAACGCTGGTCGCAGATCCGCCATTTGACTATCCGCATGACGAGCTTTCCTTGCGAGGCGGGCCAACCGACAGAGCAGACCACCTCAAACTGCTACACGCATACCTGCAAAGCTTCCCAGCCCTAAAGAAGTTAGTATTCCACTGGGAAGGTGAACGAGGTTGTCGCCAGTATCCCTCGCAGCCGAACCCCATCTCCGAACCTCGACCAGAACGACCGCAGCGCACACAAGTTCCCAAAACTGGAACACCTGGAGCTAGTCAATGCGACGATGGATGCAACACAAGTAGCATCGTTCATTTTCGAGCACCGTCATTCCCTGCAAGAGCTCAACCTCGAAGATGTAGTGTTGCGCAGTGGCACCTGGGACGAGGCACTGGCGCCTCTGACCCGCCTGAGCGGCAGTGAGTGATGGAAAGAGAAGCAACACGACCGCAGCTTCGTGGACGTGCCCATTGTCCTCAGTCCCGCGGGAGTCAGCCGGCAACAGCTACAGAAAGTCATCCGGGCCGTGCAGCGACATAGGGGTCGACTGGGAGGCTTGATAGCAGAGCGGTCCCGCGCCCACGACCCGTTCTGGGGAAACCCCGATCATATGAAGCGGCTGCTACCAACGTCGGTGTTGAATTGGCGGTGACGTCGGGAGTGTGGCACGCGAGATGTTGGGAACCTCGGAGGGAAAGGATGTGCATGGGGGGCAGTTAGTGTGTCGCGACGGATACCGCATTTGTGCAACTGTGCAAGTGTCCCCGGCATCGGGGTACAAGCTCGGGTTCATGTGGAGTCGGTTCGTCCGGGGAGAATCAGAATCATCGAGTGATTTGGCGACCGCGTGAGATGAGAATTCAGCGCGAAGGGACATTGTAGGGCGATCCACGCGCTCTACCATACCTCGAAGAATATAATCCAAGAACAGCTCAGCAACAGCACAGAAGATCAGAAATCAGAGAACATAGAATCATCGACGCAGTCAAGGAAGAAGTGTGGAGAAGCGCAGTTCACGGGGGCCTCGGCACGGCAAGGCCACCGCTTTCACATGCGGCGTTGCATCATATAAACCGTTGGAGTCGCTCATTGACACCACCTTTTTCTCATCGAACTGTACCACCATGTCTCTCAAGAAAGGTATGCTGTTTCTTCTACACACAGAAAGCAGAGGAACGACCCGCTGATTTATCTCCATCCCAGATTCCTTCCCCTCGTCCGCCGCGTTCGACGCGATCAACCAGACACTCCAGGGCGATGCCGCCGAGCGCAAGGACGCCGTCAACAAGGCCAAGGCCGTTGTCGCCTTCAACCTGAAGAACTCCAGCGGCGAAGAGAAGAGCTGGTACCTCGACCTGAAGGAGAAGGGCGAGGTCGGCGAGGGCGCGGCCCCTCAGGGCGGCAAGGCTGATGGTGAGTTACCGAGTTACCCTAGGGCACTTTTTATTTTGCCTCTTGTTCCATTCATCTGTTCTTATCTGGTTTGTCGATGTATACTAATTTCTTTCTTTCTCTTCTTTAGTTACTCTCTCCCTCTCCGACGAAGACTTCGCTCAGCTCGTCACCGGCAAGGCGAACGCCCAGCGTCTGTTCATGGGTGGCAAGCTCAAGATCAAGGGGAACATCATGAAGGCAACCAAGATGGAGCCCATCCTCAAGAAGGCCCAGGGCAAGGCCAAGCTGTAAAGATTAGATACCCCCCTTCTTTTGTCTTTTTTGAGAATCTGTACATGTACGCGCCCCCCATGGAGGGTGCGCAATATCTGGGCTCGACGGTTCTTGCTTCTCTGTAAGGCATGCGTTGCTTCTATGGCCTTGCTTTGATGCAATATGCCAGAACTTAAATGAATCAAGAAACCAAAAATTCTATAGCTGTGCAGATGGTCTTGTATATCAAGTTTACAGGTCTCGCACCGGTCCTTGGCGGGCTACCCGGCCCTGGTCCAAGACCACAAAGTAATCCGCGTCCTTGACAGCCTCGATGCGGTGCGCAATGGTGATAACGGTCGAGAGCTGCAGCTCCTCCCGGATGATCTGCTGGATCTCGAGGGACGTCTCGTGGTCCACCGATGCAGTCGCCTCATCAAGAATGACAATCGGACTGCGGCGCAAGACCGCGCGCGTTAAGGCAATGAGCTGACGCTGACCCTGGCTGAAATTTTTTCCACCGGCCTCAATATGTGTCTCGAGATTCCAGCCATGGCGACTGCAGAGTCGCTCCAGGACATCGGTGCATTGCGCATCGGAGTAGTCCTCGGTGGGGTCGAGGTTGAGACGAATACTACCAGGGAATAGGACCGGGTCCTGGGCGACAAAAGTAACGCGCGTGCGCAGTGCCTGTGTGTTGACGTCGGCAATATTGATGTCATCGACGAGGATCCGGCCGGATTCCGGTCTGACGACGCTGAGCAGCGACACTGCTAGTGTTGACTTGCCGCTTCCCGTGCGCCCGATGATCGCGGTGGTGGAGCCGCCAGGGATGCGGAGGGAGATGTTGATCAATGAGGGCTCTAGATGAGGTGCGTAGCGGAGAGTGACGTTCTCGAATGTGATATCACGCCCGTAGGTCGGCCATGCAGCCGGAGGGGCGATGGTTCCGGGTGTCTCTTCTTCAATGTGAAGGAGCTCATCGACTCGCTCCACGGACACAAAATCCATCTGTAGTTGGCCATACTGCTTGCAGAGCCCATGCGTAGACACGACGAAGTTGTTGGCTGCTATCAGCACGAACGCCACGAGCCCGGGGGTTGTGTTTGTGTACAAAGCTAGCGCGGTCAGGCAGAAGGTCGAGAGAGCGGATAGGCTTTCGAATCGATAGACAAGCCAGCTCTGGAGGGACCAGTAGAAATGGTCCATGCCCTGGAATTTGTCCACCACCGAAATCACCCGATCCTGGAACCGCGTTTCGGCGCGAAAAGCACGCACAGTGGTCAAACCGTGCAGCAGCTCTCCAAAGTTTGACAGCAACGGGCTCAAAGACACCATCTCCAGCCGGCGCAGACTCTGAGACGCCGGCAGAAACTGCAGGAAGATCAATACAAAAGCCACGGTGAGGACTAGAGAGAAAATCAGAAAGACTGGGGTCGCAGTAGCAATGACCAAGACTGAAGAGATCCAGGTAATGGCCTGGAACGTAATCACCAGGAATTGTTCGCTGATGTTCCCATCAACCACCCCAATATCCGACGTCAGACGGTTCATCAATCGGCCTACTGGGGTGACGTCGAAAAACCGGAATGTCGCGTGGCTGACCCGAACCATCACCTGGCGAAACATTGTCTGCCCGGCACAGTACACGATGACCAGCATCAGCAACTGACCAATAACTTGTGTGGCTGCTTGGAGGCAAATTATGCCGAAGAACATCCATAGCCAGGGACGGACGTCGTCGCGTGGGGACGGCAGTTGGTCCATCGGATTGCGAGGCGCAAAGGATGTGCCCATACTTGACAAAGAGGCCAGCCTGGTGCCTTGAGATAGCTTTGTGTGCGGATTCCACAGGCTGCTGAAGGTCATTGCAGTCTGGTCATAGGCCTCTCCCCATCCTTTGAGAAACCAAGATTGCCCGATTGCTATAAGCCGGTACAGGGTCAAGACCACGACAAGAGCCAACCACCATCGATATTTGCCAGCTCGAATGTAGTTCCAGTACACCCAAGCCTTGACACCCCATTCCGCTCGATGCTCTTCCTCAATGAATTTGTCTGGAATTGCGGCTGCTTCTTCTTCGAGGTTGGTATCTTCCATCTCGCTCTCGGTATCGCTCAATGGCAACGATGATTCGCTACCGCCATGTCGGGTGATACCAGAGAAAAGGCGTTTTGTATGGATGGTAGCGCGTCCTTCAATGATTTCAACAACCTGGTCTGCAAGGTGACGAACCAATGAGGTGCGATGCGTGACGAGAACAATTGTGCGTCCCTCCATCAAAGACCCTGAAAAGCACTTTCGAACCACGAATTCGGCAGTGTTGTGGTCCAGTGCTGACAGGGGGTCATCCAGAAGCAAGATTCGAGAAGCACTATACACTGCTCGTGCGAGAGCCACACGAGCCTTCTGGCCTCCCGAGAGACCAATACCGTTTTCGCCCACAAAAGATAAGTCGCCATGCTTGAACTGGGTGAGATCCGGGAGAAGCGCACAGGCTTCCAGCGTCCGCTTATAGCGTTGCTCGTCGTAAGGCGCAGAGAAGAGAATGTTATCGCGAATGCTCATACTTTGCAACCAGGGCGTCTGGGCACAGTAGCCCACCATTTCGTTTGGAAGATGCGAAGAACCTTCGAGTCGATCCAGCTCTCCCAGGAGTGCCTGTAGAAAGGCGGTCTTGCCAGCTCCTACTTTTCCACTCACAACTGTCAGCCCTTTTGGGATAATCACGTTGAGGTCAATCAACACCGGTGACGTTTTTCCCGGCCAGGCAAATGAACAAGATTCTAGTTTCGGCTGGGAGCTGTCGCCCGAAACCTCGAAAGGCAGATTTTCCTTGTCTGGCTCTGCCATGAAATCCTCGATACGCCCAAGAGCAATGAAGGCATTGATTAGGGAGGTTATCAAGTTTGGAATTTCACGCAGACGTGTCTCCAGCATGATAAAAAGCTGCAGCGCAGGGAATATAATGTCAATACGCAACTCATGCCCAGCCAGAATTGTGGAAGCATAGAGGGCGACCACAGGAAAGACACCGCTGGCAAAGGCGTTGATAGAGCGGATGAGAATGCTCCATAGGCTTGTTATAACCCGAAGATTCAACTCGTGCTGCCGGGCCTCCATGACCTGCCGAAGCCAATGGCCCTGCCAGCCATACCACCGGAGGTGACGAATTGCTTCCACAAACTGCGAGGTGATCTGCAACCTGGCATCTGTTGCCGCTCGTCTGACCCGCTCCCATCGGAGGAGGACTCGAGTAATCACGACGTTGACTGCCTGTGCTGTCAAGACAGCGAGGATCCCCAGGAAGCATGAAGGACCGAACAGGGTCCAGACAAGAGAAATAGCGATGGTCAGTCCCAAGGGCTTGTCGATGAGAGAGTCGACTTCCCAGAAGCGCTGAGCCACTTCATAAACATCTCCTCGAAGTAAATTGAATATCTTGCCCAGAGATGCAGCCTCCTTTGCATTTTGCTCTGGGGCTTTTTCATTGCCGCGAAAGAGGCGACTCCACAGGCTTCGTTCGGGCTTCGCAGGAAGGGCCTCGGTCTCCGGAAGTGTGGCATCGTTGCTGGATATTCCATCTGCCTCTCCGCTGGATGCTTCGGTCTTGTCCTCAATGCGTAATCCAAAAATGTTCTTTCTCGAGAGCGCTTTTTCGTAGACCATCATGACCATTTCACCTCTAGACCTCTCATAGCAGCGTCGGCCATACCACAGACTCAGCACCTGGGATTGGGCTGCAACTAGTCGCAGTATGAAGGACAAAAGAGCATAAGTTAGAGGTACACGCTTTGACTTGGACGGGTCGCTCATGGATTGCAAGAGTTGCTGCAATAGCACTGGCGTTGAGAATTCTAGTATAAAAGGGGTCAGAAATGGCATCCAAAAGGTATGGGAAGATCTGACATACCGCAAAACATCTGCACAATCGCAATAGTAGAGATAATGAGGACATCAATGCCATTGGCTTTTAATAACCGACCTAGGACAGACCCTAGAATCTGCCGGAATTTCTCATGGAGTCGGCGGTGCTGGAATTCGAATCCCAGTAGCCAAACATCTTGTTCATTCAATTGCCTCTGTTTCCCAGTGGAAATCAGTGGTCCCATCCATGATACGGTGAGAAATTGCCATAGTTTGAGGTTGTCTTCGGGGCTGCGTGTATCACTCGATGGTGGTTGGCCTACACCACTGATTCCCAACAATGACAGTGAAGGGTCACGGAGTGGCATTAGAAGGATGGTCGTGCAGGCAGCACCCCCGGCTACAGACGCGATGTTGCGAGCCACGAGTTTGAACATCGGGGCTCCATCAGGACCAGTTGCCAGCGAGACCTCAGCGGCAAAGAACAGAACAAAGCAAACCAACATTGAAATTGAGCATGCTTTTGGCCGCTTGAATGCAACCAAAATAGATGCAGTGGCCTAGTCTCTATGGTTAACTCTGCACTCGCTCGAAAAGGGAGGGTATATATACCCATGAGACAACAAGCACTATTGCTGCAGGATCAATACCGGGAGGAATCAATTGAACAATCTCTGCAACAAGCCCAATGGCAGAGCATACAAGAAGAGAAATCGTCCATCTCAGAGGTTGCTTCACCTCATCTGGCGGGAGTTCTTGACATTCGTGTTGTTCCGAAATGAACGGAATGGTCCATTTGGGACGCCATCGACGAAAAGAATAGCCGCCCAGATTGCCCGCTGCCACGAGAAGGACTGCAACGGCGGGGACAGATGCAAGATAGGGCAATGCACAGGGCGAGAGCCATGCATTATCCGAGTCCTGGATTGGTCAGTGGGTCAATAATCATGTATCCGAAGTAAGGAGGCCCATACCCAGAAGTGAGGACAACCGCTATGCTGGCTGGCGGGAATCAGAGGAATTTGATTCATTCTTCATGGCGGAGATGAAGAAACAATCTCTCAATTCATTGCGAATCCCCCACAGGTGGCCTCGCTGCATCCGTCGAGAGGGGCGCAGGAACAACATTCCTCCGGTCCGTGTGAAGTTAGATCGAGCGTGATATTCAAATATTTAAGGAAATAAAGAAATAGTAAATAAAATAGAAATTGAATCGTTATATTTACTGAGACATCTCTTGGGTCGTGAACCACAGCAATGGTTGGCCTGATCGTGGTTGAGTTGGATGCTCTCTCCGATCGAAGCATGCATCTTCACCATCTACATAGATCGTTACTAGAAAATAGCAAATGCATTTGGCGGGCTTGCGACACCACCGACGACCTGTTATTTATTCAATTAGTGCCATCTCCAATAAAAGAATCAAATAAATCCAAAAGAAAAGAAAAGAAATTAAAGGACACCTACCTTGAGGGGCATGCTTGACAGGAAGAATGTATATCTGCCTGTAGTCTTGCAATGCTGAGATAGCTTCTCCAAATCAAACATCTCCCCAATCGGAGTGCCCCAGCCCGCCAGCACCCATTCATGCAGATTGAAGTTTGGTTTTGCATGGGCGCCCCGGATCGGAGCCCTTTCAAAACTCGGCGCGTCTCCGGCAATCGCAGCAAACTGGTGCTCCCAGAGCCATCGCAGCATGTCCTCCGTCGCTTCCACACCATTGAAATCCGGAGATGACCGAAGGGCAAGATCCCGCCGTTGCTGGCTGTCGAGTTGATTGTATGCTGCGGTGAATCCACTGCGAATGAACAATATATCGCCTTTGCGGAATTCGAGTTTGTGGTCTTCGACGATTTGCTTGAGATGGGGCAGGGTAATCGGTTCGGATTGGAGAGCAGAGATCGAGATGGACTTGGAGGCAGCCCAGTCTGCGTAGTCGACCAACACCCCGCGGCCGGTGATTCCTCCATTCTCAGCCACGACTATGCATCGCGATGTCAGGGTCAGTTTTTGTATTCTTGTAAAGATCCCCGAGGTACAGTAGAGAAGCTTCCATACCATGAAGGCCAATTACATCCGAGCTTTCTATTTCCTCCGTAGTATGGCCATTGTAGAACCGTCGCGATTTCTGATGTGCTAACAGAGAGAAAGAGAAGAAAGATGCTGTCAGCCTCCCAAGGTTTCTTTGGACATGGGGAAAAGAACAACCCAAAGCAACCTCGCAACTCACCGTAATGTCGGAAGCCATCCCATTGACTCGATCCTTGACTGTTAAACGTCAAGATATCATCGTAGATGCAGTTCGGCTTTCGAAGCACGAGTTCTTGTTTGAATGGTTCGCGATTAAAGCTCGGATACGAAGGCATGCTGAGCTGCCAGTCCAGCGAAATGCGTACCCCAGTTTGGATTTCCTTTGCCGCTTCCACAACCACCTCAGGCATGAGCAGATTCAATGTGCCGAGCTGGTCGGAGGGCCCGAAGCGACCCCAGGCATTTCCGGGTGGACCATTGGGGTCGAGTGGCAGATCATCGAAAGAAACCGCACTGTTATGTGTTGTCATGGTTACCTGACAAAATGTGATCTTGCGATGGGAGATGTAGCTGTACACAGGAAAACAGATCAAATAAGGCAAAAGAAAAATAATCAAGAGCAGCAACAGCGCAAGATAAATCCCAAGGGCACCCCCACATCCCCAGATCCCCCGCGCTCGGATGCATATCCGCGGCATTATCCGCGCTATTTCCCATGTCAAGCATCCGCCTGCTTGATTGATTTTGAAGTTCTTGAGAATGCTTATATTGAATCTGAATCTTCTATATGGATTTCATTTTCACAATGCTCGATCCGTGCTGACCATTTAACACGCCCAAGTCCAAAGTATATATCCTGCCTCTTACATTTATGACCGAGAACCCTCCAACTCCACAACCCGATGCATGTCCATATCCTTCTCCAGCAAGGGAATCACATAGGGGTCAAAGGTCTTCCAGTAGGGGTTGTTGAGGTGATACTGCTGCGACGACTCGTTGAGATAGCGCTCGACGATAGTAAAGTCCTGCTTGTCGTGGACAGACTGCGACACAAACCACGAGAGAGTCTCCTTGTCCTGCGAGTAGACGTTGGAGGCCTCGACGAGCTTGTCGTGCAGCTTGGTGATGGACTCCTGGTCCGGCTTGGCGCGGAGGTCTGATGGAGGTAAGTTTTGTTAGATAACACCCCTAAGTCTGAAGCCAAGTTGTCACCTACGAACGACGATGGTGTAGACCATGATGAAGATGCAATTCGATATATGAATTGGAGGGGTTAAGGCGTGGCAATGAGGAGGGAACACTGGAACAGCTAGGAGCGACGACGCGGAGGGGGATGAACCTCTTATATCATAGCTACGAAATCGCCGGTGAGACTGGCTGGGTAAATTATGGGGATCGGATCCACCCACAAAGATTCTGAATTCTTTTTTTTTTACTGCGCGAAGAACGTAGAATATCCCCGAGTGGCCCGAGGTGATTCCGACGTTGTCATTTGCGGGTCCGCGCCAAGCTCACAGTCTCCACTATGGCAGATGAAGTGCAATTTGAAGATTCGAAGCTCAATTTGGAGTAGTTCAATATTGTATACTAGCAGGATACCAAAAAGGTACCATCCTACAGAGTAAAATATGCAATCGTGGCAGCATAGGTCGCCAGATTGTCACTGACCTTCGCCAAAGACGTCCCGTCTCGGACAATCATATTGATCGTGCCAACCGTGCTGAGCGTATACACCACCAGACCACTGGTGGTGCCCTCGACACTGAAGATTTCGCTCTGGCAGTTCTCAGGGAGAGGAAACGTGGAACATGTAGTGCTGTAGTCGTTAAAGAAGCTGTATAGACCGGCCCCATAGACTACAATATCCTTGCTGTCGACAACTCGCAGACCGAGCGAGTTGCAGTTTCCAGGGAGGCAGCTAGTATAGTCCGGGTCGTTGAGACCGGAGTTAGTTGGGTACGGTCCGTTGGCAGCGTTGGGATTCGGCTGATAGTACCTAGAAGTTGTCAAGGGTGTCGTGTTAAACATAACCCCCACTAGTATTTTTACGTCGTGCGATTTTCGGGGTCACTTACGGGGTTTCTGTCTGAATCAAGCCTGCCACCACTGAGCTGGCCCCGTTAAATTGGTACTGATAAAGTGAGTGGTGTTCAACTCCAGTTCCATAGCTGCAGGTGGATGTCAGTAGTGCAACGAGCGTAGGGATTGAAGATAATACACACAGCCAAATGTTTTCTCCCTCCACGAGCAGGCCCCGGCCTGTGTAGACGGAAATCCGGACATCGTCTGGACTGTCAAGGTCATGGTCGGCAGTCCACAGCCAGACATTCTCCAGATAAACCCCACTGGCTGTTTCCGTAATGTGCATTGACATGTAGGCGACCTCACAGGCTGTGGACACCGCTACGGAAGTTGGACACTGAGCCACCTGCTGTTTAGAGCCAGTGAACCCTCCAATACGGGTGTGGACATCCCACATCCCGGACCCTGTCTCTGCTGCTAGATTCCACTCAACAAGTACGGCTCCCGGTGCGGAGCCCTGCGTGCTCAGGATCATGTCGGACCACTCAACTGATCCAGACTCTCCCGACTTGCCAACCTGAACCACAGGAACCGGCTTGGTGATGCTGGACCAGACACTGCCACTGGCCATTATGACAGCGTAGGCCTCTCCGACAATGCGAGATCCAGGCGGGATATAAAGGGTATTGGTAACTTTGTAAACGCCTTGATCAAAGAAGACAATCCTACCCGACAAGGCGGCGGAAGTCAACGCAGACTGTATGGCTTTCGTGTCATCGGTTGAGCCGTCACCCTTGGCACCCGCATTTCTGATACTGACAAACGAAGAGATCGGCGACGCTTCGTACTGCGGCTTTGTCTTGGTATAGAATCTAGAAGACCCACTTGCAAGCAATGCACTCGGACGCGTTGGTGCAGGAAAAGAGCCCTGGAAATTGGCAGGACCGTTCGGAGTATATTTGTGGCCTTGGCCCCAGGCGCTAATAGTCAAAGTCCTCGATGAGCCAGCAAGGACAGTGCCACTAGGACCCTGCACCGCGACTGGGACGTTGTCAAGGGCGATATTCTCCAGGATTAGGCTGCCATTGGTGAAAGTCGAGCTCTGCCATGCAGAAGCCACAAACTTGGGGCAATCGCGAATGGTGCTGTCGAGGATGTTTACCGAGCCAACTAGCTGAGAACCGGCGCCGCCGTTGTTGATCGAGATTGCCGTTGTGCAGTTGGTCAACGTGAGGCCCTGGTAGGTCCAGCCCCAGTTCCAGATCTGAGAAATCCCCGTCACGGCGTCGGAGATGTCCAGGTTCCGCATGGTGAATTGCTGATTGCCAATATTTGCGCCATACAGACCACCGGTGATTGTCACATCGGCTAGGAAGCCGCCGGATCCTTGGACAGATCAGCATCTCGACAGCTACACAACAATGAAGAGTGTTTATCACTGACCGTTCTCAATGAAAATACCCTGGTGCTGTGTCCCCGACGCAGAGCTCATGACAATCTGCACATTCTGGATGCTCGTGGCTTGGCCGGTTGGCCAGTGGATGCCAGTTGCAGCCGAGCTGGCGGGAATGCCGGTCATGTCCAGCTTCAGATTGCGAATCTGTCGGAAGAATACATTTGTCGAGATCCAGCCTTGGTTGCCGTCGTTCTGGTATTGATCTCCATCGATCATGCCCAGTCCTGTGAAACCAGATGTGGCTTTGATAACGGGGATGGCATTGGGGTTGCCGATGATCTGAGCGAAGTAGTAGTCAATAATGGGCGAGGAGATCAAGTATGTCCCAGATGGGAAGTAGACGATTGCCGGGGTCGTAGTAGAGGTCATTCGATCCGCTGGGCCGAATCGGCCGCCATCACTCATTGCAGCATTGATTGCAGCCGTGTCGTCAGTCACACCGTCACCTAATCGAATGATTAGCGTTAAGATCAGCAGCTTGGTTACTAGTGAGTATTCTACCTTTGGCACCGTAGTCTTTGACATTGCGAAAGACCTTGTAGCCAGAAGGGTTTGTGTTGAAGGCGGCGATGCCTTGGTGAGTGATATCCGCCAGCCAGTACGATGCATCAGCAACAGCCTGCACAGAGGCAATGCGTTGCTTTGTTTCTGCTGTTGTTGAGCTCAGGGCTGCCGAGGCACTCCCTGTAGGACCATGGTAGGCTGTATAGTCGGCAAAGGGACTCAACGCGGAGCTGACAATCTCATCCACGGCTGGAATATCTAGCACTTGGGCGCTGACACACGCGGCCAGGATAATAGAGCTAATCACTGAAGTGTAATGCATTTTGACTCCCAGCGTTCTCGGGCGTATGCAAGTCGCGAGGATAGACCACTAGCCGGCCCTAGGGCATACATTCTTCTTTTATAGCCATCTCATCGCCGATAGAGTGCGTGGATTCACATGATAGCTAAAGAAAAGAAGAGACGGGTCAAATCACTACTTCTCCCCATGACTTGGCTGTGATCAGTACCGACGCGAGTAAGTAAATGGCACCCCAGAGTACCACTCCAGGCGGGTGACTGAGGCCGACGAAGTGGCTGCTGCGTGGCATGCGACGGAAAGCCGGTGATTTGCCAGAAATTCCACTATATCTCGTCACGCCGACCTTGGCTGCTGCACCATGATCGAATAGTGGGGGAAAAAGAAAAGAAAGAAACAAAGAAAGAATATTCAGTGCTGATCCTGCCCCACGGGGGATCTGGTCCCCGGTCAACAAAGTGTCTCCACCAATCGCAGAACCAACAGGGCCGTCACGTTGTGCAGGCGATCGAGCTAAAAACTAGTCCGACGGACTGCGGCATTTGAATGGAATGTGACTAGCAGAATTCCCATCTGAGATGTGACTCAGGGGGCTGGCTGTCGTGAAACCCGGGCTTGTTTCCTTGATTCGAGACAGACAAGACACATGGATTTCTGTGAGGTCCCGTGGATCCCCATAGTTTCCTTCGTGTTCAAAGACTGCCCATAGCGCAGAGAAATAAAATCAATCTGGTGGAGACGCTTTGACGGGAACAAAATAAGCAGCATGGATCATCCCGTAGTTCGAGCCAAATGGTCCCGTGCCCTAACTCCGGTCCTTCAATGAGCCCCGACCTCCACTTGTTGAATATAACTGAATAGAAAAACAAAAATTCCCAGAGTAGAAATAAGAGAACCCGAATATTGGATTACAATCGGCTCCCAGACTCGAATTCGAGGTGCGAGCTCCACTGGGCCAGCCGATCTTGGAATTAGGGACCAAGTAGGCCGAATGCAAAGCACACCCTGGGCAAACTTTTTGACAGAATCGTCTTTTATAGAGCTCGACGGAGCTCTCCGTAACTGACCAGGGCCTGCGACGTCATATGCGAGCCCTCTCAGGGCCGGAGAAACCCCGATTCAACAAGCATTTGCTTATTTGTCCCCCCCCAGATCCCACGTGTTGAGTATATCAGTCTCCATAAACAAAGAAAATGCAAAACACATTCAACCATAAGAAGAGGCCAGTATCCCTGCGTCGTGTCCAGCTTCTCCAGTTTCTCCAGCCTGTGCAGCTTGTCCAGTTCAACCGGTGGCAACAGGGAGATGCCAAGACCATCCACGTGATTGCGCTCTTCCGCCTTTTTGCACGCCGAAAAAAAAAATAACAATCGAGGCTCACAATCCTGTCGTTTCCAGGGCCAAAGCACCTTGCAAATTAATCCAGGTAGTACTGGACTGTCGAGGATAGCATCCCACAGCTTCTGCTCTGCGCTCGAACTCGCTCCCGGCTGCTCGTTCGCTCTTTCGGTTCCCCGGAGTCAGCCTGCCCTCGCGACGGGTCGCGAAACGTCGTGTCACAGAATCCGCGTGAGCATCGCAACTCAAACGTCACACCCATTCGAAGGCAGATTGGAATTATCTTTCGACACAAGCGTCGATCTGCAGCAGCCGGATATATATTAGAACGATTAATTCCGTTGCGCTCTTCGAGTCAGCGTGGAGCCGGAAGTCGCCCTGCAGACCAGGAACAAACGCCAATTTGTTAAAGGAGTTGTCGAGACCCTCGGGGGTGTTCAAGTCGCCGAATCGTGCGTGATAGACGACAGATAAACGACAAACAGATTGTGATCAATCTTGAGAAGGGCTGTTGACCCCAGATACTGGTCATCCATTTCGAGCTTGAGAGGCGTGAGCCAGTGGTGGAACGGCGTCCATATGTCCAAACGTGGAGCTGAAGGTCCGCAAGGGTCCAAGGAAACAGAGATGGAATTCAACATGTCGGGTACACCGGAAGAGAAGCCCCAACGGGCGACGGCGGCGCAAATGGCGAACAGAAAGTAAGTGCCAAGTTTTTCTTTCTTTTTTTTGTGTTGCAAGAAATCTCTCGTTGCACGGTGGTTACGGGGGCGGGCGGCGGACAACGGAGGACAATGGAGGAGAACGGAGGAGAACGGGGGGGGAGTGGAAGAGGGTGGAGAGGAGGAGTGGTGCCTGCTTTCCTATTTAGGAAGTGAGAGAAGCGTCGTTGCCTCGCAGGTAGACGTGACTTTTGTGGACGCGTCGAGCTTTTCTTCTCCTCCCCACCATTTTCCTCTTCTTCCTCTTCTTCCTCTCCTCATCCCCCACTCGATCTTTTTCTTCGTCTTCATCTTTCGCTCTTTTTTATCTTCATCTTCTCTTGCTTCCCTCTGTGCTCGCCATCTCTTCTGTCTTCGTTTTCACCTTTTCTCACCTCGCCCGCCCCCGTGTCCCCATGCTCCCTTCTCATCTTCTCTCGTTCCTGTTCCCTCCCTTCCTGACCTCTTTCCTCTTCCCTTTCTGAACATCCCCGAGCTTGCCATCATCGTCATGGTTTCCCTTACAGAGGGAGTCAAGAAGGGGATGTCTCGCTCGGAGTTTCGGGCCTACATCAAGGCCCTGAAACACGAGATGATCAGAAAGGTCTATGCCGAGCAGGGAGAGCAGTGTCCCCCGCTTTCCCCAGAGCTTAGCCCTTGTGCCCCTGAACCCCCCGGGCCTGCTGTCTCGAAGCCTGCGATGTCTACCGAAGAGTTCAGGGCACATTGTCAAAGGAAGAAAGATGGTTTCGCGGAGGAGATGAATGCTTTTATTCATTCCCCGGAACCCCTTGACCTTTCCACCCCCGCGCCTCCTGTGTCTTCGAGGAAATTGAACAAGAAAGTAAAGTTGAGCCCGCTGACCGAGGAATCCACTGCGGAACCTAGAATCAAGGATGTCCGCAAGAGACGTGCTGCTCCTGCCGGTGGGGCTGGAGCAGCTCCAATGAATCCTTTCTCCGCCGCTCCGACTCCGACTCCCGCCTCCAATCCTTTTTCTCCGGCTCCGTCAGCCCAACCCTCTGGCTTTAGCTTCGGCCAAAGCCAGAGCTTCCCGGGTGCCGTTTCACAGCCTAGCCAGCCGACTCTGGGCGGCTCGGGTCCTTTTTCATTCGGCAGCAGCAAGCCGACGGGATTCAACTTCGCCGCGGGTCCGTCAACACTGGACAGCTCTTCCGCACCCAAGAATCCCTTTTCTGTCCCGAACCCTTATGCCGATAAGCCCCTGTCAACTCCCAGCACGAGAGCTAATTTCACCGCCCCGGCTTCTGGCATCTGGAGCACTTCGCATGATCCGGCCACGAGCGGTCTTGCAGGAAACAGCGTGTTTGGCCAGCCCGCTGCAGATTCCATGCAAACCTCGCCCGATGGCAAGCACGATTCAACGGCTTTGGGGGGTGCTGGTTCTTCGTCCAGGTTTAAGCCTCCTCCGTCCGGTGTGAATCTTTTCGGCACAATGACGATGCCATCTTCGACCGGGGATACCACCAAGGAAAAGACTGCCCCCACGTCCGACTTCAAAGCGTCGACCAGTCTGTTTACACCAAAGCCAGCAAGCACTACGGATGCTTCTTCAAAGCAGCAGCCATTCAATTCGTTGTTTGGAGCTTCCCCGGCACCTAAGCCGGCCGAGAAAGTTGACTCCAGCAACCCTTTCATGCCCAAGCCGCTAGAGAATACGGCGGGCACTACCTCAACCGAACAATCCTCAAAACCTCTGTTTGGAGCATCACCGGCACCGAAGCCGGCTGAGAAGGTTGACTCCAGCAATCCGTTCATGCCCAAGCCGGCCGAGAAAACGGGTACTACCCCAGCGCAGCCATTCAAGTCTTTGTTTGGAGCTTCCCCGGCATCCAAGCCGGCTGAAAATGCTTCACCTAGCAACCCCTTCATGCCCAAGCCGGTAGAGAAGACGGCGGGCACTACATCAACAGAACAGTCCTCGAAATCTTTGTTTGGGGCATCTCCGGCATCGACGCCCGCTGAGAAAGTTGACTCCGAAAACCTTTTCATGCCCAAGCCAGCAGAGACTGCGGATATTGCTCCAAAGCCACAGCCGTTCAAGTCTTTGTTTGGGCCATCTCCGGCACCAAAGCCGGCTGAAAAAGTTGACTTCAGCAACCCTTTCATGCCCAAGCCAGCGGAGACGGCTGCTGCCACTTCAGAGCAACAGCCCTTCAAGTCTCTGTTTGGGGCTTCTCCCGCGCCGAAGCCGGCAAATGAACAGCCTAAGGCTTCTCATGAAGTCGTGCCCAAGCCTGCCCCCCAGAAAGTTGCACCAGAACCTGCCAAAGAAGCTACGGCACCCCCATCCCAAAAGGTTTCCAGTACTGCTCCGGCTGTACCCTTCCAGATCCCTAAGTCCGACATTCCTGCCGGTGGGAGTAAGAAGGACAGGGAGGCCACGGAGCTGATCTACAAAGTTCAAGCGCTGAACGAGTCTTTCAAGCGACAAATCAACAAGTTGGACACTTCCAAGGATGATTTTGATAAACTCATCCAGTTCTATTTGAAATGTCGGGACTCCATCGGTGCTCCAGTTGCCATCAAAGCTGATTCTCAGGCGAAGAAGACGCCAACAACACATATCAGCGTCCAAGCTCAGCTGGGGGAAACGGCTCAAGCGCAGCAAGGAACGACCCAAGCGTCGAGCGACTCTACCACTGCCAACGTTTTTGCGAAATCGTTTTCTGCACCGGCGCCCACCCCCGCTCCGCCCTCCGACCCCGCTCCGCCGTCTGCCTCTGTTACACAACCCCACACTGCGACGCCTCCTATAACTGCTACGCCCTCTGAGCCTGTTACATCAGTGCCTGCTGCGGAGTCAGAGTCTGTTCCTGCGTCCAAACCTACTCCGCCGTCCGACAACGCTCCGCCATCCGGGACTCCAAATGAGGATGCTCCCGCTTCGGTGGCTACTAGCACTGGAGACACGGTTGCCAAGGAACCTTCTGAGAAGAACGCTGTTCCTGCGGCCCAGCCAAGTGCTGAGGCCCCCGCGCCTCCAGTTTCTATCCCGCGTTTCGGCAATGGTACTTCCGGCACAGACTTCATGGTCCAGTTCAAGAAAATGTCGGAGAAGACTGCCGCCGAAGAGAAGGCCAAGCGCAAGGCGGAGGAGTTTGATTCTGACGAGGACAATGAAGAAGAATGGGAGCGCCAAGATGCTGAGCGCCAGCGCGAGAAGCGCGCAAAGATTGAGGAAGCTGGGAAGAAGCGGACCGAGTATGTGCCTGGCGAGGGCTTCAAGTTTGTCGACAAGACTGCGGCCTCCATCTTCCAACCCGCAACGCAGTCGCCTGCCACGAGTGCTCCTCCCGCCGTCTCTTCTTTCACCTTCGGGGGTTTGAGTCAACCTACTCCCGGCGTGGAGAACATTTTCGGCCGCCCCCCTACCGCACCGCAGCAGACTCAGGCGTCGGTGAATTCCCAAGCTCCCTCTTCCTCGATCTTTGCCACCCCGAGTGGACCGGTCCCCAACTCGCAGAACATCTTTGGGGGCCTTTCTTCAACTCCTCAGCAGGCTACGACCCCGCAGCAGAAGCCAGAGTCCATGGACTGGCACCTTGGCGCGCGAGGCCCCAATTTCAAGCGTCGCACCCCCGACAAGAACAACGGCGATGACGACAGTGAAGAGGGCGAGGGCGACCATGATTTTGAGGCTGCGCTCCGCAAATCCAAGTGGTCCAAGCCGTCCCCAACAATGAGCAAGTCGAGCCTGAACGCGCCTCTTCCTGCACCAACTGCCGCTGCCGGTCGTAGTCTGTTTGACCGGGTGCAATCCTCTCCTGCCCCCACGGGCCCCACCGAGAACACCTCGGTCCTCGCCTCGGACGTGGTCTTTTCAGATCCGCCCCCGATGGCCACTCCCACCGTGACGGCTCCCGTGACCCCGTCGGTGTCCATCTGCGAGGGCGAAGACGGCGAGCCGGGTGAAGTCTTCGACCTGGCTCGGAGCAACGTCGGTGAGGAGGAGGAACAGGTGGTCTTTGAGTGCCGGGCCCGTGCATTCAAGCTCAATTCCCGCTGGGAGGTCCAGGGAACGGGCATTGTTCGGCTCCTCCTTCACCCGGGGAGCCGGCGCGCACGTCTCGTGCTGCGTGTCGATCCGAGTGGTGGTGTCATCCTGAACACCCTCCTGAAAAAGGAGCTGAACTACCACCGGAGCGACAACAGTGTTCAGTTCATGGTCCCCCGGGCTGGGGATCGAGCTGAGCATTGGGCAATTCGGGTCAAGCCTGAGTGCTTGGACGGTTTCTACGGTTCGATCCAGAAGATCAAGAACTAGGTGAGACCCGATTGCCAATACTGGGGCAGGGAGGAAAGGGGAGTGGACAAGGAGTTTTGCGAGGCCGTGGGCCCTGCGACATCAATTTGTTTTTTTTTTTTTTTTTTTCGTTGCATTTGTCTGTATTGTTCGAGTCCCTCTGCCCACAGGCAGAGCATGTACGTTTAGACGATTGTGAGCATTTTGTTTGCGTTTCTTTCTTTCTTTTTTTTTTTCTTTGCCAAAATTCAAGAACCGCCCTGCTCATCAAGGGCGCGATCTCTCGATTTAACATCTAATACTCTTCATGGCCTGGCTGCGAGTGGGTAGATCTCTTAGTGTGGGCTTAGCTGGTGCTTATTTTGGGTCGCCATCGAGACGGGAGATAGAAATTTTGCTTTCATTCCTATATCTGTTTGGGTGGGTTTCGCGAAACCTTGCCATCACTCTAGATTGAAATATCTTTGAGAATCGGTCAATTGCTATGGGGTTATGTCTGATACTGTGGGCTTGGGGGTTGCTATGTGGTTTCATACGCAATTTGCCATCCAAGGTCTGTTCAAATAAATGAGTTTATGGCTAACGGATGGATTCTCTTTGGCAGGTGCCAAAGGCAGAAGGGGCTGGCTGCTAAAATTTTCCAGTCTTTTATTATTTCTAACCTGCTAATATTTCCTCTCGGGGATGTTAATCTTTCTAGCCATAGGCACTGTCTTGTTGAGACTCAACTTTTCGATATAGCTAGGATCGATGCACTTTCGAAGTCTTTAGACGGTCAAGATAAGTCTTAGAGTTTCCTTTGCCCGGCTGTTCCTTTTTCGGTTATTAGGGTCGCAGGATTGCATTAAAATACTTCGCCCTCGGCCCACTAGCTTTTCGAGTCAAAGTTAAACCAATGTCTCTGCGTAGTTTATGTACGTGTCCGTTAACATGAAATTAATCTTCACGGAAAAATCAAAGCATATATTTAGATAGATCTACCGCCGTTTCTGCGCCCCTATAAAATAAGTTTTTGTGGTGCACTTTCTGTTTACAGAGACCTTTTAGCAAATGTCTTAAAAAAATGCCGTTTCTTTTCATCCTTATCTTATGCCTTTCCCTATGGATCCATCTGATCACCGCTTGTCCGCCACTGGTCTTTGGCAGCAATGGGAGGGCCCAACTGGCTCCAATGGGAGGGCCATGGAACCAGCCGGTGATCGAATTCTGCTACGAATCCCTGGATAGCAGAGAATACCTCACTATAGGTGTGATGCTGGCGAGGTCGTTATGGAAAGCGGAAGTCTCATTTGCAGAATTCGGTGGTGAACCACGGCCGATATGCGACGATCAGACCAATAGACGCCCTGACGTCGTGAAGCTGAAAACGCACACAGGCGACCAGAATTCATGGTGTTCGCTCGGCTTCCACCCCTACGGAAATTACATCGATGTGGGCGTTGGCAATATGAGACCCGACGATATACCCACGGAAGGACTGATCGCGAGCGTCGTCCATGACTTTGGCCATATCCTCCGATTTGGACATTCCAATCAACTGCCAGGCGCTGCATCCAAAATTACAGTCAAGTGCTCTAACATGTAAAGACCCTCGCAGCCTCTTAACAGAGAATACTACTAATGTTGAAGGATAGGAGGCAGTATCAAAGCATGGTCCAGAAATACGGCGAGGAGAAAGCCAACAAAGCGTGTCTTGATATGGACACTGCACTCTCGTTGGCAACCTTGGACAGAAATACCCACCAACAACTCTACTCCGATGCCGCGACCTTCTATGCCCCGTATCCCGAGGACTATGCTCGTGGGCTGACGAATAATATCTTCGACTTTGCGTCAATTATGAATGTCCCTGCGAATGCAAACAAGATCAAACGAGGCCTTTTGGCGAAAAACGACGACGTCATCCAAGCAAGGAGCGCAGATGACAAGAAAAGGGTGCTCGCTATGGACTGGAAAAAGAAGGTGAAGTGGTTGAATACAAGGGTAACCCTCTCGCGACAGGATAGGCAAGATCTCGCGCGACTACGGGTTGGTGAATGTGAGGATCTGCCGCCCTATACCCCGGACCCGCCGCCATATGGTCAGTCTAGACAGACGTGATTGGATGACGGTGCGCTGAAGAGTGTGCTCCACAGGCTTCTATGGTGGAAATGGACTGGGATAGGTGGAGATTACATGATATATGCCGGGATTTCTAGTTGAGTTGAAGACATCAGGGTTGATGATTGCCTTTTTCCAAGATTAAGGAGTGTAAGAGTTCCAGGTACATAAATCCGGGTGTATGAAGATCATGAAGAACATGTTTTCGTATCAAAAGTTCATGTAAATGTCTACATGATAGCTTTATCAATGGTCATCGGTCATTGCTATTGCAAATGATCGTGGGTCCGTTTTCTCCCGTCTCCCACCGTCGCCCAATGGCCAACACCGTGGAGATCCACGTGCTTGGCATCAATTGATCCATTTGGATGTCCTCATACACTCCTAAGGCCATATCTACATACGCTAGCCTTGACAAGACATTCTACCATATAAACATGTCAATTGCTCGGCTCCTCAATGATTTCCTGGTCTATCAAACCATAGATTCTAATTTCTACCTAGAATGCCACTGAAGGCATTGTGTTATTTACCATTATGAACCCACCAATTGATGCTTCATCAACAAAAAAAAGTATTCTACTAAGATCTAAAACTGTTAGTCAACACCAAATCCCCCAGAAGCCCTCGATTGCGGAGAAATGCGAGTCGGGTTTACTTATCTCGACAATCAACCAGCCAATCACAGCCCGAGATAAGAAATATCCGAGGCTGTCGGCCAATCAACAGCGCGGGCTTGTTGATATCTTGCGCATTACGAGAGCAATGCCCGCGTTATCTGCCAGCCCTATCTCGCCTGGGGATTCTGCGAGTTCGGAGCTGGGGATTTGAATGCTATATACTACGGCCTTCTTCCCCGGAAACAGGATGTGATCTTTGCTTTGTCTATACACTCAATTGCAATATCGGTGTTTCTGTGCTTGGTCGTGAGACTGTCTGATCATGCCAGAGACGGCGACCTTTACAGCACCCCTGGGCCAGGGCTTTGGATATGGAATTATCCTGGGACTAGGCTTTGCTTTTGCTCTGCTGATGATCTTTATCACCTGGGCCTTGAAACGGTGAGCATTCTACTGCTCGTTGATCTATACAGGGCAGTCGAGCTGACCAACAACACAAAAGATACCAGCATGAAGTACAAACATCCGAGATGTTTTCTACGGCAGGACGCTCCGTGAAATCAGGTCTGGTTGCCGCGGCTGTCGTCAGTAGTTGGACCTGGGCGGCAACCCTACTTCAGTCCTCGGCGGTAGCATACAAATACGGCATCTCGGGCCCGTTCTTCTACTCCTCTGGTTCGTAGTTTTTGGTATGCATATGATCGAAAGCCATTTTAACTGACCTCTGAACAACCATTAGGTGCCACCGTTCAAATTCTTCTTTTCGCAACCCTGGCCATCGAGCTCAAAAGACGCGCTCCCAATGCACACACTTTCCTCGAAGTCATCCGCGCTCGCTATGGAACCACCGTCCATGTCGTCTTCATTGTTTTCTGTCTGATGACCAACATTCTTGTGACAGCCATGCTGCTCACCGGTGGCTCGGCAGTTCTGAAATCCTTGACCGGGGTTCCCACGACGGCGGGATGCTTCCTTCTCCCAATTGGCGTGGTCCTCTATACTCTGTTTGGCGGCATCAAGGCGACCTTCATCACGGATTACATGCACACCGTGGTGATCCTGGTGGTCATCTTCCTCTTCGCCTTCTCCGCATACGCGACCAATGCCCAACTGGGCTCTCCATCGAAGATGTATGATGCCCTCGTCGACGCGGCGAAGCGACACCCCGTCGACGGAAATGCCGGCGGCAGCTACCTGACCATGCGATCCAAGGAGGGCGGCATTTTCTGGATCATCAATCTGATCGGCAACTTCGGCACGGTGTTCCTGGACAACGGATACTACAACAAGGCCATTGCTGCCAGCCCTGTGCACGCGTTCCCGGGGTATGTCATTGGCGGGCTCTGCTGGTTCGCCATCCCATGGCTATGCGCTAGCACGATGGGCATCTCTGCCCTGGCCCTGGAAGGCCCGCAGCGTCTGAGCTCTGAGGATGTGACTGCGGGCCTGGTTCTTCCATTCGCGGCCGTCAAGCTGCTCGGATACAGTGGCGCGGTGGCTACGACGCTGATGATCTTCATGGCGGTTACGTCTGCCTTCTCGGCGCAGCTGATTGCCGTCTCGTCGATTTGGACCTACGATATCTACCAGGCGTATATCGAGCCCTCGGCCAAGGGCAAGCGACTCGTCTGGATCTCGCACATGTCTTGTATCGTCTACTCGATTATCATGGCGGGCTTTGCCACGGGTCTTTACTATGCCGGTATTGGCATGGGATATCTGTACCTGCTGATGGGTGTGATCATCTCCTCGGCTGTTTTCCCTGGCGCCATGACTCTACTCTGGAAGCAGCAGAACCGCATCGCTGCCGCGGTGTCGCCGCCGCTCGGTCTGGCTGTTTCTCTGATTGCGTGGCTTGTGACTGCAAAGAAGGAGTCTGGTGTTTTGAATGTTGACACCACCGGTGCCAAGTAAGTACAAAAAACATCAGCACCTTGAAGAAGTGATTATTCTAACAACCACTACAGTTACCCCATGCTAGCTGGCAACCTCGCCGCCCTCCTCAGCCCAGTCATCTTCGTCCCAGTCCTCACCTACACCTTCGGCCCGCAAAATTACGACTACGAATCAATGCGCGCAATCCGCAAAGTCGACGACACAGACGTCGCCCAAGCAGCGCACGTCGACCTGGAACTCGTCCCAGGCGAAGGCGACGCCTCAGCAGACAACAATGAAAAGGAAACCCACAAGCTCAACAGCGCAGCACTCTACTCGCGCACGCTCACAATCTTCCTGGCGCTGGCGTTCCTGATTCTCTGGCCGATCCCGATGTACGGGTCGTCTTATGTCTTCAGCAAGAAGTTCTTCACGGGCTGGGTGGTTGTCGGGATTCTGTGGCTGTTCTGTACGGTGTTTGGGGTGGTTATTTTCCCGCTCTATGAGGGACGCGAGAGTATTGTTCGGGTCGTGCGGATGATGGCGCTTGATGTTGTGGGGCGCAAGCCGAGGATTTATAGTGGACATGCCACTGGGGCTTCGGCTTCTGGGGTGGCGACGCCGACGGAGAAGGTTGGGGAGAAGAGCAAGGAGGTGCCTGAGTCTTGAGTTGGTTTGATGTTTGGGCTGGGCCCCTTGTGATTTCGTTGTATACCCCTTAGTTCTATATTGTCTTAATTTATACTGTCAAGTATCCTCTCAGTTATTCTTTGGGCAGGGGCTATCTTACTCAATATTAAATCAGGCTATTATATTTATTATATTGTCCTAGCTTCAATTCCCCCTTGTGGTACCTCCTATAAAAGCAGGCCATCAGCAACTCCACCCCGCCCCCCACCCCAAAAAGGCCTCGCAACCCCCCCAAACCACTCCCAAGCACACGCTGGAAATCCTTCGAATGATGGACCTACAACGGCATGGAGCAACGCCTAAACGAACTCCTCACCAAGCTCAACAAAGACAGTCTTCTCTCTTCTCCACCAAGCAGAGCTGATCAAAGGCCAAAAGTTCCACATGAGCACCCCCTTCTCGCCAGGGCAGTTCTGGGTGTGTTCCGAGATGGTTGGGGAAGACGACGGGAGTGTGGTTATTGCCCGTGTGCGATTACCGCGGTATCCCAACACCCTTTTGACCACCACCGACGCAGACGAGCACTACTCCGCGCTGTGTGAGGTCTCGACTATCCTTCTCTTTTGCAGCAGCAGCAGCAAAGTCTCTCTCGGCGGTGGTTGTGCCACGGGTTTTATGCTTATGAGGGGCCTAAATCAGCTCTTGCATTTGATGCCGGTTGTTCAGCGAGAAGGACGGTTCCTGGGGCAGAGATTCAGTGAGGTGTTGGAGTCCGGCTTCGAGGGTTTATGCTTGTTTCTTTAGGGTTTAGGGCTCTTTGGAGAATGCGGTTTATATTGGGGAGATGGTGCGGTTGACGTGTGGATTTGGCGATGATGGCACGGATCGATATATCAAGACCATGGAACGGGGCTTGATATAACAGATCATGCGTGGAGAACTTTGTCTATACTACAAGGGACTTAACCTGGGGTCAACTCATCATCAAGAAAAAGCAGTTGACTCGTAAGGACTAATACGCTGATCAAAGAACATGGAGAAGGCATAAGAGGTATTTTGATTTTGAAAAGCCCCGACCGAACCCCAAGTGTGATGTTTTTTTAAGAAACAGGGAATCAGAGATGCAAGACACCAACGTAACCACCCCCATTTAAGCGTCATCGACGGTGGCGGTGTGCAGACCCTTGGGGTCCTTGACGTTGACGGCCTGGACGTGCGAGTACAAACGCTCCTTGGCACCCTCCTCGTCGTTACGCTTGCGGGAGATGCGCACACGGAGACGGAAGGGAACACCCTTGATACCGGCCTCCCAGACCTTCTTGTTCAGCTGGGGGTCGAGGCGGACGTCCTTGGTGCCCTGGGAGAGTGCGCATGCCACCGTCAGCTTGAACCATCCATAGGGATTATGAAAAGAAATATAGGATATCACTCACCATAGCCTGCTCGGCGAACGCACGGATCTCCTTGATGGCACGAGGAGCACGCTTCTTGAAGCTGACACCGTGAACCTATAAATCCCGCAAAGAAGTTGCAATCAGTCTTCCGTCCAAATGCCATCTGGTAGAGATCAAGACTCTGCGCGATGATTTTCTGGTCTTTCGGCCATAGAGGTGGACTTCATCAAACTAATTCTTCTTGTGTTGGCTGGAGCCGGCGGGGGAGAAAGACGAAAATTTCTTCTCGATTCTTTCCCCCTCTCCGACTGTCAGTCGGCAAAGACGATATCCTCCTGTGGTTTCCCACATGTCGTCTTGACTAGCGGATTGGAAGTGTGGGATTGGAGTATGGCTGGATGGAGTATTTCCCCTCCCCAGGCCTCTCCCACACACGCACATGTAAAATGTGTTTCCGACTCCGTTGTGCTGAGAATCGTGTTCTCTGTCCAATTGATTTCCTCCAGATCCTTATTCGCAGACTCGAATCGTCGCAGGGAGGTTTGGGAAATGTGTGTGAGATCAACATACTCTCTTGTGCAGGTTGATGGTGTACTCGCGGGCCACCACATCGGCGATGGCCGAGCGGTTCTTGCCGGTCTTGACGTTGGACATCTCTGCAAGGAAACGTTAGAGTGCGCAAGCAAAGTAAATGGCGTAAATGGCAGAGGCCATACTCACTGGCGTGATGGGGGTGGGCGTCGATGGTGGAAGTGGTCGGAGGTCGAGAGGGAACGGTGCGGTTTTCGATTCGAAATTCAGTGTGGCTCGCTTATCGGATGGGCCGCCCGTGATTGGTCGGGTCACGTGGTTGAAGTGGTGCCTTGTCCATGTCTGATTAGTTATGTTTCATGCCTGGTTTATTAGGCATAAACTCGATGGACTACGCAAATGGAAATTTCCCAAGTTTTTTGTTAGACGACAAGATTCCTTTGCGAAATACCCCTGCCCACTACCTATACACTTATCTATATTCTAACCCCCAGTACTGTTACCCGCACTTAATTCTGGCCCTCGCTCACATCCAGATAGAGGTCAAATCGTCGCTGAGTGTAGATGGGGATGCCTTTGCGGATATTCACGATAGCTTCATCGCTCAAATCGGCGTAGATAATAGTTTCGGAATCCTCGGCCTCGGAAAGGATATTGGCACTAGGATCGGCAATCAGGGTGTGGCCATAGGCCTGGTAGGAGGCATTTACGTCCCGGGCGGGGCTGCAGAGCGCCACATATGACTGATTATCAACAGCGCGGGCGCGACCCAGCAGCGACCAGTGGAGTGGGCCAGTGGTGGTGTTGAAAGCGCCCGGGTAGACCAGAAGGAACGCGCCCTTGCGTGCAGCGATCATGGCCGCTTCCGGGAACCGGATGTCGTAGCAAATGGCGAGCCCAATCTTGCCGTACTCAGGGAGATCAATCACCGTCAGATGATCGCCTGGGGACAGCACATCGCTCTCCTTGAAGCTGATCTTGCCCGGGATGTCGATGTCGAACAGGTGCGTCTTGCGGTGCGTGCCGATCAAGGATCCTGACGGCGAGAACACCAGCGAAGTATTGTAGTATTTCTTGCTGGAGGTTTCCAGCTCTGGGATACTCCCGCCCACCAGGTAGGCATTGGCCTCGGCCGCGATGGCCGACAGTGCGTGGTATGAGGGAGACTGCTCCTTCGTCGGCGGCGACGGGTGCAGGGTCTCGGCGTACTTGGGGAAGTACTGTGTGCCGTAGGGGGAGTTAAAACACTCAGGGAGGACAATCAGTCGTGCGCCTGCCTGCGCGGCTTCAAGGACTTTGCTCCGGGCATGCGAGAGGTTGACGGTCTTATCAGCGCCTAGAGCGGAGTGTCAGCTAAGGAGATCTGTCATAGAACTTGGTAAGAATGAATACCTGATGCTAGCTGCACCAGAGCTAGTTTTAGAGGCTTCCTCAGGAAGGCGGCCATGGTGATGAGTGGATGTAGAAGGGAAAAGCCGAGGAGTTGGGGGATTGGGGTCATTGGGGTGACTCCGATATGCGGGGGACCAATGACTCCACGCATGTATCACATGATAATTTTGCCGTCCCACTTATCGATAACGCTACCTACTCGTTCCTCTCCATTACCAGTCCTCTCGCGTCTCTACTTCTGCCTCGTCTCCCTTTCCTCACATGCCCTTATTCAGCCAACATGCTGTCTGCATCAACAGTATCCTCCTCCTCCCTGGATACAAAGGACGCCGAGTCAGCGAAGACTACCGGCAGTCCCGAATCACTCTCACCGGATGAGGCAGCGAAGGACTATGAATCGCACCTGCCATTCAAAATCCCGGGTGCGGTGGTGTTGTCTGGCCCTTCTATTTCTATTCTTCGCCAAACTGCGAACGATATCTATCTTCAAATTAACTCCGACACGTCTTACTCGAATCAGTTTATTATCGTGTCGAATCTATCCCGGCAAGTGCAGGAGCTTATCGGTGGAGATCGAAATCCCCTTGAGGTTCCCTACAGATTGACACTCGACACACAGCGCCAGCAAGCGGTTATTCGAATAATGCCTTCAGGAGCGCATGAGCGTGTGACACAGTCATTTTCAAACGAACTCGTCGTGAAGTTACTTGATATGGGAATTCGTCCAAGAGCTTACACTATGAATGCGGCCACCCGATACCACGGAAAATCATGCGATAAAGAAGCCGATCAGTCTCTTACTCCATCGCGGGATACCTTCTCTAATAAGGTATGGCCTTCGCTCGTTATTGAGACGGGTCTTTCCGAATCAGAAGCACAACTACGAGCCGACGCGTATTGGTGGTTCTCGAATTCCGACTACAAAGTCAACATAGTTATGCTCTTTCACATACAAAGATCCCCTGAGCGCAGAGTCACCATAAAACTCTACAGTCTCAGACCAGCCACCCCAAGAGTCACCCGTGGACTACAGGCGGAGGCCGAGCGCACTCTACTATCTAATCCTACGCTATATCAAACAGACTCCCCAATAGTGCTACGTCATTCAGCGGCCCACGAGATCGTTATCACCTCAAGAGGTATTCAGAATGCTCCGCTGGAACTAGATTTCGAATCCGTCATGCGCCGGCAGCCGGCCCCTAATACGAGGGAAAAAAACATTATATTCACGGCTGAGGATCTTGCTGAGTGCTGCAACCATGTCTTTCTGGAAGCCTGAACATTACTGCTACCTGTCTTATCGCTACATGTCCTCAAAAAAATGCTAAGAATACTCCAGTAAAGACATTGCTGTATGCTACCGCCCTGTCTTTCCGGAAGCCTAGGCATTATCACTACACGTATTGTGAGGGGGTTGAATTCAAAGCTTTCTTTTAAACAGATATCCACTTTGTAGTTTAATTTATTAGTTAAGGATTCTGTGGTTAATCACCGGCAAATCGACGGCCAAGAGCGGCCTCGCGAAATGCTAGTAAAGCTGATGAGCAGCACCGTGACAAGGGGATTGGCCAGCGGGTGTGGACACACACGCTGGAGGTCTTCGACGCGGCTTGTGGCAAGTAGGGATCACGTGGGCCCTGTAGATTTTTTTTCTTTTTTTTCCCGGAGATTTTTGGGAGGCAAATTCTCTTTTAATTGCGAAGAATCTCCGGAGACCCTGCAAGTCATCTTATTTCCCCCCTCAATATTGAGACTGGATTTTTCCTTCTGGAATCCCCTTGTGTGCGCCCTGGGCCGAGCAGAGATTGGCGATCGGCAACCGGGCGGCTCTGCACCCCTCGAAATCCGACCTTGTTTCAAGATCTCGCGCTTTGAAAGACTTAACCCTGGACAGCTCGACCCTGAGTTCGCATTTGTCTTTGAACTGCACATTCCATGTTCGAAGACTTCTCCTTCTCGACGCCCTCGTCGCGGCCCGCCCGCTTGACCGTCGACGCCGATGACCGGCTGATGGTCGACTGCGACACATTGATCTCGCCACTGTCGTCGCGCTGCCCATCGCCGCAGTCAAGCCGGTTCCGCACGCTGCCACGGCCGCGGTCGTCAGTCTTTCGCTCGCCACCGCCGACTTCAGTACCCTTCTCCCACGACCCTAAGCGTCTGTCCATCTCGACCCTGACCCAGAAACTGCACGAACATTCCCTCCAAACGCCCGACAACCCCTACTCTCACCCCCACCACCGACGCCCATCGCTCTCTCTCTCACCAAATGCATACGCGGCCCATGTCCTGACCCCGCCGGACACAGACCACGACGACGACGAACTGTCGCCGGGGCCGTCGTCCAACGCCAGCCCGACCTCGTACCCAGCAGACGACATGCTGTCGCCTCCGTGTGGAGTTCAAGGACAAGCACAAGCATATAGATCCGGCGACATCTCCCCGGGCCTACAATTCGGATTCGGACCAGGCTCAAGCCCCGAGCCCGGCCCCAACCCCGCCCCCTGGACCACATCAACCCCAGACCACCTCAGCGTGCGCCTGCAGCGCCAACGCATCGCCCAGCTGCAATGCAGTCACACCCCCGACGCACTGCGCCGCTCCTCCTCCTACCGCGCCGACCCGGACCCGAACTTCGATCCCGACGCCTGCCACCCGAGCTCGCTGCCGCCGCGGTCCTCGCCGCGCCGGCGTGCCGCCACGCTAGCCCGCAGCCGGTTCGGGCCCGGTGACGCCCCCTCGGCGGCTTTGTCGACGGGGCCGGACCCGCGTCTTCGACGGAAGAGCAGTGCCGGCGCTGTGCTGTCCAGCCGCATCGATAAGAGCCACTACGGTGCGGCGGCGGGGTCTTTGTACGCGCCGGGATTCGGGCGCGAGGGCTCCAAGCGGGGTGATCCGGTGGCGTTGCGCCGGAAGAGTGTGGTTAGTGCGGCTTTAGCTTCTGTGGTTGAGCGGTGAGATGGGCTGCTTCTTTTATTTATATATTTTTTTTTCTTGTTTATTTTTATATGAATAACTTTTTGGGTCTTTGTTGTATATACTTGATTGATACCCTTGAAGATATAAGATATTTATTATGCCATTAGTATTAATTTTAGCATGGGGTGAATATACTAGTAGAAGCAAGACTTATTAACGTCTGAATTTGATACCATTTGAACAATATCTATTTACTCATACTCATTCTGGGGCTTCTGCATCTACTATCCAGTTCCATAGACAAAAGAACACCCAAGTGTTACATGTTGATTGAGTCTCGGACTCTTGAGAAAAGAGAATAAAAGTATGTAGAAACGACAAGAAAGAAGAGAAGAAACCGGCCTCATCCAGAGTCAAGATATCCCACCAGCGCCATGACATCCATCAACCCTTATCAGTCATACCAGATCATAACCATATCCATAAACAAAGGAAATAGAGTAAAAGATTGAAAAGAGGGAGGGAGGGAGAGAGAGAGAGAGAGAAATAGAAGGAAAGTGAGAGAGATCAACTCCCAGACCGCCAACTAAACAACTTCCGTATCCCCCTCCGCTGCGCAAACGACAACTTCCGATCCTCTTTCCCAGAAGAGTGATAACGACGTGCCCCGCCATTCTGGCGGTGCAAATCATCGAGCGCGCGCACCGGATGCCCGCGCAGGCCCATGGTCTCGGCATTGGCCGCGGCCAGCACGGACTGCACATGGGGATCGAGGTAGACGGGGTCGAATGGGTCGTACGAGTAGGGCAGATACGAGGCCGAGGGGGCCGGGGTGGTAGGTGTAGTCGGGGTGAGCGGCTCGACAGGGTCGGCAGGCTCAAGGAGATCGGGGAGGTGGCAGACAATCCCGCGGTCTCGCTCGTCGACCTGGGCCCATTCGCTGTTGGCGTAGACGGGAGAGCCTGGCTCGCCGATGTCGCTGTCGTCGGAGAAGAAGGTGCCCTGGGAGTCGGAGTTTGGGCGCGAGGTCTGGGCTTTTATGTCGTTCCAGCTCTGGGGTTCTGGGGACTCGGTCTTTAATGTTGATGGGGTTGTGGGTGTTGTTGGGGTTTGGGGTGAGGTCCAGGGCTGGTGCTCGCGCAGCGAGTATTCTGAGAACGAGCGGACCCGGTCGACGGGCACACCCGGAAACGAGGAGGGAGGTCGGTTTGCAGGCGCTTGGGGGTGAATTCGCGCGTCGGCAGAGAGGTGTAGAGCGAGGGTGTAGAGCAGTGCGACGGTAACGAGGCGTCAGTGAACTGCGACAGCGAGGCGCGGTCGAGACCTTGCTTGATGGAGAATGGCCCGTCTGTCGACATGCGGGAGTCGCGCGGGTCGGACAGCACAGAGCAGGTGTCGACATCGTCGATGAACGAAACGATGCGGGCGAGATCCAGCGACTTGCGCGGGTTCAGGATCTCGAAGCAGGCGCCACCGTGCGAGACGGTGGCGACGGCCGACGAGGTGGCTAGCATTGGGTCGGATGAGCTGGGCCGGGCTGAGGGTGGAAGCTCGGATTTCTGGAGCTTTTCGCGGAAGGTGTTCTGGAAAAAGTGGTCAGCACCTTGTGTTTTTCTTTTTGTCTTTCTTTTGTGTGCTGTTTCAGTTTACTCACCAGTCGCTTCCGGTTAGGTCTAGGACGATGACCGTGATCCGAGACAAGCGTTGCTCTTGGACCTGTAGTGACCAGAATAATGTTAGCCACAGCTTCATTCTATACACATACACACATAGATGTGTGGAAAGGAACCTACCAGACGACGTCTCAACCTCCGAGTCCAAACTCCAGCGAGAGATAAGACTGTGCGAGTACGAAGGCGACAGCGGAGGCGTCGAAGCGGCCGACGACACTGAGACAGGATAGGAAGAAGAAGAAATCGACGGGCGTGCCGAGCGGTTCAAGTGCACGGCGCCCGTTTTGCGCTTCAACGACCTTATAGACCTCGCGTCGCGATCGCCGGGATCGTCGACGCGGGCCTGTGCCTGCGACTTGCGGTATTCATGGAGAGATAGCATCCCAGTGGGGAAATGGATGGATCGAGGGGTATCGTGAGCTAGGGGGTTGGCCGTGCAGGCTGCATGATCCTGATCCTCATTTCCATGGAGTAGAAGACATTGCGCGACGGGGCCGTCCAGCAGCTCGTCGGCGTGGCACCAGACGGAGTCGACGGGGATGTCGTCCATGGGGAATAATTGGATTCAAATCAATTGTGATTTGAACTGATTTTCTCTTGTGTTTTGCGTATGCTTTTTCTTTTTCTTTCTTTTTGAGTGTTCTTAGGTGTTCGTCGACATGTCGATCAACGGCCGAGTGACTCGTCAGATCGCAGAATCCGCAAGGGAGCGATCATGGTTCTCAAGAAATAAAAACCTGCAAGGCACAGTTTTTTTTTTTTTTTCTCTGTCCCTGTTAATTTCGATCCATCCAATTCTTCCCAAACTCGGTCTGGAACATCAGGCACAAATGGTTCGGTGGAGCCGCAGAGTGGAGCAGGAACAAGAGAGTGCCGGAGTGACCGAATCTCGTGAAAAAGGAAATATGGACTGAACCAAGGAACGAGATCGGATCGAAGAGAATAGAAAGGACACACAACGTGGAAGTGGAAGAATGTCGGTCTGGGCAGGAAAAGAAAAATGTAGACATCACGGCCCAAGAATCACTTGCAGCTGATCTGATCGATCTGCCCTCCACTTCCCCTAGCGCATCTGCTAGTGAGTTAGTCTGCTGGTCGCATGCCAATGATTCTGGTTGGGCCCTGCTTTGACATGAACCCATGGCCCACTGCCCGCATTCTCGGGGATCCAGTCGGCGTGCAGAAGTGAGAAGTCAGGGAAGAGGATGTCGGGTGAGGTGGCGAGATTATACATTTTTCTTTTTCTTTTTCTTTGATTCTTTTCTGACCACAATTACCATTGTACTAATGATACTATTTCTTTTTTTTGCTATTTCTATTCTTATAATCCTATTATCGGAATTAACTTCGATCAGAAAGCGGACTGGCGCGACTTACTCCTTGAGGCATCACAACTCCCAAGGAACAACCACCGATCATTCCATGGCTCGCACACTCGACATGATTCATGATTACTTGGACTCGTGAGATGCATCATCGATCGGCGGATCGGCTCTGCCAGTTCACTGCACCCCATGTTTGATGTGCCTGGACAATCCTTATCTATACCTACAGTATGTGGTGTCTCCATGAGACACTTCCTCACAACCTCATTGTGGGCTACAGCTATCCCCCAAAGACAGAAAACAATCTACCATTGCCAGTAGCCAGATATCTCAAATATCCACACATCCACACATCAACACTCCAATATTCGAGAAACTAAAAATAAAAATAAAAATAAAAGCCAACTCCCAAGACGCCCGGTCATGCTTCAAGCCAGTCGCAATTTACAGTCAGTCATGCCTCGTCAAGTCAATCACATGAGAAAAGTCGTCATCATCAAGCAAATGTAAGCAACTGTGAGCAAATGTATGTACGGAAACCGCTTCCGCGATTGTGCGAAATCCCTCAGTGACGTTTATATTTCTAGATCCCGGATTAGCAACCACACCTCAAGATTCCACAAGTCCAGCCCCCAAACCCGAACCCCGAGAGAGCGACACGAACCCGGGGGGAGATCCACTTACATCTTCCATTTTCCGGCGATTGCTGGGGTCCAAAGTATTCCCAGCGCCCAGCAGAGTCTGGCCCACGGCCTTGGATACGCCGATGGCAGGCCGAAGAATCACCGTCGGTGCACGCTTCCACACAGCCCGGGCTGCCGCCGTGGCACTGCCACTTTCCACGACCTCGCCAGGCACGGCGACAACAGCGTTGCGTGCCAGCAACAGATCCCGTTCCAGCCCGCTGAAGGCGCCCCGCAGGCCCTGCACCACGCCCACGGGCTGATCCGCGTACAGCGAGATGGCCTTGGCCTCGTCGTCGGTCAACGCTTCTTCGGATATCCCGGCAGCGACGGCGGGCGACGCCGACGGGGTCGTGAGCAGATCCTCGGCGCCCTGCAGAACCGTTTGCGTGCCAATGGCCAGTTTGGCGCCTAGCTTTACCAGCTCGTTGGATGTGGTTTTGGCAAAGGCCAGCGCACCCTTTTGGATACTGCGCACGATCCGTCCGTCCTTGTGGTACTCGCGCATTGGCACTACCACGAGATCGCGCACGCCGCCGCCCACATTCACAAGTGATCGGATCGGTGCCAATCCCGCAAGTACCCCAGGGAGTTGGTTGCGTTTGACGTCTGGCATCCAGATGTCGTTGAGAGTGATCCCCAGCCGGTCGAATCCGGATACTCCGTAGATGATCACATGGCGCAGCACCATGTCAGCACCGTCCAGCACGAAGAAGTTCATGAACTCGGTCGTGCGACCTGACCGCAGCCCTGCGTAGTCGACGCGTTTGGGCTTGAAGTCCAGCTTTACTTGCACGGCATTAACCTCGACACGTTGCAGGAATGGTGCATCTCCTGGCGAGCTGGACTCCTCGATGGATTCGTCACGGAACTCAAAGAACCGGCTCAAGAAGTCCAGGGCATCTTGGTCCACGTGCAACCTCAACGGCAACACGGTAGCCTTCAAAACGATTTCCGACGCAGCCAGCTCGGGCACGGGCTGCACGGTCAGGATTTCCAAGTGGATCATGCTCGTCCCGCTTTCTTTCTCGCCGGCCTCATGCATGTACGTCGCGAATTTCTTCCATGTAGACGTGGGCACATGGTCGTAGATCTCAAGATCATTAACCCGTACATCCAAGGAGCTCTGTGTCTCCCCCGAGTTTGGCGGGAAGACAACAAGGTCTGCACAGACGCCCTTGAGCTCAAAAGTCATCTTGTGGTACTTGCTCCGGTGCAGCCGCAGTCTTTTCTCTCTCATGGAGGATGGCCGGCCTTGACGGCTGGTAGTCCCGGTCACGGTGGTCGAGGTCGCATAGCTGCCCGTCTCGCTGGTAAGGTCGTCAATGTCGCGATTGATCTCACGGTGAAGCTCTCGCGGGTCCTTGTTAGCTGGGATGCCAATGTAGATCGAGTTAAAAAGAAAGTCTCCGATGACGGACTCGGCGTCTTCCTCGGTCCCGGGAGACATTCTTGTGGTCCGGGCACGACGCTCCGTAGCCTTGGTCTCGACGTCCTTGACAGCTTTGGAGATGGTATCTCGTGTTCGTTGCCAGTCGTAACCATCAAAGAGATTCCAGATCACATGCACATCACGCACTCTCACACGGAGAGGACTCCGCTGAAGCATGGTGTCATTAGATAGACCGTAGGTGTTGTGGGTAGAATCCCACCGATGTGCAGTTCCCCCAACCGCGGACTGCCTGGCGAAATGATCATCTTGGAACTCCAGTTCCGTAATGCTAGATGAAATCTGATACTGGGAATGAAAGCTGTCGAGAAGGTCATTGGAATCGGGTGCTCTGAGAGCTTTAGAAATGCCATCACCAGCGCCCTGCTGCGCAGGATAGAAATCGCTGACATACTCGAGCTCTTCGTTCAAACCCTCTTCTTGAAGCGGCTCTCCCAGGTCAACTGCGGGTTTGGAGTCAAGAGTAGGATCTGCAGTGAAGGCATCGCCAGAGAAAGAGGCCAACATGTCTTGAATGGGCATCACTTCAGTCCGATACTTGACATTGGCGTTGGGTGGAGTCGGAGGCTGGAGTCCATTCATGATGCTGATAAGGGTCTGCGTTGAATCCGCACATGTCTCGAGAATCAGCAAATCGTCTCTCAACTCGACATCCAACGACTTTGTGGCACCGGCGTCGAGAGACATCAACTTGACAACAGCCATCGCAGATGAAATGGTAGATACAGGAACGTAGCCCGAGTCGATATATGCCTGCATCTGATTGCTCTGGGGAACGGCTGAGCCCCGCTGATGTAGATTATCGGCATGGTCCACATTATCAATATCATCGATGATCATAAAAGACGCTTTGCGGATGTCCAATGTGGCTTCTGACGCATCCTGACTATGCATAGTACCGCCAAACTTTGCATTTGAGAGCACCGCAAGGCCTTTCGCAGGGCAATTGCGAGGGTTGAGACCCAGGACACAGTCCCTAAATACTACAGCCAGCTTTGTTGGCTTGGTCGAGTCCCTGGACACATCTGGCTTGGAAGGCGACCGCGGCAATTCATCTGTTGTGTGGGAAGATTGCTCTGCAAGATTGGCAATGGAATTGGCCATGTCACTGGCCAAATCCCCGCCAGTTCGGTCGCCGCTCAATCCAAGAAAAGCCGTGACCGATGGCAACGTATACTCAACGCGAAGATGGTGGAGTTTGACTTTGAAAGTTGGATCCATTTCATCGGGGATGAAACGAGCCATGAGAACCGGCGGACGAGGCTGAATGGGGGTTTGATGCTTGTCTGACAGCAGTGCCTCGCCCACCAACTCTTCATCGTCGTTCCGATTGACAGTCACGGTGCCAATCTGAGCAGCAACCAATGATGGCATGCTAATATAGGCAAATTCGGCATTAGCGAGACGCGTGTTGATGTCCCCGACATCGCCACCCACGTGGATCTGGCTCTCAAACTCGCGGATTAACGTCAAAGTGAGAATCCCCGGGCGGTCATCCTCCGGCAAATACTTCGTGACATTGGATAGCCGTCCCAATTCACTGCCGAGAGTTGAAAGAGGAGCCAAGCCGGCAGTATTTGCAATGACGCTTTTCATCCCTGCGACTGTAACCCGAAGCACAGAGCCCTGCCTCCGCTGCCGCAATAGAGTGTCCAGCATGATATCGTCGTCCTCGTCATACTTGTCCTTGGACGGGGTTATTAGGGTTAAGAGACGATCAAGATCGACTTCCTTGGGAGAGAAGAGGAATTCAACCCTGATATTGCTCAATGCCACCTTGGCAGGGGCATCAGAGGACTCATCCAGCGGGAGCGGTCCACTCAGCTTTGACTTGTCGATTTGAACACCAATGCCCTCAAATCTGCTGACGAGTTTGACGGCAGACGTATTCAGCTTGAGACAATGGGTTTCCCCGATGACATCCAGCACTATACCGCCCACCCGGGCATTCACCTTCCATGGGGTGGACGCATTTCTGGCCTTTTTGGGCGCCGCAGCTGGGGTCTCAAAGTGCACACCACGGGGCCGCTTCTTGGGATGAGCCTGGCCGCCCTTGACCGTCGATACAGACGATATAGAGCTCCCGAGCTCTAGAATGGTGCTGAGACCACCCATCCACCCAATGACTTCTTCTAAACGCTGTATATTCAGATTGAGATGCAGAGGAAGCGTGGAGATGCTGATCCTTGCTGAGTCGGTCGACTTCACCAGCGAGAGGGAAATGTCTCCTTGCGTAGGAGTCATGATATCACGTGTAGATTCGCGCATCTTCAATGTCTCGTTGAACGAGATCAAATTATCTTCTGCAAAGCCGAATGTAAACTTCGAAACTTGAAGGTTCAACTTGGTCGTAGCGCCTTTTACCAACAACTGCGATTTCAAACCAGACGCCTTAATTTGTAGGATTATGTCTTCCGTCGAAGGAAAGGACGGCGGCAGAGGTAGACCAGCGCGCTCGGACGAATGAGAATGCTCTACAACATGTTCGATAAACTTGATCGAAACGTCGTGAACAACAAGACCGAGAGCTGCGTGGTGGTCCAGGTGTTCTGGCACAGGTTGCTTTGGGGACGGATCTCCAACCTCCCCGAGAGCATGCATTATCTTTTGTCCAATCTTGACCAAAAGCCAGCCAGTTGCGATATCAAAGTGCAAAGCCGCTGAAAACACTTCCACCGCCGTCTCATGCGACTCAGCGCCATTATTTGAATGACGCGGCTTCTCTGGGTGACCTGATGGCCGGGACCCGGCTTCAGAAGACCCACGGGACTCGGTAGAGCCTCTACGAAATCTGGTGGAAGCGTAAGTTTTGGAAGCAAGGATGCTTTCCTCGATCGTAGACTCTTGTAGATCGGCCGGAAAGTCTTGCGGGTCACTGTCGGCCCTTTGTCTAGACATTGAAGGAGACGATTCGCCTTGAACCTCTGCCTCGGGGTTTGACGGTAGCCAAACCAGTACTTTGTCAATGCTGAAAATGGGGTTTCGACTTTCGCTGGCCTTTTCAAGAGAGGGCGACAGTGCTTTCGATGCTCTGTCAGTGAGTTCAGATTGAGACTGGGCTTGGTCATCGCCCAAGGTCTGCTGGTCCGCGAAATATGAATCTGATGTGACAGCGAGTTTGGGAGTCGAAGCAGTAGCCTCGCTCTGGGCCCGCTGGGCGAAATGCGACGCACCAGTAGGGGTATCTAAGGTTTGATCCTCAGAAACACCCCCTGCATGTTCGTTGGCATTGAACGAATCCCATGCTCCGGGCATATTGGGCATGAAACTCCCAGTCTCTTGGCTGATGGCACTCATGTAAAGGCTTTGTGCTTCATCATGAGAAAAGTACTTGGATTCAGTGAGGTCCCCGTGGGAGCCTACGCTGCTGGACTCGGAGGGTGATGACGGCGTAGGTGAGTGATGTGATGGGTCCATTTGAGACCTTTCGTAGTCCCCGTGACCCTGGGGATAGTTTGTAGAGGGTGCAGCTGCATCATCGAGTGACGGACCAGCGCCGCTACTCAGCTGGGAGTCAAAAGCTCGGGACCCATGGAGACTGCTCGATGGTATTGATGCCTCTTCAGTGTGCTCGATATCATGGCTTGGTGCCAAGTTTCCTGAAGCATGTGGTGATGAACCTGGTTGAGACATCCATCCACTCCCCGTTATTTGCTCCTCCTCAGGGCGAGGGGTCGTAGACCGCTCAACATCTAAGTTGTCAAGCCGAGTATTCATCACAGAGTCTAAATAATCTGGGTTGTCTCGAAAAGGGTCGTCAGCCCCGAAGATCTGGGAGTCTGCGAGATATCGATCATTTGGATCTTCAGTCTCCGAGTGGACATCCGAGAACCGACCGTCATGAGAGAAGGTCGATGCTCCCATGTCGTGGCTGTCGTTTTCGCGATCATTTTCACGATAACCTTCCCGAGGCGGCTCGAAAATGGTTGATTGAGTCATTGCAAGGGCAGATTCTGAGCCGGGGGAGTCCAACGGAGGGGGCGAAGGTACCCTGCTCGATGGCTGGCTCCCTCTAGAGTGCATCGTGGTGGTCGGAGACGCAGGCACAATGAACCGCGAATAGTTTGAAAACACCACGGGGTCCGACACGAGGCCAACACTAATTCCAACAAGCGACACCAGACGCTTTCCTTTTCGCAAAGGCATAGCATCCTCAGAGCCAGCAGTGAACTCCGATACCCCATAGACGTCGATCTCCCGAATACTCAATAGACCCGAAACTAGATCCGGCTTGTCCTCGGGTTGTCGTTTAAGCGGAGCATCTTGCTTCAACTCCATATCCAGGCGCACTGCCACGTCCTTGATTTTGAGCTGTAACCGATCCGCGATACCCTTCAAGAACCCAGCAACAAAGCTCGGCAGAGACAGAGTCTCACTTCCAAGACCGAGTTCCTCCTCTTCATCGGCGCTGAATGACGATGATTGTCGCGGTAGAACCTGGGATTGCGACGCAATCGCAGCTTGTAACTCCTCCTTTTCCTCCTTCGGCTCTGTCTCAAGGAACGATTCGGCGAGGCCAGACGGGGTGGGCAGGACTGAGGCTGTGTCTGGATCATGTACGGCCGAGGAACTGGGCCCTGTGTTTTTCGTCTTTACATGACCATCCCGACCTGGTTCCCCCGATAATAATCGAAGATGTACATCGATCCCACTTGCTTCACAAATTATTCCACTGCTGTAGATATCGGCCGGGACGGTGATTCGAAGAAACTGGACTCGGGCACCGAGCAACTCACACGACGCAGGGAGGTTGAGGAGAGTAGCGAGTTTCTAATAAAGCCCCGAAAAATAAAAGGTGTCAGTATATATATGGGCAGCATCGCGGGGACAGCTTATGCGGGCGACGGAATACAGCCCCGCCGTCGCGTCACCGCTCCCACTCACCTCCAGCTTCAGGCCGATATCTCGCAGCTCCACGGTGCTCCGCTGGCCCCAGCCAATGCCCAGATTATCAGGGTCCAGTGCCTCTGTTTCCACGAGCCCCAGGCGAGAGAGGGCATATTTGAGCAGCCGCTTCTGGAAGAACGATGGCAAGAAGTAGGCCATTTTGGGACAGCCGGCCGATCATGCACTGGCAGTATCATCGAAGCACAAACATGATAAAAGAAAACCGAAAAAAAAATAAATAAATAAATAAATCAGCGAGAGAAAACACCCAGCTCCAACAGCCAGAGCAGATGTGCAAGTGAGAGAGGAGAGTAAGAGAGTAGCAAAGGGGAGGTTCCGATGACGTTCGGGGCACCTGATTACCTGATAAAAGGCGATAAGTCCACGGGTGATCGCCATCAGGCGGGGACAACTCAGCGTGCACAAGTCACCAAGTCCTATATTTGAGGTATTCCTTGGTCTATTGGTTTGGGTAGTACTGAATATTGAATATTATCCTATGTGGTTGAGCAACTAGATACATGTTGGCCATAGAGCCTCCAATATTGGCTCTTATCCTGAGAAATCTACATATATAGATGCCCGGATGTCCCCCCTTAGTCTTCGTCGAACTCAGCAAACTCCAAGACAACCCACTCACAAAACTTTTCAAACTCTGAGCACCATTCACGCAGCCGAGCAGCTTTGATCCCATCCCCCAGGATCCCTTGGTGGACCTCAGCCTTCCACTCGGCGGTGGATTGGTCATCGTAGCAGCTCCATCGGATGGAATTCTGGGCCATCATAGCCAAACCAGCCAAGTCGATGTTTTCTAGCCCTTGCATTGCTTGCCAAAAGTCATGGGTTATTCCGTTCCTCCCATGACCGAGGATCGCCGGATCATCGTTGCAGAGCGAGACGGGGACGCCTCGAGCTAGCAGTGCCGGCAGGGGGTGGGATTTGATGGAGCTGGTGAGGCGGAGCACTTCGTTGGAGATGGGACAGCATTCAACGAGGATTTTCTTCTCCTTGACTAGGTCGATCAGCAGCGGGTGTTTGTAGAGAGAGAACCCATGACCAATGCGTCGAGTCCCGAGGAGAATGGCGTCGAAGAGGTTGTGATCGGTGGTGTCGCCATCGCCGAGACACTCTCCGGCGTGGAAGAAGAACGGGATATCTATGCCTTTCTCGGCACATTGTTTGCGGAACCAGAACAAACTCGGGACGAGATCCACGAGCGGCCGACCCAGGTCTTCTTGCCCGACCAAATCAAAGCCGCAGATGAGATCAGGGAAAGCCAGTTTCGTTTCGATACACTGTTTCATGCTTTTGACAATCTCCATATTAGAAAAGCGACGAATTGTGGTCCAGATCATTCGCGCATCGTAGAAATTCTTCCCCTCGTCGGTGGTCTTGAACTGAGCCACTTCATCCGTGACCACGCGACAGAATTCGAAATAATCTTCCTCGGGGATCTCACTCCCTTCTTTCCTGTATTGGAAAACGAATGCAATACGGAACTCGACATATCGAATCCCGTCGGCGGCCAACTGTGTCAATAGACGGCGGAAGCAAGCCCGGAAGATAGGCTCATACATCAGCATCGAGTTGATGACGGGGAATGTCGTCGTGAAGATAGCCCAGATCGCATCGACTCCGTGATGGTGGTGGTATGAATGCTCCGGCATGAGCACACCTCGACTTTTCAGCCATTCTCGGAATCCAGCCTCTTGGCCGTTGGGAAAAGACGAGGCGGCTTTCTGGATGGGGATCAATGAAGACGATTCGTATGCTTCGGACCAGATACTGGGTTGGGTTTCCGATTCTTCATCCGGTCGGGAAGAAAATCGGAAGGAAAAGGGGGCTTTTTCCAGGTCCTTGGAGGTAATCAATGGCTTGGGCGCGGACATGTGGATGCCCGGGGTTGACAAAGCCTGGTCAATCAAAAAGTCGACGTCGAACATGGCATCCATATGGGCATGTAGCAAGGACCCCTTGGGCATTTTCTCGACGATTTTCCATAGTTTGGTCTTCTCCATGCGACCCTTGGCTAGATGGAACATAACCCCAGGATAGAGGATCTCGTCTGCTTGGTGGGCCGCCGCCTCGTCGAGTCCCGTAGACCATAGCTCACGCTGCTCGCGCGCCCGGATCTGCGACATGATCCTTGATGCGCGGGCGGCGATGGGCGACAGAGATTTGCGAAGATTGGCATCTACAAGGACATTAGATGGATCACTGGCATGGTAGGGGAAAGCCCGCACCGTGGCGCTGTTTTTGCTCTTGCGCGATCAGGGCATCGCGGCCTCGCAGGTACTGTTGAATAAATGGATCTCCGACTTGGGGCAGGCCCTCGTCCAACTCCCAATCAATATCATTGCTCCCCATACTTTGGTTGGATGTTGGTTGTATTGCGAGTTGAATAGTTGAAATTGGATGGTTTGAAGGACGTGAGGGGCACTTGGCTTTGCTTTTCCGTTTTCGTCGACTGGATGCACCCGTCTTTGCCCTATTTACTTGGAGACTTCATTATCGTCATCATAGATTTCATAGATTGCTCGGTGTTGAGTATAGCAGGGAGTATAGTATACTATAGTATACTATAGTATATTATAGTATACTGCTTCGACTAAGTGTAAGTTGATCTCGCTTATTTATTTTACCTTGACTGTCACCAAGATTCCCCAATCCCACGTTGTTTACTCCCCTCTTGAATCTCCCCTCTGCCAAGTTGTGATATTTGGGTGGCGTCCACGGTCTTATCTCCAGATGAAGACTGGGGGGGCGTAGACAAAGCCCGCACGTCTTATCGCCTGTGCAGCCATCAGGACGGCAATTCCCCGAAGGAATCCGAGCATAGATATTCCAATCAACTCCCAAACAATTGGATATGCTGATTTACATAAAATCGATAGATATTTCCTCAGCTTTTTTTTTTTTTTCTTCAATTTTTCTTGAATATACACTTGAAACCGCTGAAATAGCTCTCATAACCCCCCTGTTTCGCATACTATATCTTTTGCAGAAAGAACCGCGCTCCACTGCGGAGAAAGTGCCCCAATAACTGCTCAGTGGCAAGCCCAGCCTTGAGCCGTGCCAGGGCAAAGATAGCCGTGCCGGCCTGTCATTTGTGAAGAAGCTGTGGTTACATTGCGCTAAATCAGTGTCTCCGTCGGCGAATCCGTGCGAGGACCATGTTTATCGCTCTTTTTTTTTTTTTTTTTTTCTCCCCGCACAACTAAATAAACGTGTTCTGCTAGTCAATGCCATGCTCTTTTTCCCCCCTTCTCTGATAATCTGACATTCCTCGAGTATTCAAATATTTGCAGTCCTCAGTCCCTTCGGTCCTTCGGTGACTTGAGTGGCAGTTTCTGAGTTCTCTGGTTTTCTGCGCAAAACCATCTCCAATTGCCCCGATCCATCTTGGGATCCGCTTTGATTCCTGCGATAAGCGAAAAAAAAAAACCCGCAAGGTGAAAAAAAAAAGGGCATGTGCGCCCACTGTACTCTGGGTTTTCTGGTCTTTTCGTGGAGGAATTGAACAGTCCTAGAGCCTTCATTCAACATGGCCGACAACCCGACTGAGTCCGTCGCTAACCCCCCCGAGGCGCACGGGCACGCCCATCGCGATCCCGCATCACAGCCCGAGCACCAGCACCAGCATACCCACCACCATCATACCCACTTTGCCGAGAAGGACCGCGACGAGGATGTGGTGTATGCGACGGGCACTGCAATGGAGAAGGGAATCGTGCCCCAGCCGACACCCCTCGATCACAGCAAGAGCACGAGCGACAAGGATGAAGAGTCCGGAGAGAACTATCCGGCGCAAAGAAAATGGCATCGGCGCGTACTCAAACACTGGCGGCATTTTGCCCATGCGGGGGTGTGGCTGTTGTTCACCGGGTGAGTGGATCACACTGGCGCGGTTGTCGATGACCCCGAAACCCAGAGACTGATGGGGAGATCTATAGATGGTGGATTGCCGGCCTGATTTTGCACCGGTATGATATTGGATGGCTGATCCCCTTCCTGCTCTACCTGGCCATCACGCTGCGCATCATCTTCTTCTACATCCCTATCACTATCGTGACCAAGCCCATGTACTTTGTCTGGGACCACACCGCACGATCCTTCGTTCATCTGATCCCCCAGAAGCTCCGGACGCCCAGTGCCGCGTTGCTCTGTGTCGCCGTGATTCTGGTCGGGTCGTTTGCGTCGCCCGAGTCGGCGGATAATACCCGCGCGAACCGCGCCGTCAGTCTGTTCGGCATCGTGGTGTTCCTGTTCGGGCTGTGGCTCACCTCGCGCAACCGCAAGAAGATCGTCTGGCACACGGTGATCGTCGGCATGCTGGTGCAGTTCATCATTGCGCTGTTTGTGCTTCGCACCAAGGCCGGATACGACATCTTCAATTTCGTTTCGACGCTGGCGCGAGAACTGCTCGAGTTCGCAGGCGATGGAGTGGTGTTCTTGACCAGCCAAGACTTTTATGATTTGCAGAAGCCGTTCAATGCGGGCCAGTTCTTCCTGGTCAGCGTGGTGCCCGCCATCATGTTCTTCGTGTCGTTGGTACAGCTGCTCTACTACAGCAACATCCTGCAGTGGTTCGTTGGCAAGTTCGCCGTGTTCTTCTTCTGGAGCATGCGCGTGTCAGGCGCCGAGGCCGTCGTAGCCGCAGCCTCGCCGTTCATCGGGCAGGGCGAGTCGGCCATGTTGATCCGCCCGTTCGTCGCGCACCTCACGCTGGCCGAGCTGCACCAGGTGATGTGTTCCGGTTTTGCCACTATCGCCGGCAGTGTGCTCATCGCCTACATCACCATGGGCGTCAACCCGCAGGCTCTGGTCTCGTCGTGTGTGATGAGTATCCCTGCCTCGCTGGCCGTGTCGAAGCTGCGCTGGCCCGAGGAGGAAGAAACCCTGACGGCCGGCCGCGTGGTCATGCCCGACAACGAGGAGCACCGCGCCTCCAACGCCCTGCACGCCTTTTCCAGCGGTGCCTGGCTCGGCCTCAAAATCGCCGCCATGATCAGTGCCACCCTGCTCTGCATCATCTCGCTTGTCGGCCTGGCCAACGGCTTATTGACCTGGTGGGGCCGGTACCTGAACATCAACCACCCGCCCCTGACCCTGCAGCTCATCCTGGGCTATCTCTGCTACCCGATTGCGTTCTTGCTTGGCGTGTCGCGCGACGGTGACCTGGTCAAGGTCGGCCAGCTGATTGGCCTGAAGCTGATCACTGTATGTTCCCAGCCATCATAACCCCCCATTTCATCTCATCGTTTAATCAAACTAACCACACTGGCAGAACGAATTCGTCGCCTACGACGCCCTCCAGCACGGACAAGCCTACGCCGACCTCTCCCCCCGCTCCCGCCTCATCTCCACTTACGCCCTATGCGGCTTCGCCAACATCGGGTCCCTGGGTAACCAGATCGGTGTGCTGGCACAGATCTCGCCGGGCCGCAGTGGCGACGTCTCGCGGGTTGCCTTCAGTGCTATGGTCACTGGCGCAATCAGTACCTTTACCAGTGCGGCGATTGCGGGCTTGCTGATTACGGATGAGAAGTCGTTTACCACGCCGACGACGTCGTGATTTATTCGTATCCTTTCTATTTGTGCTCTTAGTTCTGTCTTTGTTTTTTTTTTTTTTTTTTTTTTCTTGATGCTAGGGTATTGTTTTTGCCTTGGCTGTGGCTGTGTTGTTGAGCGTTGCTTCTTGTTCTTATCTACCTGTCTCTTTTCTTTTTATCTTAGCAGGTTTCGAGATGAATCATGATTGTAGCTATTCTGCTGGTTCTTGTGGATTTCATTACCTAGTAGTCTGGGAGTTGAAAGATCAGCCCGTCTGTATACCCCTGAGGGGCCGTGTGGGGGGCAAGGGTAGGGCTCGAGGTCCCCGCGTCTCTTGATATTGCGGGGATGCAAAAAAAAAAAAAACCCCAAGAATCAAGTGGCTCAAGTGATTCTCTACATTTGACGTAAGAGCCAGGCCGAGCATCATAAATATACCAGGCGAAATCCTCACAGGTGTTGGAGTAGAGATAGAGCCATTCTTTTTGGACAGCATGCGATCGCGGTAGAGTGAAATAGAGTTGAAGATTCGTTGATATTAATACCATACCAAGGTACCAAGGTAGCTGGAGCCCTGATTTCCACTAGGAGTAGCCAAGCAAAAAGAATTATCTTCTTGAACCCGTTCAAAACGGCCCCCAAGCAGGTAAAGATACACTCACAAACCCTAGAAAAAACAGAGTGGATTCCAATAAAAACAAACACAAAGAAGGCGAGAAGAAAAAAAAAAAACAGGGGGAAAAGAAAACTCCAGGCCCAAGCAACCTAGGGCAGTATGCATGTGCACCATAACCCCGAAAAAAAAACTACTGCAGACGAGGGCATCTGGGGAAGAAATACCCGACGCCTGATGCAACCCCCCAAGAAAGGGGATGGATGGGTGTGATGTGAGGAGAGGTGATATGTGAAATGGTTTAATCATCGTCGAGGTCACGGTGGCGGGCCAGGACGTGGCGCTTGAACTCTTCTTGGTCGGAATCCCAGAGCTCTGCTGCTTGGGCGTTGAGAGGGCTCGCGCTGTGGTTGTAATTAGAACATGATTTCTTTTCTTGGCTGTGTTTTGGCCTTGGCCCAGACAGAATGCTTACTTGTTAGGCTCACCCAGCAAGCTCTGCAGACTCAGCAGCACACTCTGGACATTGTAGACAGCACTCCATTTGTCCTTGAGAATGTCGAGGCAGATGCGGCCGGAGAAGTCCACGTTGGGGTGGTAGATAGGGGTTTTGAAGAGGACAGTCGGAGGAGAGTAGGGATAATTGTTGGGGAAGGCAAAGGAGAGCTTCATAGTCAGGCCTTCATAGGGCGTCTCGGTTGGGCCGGTGATGGTCGCTGTCCATGAGAGGAGGTTGCCGTCAGCATCCGGGAACGCAGAGATGCCGGGCGAGGGCGAGAGCATGAGCTGCATCAGCTCAGCTTGCAGGCTAAACAAAAGAAGAAAAACTCAAGTCAGTACACCAGGTCCAGAAAGATCTCCACAGTAGCCTGGTTATAGATCCTAACGAACCGCTTGGTCACACTCTGCGTGTCATTGCGCTGGGCGGAGGAATTCAGCTTGGAGGCTTGCAGCGCATCGGGCGCTGCGTTCTGAGTATCTTCCATAGTGTAGTCCATCACGAGACTCTTGAAGAGAGTGTGATATATTTTTCTGTAAGGGTTTGAGGAGAAACAAGGGCGATCGGGGCTCCACAGATTCCCGGATGAGCTGTGGAATGCAAGTCAGAGTAGCACGAGGGTTGCTGTGTGGAATGACGACGGATGCGGATGGGTAGTGAGGACCCACAGAAATCGAAGCAAAGAAGATCCAGGAAGAGGAACAAATTCAGTGGGCAATCAAATCATAAGGTTGGATGCGTGAAAGAAGAGAGATCACAAAGAGCACAACACCAAGGCGCCATTTGTTTACGCGGTGGTCCCCGGCAACCATATGGATAGTGGGGAGCCCCACGCCTATCTACTGATGTCTTTTCCTTGTCTTTGTATTGTGAGCAGATCAATTAATTAAATTGATTTAATTAACAAGTTTAATTAATCTTTGTCTAAAGACCTATTATCCTAATCTTATTATCTATTCAGATATTGATATTGTGCGCTTTAGCAATCAGTGACCTCTGATCGATCAGCCGACAGATTAAATCTAACTACGTAGTAAGGTAATAAGCTGCCCTAGTCTTTAGGCACTGGGATATTGATCTAAATATTGATCTAAATAGCAAGAAAATCACCCATCAAATTAGAGCAAGATCAAGCCGTCCCGATGTAGGTGTTTAAGCGAGAGTCAAGCGAGGGTGCCGCGGCATCAACACACTACCACAACAGGATAAAGTGACACGCGAGTGCCGCGTCCCTTGTATTTACCTCCCCGCAACCTCATCTCTCTCTCTTTCTTTCCCATCCACTCGTTTTCTACATATTCTTTTTTTTCTTTTTCTTTTTTTTTTTTTTAAATTCCTGCATTCCTGTCTGTTGCTGGTCACAATGCAGCATTCGCAGCTGGCCCCGCTGCCGAAAAACGTGCCATTTCGCATTGTGTCCAAGACCATCGGTCAAGGGGCTTACGCGTGGTGAGTCGAGTCCCCGCAATCGTAGAAGGTTCTTCTTCTACTTCTTTTTTTAATCGAACCTGACGCGTTCCTAACAACCCCTAGTATCAAGAAAGCGTGTCCACCCGATGATGACCACCCCGTATTTGCTGTCAAATACATCCACAAAGAGTATGCCGCGCGACATGGCAGGGTCAGCTCGCGGCAACTCAACTTGGAAGTAACGGTACACAGCCATGTCTCGGGCCACCCTAACATCATCAACTTCTTGAAAACTGGTCAGGATGATGTGTGGTGCTGGATTGCCATGGAGTTGGCGGAAGGTGGGGATCTTTTCGATAAGATCGAGGCCGACGAGGGTGTAGGCGAGGATATCGCACATGTGTATTTTACCCAACTCATCAGTGCAGTGAGCTTCATGCACTCCAAGGGAGTTGGGCACCGTGATATCAAGCCCGAGAACATCCTCCTGACGGCCGATGGCAATCTCAAGATTGCGGATTTCGGTCTGGCAACCCTGTTTGAATACAAGGGGGTCCGCAAACTCTCCACTACCTTCTGTGGCAGCCCACCCTATATTGCTCCCGAGATCATCACCAACAGCACTCGAGGCAACGCCAAGGGAATCGGGTACCACCCAGACCTGGTGGATATTTGGTCCTGTGGGATTGTACTCTTCGTCCTTTTGGCGGGGAACACGCCGTGGGACAGCCCCACCGACGACAGCTACGAATTCCACGAATACCTTGCGACGAATGGACGAACTACGGATGAACTGTGGCAGAAGCTGCCGCCCGCCACTTTGTCCTTGCTGCGCGGCATGTTGACCGTGGACCCGATGAAACGGTTCTCGCTGGAGGATGTGCGCCGTCACCCGTGGTATACGCGGGCCAACAAGTTCCTGTCGGCGGAGGGCAAACTGTGCGACCCCATCAACCTGGCCACGTCGATGTTCGAGTCCCTGCACATCGATTTTACTCAAAACCCATTCCAGTCCCCGTCACAGAAGATGGTGTCCCGCAGCGGCGACGGGATGGACATGAACATCGATGAGCCCAGCCTGTCACCGTCAGTCGGATTTTCGTCGACGCAGCCGGAGATGCAGAGAGTAAGCATGCCCACGGACTGGGACTCGCAGCACCTGGCGGCGGGTATGGTATCGTCGACGCAACCGATGAACAAAGCGTCCATGTCGCAGGACATCGCGATGGAGGCCCAGCTGGAAGGCGAGCCGTCCATGTCGCAGTTCTCGCAGCAGCCCTCGGTGCCTGTGAGTCGCACCCAGAACGCCCAGAGGTTCCAGGATATTGTCCCGTCGCGCCCCATGACTCGGTTCTACTCTGTGTGGGAGCTCAAGCTCCTCGTGCCTCTCATCTGCGAGGCCATGCATCGTCTGGGGGTTCCGGTGCCGGGCGTCCCCCGTTGCATGCCGGCGGTACCTCGGCTGTTGTCCGCGTGGTTGCCAAAGATGGGCGGATGTGCCCACTCCAGGGCAAGGTGATTGTCGAATGTGTCGCCGAAGGCTTGTTCGAAGTCGAGTTTGTCAAGATCAAGGGAGATCCGTTGGAATGGCGCCGGTTCTTCAAGAAGGTGACCATTCTGTGCAAGGATGCCGTGTTCAAGCCCGACGAGTAATGGACCCAGCGTGTCATGTATGATTTGATGAATGATCTGATGTGTATTTTCTTTTCTTTTTTTTTTTCTTTCACTCCCCAGCCAGTGCAGTGATTCGGATCCGATCTTCTGTCCGTGTGTTACTACATATTTTAACCCTGCGTGAATACCACTGTATCAACTGTATTGATTGTACATAAATTGACCGCCAGGCAGCATCTTCACCCGTGGAGCCTCGCCCCCACGCTCATTCGCAGATAGCCAGTGCGCTGGTGTCGATCTATCGATATACTGTATTTTTTCGATGGGCCCTCTCGCCAAGCCATTTTAAAGTCTTAACAGGATTGCCTCGCTGGGGCGGTTTCATGATTTGGGGCTACCATACGGGCCGTCGAAGGGCCTGATTGCGCCATTTGGCCCCTGTGTCGGCCTTGGTAGGGTTGGTTTGCTGGATGTCATCATCATCTCCACACCGGCAGAAGGCTAAGGATCCTTTGACGTGCACCAGAATAAATAATAAATAATATCATTACTGCAGGAATGAGTGTGTAAATCGAAGGATTCTTAGTTGTATTGACTGGAAAGGAGAAGAATCAGTCAGACTCAGGTTCTGAAGTACTGTAAATCCGCTCGAGATATTGTGTATTCGTGGATGTAACATACAGTATGTAGTCCAGATAACCTCTGCCACGTACGAGCGTTGAGCCAGTCCTTTTCTTTTTCTTTTCTTTTTCTTTTCTTTTTCTTTTTTTTTTAAAAAAAAAAAAAAATTTACTGCGAGCCTCGCTTTCGCGGTCAAATTGGATAGGAGAGATGGTTCTCAATCTCAAGTCACCCATGCCGCGTGGATGATGGATCCTACAGTAGGGTTGTATCCGTACTGTAGATAACCTTTGAAATGGAAATATCGTCGATGTCATCACCCTGGTGGAAGTGTGTCCAGCGTATCCAGTTGTATATAGGAATGTAATTTTGGAAGATCTCTCGAAATAATAATCATGCTGGTCCACCAGAAAGTGCGAATAAGAGAACGAGATTCGGGGCTGTGTGACAAGTATCGCCGAACCGATATTTCCAACCTTCCAACCACAGCTAACTTTCCCACGAGGATCCCCGGAGCATTACGCGGCTCGGTATTGTACAGGAATAGGGGAGAGAGCTTGCGCTAACTCTTAACTCTTAACTCTGATAATTCTTCCTTTTTACATGCCAACCTCCCCTACATGTCATCGCCCTCCATTTGACTGCAAGAATGGGCGCGTATTCTCTGTTGGAAAAAATACGGCCAGGCCCCCCGTCCCTGCGCATTCTGGTCAGGGTGGTCCCGGCCGCCCTCATCGTCATCGTTCTCTTCTTCCTCTTCGCCTCCCAGAAACCCCGCGAAATCATCGCGATATCGGGTCGTCCACCTCCTGTGGTGCCACCTCCGCCTCGACCCTCGGACGCCTTGAACGCCTCGAACGCTACGAACACCCAGAACACCCAGAATACCCAGAAACCCCAGAATACCCAGAATACCAAGCCCACCTGGCAATGGTCCCCGGAGCACGATGCCGACAACTTTGGTCTGTCTGAAGAACAGTGTCTCATCGCCTTCCCCAAGCAATATGCCGACTTGGACAAGTCGGTCTCATTATGGGCCGAGAGACGGATCAAACCTGAGGATCTTGATGCCCGCCCGGTGCATACCAGTCTGATCCGGGCGATGATTTACGAAGGACAGGTTTGTTCAGCCATCCGAACTAACTTTTTCAAGTTTCACTCTGGCCATGTGGCTCATTCTGCGTGTCCTCTCTAGTTATTTATCATTGAATATGGCCCGCAAACCCAAACGCAATCGCGAGGACCGGCGACTCTCTTCGCACTCCACCGCGCCCTCACTGCATTCCCCGACCGCCATCTCCTCCCCAACATCGAGTTCGTCCTCACGACCGAGGACTACGACAAGGACGAAGATCCGACCGCGCCCATCTGGGCATACACCAAACAAGACGAAGATGACCTGGTGTGGATGATGCCCGACTTTGGCTACTTCTCATGGCCCGAATCCAAGGTGGGCGCATACCACGAAATGCGTAAACGGATTATGGCCGTCGACGAGGGTGGCCTCGGGCCCGACGGCAACCTCACGGCGCCGCTGCCGTTCCACAACAAAACGCCGCAGATCGTCTGGCGCGGCGTGACCTGGACGAACGAGGAGATCCGGGGCCAGTTGATGGAGGTCACCAAGGATCAGAGCTGGGCCGACGTCCAGGTGATCGACTGGGGCGACCGGGACAACCCCAACAGCAACCTGATCCCCATCGAGGATCACTGCCGATACATGTTTGCCGCGCAGACCGAGGGCAAGAGCTACTCGGGCCGCGCCAAGTACCTGCTGAACTGCCGCTCCGTCACCGTCTCGCACCCCACGCTCTGGCGCGAGCCGCACCAGTCCGCCCTGGTGGCGGAGGGGCCCGACGCCAATTATGTCGAGGTCTACAGCGACTGGAGTGACTTGCCCCAGAAGATTCAGTACTTCATCGACCATCCGGCCGAGGCCGAACGCATCGCCAATAACTCCATTGCCACTTTCCGTGATCGCTACTTGACCAACGCCGCCGAGGCCTGCTACTGGCGTCAATTGATCCGCAAGTGGGGGTCCGTCATGGATTTCCAGCCCGCTGCATTTATTGTCACGTCCGAGGGCAAATTGGCGCGGCGCGGGGATTCATATGAGGACTGGGCGCTGAAGGGGCCCCGGAGTGAATAAATAGCTCTGCTACTTTTTTCTTTCTATTTAGTTTCGGGCGTTTATATGTGGGCTGGGTATATATGACATTTATTTCTCCTTTTCCACACACACACACACACACTCTCTCTCTCTCTCTCTCTCTCTCTCTCACGCCCCATAGATAATGTTCACGGAGACGTATACGAGCTTGGATGCTGGATGGGATACTATCCATGGATATCACCTAAGTAGTAGATTTATCCTCCCACTTCTTGGCCTTCCCTTTCCGTTTTAGGGCTCACCCCTTGCCGCTTTTTGCTCACTGAGTAGAACTGAGCACGCCTCGGAGCGGCCTGATCTGATCAGGGTATTGATAGAGGCACCCCAAAATTTTCGCTATTGGCACCCCAAAAAGATTACATAATTTTTGTCTTATGTAATCTTTTTTTTCTCCCACTTCTATCACCATAGCAACCATATACTATATATATACTCTATCTTCTGCTTTATCTCTTTTTCTGCTCTAGTAATACCCTGCTAGTTCGTAGCTTTCTGCCTACCTCGCTTACTTCGTCTACTATACTATACAAACCACGCAAACCAACCCCACTATATCTACCCCCGCTAACCCTACTGCCGCTACCCCCGATTTGCCTACTATTCTATATACCAATTCGTCTGATTCGCCTACCTTGCCTGTTATTCTACGTGCTGATTCGCCTAATTCGCCTACTGCTACGCATACCCCTATTACTACTGATTCGCCCGGTCTACTACCCCTACTACAACAAACCTTCCCTAGTTAGGATGAATTAGTTAATTTCGTGCGCTAGTAGGGTATAACGTAGGGGTATATTACTACTATTAAGCGGTCTAACCTAAATCGGAATATCTATATACACTATAATAGATCTAGGGTATATTTAGACCGAATATAGGTACCTACTAATGCCAAACGGCGTAAAACGAGTACAAGGCGACAAAATTGCCCTTTTTGGGTATATAAGAGTCGCTAGAAGGGTTCTAATTAGCTACTTCGGGTGAAAAACCCTACGTATAATTATTCTACTAATCTAGATATAATAACGTACCTAATTATACGTTAATTTACCCTAATGTAGAAAACCTTAATTTAACGACTCTCTACTATTAGACCGAAATATATTATTAGTGCGTTATATAATAAGTCCCCTCGTTAACGAATTATACTACGCGATATCTATAATATACAAGCAGAAATTCGACGAAAAGAGATAGGAGAACGTAGTATTCTTGAATATCTATAGATACTACTTAATTCAGAAGGTGTAAAGAATATACTTATCAGGGTATAAGGCCTGTCGATCAGGTAAAGAAACAAGGGGAAGGAGTAAGGGAAAATAGTATATCCTTATTACTATTAAGACTGAATCTTATCTTGCTAGCTGGATACGGGAGTATTAATTTATTATATAGTATCTTCGTAACTCCACATATTATCGATAATATAAACGACTAGGTCTCTATTATATATCGTGATTATTCCACTGTAGGGTGGATTAAGTAATAAGTTCTAACTTCCTTTAGGATTATATAATATTACCTAATTTACTCCTTCCGTTAGTTAGGAATAACTTTATACCTTACTATTTTAGTAGACCCTTTATAATTATCCCCTTTCTTAAAGTTAGGTAGTCTTAACTAATATATTTATCTTATTACTATAATATAGACACATTAACGCGGTATCTTTTTGTGGGGTTTTTGTTTACCTTACTATCGAGGCGATAAAGAGATTATATAGTTAACTAGTAAATAAAGATACGTTAAATTATATATTTGAGTCTTTATTTATATTTTTAAGTAGTAACTCTTTTCTTCTTTTTCTTTTCTCTCCTATATTATATTCGTCGCGTTTTATCTTTTATTTCTTGCTGCTTCTACTATTTCCTATTCCCTTTCCGTGATTATTACCATTATTATACCTCGTTATTATTATTTAGGTTAGTTATTATACCGGCTAGTATATTCTATTATTATTTTATCTATTTTTCTATAGTATACTAAGTATTTTCGGACTAAGATTAAGGTATATAACTCTAAGTCGCCCTTTATCGTTAAATATAAACTAGATATAGTAACTTTGGTTATCTATCGGTAGTATTCCGCCTATAATACGTTATATAATATAGTACGTTCCGCGGTATCTTTATTTTAGTTTATACTAATATTTTTTAGGTTATAGAGGGTATGGTTAGGGACGCCTATAATCTATAGGTAATCCTTAGCTAGTTGAATAAGGAATTTCTAGAGTCTTTAACTAAGGGTACTCTTAAGGAGGGGGATAAAGAGAAGGAGAATAAATAAGAGAAAGATATACTAGTCGTAGCCGGAAAGGCCACGATAGAGCTTATAAAGGCCTTTAATATAATAGAGTTAACGTATCGCCGTTAGTTCTCTTTTATTACCGCCTATAAATCGATTATAGTAAATAGGATCGCTAGTATTAGTATAATTTCGCTAATATTCTAGTAGGCCTAATATAAGATTTATATAATGTATATCGCTATTTATTATTAGGATATAGCTATTTATATCCTTCCGTCTAAGGATCTCTTAGGGAAATATCTCCGAAAGTTCTAGTCTTAGTGTCTTCTCCGTTTAGTTCCGGGAGATAATAATTTTATATATTAGATAGTAGTAAAATAGGGGCTTCTAGAGGCTCTATAGTCGGTATCCTAAGATAAGTATAGTCCCGATCTAGCGGTCTCTAATCTAACTAATAATCCCGATACCGAGCGTTACCTAAAGTAGTTAAAGAAGAACTTCCTTATTCCTATTCCCGAGTTTTAAGTAGAGTTCTATACTCGTGCCGTTATTTTATAATAATAATAATAGTATTATTCTAGTAGAGTTTCAGTAGTTTTCTATTTAGTTTATAGGATTTTTTTTTAAGTAATATCTTATTTTTTTTATCTTTATTTCTTATATTTTATAATAGCTCTTTTTATATTCGCTATATTTTCTTCTAGGATCTACTAATTATACTCTAATAGCTAGCCCTTTTATTTAACTAGGAAATAGGATTTTCTATTAAAGTGTTAGTAATCTTTTACTTCTTTAATCTCTTATTTATTATTATCTTATAGTTCTAGTATTAATATATTTCTATTATTATTTTACTTTTTATCCCTCTATTTCTAGGGTTTAAGAAGTAATATATAGAATATATTATAAATTTAATTATACTAGTTTAGTAGAACTAGTTGATATATCTATAATCCGATCTTCTTAAGAATTCGGAGAGGTCTAATAAACTTAGATACTAATTTCTTTATTATCTTTAATCTTAAATTTCTTATTAATAAAGCGATTAAATCCCTATATTTAAATAATATTTTTTTATAGGTTTTATTATAGTATTTTATTTATATTTCTATTATTTTTTACTATTATTCTATTAAGTCTTATCTTAATTTTTATAGTTTTTTAGTATATATTTCTGCTGCTAGAACCTCTTTTAAAAGTATATTATCCTTAGTATATAGTCAGAAATTAGGCGAATATCCTATTAAGGTCTAGAATACGGATTTCCTTATTATTATATTAGGGGTATTATTATATATAAATTACGTATTTTTTAGTAATTTTAGCTATATAATCTATTCTCTATTAATAAAGTAGCGAAGATAGCGTTTTAGTGTCTAGTTTATCCTTTCTATTTAGCTATTAGTTTATAGATAAAATACTATCGAAAGGCGGAGTTTAATATAGCTAATATAGTATAACTTTAACTAAAATTTATTAGTAAAGAGTGATCCTTAATCTAAGATAATTCTATCTAATAGCCTATACTATAGTTCTATTTTATTATAGAATAATTCTATAAGTTCTATAGTATTAATTATTACCGATACAGCGAAGAATAAGGACTATTTTGTTAGTCTATTAATAATAATCAATATCGCGTTAACTTCTTAGGTTCTATTTTTGTTTAGTAGTAACCCTATAATAAAGTCTATTAATAGTTTATTAAAAAGCCGAGATAATATTAATAATAATTCTAGTTTACTATATAAGTAATATCTTAGTATTATTATTCCTTAATATATTATATATATCTAGATATATTCTTTTATATTATCCTAAAGTCTAATCTAGTAGAACTTCTTTTTTAGTAGCGTTTTAGTCCTATTTCGCCCGAAATAACCTATTAAGGGGTTATTATAATAAATACTTAGTAACTTCTTTCTAAGGTTCTCCCTTATTAGAATAAAAAGACGATTCTTAAATCGAAGAAGACCTTTTAAATTAATACCCTAATTCTTAAAGTTTTTAGATATCTAATTTAATATAGTTTTTAGCCTTTATATCTCTAGATCCTTATCTTAAATCCGTTTAATTATTATCTATAATTCGGTATTAGCTTCTACTAAATAGATATACTCCTTTTTTATAAATACCCTATATCTTATATTAGGGTATTCTTTTATTTTTTATAAGTTTTTCTTAGATAGCCTAGTTAGCTACTTTTATATTAATAGACTCTCTTCTACTTTTTGCTATATAGATACTAAACTAAGGATTATTTTCTTTTAAAGGTATCTTACTAGGTTTAAACTAGGATTTCTTAATAATAAGGTCTATAACTATAATTACTTAAATACTAGTTTTCTATAGGTTAGATAGTAGCTCTTTAGTTATAATCTATTTTTATAATAATATAAATAATTCTTTTCCTAGAGCGTCCCTTTAAATAGAATTAGGTTTTCTCGAAAGTCTATTCGTAGGATTACTTTTTCCTAACTAGTATTTAATTATAAAATTAAATAATATAAGATATATATATTAATATATCTATCTTTTATTTAGCTTAGTTTATTTTATAAAAGATTAAAGGTTTAAGTAATCCGATAATATTTTAATAGTAAATCTATTATCTTCTAAGTACTATCTCTAATATTTAAAGAAATATATAATTATAAAAAGTTCTTAATCTAATATATTATAATTTAACTCTACTCTAGAGAATAATTTTAATTAAAAAGTAATTAAGTAAT